AGAATCTCACAGATATCCCTGAACAATTCTGTGTTAGTGCTTTTACAAATGTTCTGAACCTATTAGTGGCTCAATTGTCATCCAACAATCAATTAGAGTTCTACCTTTTAACTCTATCCTTTGACTCCATCAATATCTCCCTCTTTCCTTAAGAGTAATCAGTCATGAGTGACTATCACTCCAAGACTCTGGAGTTGCTGAAAAAGGAGAGACACAGACACGCTTAACATTTCCTTATCAAACTATATTAAAATAGTCCATTGTGGTTTGAGGCACTCCTCTTCTAAGAGTTCTTCTAACTCAATAAGAAATTATTTGAACTTCTACTCAAACACATTGATAACTAAACTGTTTGGGTCATCCTGTCCTAATTGAAATTCGTTCCTTATGACAACCTCATATTTTCAACCATACTCAAAAACATCTCAAAGAAAAATGCCTTTCAACTCTTGAGAAAGACGCTGTGTCAGGAGGAGTACCAATTAAAATACATCCAAGCTAATATCTTCTATCTGTTTACTCAGGTATTATAATAATCAGATGATAAACAATACTTCTTAAATGAAGTTATAGATTGCATCCTTAGTCTTTGCTGTGTAATTATTATCATCTATATATTCTAAGCTTAAATTTGAATTGTTCGAGAAAGTCATTACTTCCGGTTTGGCCCTTGTCATATCTGCTTAATCGATTAAGGATTTCACTAATGAAGTAACAAATGTTCTTTATTCTAGGGAGTCTAAAACTTACAAAGGATTGTCTACTGGATGTGCAGCAGTAAGAGCGAATTATTGAAGAGGAACATTAAAGAAGGAATATGGTTTTAGAATATTTTCTTAATCTTAATGCAATAGTAATTGAATCATGTAGTCTAAATCAATACATTGGATATATTGAAACAAGAGTTTTAGTCAGATTTAGGTTGTCATTTCAAAGAGTTCTTCAGAACAACATATCAAGTTCCAGATAACATCCAGACATTGATCGAAAGATACTTATGAATAATTAATATATATTTTCTAAACATATAAAAATGTAATCATCATATATCCTTAAAGTTCTGTTTCTCTTAGGTCACCTTTTTGAAGGCTTCCTAAAAGTCTGCGTCAATAATGAATTCCTATTGTTTTTCAATGGCTATGTATGCACTTTCGTTTGTAATATTTTCCATATCAGCTCCAGAGAAACCATTAGCATTTTTGGCTACTAATTCAACCATTCCAGAAGATATTTAGTGTTTTTTCTTTTAAAATCATGAATAAAAAATTACATTTTATAAATGAACACCAAGAATTCCTTTCCTATCATGTTCTGATGGCATCTCGATTTCTATTTTGATATCGAATCTGCCACTTCTCAGAAGAGCCTCATCTAATATCTAAATTCTATTGGTTGCTGCAATAACAACAATATTTTCATTCTCTTTAAAACCATCTAACTCTGTAAGCAATTAATTTAATGTGCTTACTCTTTCATTATCCCCACCAGTTTCAGAACCAAAATTTTAATTTTTCCTTTTATATGCAATACTATCAATTTCATCTATAAAAATAATGGCTGGGGCCAATTCTCTTGCTTTTTTGAACAATTCTCTTACTCTCTTTGGACCAGTACCCACATAGACCTCCATGAATTCCGTTGCTGAACAATATAAAAACTACACATTGCTTTCTGTTGCTGTAGCCTTGGCAAGCATAGTTTTTCCTGTTCCTGGAGGACCATAAATCATGACTCCTCTCCTCAATCTAGCACCTACATTTCTGAATTTCTGTGGGTCTTATAAGTATTCTATGATTTATTAGAGTTATTTTTTTGCATGTTCTAGTCCATAAATATTGACAAATTTGACACCCGTTGACTAAGCAATCATGGATTTATTTGAAAGCTTTTGTGAATTGATGATATGAGATGCCATAATGCCAAATGTATATGATAATGCTGCAATGCTGGCTATTAGATACACCATTTATCTTTCAGTGTAATAGATCTGAGTACAATTTTAGAATCTAGGAACACCGTATTCCCTTAAATGCATGAATGAGATTCTTACATCAATGCTTTCAGCAATTCTTTTCCCTTGATCATGGGATCAGCCTATGTTGATAACCATTGGGCTTGATTGACGCATCTAAATAAAATGTGAGATCCATCATAAATGACTTCTTCAACTAATTTCTTTTGTAATACTAACATAAAATTGCTAATTTTCACAAGTGGCAAAGTGGGTTTAGCTTTGGCCTTGTATAGGCAAAAACAAGCAATTAGCATAGCAGCAGAGGCTGAAACATTCAATTTATCATTAAATTTGCGTAGGACTATTTGCATGATTTATCTAAAATTAACCATATTTATTTTTAATATATTAAATAATAATAAAGTTCTAATTTGCCACTAATTTAAGTATTTCTATTAGTTAAATGTATTTTCTAAAGATTCAAGAGTACTAATTATTATTATAAAAATAAAATTCAAAAAGATGAACTTTATGAACTCAAAATTAGTTAAGGCAGGATTGATTGGACTGATCGGCCTCACCTTAGTAGCCTAATAAAAATATAATCGATTTTAATGTGCTGCTCCCTACTTTTCATTCATTTCCCATACAGAATTATAATAATTTCGTCTGAGGTTCCCCAGTCTGTATGTGCTCGATAAATTCCAAGTCGAACATATCCTCAGCGTTATTCGCAATAAAACAACACAAACCAAAGTAGCATCATTAGTTAATTTAAGAATTTTCGCTTATATTCTGATCGATTGATTCGATTGCTATTGGAAAAAGCAGTGTCGGAGCACATAAAAAAAATGTCCCCTCCAGAAGGGTAACAGGCTTTACAATAGTAAGCCTAAGTCATAAGCTTTGAGTAGAATTAATTTTGCGTGGTAGTGATGATAAGATCTGGAAATGCATTCTTGGGAGAGGCCCTAAAAGTGCTACCAGGCACATCAGTTGGATTCATCCTAGTTTAAGAGCATCCTTAGACCAAGGATCCGCAATTAATCTATTGTAAATTGCCAGAAGATGTAGATCAAAAATAAGTATGAATATAAAACTAAATTAGGTAATTCTTACAGATGCTATGATAACTACTGGAGGTAGAATTAACTACGGCTATCAAAGCATTGATATCTCATGGTGTAAGTCAAGATAACATTACAGCAGTGAATATAGTTTCATGTGAAAAGGGTCTCTCAAAAGTGCTTCATCAATTTCCTAAGGTGAAAGTAATTACTGCAGGAGTGGATCATGCATTAAATACTATTCAAGATCTGCGGTTCCCAGGAGTCGGAGACTTTGGAGACAGATATTTCGGGAACTTAAGATCAATAATGAATATTTATTTTTAAGATTCCTCTTAAAGATTATACAATATTTTATAATTGAATATTTGTGTTATGTTAAAATACAATATTTAGATCAGAGTTTGTCCAAATATTCATTAAGGTCTGGCAATTAGACTTTGATACCCTTTCTCTTTCTGATGGATAAGACTAACTCATTAACCTAAATGATTAATGTAAAATAATACTTTGCTTCCAACTTCAAGTGGGTTACCATTGACAATAGCCCCAGTGATCAAAGACACATTGAGGGAAGGCTTGTCCTTAGGTCATACCTCTTAAATGGGCAGTGAAACCGAATGATTCAGCGACTGGTAAGTGAGCTCTAACCTATGAGAATAGAATAATTATGTTACCACTGAGAGTGGGGTTCCTGCAACTTGTTCCTCTTCAATGACTGTTCCTCTTCTGGTGTTGAGACAGTTATATACACCACCAGTAGCGTCATTTGGTGCAGTGATTTCAGCCAAGAAGACTGGTTCTTATAATCTTGGTTGGGCTGTCAATTCGCATGCATAATACAATCTTCTGGCAGTTGGGATGATTTAACCACCTCCTCTGTGGATGGCATCAGCATGTAAGACACAATCCAAAATGTTGACTCTGATACCTCTTTGATTTTCTTCGCAAAGTGGTCCTTCCTTGGTTGACCATTACCAAGCTGATTCCATTGATTCTCTCAATTCATTCATGTATTAAACACCTGATGTCTTATCCATCAGGATGTTGGCACCTGAGTTATCTGGTCCAAAGGTCCAGATTCTGAGTGCATCATCCTTATCCCAATCATATTCTTCATTAAGAGCTTTGGCTCTGAGTTTTGGTTCATCTTTTGGTGTAACTTATCCTTTTTCAATAGCATCTGGTAAATTTTCATGTAATGGTGTGGCTTAAGCATAAATTCTGTTGTGCTTATTTGGTGATTTAGACATGCAAACAATGTTTGAGGTAGCAGATACGGTTTCCTTGTATGAGACGATTGGGTCAGATTTGATGAGTTCAATACCTGCAAAGTCTTTTTCTAAATCATTCAAACAGATTTCAACGTGTAATTCACCACATCCGGCAACAACGTTTTATCCTGATTCTTCAGTTGTGCATAACACTAATGGATCTGATTTTGACAATTTCTTTAATCCATCGACTAATTTTGGTAAATCTCCTGGGTTCTTTGGTTAGACAGCAACTCTGACGACTGGAGATACTGAATATTTCATTGATCTGATCAAATGGCAATCTGGGTGGTCTGAGATGGTACCAGTCTTCATTAAATATTGATCAACACCGACCAATCCGACTGTGTTACCACATGGAACATCTGGGATGTATTCGACTCTGCTGGCCATCATGAGAACTGTTCTTTAGATAGCTTTTTCAAATAAGTCTTCCTTCTTTCCTACTTTGTAGTTGGCTCCCATAATTCTGACCTTTTATCCAGTAGCAATGGTACCAGAGAAAACTCTACCGAAAGCAAAGAATCTTCCTCTATCAGTTGTTGGAACCATCTTAGAGACGTACATAATTAATGGACCCTTTGGGAGGACGTGCCCGGTCTGAGCATGCAATTAAGCAATAGCATCATCTTATGGTCCTTCATATAAATATGAAGTTCTGTATTTTTAAGCCTTTCTTGGTGATGGTAAATGGCACACAATCATTTCAAGTAATGTATCTAGCAGCATTAATCCATTTAGACATAACAGCCTTGAGTAAATGCTCTTCCTTCTAATTTAGCTTCTTCTTATGTGAGTTTCAATCCCAAAGTTTCAAACATTTTATTAGCTACATCCATATTTCCTTCCATAACAGCATTAGCCAATTTGCAGATTGGGTCCATGATGAAAGCGACGAAGGCTCTCTTCATAGCTTTTCCTGATCCACTGATGTTGTCTTTTCTCCAGCATTTTCCTTCAGCATCAAAGTAATTGTCTCCCCACAATCTTTCTTATAATTTGAGTGGTTCAACCTTGAATTTGTTGGCATAGATTCTGGCAAATCTGGTGCATGAGAAGGCCCAGCATTCCTTTCCTGAACCAAATGAGACTGATCCGAGTTCTGGATGAACAAGGAGATCACCCATGTCTTCTTATTAATAGGTGTTGATGATGACATTGACCATATCAACGACTCTGACGAAGTTTTAATACATTGTTTCACCATCATGCTTCAATTCCAAGATAGCTCTATCGATTTTGTTAACCATGACGACTGGCTTGATCTTCTCTTACATAGCTTGTCTCAACACTGTTTCGGTTTAGACACACACACCTTCAACACAATCAACGACGACTAAAGCACCGTCTGTAACTCTTAAGGCAGCTGTGACTTCAGAACTGAAATCAACGTGTCCTGGGGAATCGATCAAGTTGATCAAAAACTTTTCTAAGGTCTTATTGTCATAAATGTCATATTCATAATAAAGAGAAACACCAGTTGACTTTGATTGTAATACCTCTTTCCTTTTCGTCTTCTCTGGTATCTGTTGCTCTAGCATCACCAGCAACTTTGGAGGCGATAATACCAGCTTTGCATAACAATGAGTCTGTGAGGGTTGATTTACCATGATCAACGTGTGCAATGACAGACATGTTTTTGATGTTGTCTTATTTGTCCATGATCTCTTTGATTTGATCAACTGAAAAATTTACCATGTGTTTTTAACTTTTTAAAAAAAAGATTTAAATTTCCCCATAATTAAATCGTGGTTTTATATTAAATGCGCATAAATAAAAAAAATTCAATAATAATTAATATCTCACAAAAACGAGCAATCATTTTATTAATATTATAATAATTCAAAGAAACATAATTTTATTTTTATCATTAAATTTTTAATTTCCATTCATATTCAAAACTCTGCAAAGTATTTGAATCAAATTTTGGCCATTTGAAAAATAACTGGCTCAGTATTATATGCTGAATATATTTACAATTGAAATTTCACAATCTACAATTCATGAGCACGATTTTTATTCATCTTTATTAGCAATTTGCTTATTTAGCATTAAACTAGTTTTGAGTATTTATCCTTAAAGATGATGAATATGTTATTTAACTAGATTAATTATGATTTATAAAGGTATATTTATACTCATAAAACATGGCTGATATAATATTCATTTTTATATAATTATACTTCTATATATATTCCAAATTTTAACTCCCTTCCTTAAATTCTGATATATCAAAAGAGAATATTTGGTTTCTCAAATGTATTTGAATAAAATTGAATTAGTTCTCTTAATTTAACTATTAATTGATTATTTATATAAATAAATTAGAAATTTGAAGTATTTTTATACAAATTTCCTTTAACTCAAAGTTTATTGGAATTAAAAGTGAAATAATTCAAATATTATATTGATAATAATTATTTTATTTCATTCTTGCTTTTATTCAACTTATTCGACTTTTTCTGGTGCCTCATCTTTTTTAGTTAAATGAGTCATATATTTGTGCCATCTGATCAAATTTTATAGAACAGGATCAATATCTTTAATTTTAGCAAATTCATCGAAATCTCTCTTCCCAACAGAATAGCCATCGCCTTCCAAGAACATCTTTTCTTGTAATTCATCATTCAATTTCAAATGTGAATCATCGTGCTCATGAATTTGAACTTCTACATTTGATTTAGGAGGTTTTAGGGATTCAAAGAATTTACACAATTAAGGAATAGTTAATTTACCCTAGGATGATATAAAATATTAAAATTACAATTCTAGTATTTTTTTCACAATCTCTGACATCAATAACACCAGCTTTTACTTCCTCTTCACCAATAACTCCAACAAAGTTAAAGTATTAGATTTGAGCATTACGCACTTTCTTAGCAAGAGTTTAATCAGCTTCATCAGTAGTAACAGTGTATCCTTCAAGTCTCAATCTGGCAGCAATCTTTTCAGCAACATCCTTATAATAAGCAGAAACTGGACATAAGACTAATTATTTAGGAGATAACCAAAATGGCCACTTTCCTCCACATTATTCAGTCAACACAGCGATCATTCTTTCCAATGATCCTAAAATAGCTCTGTGAACAATGACTGGTCTTGCAAAACCTGCTTTTAAATGATGATAACCCAATTCATATTTCTTTTCTAGAAAATGTAATATATGAAGTAATACCATGTAAGACTTTGTGTAATTCATGTTGAGATAATCCTTGACTTGAACCAGATTCAATAATATCTTCAGGTAATTTTTATTTTTTATGTTAATCTTATTATTATTATTATGGTTCTTTTTATTACTTTTATTTCTTTTGTTTCTTAACATTCTATTCTTGTGGAGCTTTTTCTTAAACAGGATCTTCAGCAGGTTATTATTAAGAATTTTAAGGGGCAGTAGTAATATTATCAGTGTCTGAATGATGAGAAGCTTTCCTAACCACATCAATGATTTCTTAGGCAGCCTAAACTTATTCATTGTGAAGTTATTCCTTATCCTATTAGACTTCTTAAACATCTTCGCTGGCTCTGTATTACAAGTTAAATCTTTCAGGCAAATTGAAATCTAATTGAATGGTACCACATTAGTGTTCTCTCTTGTAGGCATCATATAATTTGACATCAATTTTTGGTCCATAGAAAGCACCATCTCCAGGATTGACTTCAAAGGGTTTTCCAAATTTCTTTAATCCTTATTCTAGTTGATATTCAGCATTATCCCAGACTTCTTTGGTTCCCAAGAATTTTTCAGGACGAGTACTCAAATACAATTTGAATTCGAATCCAAAGAGTGAATAGATGTAACTTAAAAAGTCAAGACAACTCTTGATTTCTTCTTAGATTTGATCCATTCTACAGAAGATATGTGCATCATCCTATTAGAAACGACGAACTCTGGTCAATCCACTCAAAGCACCATGTACTTCATTTCTGTGTAAGACACCAAAATCAGCAAATCTAACTGGTAAATCTCTGTAACTGTGTTGGATCATATCAAACATAAGACAATGTCCTGGACAATTCATGGGTTTCAAACCATATTCTCCCTCTTCACCCATGTTAATGAAGAACAAGTTTTCCTTATACTTATCATAATGTCCACTTATCTTCCAGAGTTAAGCATTGAAGATGTTTGGTGAAATAACTTCTTAATAGCCTCTGATATAGTATTGTCTTCTTAAAAAGTTCATTAGAGTGTTGTAAATATGAGCACCACTTGGATAGAAGAAAGCTGATCCAGGAGACAATTGATGGAACAGATACAAATTCTGTTTCTTACCTACATTTCTGTGATCTCTTAAGGCTAATTCCTTTTATATTTTGACATATTCATCCAACAATTTCTTACTTGGGAATGAAACACCATAAACTCTTTACAAATCATCATTGGTGTTCTTACCCAACCAATAAGCAGCTGAGTTCTTGGTCACTTAAAATGCCTTAACATAGCTAGTATTGGGCAAATGTGGACCAGTGCATAAATCGATTAAATTACCACATTTGTAAGCAGTAGTCATCGCTCCTTCTGGGATCTTATTGGTTATCAACTGTCTCTTAAATGGATTAGTACCAAATAATTCTAAACTAAAAGATAATGGCGATCATTGATACCATTCATCTTTGGTTAAGACTGCTCTTTAAAATTCTTATTTGGATGCTGCTAAATCCGAAGCAGCTTTCTCTATTTTTACATAATCATTCTGAGTGACCTTGTAATCTCCGATGTAGCAATCATAAAAGAATCCACCATCAATTGCAGGACCAATACACAAATGACATCCATATACTTCTTCCAATGCTGAACCCAAAATGTGGGAAGATGAATGCCAAAATACTTCCTTACCATTATTATCATCGAAACTCAATAGTTCCAATTGGCAATCTCCTTCCAATGGTCTAGTCAAATCCCAAATCACGTAATCAGGTTTCAAATTCAATTAGGATCCTTGTGATTGTTATTCCTCATGATCTACATCCACAAAATCTAAAGGTGTTATTAATATAATTATACTTTTCTCAAATAAGGTATCGTATACTACTTTAGCAGCCACCATGCTTTCAGCCAACTTCTTACTAATTCCAACAGCAATCATCAATGGAGTAGTAACCCACTTTTTACCTAAGATCTCAAACTATACAATAAACCTTCTATTTTCTTTCCGTCCTTTAGGGTTATGGTAATTGGGGTCTTCTCTTTAGCCTCTAGTTCTGCTTTTTGGCGTTGATATATTTCATTAAACAACTTCAATCTCTTTTCTTAATAAACAGGCTTTCCAATTTTAAAGGGTCCTCCGATCTTATTTCCAGCTTAAACTATCTATCCTTCAGTAGCTTCTTTCAATCTCTATCCTTGTTGCATAATTAATTATATTTATTTAAAGTTTTCCTCGAATCATTTTATTCATACACTTGTAAATTCTTTCATTAAGTTATAAAATACAACACATAATTGCATTTTTACATAAATTGTGATTACATGATCATTATATAGAATATAGATTCAGAAAATTTTTGATAATTTAATAGTATATAACAAAATGTCAGAGTATGTGTATATTTAACTCTTGAAATTAAACAAACATAATAATAATATTTAATTTGTAATGAAAACATAGCACCAAGTAAAGTTCTCATAATTCAAAATACTATTGTTTATGATATTATTTTTTGAAGATAATATCAATGCTTTCAGATCAGTTGTGCGTTGACAATTGTTGAGTATCATTTAATTTTACTCTCAAATGACATTCGTCATTTAATATTGCCATATTGTCAAAACATAAAGATACTGAAATTTCTATATAGATTTCAATACTTTTAATTTAAATTATATGTAATTAATATAATGAAATTGAATTTAGATATTAATTAATTGTAGTTCCTTAGTGTTAGTTGGTTTAGATACATTCTTCAATATTGTTATTCGAGAACCTAATTTGAGTTTGGTTTTAAGAACTTACCTGATTTGAGAGCTCTGATTTCAAAGAAAATTGATAAAATCTATTTGAAACAGTAATTAGTATTTCAAAAATTATTTTAATTTCTCATTAGAACTTACATCAATTCATTTTTTAATTGAAAATAGTGGCCAGTACAGAATAAATAATGGACTCTGTATTTAATAAACTGCTTTAACAATATATGCTAAAACTCCTATAAAGAATAAATTAATTAATATTGAAAAAGTTTATAGTAATTGATGTCTTTTCGAAAAACAACCTTCTCTTAATACTCTAGTAATGTCTTACAGCTTGACTTAGAGCCAGAAAATTAATCTGCCAAAACTCTTCGGAGATCCAATTATACCATAACCACAGACTATTACTCCCCTTAGGGTAATCTAGATAGTCTTGACAGCTTGCTTGATTAAAAGTCTTCAAAGAAATCGCGCTTCTTTTTTAGCCAAAAAATTGAAAGTGAAGAGAACTTTCGACATTTAAAGACAGAAAGCGATTTTTAATAGAAGGAAGTAAAAGAAGTTCGGCCTTTTCGCTTTAGAAAGAGGGAAGTCCATACAAAAATTGATTTAGATGACAAGAATGATATAGATGAATTTTTTACTGGAGCGGAAATCCCAAGAATAAGCTAATAAGCTTAAAAATAAAATCCATATCAATTAGTGACCTTCACTGATTATGTAGAAAACATTTATGGAAAAGATTGGTTTTCATAAAGAGAGAGGAAATTCAAGAGATAAATCACAGTTTAAGATTTCTTTGATACCCCATGTTGACTTTTATTATTTATTAAAAAAATGTAATATATTCCATTTTTCACCATTATTAGACATTTGATTTTCGTCATAATTATCAAAATAAAATTGAGATTTACTTATTGGATGATATTCTTAAACCTTTTATAGAAAATATAATCAATATTCCAAAAAGACCTCTTTAAATATTCTCTTCAAACTGATTGAAATATCAACAATTTTTGAGTCTTTTTAAAATTGATTCGAAAATCTAATTCTCAATTAGCTATAAGCAGAACCTTATCAAGAATATGATCATCTTCAATGAGCGTAGTTAATAATTCAAAAAAATGATTAAATCGCTTACAAACTATCAAAAACCCTATTTAATTTCAGCCAGAATTAGCATTTGTGCTTTATTGAAGAACTATTAATTCTACTTTAAGCTGGATTGTTCTTTATTTTGAAATCATACACTTTAGATGGTGATTAAAACCTCTTTTAGAAAATTTAAGTGATCAACATAATTTTTATTAATAATAATTATTATAAATAATACAAAAATAACATAAAGATATTATTAATACTTCATTTGTTATTCTAAGAAGAGTTTTATTTCAAAATATGAAATAATTAATATATTGATCATAACAATTATTATCATTACTATTATTAAAAAAATTAATTTGATTTAACTTAATTGAATGCTTAATTTAATAAGTTTTTTGATTTTCTTGATATAAAGTAAAGCATACAATAGGCAACTCAATAATAAATTATTATCATTAAAAATGTGTTGATCCTCTATCTCTTTGAGAACTCTAGATGTATTGAATTAAATCAATTAGAAGTCAAAACTAGCTCAATAATATCCATTATAATTAATAATTGTTATGTAAAATTAAAAATATAAGATATTCAATATAGAAGGTTAATTTAAGTAAAGATAATGGATCTGAAATCCTTTATGAGTGATAACAATCAATTTTGGATTATGATCATATATCATAAAATTCTGCTATTAGATTTTTTAAATCAATAAATTTATGGCCGAGCATTTTAAGAGAGGATTAAAATTTCGCTATATGAAGCATAAATAACAAGTTTTTCAATGCTTTTGATATGATCTTTAATGAACTTAAGAAGGGCTGTAAGGGTGTCTAAGAGAATAGAGAAATAGCTGAAGAACCAAACCAGAATAAGGAAGGGATTCAAGAAATCAAAAGTTTAGAGGGAGATTATGGGTGTATGGAGTTATTAATTATTTCATTAAATTGAATTTAGATATATGTAACAATTTTAATTTAAAACTCTTTGATATTATGTGGTTATGCTATATTTCAAAGGACTTAATTCTATAAATTCAGGTTTATTTTATAATTTAAACAATATAAAAAATGAGTTAAGGAATGAATAATAATTCTTAAATACCGCTTATGAGTATTGCACAAGATTTGGATCTTTGCTAAATGTTTTTGAGGTATGACAATGATCTTATTTATAACCTACTAATAATTATTGATATCCGTATATTTATTTGATAGGCTTATGATTATATTAGTTAACAGCAACATCCATTGTATAAAGCATTATTGAATTCCAAATTATAATAGCTATGTTAAGCATAGTTACTGCAAAATCTACCCTAAAGTTTGAACTTAAACAATTCATCCAAGGATCTCTTTCCAATCCCCAATATGCTAAGTAAGCTAATATTTATATCCCTGTCTCTCATTTATATACCATATATATGAATTATTTGCCATAATTATGTAGATGTCCTGGCGATGAATAAACCGATGGAACTGGATCAATACTTTTCCAATTCAACGCAATTTTTGTAATAAGCCAACTTCCTGAACCCATTTTCTGTGCAACAAATGAATTTCAACTAAAAGTAAAAAAACAACGTTGATAATCCAATTACAGTTGATGACGATGAACCATAATAAGAGTAGAAAAAATGTCACAATCCACTATGCAAGAATGTGGGTGACAAAAAGATCAAGTCAAAAAAGAATGATATCTTATTCTTTTGTGACAAATGCTCGAAATTATATAATAAAGGAAACTTTTGTGATTTCTGTGAATAAGTACCAATTTTCATCTAACTTTTCAAAGGTGTATGGGTCCTATGATGATGAGGCAGGCTGGATCCAATGTGATACTTGTCAAAAGTGGGTAACTTGATTGGTTTATAAATTAGAATCATATTGCATGTGAATAAAAAAATAGGAATTAAAATATTCAAATAGAATTTGAAACTAGTCAATATCACTGTTTGGGTTGTTCCAAAAATATCAAGAAACCTAAAATAATTAAAAAAGTTGAAGAACCTCCTGTTGTGAAATAACGTCCAATGATAGAATAAGAGGATTGTAGAAACAGGGAAAAAAACATTACTTTTGTTGCAACCAAGGATAATAAAATTTAATACAGTATTCAAGAGAATCTAAATTATAGCATATCGATTCAATTTAATGGATGATGAAATCAAGCAAGATTTAGATTAATTGAGAAATTCAACAAAAAAAAAACCAAAAATTTAATAATCATCTCCACCAAAAATCTAATAAAACATCCCAACTTAATAACCTACTCAAACTCAACAGCAATAAACCCAATAAGAAGTAAAATATATTTATTCACAATTAGAGCTAAGAGACTTCATTCGCTAATAGAAATTTAAGAAGAAGAATTAATTAAAAAATCAACTATAGAGATTTGATTGGGGAGTATTGAAATTTATAATATTTCAGTCATTTATAAATTCAAACTATTTTAATATTAATATTAATGCTTAAACTATAAGAGAAGAAGAAAATTATAGAAATCTTAAATAATCCAATTTCTTATTGTAATAGACCTACTAAAAGCTCCTCTACATACAACCCTTAACCTATAGAGTAGTTAGTCTTTAACCGAAGCTTGCTTAGAGTCTACGGATATTAAAAACCACAGTCCCAACAGAGAAATAGAAGAAAATTTAATTTGAGTTAGTTAGAAGGAACCCAAGATATTGAAAACAATAAATAAATTGTAGAATTATTAAAACGAGACTACTCAACAAAATCCAATATTGAAAAATAATCATCTTTCAAAAAAGAACAGTTAGAAAAAAGATGCAACACTACAACAAATAATAAGTTCTTTTAATTGAATGCAATGATCAAAAATAAGAGGAACACTAATATTTCAAGAGTTGTTGAGTAATAAAACGATAGCCAAAAATAAAGATATTAGATGCTTCATCTGAATTTTATTAAGACCTAAAAATAATATTAGAATATTTATGGAATACCTTTATCTGAATTTCTTATAGAGCATAAATTTTTGACCTTAATTCATTAGCAATTATTGATAATTTTATTGATGATCTTCTAAATAGATTGCACTAATATTTATGAAGTAATAACTTATAAATAATATAAACTCTTTAAATAAGTGATAGTTTGGAAAGATTTATCAATTATTGAATTAGTTGATAAAATATCATAGATTTTTGAAAATATTAGTGGAGGAGATTTGCTTAATATCATACATTTAATGGCTTAAATTTAACCTTACAAATACAATGGTAGGTAAAAATTAAATAGAGATATGCAATTATTAAATAAAACTATTTAAGATTTAGAATATAAATGTATAGAACATGTTTTATAATAAGGAAATTTAAATATGCAAATTGATATTACAAAATTAAAAAAACTATTTTATAATTAAATTATTAATATTAATACATTTATCGACTTATTATCCGGATAATTTTGATTATAAATACATATAATATATAAATTTCAAATTTACTACCTACACAATGGACATTTATTATTAATATTATACCACTTTTATAAACAAAGTTAATGAAAAGTATGTTTGCATTCTCGAATTTAACTTGCAATCTCATTTTCAATAACTAATTTTAGGCAAATGCTGCACTCTATTTTTTCCTCCTTTATAATAAATTATTAAGTTCTCAATTTCTTTATCATAATATTATCAAAAGGAAATATGATTTTTGAGGTATCATACCTCCTATCAGTTTCTTATTTCTATAACCCATTCCTCATTTAATTATATATATGCAATTAATTATAACAATAAATGTATTTTATTTTATGAATAAATAATTTTCCAAAATTTGATGTACTAATCTGTCGCTAGGTAATTAATTGACAATGTCTCTTATGGTCCTATTGGAAGCATTACCAAACAAAACTAAGTGATAATATAACAACTTTAGCAAAATATTAGAAATTGTTGATTATGCGGCACATATAATTTTGATTGAATATCATCAGCAAAGTTTCTTACTAAATTAGTTTATCTTTTGTTTTCTTTCAAATCACACAATTTAAAAACTTTAGTATTAACAAATAAAGTTGTTTGCTTTTATTTTTGAGTAATTAGTAATAGTTGAATCTCCAATAATATAAATTATTCTGGATATTTTGAAATCTATGAATTTCTAGTTGCAAAGAGGATAAATAGGAACTTAAAATTTATTAATATTAATATTAAATCAATGGATGAAAGAAGGGCTACGTTTATGTTTTTTATAAAACTATAGTATATCTATATCATTAATACTTCTTCAACAAATTACGCCAATTGTTTAGACTCTTTCAATATTTAATTGTATTTCATTTATTATTGAGCATACGTATTTATAATATATTATTCTTATTAAAATTCTTGAGATTCTTTTCGTAAATCAAGGAACCTTTTTTTGGGAGGAACATACCATTTATTATAATCCTTAATATTTTTCCTGGGAGATATCTTAGTGTATTGTTTACCTGAATCCTGAGCCTATGATTCTAAAGAATATAGGGATTAAGCTCGATTTTATTTCGGAATGAATAGCGATTGATTGATCAATTAATTAATTTAATCGAACTAAATAGGTTGAGTTTATCTTCTATCAATTGGGGGGAGCAAAGTTGCCTATTGTTTTTTTAAGTTGTTTTTCATAATAATTTATTTTATTAATAGTTTTATATAGATAATAAAAACAAGGTTAAAATAATTCTTAATTTTTAGACTCGCTAATATAATTTACTTTGAAATTTTCGTTTCTATTTGTAATTGTATACTACATTTATAATAATAAATTTAAATTTAAAAGAAATAGTACTTCCTAAATATTAGTTTAATACTGAATGGAGAAATAAGAATAGGAATATAGGATAACATTTAATCTATATTATTCTAAAAGTTAAAACTAAATATAAATATATAAAAATTGATCAAAATAAAGGACTGAAGATAAATCAATTATGTATTTACTAGCTTTAATTCCCCTTTTTTATTATGATTGAGTAGCATGATGAATTGAAATAGATAATGTATCCTAAAACAAAAGATAAAAATATAAAAGAATTGTATTTTACATAACTTAAATTGAATTAAAAATAAAAGATATTAACTGAACAATTAGATTAGAGTTGTAAATCCGAAATTATGCATTGAAAAGATGAAGCATAAAGTTTATATATAAGTATTTCTATATCATGAGAGAATAATAATATATTCAATTCTTAATTGATTTAGATTTTAAATCTTTGATACTGTTATTAATATCAAATTTAGTGTGAATTAGATTGAATTCAAATTAATAATATCAATCTATAGTGAATATTTACAAAATGAATAAATATTGAAGTTTAGTGATAATTACTAAAGAAAGTTATGAATAGATAATTATATATTATAATAATATAAGGAAATCAACAACATGACTTTCCATCCTTCTTTTCCTAATTTTAATTTTATGGATCATCTAATATAATATTATTTGCTAATTGATCAAATGAAATTGAATACGTTAAGTTGGATGGTTCACAACAGAATTAACCATTTAAGATGTTTCAGTGCCTGGAAGAGTAGCTGCTATTTATTTGAATAGTAATTCAACATTGCTTCCTAATTTTGCACTAACTTCAATAAAATGAGCATCTTGTTCCTTTGCTAGAGTAGCTCCTTACTCTGTGGATATAACTCTTCCCATTAATATGCATATAGTTACCTGTTTTCAAGATCAATCTTGTTGGCCACTAAAAAGATTATTACATCGTTGCCTCTTTCTAAGCGTACATCTTCAATCCATTTTACAACACTTTCAAATGATTGTTTCACTTTTGTATTATTAGAAATTACCCTCAACATCATAACAAACTACAGCAACTGCACTATCCCTAATGTAGCTTGGTATTAGGGATCTAAATCTCTCTTATCCAGCAGTATCCCACAATTAAAGTCGAATGGTTCTATCCTCATAGTAAAGGGTCTTGGAGATAAAATCGATGCCAACTGTAGGCTTGAATATTCAAACTTTCTTACATGATCTTTGCCATCAAATGTATCAAACATGAATCGATTTATTATCGAAGTTTTCCCGACCGATTGATCTCCTAAGAATACTAATTTATATTTAGATAATGGAGCCACCATAGATCCTTTAGTATCAGTCATTATCAATATAATAATTATTTAAATTAAGTAATTAATCGAAAGTTAAAGAATTATAAAAAACAACGTAAATTGACCTTAAAAATGAGTTTAGTTTGAATACTTAAAGATTATAAGGGGAAACATGGATGATATCTCTCCTCTTTTCTATAAACTAAATATGGTTCTTAATCAAAGAATTTAAAAATGATGATATGAAAATACATAAATGTGGATAATATGTTCATTTTTTTTTCCAATCATGCTCTTCTTTAAAGAATATTCCTAAGATAAAGGCTACACAACAAAATCCAAAGACAATCCAAAAGACTCCACCATAACCTATCTTTGGTTCTCCAAATTTGTACAATAAATATCCCAACATATTGGACAGACCAATAACAAAGAATAAACCACCATAGATAATAGGTCCCACCTTAAATAATATTATTGATTATCATACCTTATGACCAAATATCTTTGCACTTACAGCAGGATAACAAGAGAATAATCCTCCTTCACAGCACATTGTGATACATAAAATAATGAAATAGCCAGCAAAACTACCATCAATATATCCAATAGCAGCAGTACAAATTAAGTTGATAACTGCTATTATCAAATAGACCTTTTTGAAACCAATTTTATCAAACAATACTGCCCATCCAAATCTCGAACCTCCATTGCAGACTGATTAGACTGAACCAAGTACTGTTAATGATGCATCATCAATTCCAAGCTAATTAAATAGAATTGATTTATACTGTTTATCCAAACACTTTATAACAATTAGCCATTAACATACCAAAAATGATAGAACACAAAACCATTACAATCAAAAACCAAAATGGTCTTGATTTCATACCTTATGCTAAGGTTTCACATTCAGCATGCATAACTGTTGGATGATAGTCAACTGATTTTTCATGATTGATTCCACTTGGTTTTTTATTTCCTTCTCCTAAAACCTATTAATATTCCAAATTCAAATCTCTAGGATATTTTACTAATAGAGTTGCAATTATGGTTAGAAGGAAATATGATCTAATATAGTATGATTATTTATTTACAAAGCTAACATCTAGAACATAAAAGGAACATTTTCGAACACATCCTTTGAGAAATACTTTTTTGTTTTCCCATCTTCTTCAAAAGGAATTTCTGGTTCTTCATTATTAGGATTGCAAATAGCCTTGCATATAAAGTTAAATGTAAATGCTCCAAATCCGTAACCGGCAATAATCAATCCTGAAACCATTCCTCTATTGAATGGGAAATATTTCCATCCACATACTAAAATTATAAAAAATTATTACTGATTGGCAACATGTACACTAATCCAGAAGGAATACCTATCATAAAACAGTATATGAAGATAAATCCATAAATATTATTAATGAAGGACAGTATTAAAAATGCTAAGGAAATTAAGAATCCTGCTCCAGCTATCATAGTTTTAAATCCTATTCTTTATGCTAACTTAACTCCAAAAGAAAGAACAGAATTTGTGGCAATTCCCAATATTGGAAACACAATCTAGAGTGTTGATTATGTGACGCTTGGATCTTTATCCTTCATATAAGCACCAACATAAGGACCTTGAAATTAGTATATTGATATTACTTATTCCACCCCACAGATAAAATGTACCAAGCACAAAGTGAAGTGCAATTCCACCAAGTAAACAAACAAAACCTTGGATTTTTATACTGTGAAGCTCCTTTGGTGAATATTCTTTAAAGTGATGCTCGTCTCCATGCTCATCTGCTTAACTTTCATGATGATGTTTATCCAATTCATGATCGCTTTATGCTACTGATTAAGGAACAGCCTAGGGCTTCATTTATAAAGATATATTTATTATTTAATGTTCAAATGATTCATAATGAATAAATATCTCTCAAATTTCAATTTCCCTCATTTAATTTTCATACATATCTTTCGTTTCTAATTCTTATTTATTTTGTGCTTTCTCATATTCTAATTCAACTATTCTTCCTCTCCCTTCCTTAATTAGATAAAATAACAACATAAATAAATTTAAACATAAGAATTGCAAAGTAAAATATTAATTTCCAATCTACTTCATGTCATAACAGAAAATTTCTGTTAACATTAATTCGATAATCCATATTATTTCTATTATCAATTATAAAATTATATTATCAAAATATTCAACATTATATTCAGTAATCTTTTAAATACTTGTTATTATGCTTTTTTCATTTATTTCTAAATTGCTATTGATTTCAGTTGTAAAATGGTAATACATTTATTATAAGCATATTAGCATAATAATATCCATGAGATGTAAATATCCATCAATCTAAAATAAAACAGGACTATTTGGTAGTACTGGATGAGTAACAGTGATATATAAGACATCTATAACTAAATATGCTGGATATTTAAAATAACTCTCTTCATTTTCTCTAAAGTATTAAAATGACAATAACAAGATTGGCAATAGATTTTAGGCTCTGCAAAAACAACAAACCAATAGAATTGTAACATCCACATGTTTTCTGCATATAAATATAATCAAAGGTATGAATATAATCAATAAATATTTAACGTATGACGATAAAATAATTATTATAAATATTCCTATGCTATATTTTAATAAATTTTATTTTGTTTTCAATAAAGTTAAAATTAAATCCTTGTTCTTGATAAACATATAAGCCAAACTTCCAATTGAAAGTAATTAATAAAATGGAAAGTCACTAATCAAAAGCAAGAATCCTAAGAGACTTTAAATCACTGGTTATTTCATTTTTAAAAGTAATACCAAAAATAGTATTATTTTGAATAAGTTTATCTCAATAAATGCAAATGCTGCTGTTAATCCTAAAATATACCAATCAATAATCACTAACTCTTGTTACTTGAAAAATATCAAGTACAAGATATATAGACATAAAAATAGTCCAAGCAAAAGAACAAAGATATTGCCACTAATTTCAGAATTAATAGCAAAAGCAAGATCTTTTATTTCATTTTTTAATGTATCTAAATAATTCTAAATCATCTTATCATCTTTACTTGTTGAAACTAATTCAAACTAATCTTTGAATAAGTCTAAGTCTTTCTAATACTTGATCGACTTCTTTTTTTCAATCAAAGTATAATGTTCATATAATTGATATAAGTTCATCATGTAATCCAATAGTTAAATCTGATTGATATCTTATGCAGGTTTAGTTTCGTAAAATAGACCTGGCAATATCATTCCATGATTCTCTAATGGAATTGGAGAATCAAGTAGACAACTGATTGTAGAAGTTAATGAATCAATTGAATAAATAGTTTTGGTATGCTCATCTTTTGATAATCTTGTTCTATTTGTATAGAAATAGACTTTGTCAAATTTAAGTACAATTATCATAGTATTATTGTCGACTTAGGACAATAAATTATCATATTCTATTGATGATAGCTGAACGTTATCAATGTAATAGAATGCAAAATCATCTTAATTTAATTTTGCAATTAATTCTGATCCGTCATTTAATTACTAAAATTAGCTAAAAGGATCATAATCCGTGTAAGCTTTATAACTTGACAAATAACTAGTTTTATTTTGTTTTTTTAACTGGTATGTCACACTATCTAAGGTTTGGTATTGGATATTCCAATATTGTAATTATGCAATTGGGCTTATTCCGTGTATGACTGTATTGTAAAGAATTTCATAATTAATATTGAATTATGAATCAATATGATAATATACATCATTGTTGTCGAATCCTGTAAAATTTTCATCGACAATTAAAACGATTCTGCTAAATACATAATAAAAAAAATCCTTCTTATCAAGGAATAATGGATTTCCAGTATTCTTTTAAGCTTTATTTAATTCTTATGAATTCATAAAGTATCCAATTAAAATGCAAAGAAAGGCAATTATTTTCAGGCTTAGAAATCCAATGTTAGTATAATTGAACATATTAAAATTTATTATTAATTAGACAAAATATTTAATAAAACAAAACATACCTCATTATAGTTTCTTATGCTTCTGATTATCAAATATTTTAATTAACTTCTTTATTTTTCTATTGTAATGCTATGGATTATATATTAATATCAATTTAGTTGAAGATAGAGTAATTATTTAATAAAGGATGAGACAAGAAAAAAATAGTAAATTTGTTGATATTTAAGTTAACATCTATTTTTAACAAATTGCTCCTTCATAAAAGCATCTAATTTTCTTATTTTGAGAACTAAATGAGAATGAAGAAGAATTGTTTATCATTTTCAATTCAATATTGACTAATCAGGAACTTAGACCCGTGTATTATTAATTTGTAATATTAAAAAAACAAAGACAGATAAATTGTTTGAAACACAATTGAGATTAGGTTCAATAACTATTTCAAATAATCAAGTAATTTCTTGATTAACACTTTGATTCATAAAAAATGAATTTAAGTTATTATTTATTTTTACAATGGATAGTAAATGAATTTCAGAGGTTTACCAAATATTTGTTGTTGGTCATTAAATATTCATATTTACAATAAACTAAATAATTGTTGGTTAATTTGAGAGAAATTAAAAAAAATAAATCAAATTAAAGGTTTTCATAAGTAAAATTCTGATTTTCTTAGAAACCAGTAATTTTTTCAAACATCTATTTTGTTTTAATAAAAATTCTGGGGAGGCTTTTTAAATTAATCTGGTTTTGGCATACTCAAAGATCGAGAGGGAATAGATATGTGTAATTAAAAAAATATATTTTTTTGATGATTTTAATGTATAACTGTTTCATATTCATATGGTTTCAAATTAAAAAGATTATTATAATAATATTAATAACCAATGGCGGACGATGACCCAATGACGCAGCAGGAATAATTAAAAGACGACGGGACTGAACCGTATGGAAAATTTCGAATTGCAAAGCAAACATTGTGTTCAATCGCTTACATGTGCCAAGAGAGAGTATTTGCTGAGGAAGTAGACAAACTAGAAGAAATTGGAGAGAGGCTGATAGAGGTATAAGAAGTGTATAGTATGAAAGGAAGGACTCTGTACGGATTTCAAGTCAGGTTTGACGATGAATGACTAATCGGAGAGAGAGAGAGCATTTGGACACAATAGGAAACCCAGAATAGAGCCTAAAGGGTATTGTGAGTTGTGGCTGGGAGCTTTGAACGATTTTACAATGAAAGTTTTATGCATAGCAGCCGTCGTCAGTATTATAGTTGATGTTTCAACTGCTGATGATAGTTACAGGAAATTGGCTTGGATTGAAGGTATTTAATAAATTAAATAAAATAGGATTTGCAATATTGGTAGCAGTGATTATATCTACAAATGCAAATGCCGTGAATGATTATCAAAAAGAACGACAATTTTAAAAATTGAATGAAGTAGCCGATGAGAGAAAGAGAGTGACAGTAGTTAGGAATGGAAAGAAATGTGATATTCATATGAGTGAAGTGTTGGTTGGAGATGTTGTACAAATATTCGAAGGAATGGAAATTCCTGCAGATGGTTTTGTACTGGAAGCATCAGATTTGACAGCTGATGAGAGTGCTATGACAGGAGAAACTGATCCAATCAAAAAAAATGTGTTGAGTGAATGTGTTAACAAGAGGAACTAATTAAAAGAAGAAGGAGGACAAGTAAATATTAATATCATTAAAATATTAGAACACAGCAGGTCATCATGATGTTCCATCTCCAATAATGATGAGTGGAACAAGAGTACTAAGTGGTGAAGGCAGGATGCTTATTCTTGTTGTAGGAGACTCATCTTGTGCTGGTAAGATTGCAGCATTATTGAGATAAGATGAACCAGAAGGTAAAAATAATTATAAGATTTAATAGCTACTCCTTTGTAAATGAAGTTAACTGCAATAGCTGAAGACATTGGTAAATTTGGATTGATATCAGCAATTTTGATTGTTTGTGTGATGTGTTTGAGATTTGGTATTGAGAGAGGAATGAATGATGATTGGGAGAATTATATGGTTGTTACTATCATTGGATATTTTATCATTGGAATCACAGTGGTCGTCGTTGCTATCCCTGAAGGATTGCCATTGGCTGTTACTCTATCATTGGCTTATTCAACCAAATAGATGCTTCAAGATTAGAATCTAGTCAGAAAGATGGCAGCATGTGAAACTATGGGAGGAGCCTCTATGATTTGTTCAGACAAAACAGGAACATTGACTCAAAATAAAATGTCACTTGTTAATGTGTGGAATGATGATATTATTGAAATAGATACCTATTCTGAAAAACAATAATTGACATCTTATTTCCCATAAAACTTTTCAGAGTTCTTTATTCAATGTGCAGTTGTCAATGGATCAGCAATGCTTAGACCTGAACCTAAAGGATCTAAGACAGAAATTGCATTACTAGAATTTATTGAAAGATGCTCAATGAATTACGAAGAACAAAGAGAGAAATATCCTGCTAGTACTAAATTCCCCTTCAGCAGTTAAAGAAAAAGAATGTCTATGGTATTAGAATTAGATGGAGGCAGACGTAGATTGGTCTGCAAAGGAGCATCAGAAATGGTATTGGCTGCATGCTCATAATATCATTCTAAGGGAAATGGATCTATTGTTCCTATGAATCAAGATTTGAAATAGAAAGTAGAAAAAGCAATTGAAACTATGGCTGGCAGAGCATTGAGAACTATTTGTTTAGCATACAGGGAAATTAGTGCAAGGGAAGATTTAACAACTAAGGATCCAAAAGGTGTATATGCTGTTGAATAAAGTGACTTAACCTTGGTTGCAGTCTTGGGAATCAAAGATATTCTTAGATAAGAAGTGCCAAGAGCTATTTAATTATGCAGAAGAGCAGGAATTAAAGTTAGAATGGTTACTGGAGATAATAAAATGACTGCTAGAGCTATTGCTAAAGAATGTGGTATCATTACACCAGGAGATGATTAATCTATTGTAATGGAAGGACCTGACTTTATAGCAAAGATTGGAGGTGTTGTCTGCACCAAATGTAGAACAGCTATCTGCCCTTGTGCAAGAGATAGTACTACAGCAAAGAAGGAAAATAAGGATGTTAGAGTTGATACAATTGCAAATCCTTAAGAGTTCGATAAAATCTATCCTCATTTAGATGTATTGGCTCGTAGTAGACCTGAAGATAAGTATGCTTTAGTGACAGGCTTGATTGAAAGAGGTCATGTAGTTGCTGTCACAGGTGATGGTACAAATGATGCTCCAGCTTTGAAAAAGGCAGATGTTGGATTTGCTATGGGTATTGCAGGAACTGAAGTTGCTAGAGAGGCTGCTGCTATTATTCTATTGGATGATAACTTTAATTCCATTGTTAAGGCTGTTATGTGGGGTAGAAATGTCTATGATAACATCAAAAAGTTTTTGAGATTCTAATTGACTGCTAACTTAGTTAGTGTGGGATTGACATTAATCGGAGCTGCTGTTTTGAGTCAGGAAGTGTTGAAACCTATTTAATTGTTGTGGGTTAACTTGATTATGGACACTCTAGGTTCTCTTGCCTTAGCCACAGAGCCACCTACTGAAAAATTACTGTATCGTAAACCACACGATAGAAATGAGTACATCATCTCTAAAAAGATGTTTAAATTCATTATCGGAACTGCTTTGATATAATTAGCCGTTGTTTTATTTATAGTGTTTGCTGGTGATTCCTTTTTGCCTGAATATGCTGATGACTATGATAACACTGCATTTAGAGGAATAAAGAAACGATACAAATATAGTGATCATTTATGCAAGACTACTTATGAAGATCTCAAGAAATACTCAGAAGAAAGTGGTAGACAGATGGTTTTGATTCCAGATGCCACTTAATCAAAAGAAGTTAAATAGGGTGGTACTTGTTTATCATCGGAATGTGTATGCCATGAAAATAAATGTTATGAAATCATGTGTGAGGAATGTGATTTTGAGACTAGTTGCACTATTGTAGCCAGTGGTAGATTGAATACTCCTGAAGGAAAGAGAGACTATGCTGTATTCTATGAAGACACTCATGAACCTTCTCGTCATGTATCAATTCATTCATTACCAATTAGTTTACTTATGTCTTTAATGTTTTCATCATGCTTCAATTATTCAATTTTCTCAATAGCAGAAGATTCAATGATGAAATCAACGTTTTTGAAGGAATAGCAAAACATGAGGCTTTCTTAACAATCGTACCTGTTATTTTCTGCATCTAAATCCTCATGGTTACATTTGGTTCCAAAGCTATCGGACTTTATGGTAATTTTGGACTCAAAATATAACAATGGTAATTCTGGAATATATGTGTAGGTTGATTGGTATTGGATTCGGATGTATATCAATTATAGGATGTTTCTTCCTCAAGTTCATAAAGGAAGACATGTGTTGTGAATGTGGAAGTAAAGAAATCAACCCAATGGAAACTGAACATAAGGTTATCGCATTAAAGGGAGATCATTCCTCAGGTGGCTTAGCAAGACGTTATTCATCTCTTGTAAACTAATTCACTTATATATTAGAGACACGATTAGAATCCTTTTGGTGCTCCTCATCAATAACATTAGCATTGAATTATTATAAATAATCATATATATTAACTAAATAAATGAAAATCAACAAGAGAGCCACTATGGAAAGTGAGTATGACTAAAAAGACATCGTTGTCATTGATAATGGTACTGATACTATCAAAGTGGGAATCTCAGGAGAGGATTATCCTAGAGTAATTATCACTCTATTATATTTATAGCTTATCTATGATAATAAATGCGGATCACACTCAGTTTAAAATGACAATGACAATCCAAACAATAAACCTTAACTCTTATTTGGTTAAGATTTAAAGAAAGTCATCAAAGAAAAAAAGTTGAATGTACAGTTATCAAATCCAATCAAAGATGGAGTACAAATTATCATTATTATATTTCCTTAGAAAATTGATAATGTGGAATCTATGAAAGAATTCTGGCAATATATTCTTGAGGACGGATTACAAATATCTGAATTGCAATAAGTCAATTTATTAATCATCGATCAAGTAAAGAATACCAAAGAGTACAAATCAAAACTTGCTGAAGTCTTTTTTGATTATCTCAAAGTCTAATCTGTTTTGTTCATGAATTCAGCAACTTTGTCATTATTTTCTACTGGATTAGTTAGGTAATTATTTGAATTACCCTTTTTTCAGTGGTCTGTCGATTGAATTAGGACATGCTGTTAATACTGTTGTTCCCATTTATTAAGGATTCCCAATTATGCACGCATTAGAATTTTCTCATATCTCTGGTGCTGAAATCACATAATGTTTGGAAAATGATTTGAAAACCTACGAAATATCACTTGATAAATTTTCAGAGGAAGAGAAACAATGGATTATCAAAGATATTAAAGAAACTATGTGCTACATTGCTGGTGATTATGAAATGCAAGTAATCAATGTCAATTATTAATTAAGATCAACTCCGAAGATAATTTTACAGAAGAAGAGCGAAGTTATGAATTACCAGATGAATAAGTCATTCATATTACTCCAAAGATTAGATACCACTCTTCAGAAGCCTTATTCAGTCCTGCTGTTTTAAATAAGTCTGGTTTTTCACTCCCTCAAATGATTGTTAATTCAATCCAGAGATGCGATAAGGAATTGAGGTAAGAATTGGTTTCTAACATGGTGCTTGGTGGAGGCACTTCTATGTTTCAAGGCCTGATATCAAGACTCCAAGATGATATTTGTTAAATCTATCCAGGAGGTGCTATGAGATCAGAATTTAACTTTGTTGCTGATTTTCAAAGGAAATATAGTGCTTGGATTGGTGGTTCCATGCTTGGATCACTCAAGACATTTTAATCTTTAGCTATCAACAAACAGGAGTATGAAGAGAACCCTGAAGGAAAAATGTCACTTATTCATAAGAGAACATTTTGAAACAAATTATATTAGTAATTATTTTTAATCAGATTTAATTTATTCAACAATTACTATAACATTTATTTTTTCATTATTTTTTAATAGGATATGTAAATTAATAGATTCAAAAAGCCTATTTTAAATATCTTTATTATTACTCGTCATTTGATAGACGAAGGCAATTAATTGCTTTTTTATAACTGTTCATTTAAACTAAAATTTAAGCTAATAAATTATAATAATAATTATAACCTTTTTTATCATAATGATCAAAATCTTCTAAATTATAGAAACCAAATTAATCCCAACATTATATTGCTTCTAAAAATCTTATATTTTAAATTAAATAAGAAGCTATTAATCATTAATTATGGTCAACCTTTGTAATTGAAAAAAATTGTATTGTTTTTATTTAATTTTGTTCCTTCGTCCCAACAGTCTAAGATTTCCGAAAATCTATCTTATTCAAATAAAGCGTTAGCTAATAAAATCATTAAATTAATGGATACCTTTCTCTCGATAAAAATATATATTGTTCTAATTAAATTTGATTCCTTTATTCCAACATTATATAATTTCATCAAACCTTTCTAATTACTCTAAAAGAGAAGCTTATGATAACAATATTATTGCACCTTTGTAGTCATAAAAATTAAGAATATTTTTATTATTTTAGATCCCAAAATCCCAGACCTCAAGTGCTTATTCTATCTGTCCTTATTCAATTAGAATTTTAGCTAAACTAAATTTTGCCAACTTACATTTTTCATTATAAAATAAAATATTTTCTTTATTATTTTCAATCCCCCAATCCCAACATTTTAAAACTTCACTGATTCTCTACAATTCAGCTAAGAATTATGCTTAAGATATCATAAGTGATTTACCTTTCGCAATATAAAAACAAATATTGTGTAAATTCTTCAATATTCCTTAATTTAATTTTTCTAATGCTTCTTCGATTCTATTCTACCTTTTTAATGCATTAGCTGCATAGTAAATTATAAATGATACCATGTTAACCCAAAAAATGTACATAAGATTAATGAATTTCTACTGCTTAAGCCCAACATTCTATAACTTAATCATATCTTTTCAGTTTTTTTAAAGCCCAAGCTTTCAATAATTTGATTTAGTTACCTTTATTGCTAAAAAATTCCATAGCCTATGAATTCTATGAAATGATTTTATCACAATAGATTATAATTTCCTCAAATCTATTTTACTTTTATAATGCCTTAACTATTCATAATCAAAATAAATAACTAATATAGCAATAAAAATTTGGATTTTCATAATTGATTTTGATTCCTTAATCCCAACATTCGATAATTTCATTTAATTTTCCATTCTTCTCTAAAGTCTTAGCTACAAATAATGAAATATCAATTAAACCCTTCTCGATGTAATATAATATATTATTTTAATTATTTACAATTCCTTAATCCCAGCAATCAATACTCTCTTATATTAATCCAATCTATTCTAAATATATAGCTAACTTTTAATTGATAAAATACATTTTATTCCATAGAAGTAAATATCAGTTTAATTCAACTAAATTGCTTAATTTAATAATTCAATAGCTTCTTTTTAAAGACCTTTATCTCTTAATTAAGAAACTATTAAATGTAATTTGTTCCATACACAGTTAATAAAAAAATATTCTAGGATCCTACTACATGTTTTTATATGTAATAAATAGGCAATTTTAATAATAGTTTAATTATATTTTAATAATATAAAATACAAGGAAAATTAAAAATTTTGTAATTTCTTATAATCAATATCCTTTTTTGATAGCAAATCAAAACTATATATTTGATAGAATTCAAAAGGTTTCTTTGGCTTGAGTCATAAATTTAGTTATAAAAATATTCTCATCCTATCCCAATTAAATTGCTAGACGTTAAATTTAGATTGCTTTCCTCTACATATTTAAGCCTTATAGTGAAATTCCTTTAAACATAATTGATATTCTTCTTACTCTTTTGATTAGTTATTTCTGAATTATTTGGATCAAGCTTAAGTGCTAAATCATAACAACACAGGGCTTTAAGATATTGATTTTATGTTTCTAAAGAAATACCTGAAAATAATGTAAATATTCTATTTACATTTCCATAAATAAATATGCACTAGATTTGGATTTAATTAAAGAATGATTTCGAAATGTTCCAAAGCCTCAACAGATCTTGATAATATTTATAATGAGATCCCTAAATAATTGAAATTATATACCTACATAATGATGAAGAATTACAAAATTAGGATGTTCTTTCAAAGCCTTTTAGCCAACATCTATCACTTCGTTATACTTTTTCTTTGAAATTAGAGTAAGACCTAACCTAAGTCAATTGAATACATCTCCAAACTTAAATCAGGGGGAATTATGGATTTAATTTAATTGCCTCATTAATAATAGATTCAGATTCATCAAATTAATGTAAAATATCTAGAGCTATACCTGAAATTACTGATTGACATTTGGTTTACCTTTAATACATAAAATGATAATATTTTCAGAATCATTTTTCAATTCTTGGTTACAATGCTCTATAACCTAAGCAAAAAATTAAGGATTTTCTTTTTCAATTTACTCAACAAATGCTATTAGCTTCTCGACTTGATTTAAATAGATTAAAGTTTAGCCTTATTAAACATTTGCAATCAAAATACATTTATAAAATTAAGCATAAGGAGTATTTTGTTTTTTTTGGACTAAATCAGAAAACAATTCATCTGCTTCAAACCATTTTTTTTAATTGAATAGATTAACTGCTAATTAAACTAGTCAATTAGATTTTGTAACAATACATTAATCTGTTTTTTATTAAATATTCTCTTTATGTAAGCACAAGTCTTAATCCATTATATAATGTTATAATAAAATATAATTAATTAATTCATTTAAATTTATGCTAGATGACCTTTTTTGGTATTTCTTTTAAACTTGAGATATTTCATTTATATTAATTACACATTCAAATAATTGAATTAGATTATCTAGAAGTAAGAATAATCTGGAAAATATGAAATTACTTATTTCAGGTATTCAAAGTATTTTTATTTAATTTAGAAAGACTAAATTAATATAAAGTAAACAATAGTTTAGATATTATCAAATAGTATATTCTATAAAGATAAAAAGATTAGTTACAAGTTGCATAGAGCTTGGAGAACTTTAATAGTTTAATAAATCAGAAAGCAACATTATTTAATTATGAATATTAAATGCTAAAATGCTCAGCAGGTTTATAATCTGCTTGAGTAACAAGATACTCAATTAAGCTTATAAGTTATATAATTATTTAATTATTTTTAATTTCAACAATAAGCTTTTACATATATATGTCTCAATTAGAACCATTTATTAAAATGTTGAATTTTAATTTGAATATTTTGAATGATTAGAATTACAATTTAATAACAACTAATAGAATAGAAATATTTGTTATGAAATTTTGAGATCCAACTTTTAGATACTTAATTGTATAAAAATAATTAAAGTTGCTTTCAAGTTGTTTATACTCACTAAGATTGGGTTTGTGAATTCATATAGAAAATTTAATGAGATGCATAAATTTTTTAAGTGGTTGCTAGAGGTTTTTGGATATCATATTTATTTTCAGATATCTATAACTGATATCGATCGAACTACTTTTAAAGAGGAATAAAGTATAGTAATTAGGTTAAGTTTCGATCTAACCTTATCAATACGGTGTGGACTTTGATATTTATTATTGATTTTAATTTTATAAACAACTAAATAAGATATATCGAATTTCATTAGAAATAAAATTAATTATTTAGAAACACATGCAAAATCTAAAATCATTCACCCCACGACAAGAAGTTAAACCAGTTAAGGTCAATATTACAACGTAAATCACATAACAATAAACACTATAGTGAGTAATTCCAAGCCTTAACAAAAATGTATAATTTGGGTAAATTGTAAACAAAAAATGCTGAGCGTGAACTAATTTAATAACATTTGCAATAATAGCAATTAATATAAACCAGTACTCAAAGAAACAATACACCATAATCTTGCAAGAGCGCCTAAGAAGTATGAATACATGCTATATAATTTTAAGATGAAATATTTCCTATATTAAAAAAATAATGGAAAGGAATAATAAGTCAAAATCTAGAACAACTCATAGGTTTAGCAGAAACCAAAAAATAGTTTACATCGCAATTTCTCTTAAATAGAGAAGTCTGGATCTCCAATTCTGCCTTCGAAAATGTAACCCTTGGTAACTTCATAACAAAAAGTTAAAAAATATAATCCTTTATCTATCGATTAAAGATTTACATCAAATTAATAATTTGTCTAATAAATAACATCTTAAATAAATAAAAAAGAGGATCCACCAAAAAAAGATAATTTAAAAGTTAGTCTAGACGACTTTGTAACTTAAATTAATAAACCAGCCAAGAGTTTGATTTCTCCCTTCAAATAAACTAAATCTTTATCCCCTTCCAATAGGATTCAGTCATCTAAACAAAAAAGTAATACTTATGTATGTAATCATATTAGAATATATATACTATGTGACATCTATAATAGAAACATTTAAACATTAATATTCACAAACCATTGAATAATAATTGTATAAGGACCATGCTATGTAAACGTTTAATTGCATTGGATTTTGTTTGAATTTGCAAGATCCAGATCCTTAAATCTTAAGATAAAAATAATTAGATATACCTCTAAAATAAAATTGCAAGTGTATGATAATAATAGTAATAATAGATAAGAAGACTGTGGTGTTTGATTTGGATGAAACATTGATACATTGCAATGAGAACTAATCTCTAAAGGCTGATGTTTATATCCCCATAAAATTCCCTTCTGGAGATGTAGTTTCTGCAGGAATCAATGTTCGTCCTTTTGCCAAATGGATATTAACAGAACTCAGTAAGTTATGTGAAGTGATTGTATTTACTGCCTCCCATCAATGTTATGCAAGTTAGGTGATTGCTCATTTAGACCCCAAAAATTAATTCCTTTCAGCTTAGGTTTTTAGAGATGGATGTGTGTTATCAACTGAAGGAGTGCATGTTAAGGATTTGAGGATATTTAAAAGAGATTTAAAAGATATTGTGTTGGTAGATAATGCTGCCTATTCTTTTGGTATGCATTTGGAAAATGGAATCCCTATAATTCCATATTATGATAATTAGGAAGACAAAGAACTAAAATTTTTATATGATTTCTTGATTGAACAAGTGTTACCAGCTCCAGATTGCAGATTGGTCCTTTAATCGACTTTCAAATTGAGAGAATTTTAGAAATATAGAGATCCAAAGACAGCCATAGAGAAACTATTTTGATTGAACTTGTAATTAATGTGTTTATACTAAATGGCTTAATTTAAATAATATTGAAATTACACTTCAAAAGTATTATTTTGAATATCTATATATTTTATTTTTATTTTATTAGAAATCTATTTATCTTATAATATTCTGAATTACAGATTTATTAGTAATTATTTTGAACTAATAGCCAAGGTTACTAATTTAGATGTGTTTTATATAATGGCAAATATTTCATAAATTTTAACGAGCATATTATTAATAAATATACATTATATTCTTTTGAACACATGAAATCTGAAATTTCACTATTATTTATTATTATCAAAATGTAATCTCAAATTAACAAAACCTAGATCCTAGCCAAAGTGAAGAAATGCCATAAGAACATTTCCAAACTTAATGAAAAGTTGTATATTTTTGAAACGTTTAATAACAAATCAAATTTCAACATTGAAAAAAATTCAGATGAGATCAAATCAAAGGCAATTAAACACTCAGTAGTCATTATCAATGATGAAACAAGCGTGGAATTGATTATGAATACAGAGGATCCCCAATAAGATCAGGTTTTAGATATAAAATAGACTGCACGCAAATTAATATCACGATTTTATTATCACATCAAATAAAAGATGAAACAAGGTTCCATCAATCAAATTGAAGCATTAAAGTAATTTTGCGACAAAGAGGGCAAGAACGATCTCTATTTGAAGCTTCATTAAGGATTTCTAAAATTGTATTTTGAAAAAGATTCAACATGTAAGGAATGTCATTAAGTCGTAAAAACCTAGTCAAATTGTCTTAATCATATCAGAAAGGAACATCTGGCTGATTTAGAAATTTATATTTGCATAAAATGTAAGTTGTCATTTTCTAAAGGAGATGTATTGGAAAAGCATATTTAACAACAACATTATTAATAGTAGAATGTGGTCTAGAGTCACAAAGAGACTAAAGTGAATGTCTAATAAATGCAAAGCAAACAATAAAGTAATGGAAATTGCATACAACATAGGTTTAATCAGAAATTAGATTTAAATAAAATTGTTTAAAATATCTAGCCCCAACCAATTCTTAAGAAAATATTAGTGCCCTAATAAAATAATAACAGTTTAAGATCCTCGTCAGACGAAGCCAAAAAGTGCATGCCTGTATTTAATCAGGTGTATATCCCTGTAGAATTCTAGGCAGGAAATGCAGAGGAGAACCATGAAGATAAGTAAGATCTTAATTCCAATACTATCAAAAAGCCATCCAAACTTAAAATTAAATTCATATAAGTATAAAAAAATGATAAAACATAAATTAATTGAAATAATTATTTATACCAAAATGATTAAAGGAGTATTAACTAAGTCTCATGGAATTGTTATAATAACAATGACAGGTCTATTCACTTAAGCAAATTGGACATATAAAACTCTTTAATAGTCTTCATAGAAGCCAAATGATTTCTAAAAGGATTTTCTCCAATATCAAATGGCTCACTTTATAAATTATGTACTATTTCTAATTAATAAGTCTATAAGTGGATTTTTTTTCCCCATTACAACCAGTGTATTGCTGTCAGGATTATTAGTTTTGAGACAATACAACTATTATATCGATTATGAATAGGAGAAATAAAAATACTTTAAATATGCCCAGATATCATTGATTGGGATCATAAGTCTCTTAGGTTTGAGTGTACCAGGTAGATATATTTTATTGAATAAACATCGTTGATAAATTCTGAATTAGTTTTTAGAGTATATTTAATTTTCATAATTAAGAATTAGACAGTTTATATATAAATAGTTTATTTATTAAATAACATATTTAGAAAGATCTGCAATGAATAAGGACGATATCATTGGAAAAAGGGATGTAAAAGAAACCTACAATTATGATATTTTGGCAGATGATAGAGTTTCTTTGTTTTCTTCGATAAGAGAATCAAAGAAGGAAAATTAGAAGACTTTAATTTTAAGTACTTAACCTACCATATATTGCTGTCTGAGTATATGTAGTTTTTTGATTGCCCTATCAAATTTGCCAGAGGAGGATAGAATTTATTTTTTTTATGATGATCCTTTATCATACAATGTAGGATTAGTAGTAAATTATTAAATTAAATAAGAGGTTTGCATGTGTTTTCTTTGTATATTGGGCATAGTAATCTCAGATATTATTAAGAAATCATTTACAAATAAACAAATAGGAACTTTGCCGTTTTTGACAAAGAAATAACACAAAATGAATTTTAATGCCACTATCTGTCTAGCAGGACAAATAGCTCATTTACTTTTACTTATTGAAATAATTCTATAGGCTATGCCAACTTAGTTATTTTAACATGAAACTTTAGTTGATTTATCATTTTTACTAAATGTGGTTTATTTTGCTTATGCCAATAGTTTTTTAGAGAAGAAGAAGGCTGCTCAGATGCATTATATACCATTTTTCATTTATATTTGTGTCACTCTTGCATGTAATAATAGATATAATTTAGAGTGCTATGTTAAAACAACTCGATGAAATTACAATATACTCATATTTGGAAGGTGTAGACAGAGAGAGTTATTTTAACATATATGGGGATTATGTTGCAAGGAATATAATTTTAGTTGTTTAGACCAGCTATAAAGGAGATGGAGAGAAATCAAAATATCTTGGCAGAAGTTCTTTGATTGCTTTATTAAATATAAAATCAATCTTGGAAAGGTTGAATGTCTTATTATTTTTTTTATGGTTGTTTTTTTTATGGTTATTGTTATTATTATTATTATTGTTATTATTATTATTATTATTATGGTTTTATCTTTTGCATCAACGAGCGCATGAAGTTTTTTTGAGGGGAGGGTGGTTCTGGAGTAGCAATATATTATTGCCTGTAATTTGGAGACACGGGGATTTGTTTTATTATCAGGGGACTTTGGCATTCAAAATTCTTGGGTATTTGTAAAGGTTGAGCATTCGATATGGATTTTACAATATCTCTGAATTCATTCAAGAATTTCTCATTATAATACTCAACAATTCTAGTGAATACTTGCTTTTGTTATGAGTAATATTTAGTGTAAAGCTATGATAAATATTATATTCTTACTTTATTGTAAGAGTTAAAGGAGGGACTTTGTTTTTGATGTTTTTAAATGACATAGAATGTGCAAATGATCACAGTGTCAAAAATCACATCCTTCAATACTGATAATTTAGGATTCTTCATAAAATCACAGATTGCAGAATAAGCGAAGTCATGAATATCTAATTCCAAGATGTTGCAAAGTTCCTTCACTCTCAAGGCTAAATGGTTTTAAAATCTCCTCACCAATTCAGAATCAAAATATTTTGGGGAATCTATATAATATTATATTCAATACTCTCTTTGAAGATTTCAACCAGTTTTTCAGCATCTGTTTGCCACATCAAATTGAAGAGGATATGTTTCTCTAATTCAAAGAGTTATGAAGTTATTGTGGAGGGCATTTATCTATGAAAATGAGCAAAGTTAGCTATCACTCTAAATAAATCTAAGGGACTTATCTCAAAGACTGTGCATAATTATTTCATGTTTTGCAATAAGTTAGGTTTTTAGGCTACAATTTAATAGGTATACAGAGATAAACCTAAAATAGCAAATTGGAATCTATAATTTTTAAGTAATTTCAAATCAAATTAACCTTCATTCTATTTCATTAATGAATCTATGACAGCAAGACACAATGTTAATATAGTTTATACTTGTTCAGTTTATTTTTAAGATTTGGATGCTTCTGTGACCTCAAAGTATTTATTAATGTTAATTGTTGCCTGGTTATAAAACCCTTATTCGTCGTCGTCATCTTCAAAGCATTTATAAGTTTGCATAGTGATTTTCTTGATCCATTAATGTAATTCCATGCATTTACTTATAGGAGTTTGAGGATTAGCATTTTTCTTGATATCAAAATATGTTTTTTCTTGAGTGTTGGAGAATTTGTTATCTTTCAATGGTGTTTACATAAAAGGAGGATCACTTTTGATTTTGGTCTTCTTTTACCATGTTTCAAAGTCTTAATAGTCAGCTTGCTTGTTGATGTCTTTCTTAGGTGTAAATACAATCCTCTATCTCAAAAAACATTCTTCATCCAAATCAGAATGCTTTCTAGTCTTTTCGTAATATTTGTGTAATCTTCTATAGGTTTAATCAATTGTATTTTCTTCAAACAATACTGAAAGTTGGGTTTCTTGAGTATCTTATTGCATATCTAATACTTTAGTTTTGTGTTGCATCATATTCACAATTTGATTGATGCATTTAAAGCACAAATCCTAATAATATTTTAATTCCTCATCGATTTCTTTTTAATCATTGCAAAAAAAGGACAGCATTTTTTGTGAAATATCTGAAACATTTTATGTAAATGTATTTGGAATATTTTAAAATACAATCGATAAAGATCCCACTAAAATTAAAATGACTTTAGTATTTGGATCACAAATAATAAGTTAATTTTTATCTAACTGCTCCTCATATTGTAAAATATTCTATCGAACTATTATGCAGAGAATCCAAGCTACTTTTTTTAAGTCAGATATATAGGGATCGCAATCATCCTCCTTTTTGAATTATGGAGTTTAACTTGGATTCTGTACAGGCCTATTATAATATAAAAATTATCAATACTGGATGAGACTAAAGCATTTGTCAAACTTTTTGTACAACCTAAAGCTGAAATTAGCCTATCTCACTACATTATCAAATTCAGTTGAATGATACTTCAGAAGCGCAGGAAGATCTTACAAAACCATTAAGAACTACTCAATATCAGTTTAGGGATCCAAGTTGCGGATGATCTACAATTTTATGAATAACATACTTAGGTAAGTGTAATCCCATTGCCTTGTTTTGTTTATCCATCAATTTATTGAATTTGGCAACTTTGACTGCATAAATAAACTACAGCTGGAACATAAATCTATATATCCTCTAATCAAATATACTTTTTCATCCTACTCTGAAAATTATTGCATAGCTTATTTAACCTTATCTAAAGTTTCTTGATCCAAATTTAGTTAATTAGAAAATTCTTCTATATACATTCTTCCCGGGTAATTTTATTATATTTATAAACTATTAATGAATATATTTTGAAAAATTGAAATTTGTGTATGAGCACAAAATTATTACTCATCATCTAACTAATGTTTATTATTAGACCATTCTCATTGCGAATAATCTCACTTAAGTAATATTATTTCAAATTAATCATAACTCCAGTAATTTGATAAGAATGATTTAATTTTCTTTAAGATATTATACTTTTTACCAAACTTCCCACTAAGAAAACTTATGTAAGTTTAAAGAATTTGAAATGCCTTATATTAAGCATTAATTATAAGTTCATATTAATTACTTGGATTTAATAATCAAAATAAAATCATTCATTCCTCACATCATTTATTAATACAAAAGAAATTGATCTCATATAGTAAATCAAAGAATAAAAATTTATAATTTATTTGCACACTTTAAAGGGATGAAATTTACATAAAAAGCTTGAAGTAACTAATTTACTCTCGCAAACTAGATCGAATATATACATTATAATTGTTTATTAATTAATAAAAAATTATATATAAGAATACTTTTACTACGTATAAGAGAATGATAATTAATCAGTTGGTTTTTAAATTAAAGTTAAAAATGAACCAAATCCTATGATTTATCATAGAATTTAATTGTTTTTACTCAAAAACTTTATAGGAACATGTTAATTTTGTAAAAATTTGATTAAATATTTATTTTGAAGATTTCAAAGTAGATAATACAGTTCAGATTAAACAATAATATTCATATAATGGAATAACAAATATATGAGATTATCATTCATTTAATTATGGTATTATTCGTCCACGACTTTGCTTAGGAAGATCTTCATCACTAAAATCAATTTTTCTCATTTCTTCCAAAGGATTTTCTTCTGAGAACTAATGCAATTAGTTTAAGAATGCTAATGGATCGTCATCTTCTAAATTATCATCTTTAGTATTTTCATTAGATGATTTTAATGCATCAATAACTTCCTTTTTATCCTTTAAATTAGCATTAATTCTTGTGACTAAGTTTCCTGGATCATTTTGGCAAGCTAGTTCATTATCTTCATCAGTCTCTTAATTTGATTGAATTTTCAAATTAAGCTATTCTGCAACTATTTTAGCAGTACATTTTCTTTGATGGCTTTCTAATCTATCTATAACACCCTTCCATTTGCAGCCATAAATTTTGTTTGAACAATAAACATCCAATTCACTTATGATTCCAGCAGCAATACGGTCGACTATGAAAAATTATTTTGACCAAAATTACTTTGAAAGTGCTTTCGCTTTGCATCTTATCTACATTCAGGACATGTCTAATGATCAGTTAACCATTAAGAAATGCATAATTTACAAAATGTATGGCTTCATTAAAATATATTATTACCCACATCGTAATCTTGTTGGTTCATCAAATACTGCAGAACAAATAATACACTTTAGATATTTGGAAATCAAATTTTCATTTACAAAATTTCGCTCCAATTTTGTGCTTTACATTATATTGATTATATTTATTTAAATATATTTTTCTATTTTATAAATACTAATTACATCTATTCATTTATAGTATTGAAAACATGAAGAGTAAGTGAAATTAGCCTATGAATTTGTAATTTTTTACTATCTCAAGATTACAATTAAAATATTTAGTGATTTACATAAAATAGATTACAAATAGAAAACACATATTTTATGCAAGCACTCAAAATATGAGAGGAATACAGTATTCATACTTTGTTAATAATTAAACTAAATATATATATATACTATTTGGAATTAAATTTTTATTTATAATTGAAATAAATTTTAATATGTCTGAAATTGAGCAGTTAACTTAATAGAAGTAAGAGATTGAGAAAAGTCAATCAATTTTAAATTAATGGGTTTAATTAAAGAAAAATCTGTCTTCTAAATTCAAAAATCCAGCAGAAGCTTTTAAATCTTTATGCAAAGAAGGGAAGGATGTGTTGGCCATTGAAGATTTTGGGGATTATGCAAAAGGATTAGATTTGTAAGATAATTGAACTATATTAAATAGAACCTAAGTATTTAAAGACATTACATTAAATGAAGAAAACTTTTCTAAGGCTTGGGAATAATGGGAATACAAATAAAAATAGAATGATCATAAATTACAAATCATTAATGAGAAACTACAGCTGTTGACAATGTTGGATAATGGAGAGATGCCTAAGGAAGCTTCACGAGGATTAGATGCAGCACCAAACAAAAGAGTATAACAAATAGAAACATTAGAAAAATTACGAGAGAAATTGGATAATCTAGTCAATGAAGGACAAAAATAGAAAGAAAAATAAGATGTAGTTTAAAATGAATAAGACTGTTTTGCACAATTTTTAGCCAAGAAATCTGAAGTCAAATCACCAGAATTGCAAGTTTCTAAACTTCAATAAAAAAATAACGAAGAAGAATAAAATAGTAATCCTTCTAAAGTTAAACGAAGTTACATTGATTCTACTCCTGCATATTCTAGAAATAAGGCTACTTTCGGAAGTAGTGGTAATTTACTTCAAAGTAGTCTCTAAAATAAGGGTTCGTTAGGAAATAGTCAAATATCCGTTAAATCTTCCTTTATTGTTGAATCTTAGATTTAGATATCTCCCCAGAAGGCAGCTCAAAATTTAAGAAATTATGTTCCTAATCCTCAATAATAACTAAGGTCTCCCTATGAAGAAAGGTAAGTGTAAGAAGAAAGAAAGTCCCAAAAGGCAAACAGAATGAAAGGAGATCTTCAATCCTATATATCTGAACTGTTTTAAAATGAAAGAGAATCAAAATAGTAAATAAGAACATTTGAAAAACCAACTTCCCAAGGCTTAGCTGGGTTTTTTACATCTAAGAGATTATATTAGAATGCATCAAATAAATAATCATTTGCGGATACAGATTCCCATAATGTATCAAATAGAGTGCAAACAATTAGGTATTGTTGAATAAAATGATAGATATAAATTAGATGATTTTTAATCTTAAAAGTTAGCATAATATAGTTATGTTCCAAGAACAGTACCAGATTGGACTCCTGATAGACCAGTGAGATTGTCAAATCCGAAACAAAAATAAAATAGTGGGAAATAGATAAGTCCAAAATATACTCCTGGAAATACTCATAGATTAAATCTTAATTATTTGAAACAAGAGAAGGAGACACATGAACAAAAATAGGAAGAATAGCCACAAGCAAATTGCTGATTTATTATATATTAATAATATAAATAAATGATGAATTCTAAATTGTTGATGTTACACATTTTATAAATAGTTCATAGATTAAATATATAGCTTATCAAGTAAGCCAACCAAGTTTTATTTTACTATTTCATCTTCAATTTCTATTTCTCTTTCTACACATAATTATTATAGAGGAAATCTGTTAACCGAATCAATTCCAAACAATAATGACCAATTAGAGATTTATGTAAGATTGCCAAATCTGAATGTTGTGGATTAAAAATATCGCAAATCCCCCAAGGAAATTTTCTATTTTGAATAATGCAATCATTACCTTCCATAAATAAGATGATTTCCAACTTGAAATTGTTCCACCGAACTTATAATTACATAAGGAGGAGTAGGTCCAAATTGACTCTTCTCATTGAAATTATTATTGCATTAACATTTAAACAAATCGATATGATAATCATTTATCAAATCATTAAACTGCTATTTAAGCTAGATAATCTCATTTTTAGTATAAGAATCTCCCTTGGCTAAAATGGGAATAACATTCACTAATCCACTTATTTTCTTTAGAGCCTATAAATCCTCAGTTTAAATTCTAGGACCAGAGAAAAAGTAAAAACATACATGCACTCTTTCATCCAAGTCTTATTATGATAATTACTAAAATTTCTCTTTGCTCTCATACTATTGATTTTATCTTTGCTAATAAGAATTAAATTAACTCCGAATGTGTCCACATAATAATTTAAGCCAAGATCTTAGACTATATTGATGTCTAAACCCAGGAGTGTCAATAAATTTGATATTTAAAGTTAAATCATTAGCAGTTATTTGACCTTTGTTTTTTGAATGAATGAATACCTGATATTTCCTATATTTGAAGAGTAGAATCTCTTAAAATTTAGCCCGTTCCAAACTTTTTTTTAAGTATAACATCAATAAAAGTGGATTTCCCTAACCCTGATTAGCCAACAACCATAATGTTCAAATAGATCTAGATTTAAGTGATTACTAATACAGGTTTGTGATCTCTTTGCTTTTTTTATTCAATTAAGGCTTAAATTTCAGATCCTGGATATGAATCTCCCAAGGATTCTACTATTTGAGATTCATACTCTGACTTTTCTATGTCTTGTTGAATTATAGGCAAGGGTTATTTAAGGGAAGATGATTTACTAGATGAAGCAGCATATTTTACTTTTCTTAATATTCTGATGTTTCACTAGCTTATTCATCAAATTTATGATCACTTTACTTGATTGTACCTGTTGGCCCATTGATGATTGAGAAATCCTCTGTTCTTTATGAATTATCTAATTAAATTTGCTTTAAATTTCATACAAGAAGTCTCAAGTTTAGTTCTTTTGAAATCTTGCATTATAAATTATATTTATTAAAGCAAAAATCAGCCAGAGATAGTTTTATTTTTATAATTTCTAGATATTTGTTAATGAATAGGATAAAAGAAAATGAGGAGAAAAAAAGAATTATATATTGTTCACAAATAGGTTTAATAATGTGAATATAATTTATTTGTTTAATGATTATTAAGTCTAAAGCTACAGTAACAAAGATCAAGTTGCCATAATTGGCTATGAGTCACATTCGTGAACGATCTACTCGACATTCATAGACAAGATCCTTGAATCCCTCTCAATCTCCAATGTCTAAAATTTTATAGCCAACAACTCCTTTGCATTCAACTCATCATAAGAACTCTTCTTATTATCATTATTCCAGCATAATGAAAATAGAATAAACCCCTCTCAACGAAGTCGAAATGTTTAACTGTTTATATAAACCACTCGATGCTGCCAAGACAACTAAGAATAAAGAAAGTCCGCTTAAGCGTGTCCGCAATAGTAGTAATGAGAACTTTTAGAATAATTTTATGATATCTCGAGATCCTCGCAGAAGTGCACCTGATTTAGATATGTATCCAAACTACTTGAAAAAGCCTCAGTAATAAAATCAAACTAGAAGAATTGAAATAAGAGAGAAGATCATGGAAATATATCAATAAGTTGAGAAATTGCTCAAAAATCATAAAGGATATGTAAGATAGGTAGAGAAGAAGCAAGCTGTAATTACTTTGGTAAAGTTGAGAAAAGAATTTCTACTTTTAAATTAGGATTATAATGATTATTATATTTTACCAAAAGCAGAGCCTGATCTTGAATTTAAGAATAGGATGGAAATGCTCATAAATTTGTTCTAGCCAAATAAATTACAAAAGAGCAATCGAATAAATCTATTATTTAATTGTGATGATTCATTTAATACAGCTGAACAAAGTTAGATAATGCAATTGTTGTCTGATTAATTTAGTGACTAGGATTAATATAATACAACATCTCAGTAATCTAGTGAAAACTTGTCAGAAGTATCTGGAACTATTAGTCAATCAAAAAGAAATGCTTAGCAACATAGAACTACAAAAGTAGTAGTGCAAAGATAATCTAAGTTAATTAATCCAATTGAGTCATAATAAATTTAATAAAATCAAGTTGATTCTTAAAAACAGAAACGCAAAAGTATTAAATAAGATTTAAAGGATTCTAAAACTTAAATACCTCGAAAATATACTAAATTAAGTATTGAAGATATCATGGATACAAAAGAAAAGAATGCTAATATAAACTATTTAGATGAAGAATAGGAACCAAGTGAAAGTGGTACAGGTGATAAAGAGACAGATACAAAGAGAAGAATTAGAAGAGAGACAAAAATGATAAGTAGAAAGAATGCCATTTTTGCAGCTAACGGTTAATAAATTGATAAGAAAAATTATAGAATTGATACTGATGGATAGGTGGTCAGTGATTAAATGTCTGATTAGGATAAATCTAGTGATAATAGAAGGTAATCTGAAGAAACAAATCGAAATGGGTTGGAAAATAGAGAAGATTTATTGTCCAATTAAGAATAGATTGATGAGATCTTAAATCAAGTTGAAAATGATTTAATTACTTATTAGAGAGTGGATGAAAATGATAATAAAAGAAAGAGAAGTAAGGCTATGGAATTCAATATAGATAGTAATCAGCAAGGTTAAAGTAAGTTTTAGAAATCATAAACTAAATATGACCAAAATATTATCATTAAATAAAGTTAAATATACAAAACTGAACCAGAGTTTTTGAATTAAATAATTGATGAAACTGGTTTGATTGAAGCATTGTGCAATTGCTAATACATCTATGATTCTCGAATTTTGGATTTATATAGAATAGACAAATAATATACTACATGGGATGATGATATAGATTATATTTACTGTGGAGAATATTAATTCAAATGATATATTATATATATAATGTTTATTAATGATCATTATTATAATTTTTCCTGCGCTTTTTACAATAAATCAAAGAAATTGATTGAGGAACTTCCTGTTGGTAGATTGAGAAAGCCCATAGCTGTAAAAGCTTGAAGATGTAATTTAAATCCATCTATATCATCATAATTAGAAAATGTTGGACATAAAAATACTAGGTGTTTGCTTATTAGCAAATTGAATCCCATTTTCAGAGCAGCAGCTAAATATTAATAATAGGTAATACTATGATCATAATCCAAAATGATTGACAATATCTTCATTATGATATCCATCACAGATTCTGCTGTTAGAAGCTAAGGAGGGAATGCAAAGTAATGTTGGATATCCAAAGACTTAACTACATTATTATTATTAATCAAATTTTACGTTTAAATATTTCCCTTTGAACTTCGTAACATTAGCTTCTCTGATCAAGAATGAATTCCTCAATTGGCATTAATTGTTTATAATTAACTTGTACTTTCTTCTCATTTAGGAACTTAAACAGTTTTTTATTGGCTTTATTTAATTCAGCATGTTATCTTAAAATAATGGAGTAGTGTCCATTTGATAATGGCAAAAATGACTCTAAATCTTAAGGAAGTATATTCAAAACAACTAATGCATCACATTTATTAATGATTTTTGCGACTATTTCACAATCTTAGATGGTAATTGCTTTAAATATATCTAATTAGTGCTCATATAATCCTTCACAATTCAATTATGCGCTGCTTTTCTTATATGAATTTATTCTTCCTCTTTTAATACAACTATAATCATCAATATGATTATCAAACGGTTTGCATAGCAACATTTAACCATCCATCAATGGAAATGGATGCAAAATGAGGGCGTATTCATTTCTAAACTTGTGAACAAACAATTCAGAGACATCAATTTTATCAGGCTTTTCCTAATTACTATTTAGGATAGTTTCAATATCTTCTTGTAAATCCACAATTGGTCCACCTCCAATAGATTAGACTTAATCTAATTCTTGTTGTTCAATAGTAGGATTGATCTATTCTTGTTATTAATCAGCATCTTATGGAACAGTCTATTAAGGGTCTTCAACCTAATCATTTTTTATGACATCCAATTCACCCTCTTCATTCGGTTATTCAACAATTGGTTGAGTTTGAATGGTTGCCTTTGGAGATGAGTTGGTATCATTTAATTCATTAGTGTCTCTTCTGATATCAGGTGAGATCATGCCTGAATATGATTAGATAATATATTACTATTCTTATGAGATTGTTCCCTCTCTCTCTGTTATGCCAATTCCTGTAGTTGTTATTAGAGTTATTCTTATTCCAAAGTCAGGAATCTGGCTGTTTCACTAAACCATAAGATTTGTTTGATTACTAATTTACCATCCTCTTTGACTTCAACATCTACATAATTAGATTCTTGAATAGCTTCCTTGTTTTCTTCGAAATGGTGAGATTCTTATAATTTTTTGATTGGTCTCAATCTATCATCGAACTTATAGAGAAACTAGAATAAAAGAGAGGAATCACCTTCATTCCATTTCTAAAACTAGATGAGTAGATACTGTCATTTGACAAGTTTCGTTTTACATCTGTTCGTATTAGGTTATTAAGTGAATCATACCAAGTCTTCAATTTTTCCTTGACTCCGCTTTTAAATGACTATTTGAATACACCATCTGTAGGCTGAACAATATTATTAGAATAGATGATGAGCATCTGTTATTCTATTTTCTCCATCAAAGTTCTTCTTGCCCCTCTGCAATTTTAACTTTTGATCCAATTCTTGTTTGGCTATTTTCTTATTGACATCTGGAGTGATGGGACCTTGTCTTAACTTGGGATCAGAGAAACCGAATCTACTCTCTGCCAATGCAATAAATGCCTAGATGATTTGCATGGTTGTACATTTCTATCTCCAATTAGACAACCATCCATCGTATATATGATGGGATTGCTCTTTTATTTAAATCCATAGATTCTGCAGATCTCATCAGCATATTATTCCCATTAAGTTAGATCTTTCAATACAATCTTGAATGAAATTTCTGGGTAGTATTGTCTAATCAGATTGGCCATGTTCTCACACTATTATGTTAACATCAAGATAGAGTACTTCGGCTGTATCGACTTTATCGGAACTGCCTGCTATTATATACGAACTCATTTTAATTAATTATCTTTATTTGTATTGTACTATAATTAATGAATCTAAATCAACGATTGGTTTTGGCAACTTTCTCTAATTCGTCTCTCTTTTTAATAGTGTATGACTTTTATCCGTCTTCATTGGATGCTGCAATCAATTCATCAGCTAAGGCTTCAGCGATTGTTTTCATCTTCTTAAATACAGAATCTCTAACACCTTTGGCCAAATTGTGAACAGCCTTTCATTATGATTGATATCCTTACCTCATTAACTCTTCTAATTGGAGCAACATCAACTGCTTATTATTTGGCAACACCACCAGTTCCTACTTTTGTGAAATCTTCTCTTGCTCCACCTCTTTAGACTGCAAGTGATAACACTGCAAGTGGATTCTTGCCTGTCAACAAATGAACAATTTCAAATGCATGTCTGATTATTGCCACAGCCTTTACTTTCTTACCTGTATTTCTGCCATGAAACATAAGTGCACCAGCCAATCTTTCAACAATTGGACATTGAAGCCTTTCTAAACTTCTTTCTTTGATATCTATAAACAATAATTATTCAATCTCTTTACCTTCCAGCAGTGTGAGGGACAAACACTCGTGATTTTGATGTTTGAACTGCAATATAATCTTTGAAGCATTAATCTGTTACTTGAACTTCATCGTAATCCCATTTTCCGAATAATTTAGGTTGATTTGCAAATTTGACTGTAGCTACAGATTCTTATTCAGCCATAATATTTTTTTTAAAAAGGATATTTTATTTATTTAAAATTTGATATATTTTGCATGATTAAACAATCATTCAAAACTAAAGTGGCTTTAATGTTATCATACATTGGCACCAATTATCATGGACTACAATATCAATAAATGTATCCCACAGTGGAATCCACACTCTATGATGCACTTATTAAAACAGTAATTTTGAATAATATCAAGGAATTTAGTGTCTGAATTAAATGCAGATAGCATTAAGAAGATAGGAGTAAGTAGAGGAGCAAGGACAGATCGAGGAGTGCATGCATTATGTAATGTAGTCTCCTTGAAATTGCAAATTGATCAAAAATATTGCTCATCTATGACCAATAATAAATTAGTTGATAAGTGGAATATCGATTGGGATCTATTGATTCAAGAATTGAATTCATAATTGCCATCTGATATTAAAGTTAATGCAATCAAACATGTAACCCAATCTTTTAATGTAAAACACTAAGCAGATTAAAGAATGTACAATTACATATCACCCTCATTTTCAACTGTGGACTATGTTTAGAATATATGCAATTAGTACTTAGGAACACATAACTTCCACAATTACACCTCCAAAAAAGAATACAATGATCCTTCATCAAAAAGATTTATACAGGATTTCAGGGTTCAAAATCTCAATTTTCACAACGAGAACTATCTTAAGTTCACCATTCTTGGAAATAGTTTCATGTACCATTAAATCAGAAAAATCATAGGAACTATTTATTAAATCGTGTAGGAGAAAAAAGACCTATCCTTCATTCAGGATACTTTCTCACAACAGTAGCACTCTCTATATATTGCTCCATAATAAGGTTTGTACTTAAGGGAAATCAAATTTACAGGATATAACATGAAGAAAGATATCCCATAGAAATTGGAGACAGATTTCAAACAATAGAAATTAATTGATGCATTTGAAGACCAACTAATCTAATATATATGTGAGCAGTACGAATCCTATAACATTTTTGAGGAATGGTATAAAGAGATATAAAAACATAAACAATGATGAAATATAATTATTTATATAATCATAATGGATTAACATCATTCTAAATCTTTTGGAGCTCTCAACTAGTTGAACTGCTAGCTTTTTAAACCAAAACCTCTACCTTTCAGACTTCAAATAGGTAAATTATCTCATTAAATTCAAAGGTTCTATACCGACTGAAACGCCGCGAGTCCTCAAATAAGCTCTAGTCACTCCTTCAACAAATGATAATGATTCAAAGTATCTCTTTTCATAACTTAGTCATTCCCCCTCTCCATAATTGCGAGCCTTCAAATCCTACAGAGTCTCCACTGAAATGTTAAATGGATCTCCAATTGATTAGATTTAGTTAATTATTCGAGAAAACGAGAACCTGAAAAAATCCTTGAACCAGAAACAGAAGATTATTGACACGTTGACTCGATCGTAGAAATCAAAAACTCGCTTTGATTTCAATGACTTGAAAAAGAATTCAAGGTCGCACATTTAACCTCAAAGTCAATAAGAAGCCATCAAACCTAAGTTAGTAGAAGTTAAGTAATCCGTCTCTCAAAATTACAATAAACGCACTAAGTTACCAAAAATTGAAGACTCAATCTAAAAAGAGGATGATGACTGTAACTTCACTTTCGCTAAGAATTTTTTCAATAACAATGTTACTTGTCAAAATCATAAGATTAATTTTAAATAAGTGTTTGCCTAATCTCATTTGAAGAAGAAATTTTTCACTTGATAATTAATTTCTATATAATAATTTAAATGAAAGACAATTATGATCATATCACAACCTCTTAAGCTATATTTGATGTGGTTAAAAGAGGGAATTACGTTGAGGAAACTCGTGTCCAATACGAAATCAAATGTATTGGAACTGAAATAGAAACAGCTCAAATGTAAAATATTCATATTAATCTCAAAGGGGAAAAGACACGGTTAAGTATAAGTTCACAATAACCAAAATTGATTTGTTAACAGATACCAAAAAGTCTCATGAATTTGTCAGGAGGTATTCTGATAATAATCAACAACTTATAGATATACACATTTCTTATGGTTATAAAATGAATTGCAAAATAAATAAATAGGCAGGGTGATTCCCAGTCTCCCTGAGAAATAGACAGTTTATGATAAAGATAAAAGGTACTATCTCATATAATAATATAGAAAATTAGAATTTGTGTACTTTATGTAAAAAATATTGAGTCATAAAAAACTATAATAAATTGATTGTCTAGAACGGTTTTTTAGTGAGGAATTAAGAGTACTGATTTATGTAATATTAGGATTATGATGTGTTTCAACACTATATTGAGAATATGAAGGAGTCTCAATCAATGATTAATATATTTATTACAACTGGAATATCCTTTATGAATATGTTCTCTAAAGTCTGTAATTATAACTCTGTCTAAATAATAAATAGAATACCTGATGAAAATGACAAATAATTTGAAGAATGTAAATATTATGATAATTTATCTTAAGATAGGAAAGAATTAGAGTAAAATAGGTCTAATACTGAAATAATAAGTTCTGATATCTGTAAAATAGTTTAGAAATTGCAGATATAAGCGAGATCTTTATCGAATAGTTTTGACATATTCAGTAAATTATACAAATAGAATTAGTGAATGAGTGTTAGGGAGTTGAAGAATTTGCAACACTTAAAACGATCATAAAAATTTATGAAAGTTACGAAATTAAGTTAAGATAGAAGTATGTTTACAGAATGGAAGCAAGTATTAAGGATTATGATCAAGCAATAAAATTAATCAATCTATATAAGGAATTAAAAGATTAAATCAACAAAGACACTCAATTGATTGGCAATCAATATTACAGATCACAGGTAGACGAACTGAAAATGCAAATCAATAATAACAAATAGAAAGTAGAGCAGCTGTAGATCAACTTTTTAGATGATATAGATCTCTTTAAATAACAGTAAAGTTGGTGTTTGATGGATGTATAGAAAAAGTTTTATGTCGATTTGCAGGAGTGTTACGACTCTATTAAATCATAGAAAACTGCACATCATTTGTGAAACCTATATAAATAATAATAATATTTTGGTATCTGAAAAATAAATTATAAATTAATTAACTTATTGATATATATTTCGAATATATGTCCATAAAGAATTTGGAAGACTATTAACAAGAAGAAGAGTAGGAAGACAATGAAGAGGCAGAAGTCATTGAAGATAACGGTTTTAGAGAATTATATGAGAACTAAGGTATGTATTTGATTCTTCTATGAAATCAGAATAATTCATGAGATAAATCAATTAACTTAATCATTAAGGTGTTCTCAAAATTAAGCTATAAAAATATTAGGAAGCTATGAAATTACTTTAATAATCAGAATAAATGTTGGAAGTAAAAGAAGTAGATTGTATAATAGTATGCAACAAGTTGTGGCAAATAAATTGATAAGAATCTGATTATTGTCATACTCTATAATCAGGCATGCAGTTATCAATGGTAACTCTATAAATAATATATCAATAAAGTTAATGGATATTAGACAAAAGTTCAAAATATTTGACTGGAGTTATATACAATCTGGATGAGAGCATGAAAGATGAGGATGTAAATAACAATATTGAGACAAATGAAGAGGAAAGTGATGCCACTTAAGTTAAGAAAAAGTCATTTCTCGCTAGAGCTTCATTGTAACACACAGCAATATTGAGTTAATTGGGAAAGTAAGACTAAATTCAATTATTAGACACAAATAGGCGTTATAATCAGCTAGAAAGGCTGCGGAAACTATGAGAGAAGTATTTAAAATAGCCTCACAATTTTGCAATGATTGGGTAAATAAAAATGGATCATTGGAATCATCAGCAACTACTCATTCATTTATGAACTATAAATCTAAACAAAAAAATGCTAAATATTAAATGAAAGATGAGGTCGAATTTAGTCGATTAGTAATTAATTCAGGAAATGATACATTGTTAGATATGTTGAGATATTAGGATTTAGACAATATGTCCAATAATGAACAATTGATTTTAAGAGAGGCTAAGAAATAGTTGTATTATTGGAAGAACAATCCAACAAACAATGAAAAACACATTCGACAAGAACTGAAGATAAACAACAAACCAGATGATTATCGATCAATCTTGGGAGTCCAAAATGTTGAAGAGTGGATACAATCATTTAATGTTAGTTTCATAATGCACATGACTCCATTAATTCATAGTGAATTTGCATAGCAGGGAGAAATGTTATATGAGATTTCCAAAAGAATGTTATTGGAAAAGATCATTTAATTATCAATCTCATACTTCACTATTGCAACTGAATTAAGATTTATAGAATTAGAAAAAGCAAAACAATAGGGAACTAAAGACTTCAATACTGAAGAATTTAAATTAAGTGAATTATATCATCTCAAAGCTATTGAAATTGCATGTAAACATATAGCTTGTTCTTCTCAATATATTAATCATCTCATTACCACTTATCATAAACATTACAATTCAAATTTAGATACTATCTAAGAAGAGTCAATCACCACCATAGTCTCAGAGTTCAACTACAAGGAGTAAAAGTTGCAGTAACTTAAATAAATGCAAATGTAAACTTAAAGAGAAAACCAACTACTCTTGTAGAAGATCACTGAAAAAAAACTCAATGATTCATCTCCTACTGGAAGATTAGTGAATTCTCTTTAGGGTTAGATATCTCCCCTCAAAAATAGTAGAAATATTAGTGATAACATTAAGACCCAAGCCAATTTCCTTGATTAGATGATTCGTAACAAAAGAAGATAACAGATGCCTTCTGATATATCTCCAAAATAAAAGTTTTAATTTTTGAATTTATCTACTAACAATAGTTGCGAAAAAGTCAATGAGAAGGTGTTGAAAATGAAGGATACTCTAACAATATAATTATAACCTTATAAATCAGCAAAAGCAACGTTCAATCATATCATCAAATATATACCTTTTGGTTAATAGAACAATAATGGGTTAGTAAAGTCCTTCCTACTTGAAAGCTGTAGAGTTCAAAGGCAAAATTTTGTATCCAATTGTTCTCCAAAAAGAGGAGGAAGATCTCCTAGATAATCTCCAGATAAGTCTTATGTGAATTACAAAACTAGGACTTCAATTCCCTAAAACAAATAGAATATTCCTAATTTGGAAATAGAATCATGTATTGATAACTTTATATTCTAGAATTTCCAATTAAGTTAGAGACTTTAAAATAGTCATTAATAGGGAAATCATTTTAAAATAAAAAAAGAAAATGAATACAACTTATCATTCTTTTAGTGTTTTTTGTTTATAATTATTTATATATAAATTTAAGCAGTAATTGTCACATCAGTTAAAAGACTTTCGTACTCTTATTGAATCTATCATCAGCCAATTCTAAAGTGCTTCCCATATAGGATTACTAATGGATCAATTGTTGCTACTATTAACTATTGCTTCTTATAGTGTTTAATAGATTAATCACTCGATTCTAATATTGATTGATATTGTTATTTCTATGGGATTTATCATTTGAGTTTAATGGCAATAGTGAGTTCTCTGATTTAGTCTACTTCTAAGCTATAATCTATTCTAAAATAGTTGAATATTTCATCATTCTCTAATTTAAGTTTAATTCCTTTTTAACTAATATATCCTCCTTTTAAGCCAATTAATTCTCTTTATCTTTCAACTTCCTTTCTTTTTATATTAACTATACTTAAGTATTATGATACAAGATACTTGTGTTTCTTTTTGCAATAATTACTATTCCCATTAATTAAAAAAGTCTGTATTCTTGGTATTATCCAAAGGCTAAGATTTTTTGTTAATTAAGGATGGTTTAAGCAAATTCTCGACTTAATTCATAACTGAAAAAATTAATAATTAATCATCAAAATTTAAATTAATAGGATGTAGCTGTTGTCTAAAATACAGAATTTTTTATCTTCGGGGATTCAGTGTGTGTTCTAAAAGTATTGAATTACGTCTTTTTATTCATCCTTTTTAATTCCTATTACCTCTTATTCATAAAACTCTTATATTTCATCAAATATTACCTATTACATTTAAGAAATGTTCATCGCTGAGATTTCAGCTGAACCACTTGTATTTAGATGTTTAGAAACGTACATTTTAAGATCCTATTGGAAGTTAGATTAATCTTTAGCTTCTTCGTTGCTTATTGTGTATGCTTTTACTTGTTCATCATGCTCATTAGCATTTTTAATCTCGAACAAGTAATTATTTTTGTTGAAATTTGAAGCCTCTGAAATTAAAACCTCTTATTAACTGAAGGTTCTTCTTAAGGATGGTGATAGTTTAGGAATGTCTTGATAATCAATACAAATGTTATTAGATTGTTTCTAGTCTTACTCTTACTTATTATCATGCTTTTTATTCAGATGCTTGAATAATTCATCTGAATACTTCTCTTTTTGTTTTAATTCTAAATTGCAGATAGGTTGAAAACATTTTAATTGTTCAATCATAGTTGAATTTCTCTTTTTTAAAAGAGGTAGAATTTCAAAAAATCTTTATCCTTTATATTTAACATATGATTTTAGGTCGTCTCTATTTTTCTTATGCAAAGCTCTAATACTTTTAATTGCCTCAGTCTTATTTTAAGTTCGATGCATATCATTTAGTTCTTATAGATATTAATTCATGTATTCTATTTTATCTTAATAATCAAATTATTATTCCTTTGTTTTAAAATGTTTATCCAATTAATTTTCATACTGCTAATCTATTTTTATGTCCTCTACGTTGCTTTTCCAATTATGATGTACTGGAATTTTAATTTTACTTGCACCAATGTTTATTTTTTTTGAATTGACTTTTTCACTCTTCTAATCAACTGGTTCCTCTGGCAAACCATATCGTATAATTCTTTTTTGACTGAATGATCTACACTATTTTATATCCGCATAGTTTTCTTTTAGATATACATATGCAACTACTTTTTTCATTCTACTCTCTTATCCATCTTCTGTACCCATCTCAGGACATGAATTAAAAAAAGGAACCTCATTATCATTTTAAATACTTATATATTATTGCTTTTTTTGTGTTCATTGATACTTCTCTTTATTTATTTGTTTTTAGGTTTCATTATAAAATTAATAAAATATATCAATAATTATTTTAAATTAAATCATTAAGACTAATTCTCCGTTTAATTAATTCTTGCTAACTAAAATTATGTAGTTTACAATCTCCTTCTTGTTATCTCATAAGAACTAATTCATCAATTCTATAGACTCTGAATCCATTTTGGAATAAATAGATAAAATTGATAGATTAGACAATAAGAACCTACTTTTAATACAAAGAGTTCGATAACATTAGGCTCAAAACCAATGAGCAAATAATTTAATAAAAATAACTGATTACTTAGATTTTTTGTTCTATATTTATTTAAATAAAGAGAATAGGCAATTGATTATTAGTAATCGAATTGTGTTTTCTGAAATAAACAATTAAAGTGTTCCAATGTAATTTAATTTTTGAAACTAGAATAATTATGGCGATCTAAAATCAGATTTTCATATAAATTTATATATAAGTAAAAATGTAAGACCCATCTGATTTAATTTACCAAGTTGAAAACGAGCCAAGCATTTAACTCATTAAATCAATCAAGATTCAAAAGAATAAAAGGTTAGTGATGAAATTTTCATCTGATTCTTAAAATGTAGAAAGTGATTAAAGTGTCGATAACTCTCAATATTACAGAAAACAATTCTTAGAGAGCTATTCTATGTTCACAACCAAGAATTCAATACCAGGCAAATTTAAAAGTTTGAATTAACCAAGCTATTCTGAAACTTATAAAGCAAAACTTGCATCAATACGAAAGATTAAATCATTTAGACTTGATGATGAAATATATAGTTAAGATGAAGAAGAAAGTTTGCCAAAAGAATTGATGAAAGTCGATTTTCAGTTTAGATAAGATGCTATTATTAATGTTTAAAAAATCCTTAACTAAAAGAAATGAGATTACTATGGATTTTTTCACTTAATTACTCTTAAAACTAATACATATAATTTTTCGATTTTAATTCTTATATTATTTTGAATATATAGTTTTTAATAAAATTCATTATTTTATTGAATCTATTTAGTCTTGAAAGTCTGCCGAGCCAATTTATTAATCTGGAAACTAACATAGTTAATTAGCACTTGACTTAAGCACTAATACGAATTTAAGTAGATCGGATTCATAAAATGTTATTTAAATCCTATAGCGAATTTATCACATCTGTTAATGGATTTACTCAAGAGAGTGCCAAAGTAGTTTGAACCACCTAAATTTGCAATATTGTAGCATTCTGCAATTAAAGCTGTGCAACATTTTGATTTTAGTTCTCTCTAATAAGATTTCTCATTTATTTTTTAATAAAAGTACTCCAAATAAGACAATATTCGAATGGACTTCAATTTTAGATAATTTATCATAAGCATCTGTTATTTTAGTAACTAAATGCTTCTTAATTAAAAACAACTCTAATCTCATCTATAAATAACCAATTACAAATCAATAATGATGTTTAATTATTTCTGATCTTATTATCTGAAAATTTTGTTGTTTTGAATTCTTTATTCTATGAATATCATTAAATATTTGATGTTGCATAGATGTAGAAATATTTATAATAATAGTATTTCTAAGTTTATCAATAGTGCATATATATTAAAACAAGTCAAAATGTAGAGTAATTCATTTTTGTTTTAGACTTCTCTTAAAATTCTAGATCATTTATTTCTTTTATAATTATTAGAAAAAGGCTTTGAAGATCTAAAGTTCTCTGTGTTCATCAGCAATTTGAATATTCTTTCTTTCTGCATGTTATTCTAATGCATTGTAAGCTTTCATCAAAAGTTTACGTTAATAGAAGATTTTAGCTAATTGATCCAAATCATCATCTATTCTAGATATTTACTTTATAATTGTTTCTGATTTTCTATTTGGAATAGCAAAATCATTCGGTAAGGTTGGTTTAAAATGTTAGACTGATGGACGATTTACAATTATTGGTACTCTCTCTTATTTAACTGATTTTGTAAATAATTCAGTTTAGTATTGATGAACATCATCTTATTCATTTAGAATTTGTTTTTAAAGTTAAAGATTTCTTTAAAAGGCTTTATACTATGAATCCTCTGTAATTGGCTTTTATTGAGTCTAAATAAAATATCAATTGATTATACGAGGTAATCAGCTATTGGCACATTTAAAAAATTAAGAGTTTTCTCTCTTAATACACTTCTATGATTTAATCGATTGGCAGACGACATTAAATTAACAGATAATATTATAAATTTTATCTGTTATAAAGTTTATTTCTTAAATATACATAAGATTATCAAAATGGTTGCTGATTTACTCCCTCTGGTTAATCCTATTGAGGATTTGGTTGAGGGGATCTAATAGCGAAATTATTTACTTGATTATTTATTGATCTTGAGAAGGTCAAACTTGTTTTTAAAATCACTGCGATCAGTATTCTTTTTTGTAAGATTTTAAGGTATGGTTAATCAATTGGTTGTACTTATTCAATCTATTGAATAATAATCCAAAAAGTACAAAAAATACGTATCTATAGATAGATTATAAATACTTAGATTACTTTAGTTTTCATAAAATAAATAAGTTGAAGCATAGTTATAGGATTATTGCTAACTACTTTAAGTCATTTTTAGTTCATCTCTCCTAGATACCATCTATAATTAAACTGTATTTTCAAATAGCAAATAAATTCATTTTAATATTAGCTAAGGCATAACGCAATAAAGATAAAATCTAAATTAGAATGTTTGTTATTTCAAGGGACCATTAAATAAATTATATAGATACTATAATTTCAATCAGTTATATGCTATAATACTGTGTTTGAAGGGCATAGATTCTTCTGTTCTACTTATTGAGGATATTTAAAGTCCTGGTGCACATTAATTATTAGATTGATGAGATAATGAAAAATATTTTATAACTTATTGATTATCAATTCAATGTTTCCATAACTTATATAAAGATATTCAGTGTAAATTAATAGCCAAAAATTATATCCCCTATAAAAAATCATTCTTCAATTGTATTAGATTTTAGTCTAATAAATTTTTACCTACCCAAATATCTTAATCATTTACCAGTGTCATAATTCTGTGATTTATAATTGTTATTACTATAAATTAATTTATCATTTATATGAATTATATTTTATAAATTCTTCTATAGATGTATCTTATTATTATAATTATGAAATGATTACAATGGACAGAAATGAAAATAGATTTTTATAAGGCAAATAGTAATCCAATTAATCAATTCCAACAAATTCTTCACATGCATAACTAAATAGACTAAACTTGATCGTTTGAAGTTTACGATTGTTAGGAAATAAAATATTAAAATGAAGTATAAAGAGAGAAACAGCATATAATAATTTTATTTATTTTCTATAAATTGAATCATATTTCTAGTTTTTGAATGTAACTCTTAATTCCATCGTTGAATCTGCTTGTGAAAATTTCGATGCATTCGTTGATGATTCCAAGCTCAGTGTTTCTAATGATAAATGTGGATTCTATACTTTTATTATCTCATATTTTAGTGACCTTTCAATTCATCGTCACAAGTCTTTTACCAATCAGCCTTTTCTTAGTTCTTAACATCTAACAATTATCCTTTAGATTCAATATCATTCTTTAATTCTAATAAATTTTATCTCAATTTTTCAGCATCTGCATTCAAATCAGCCAAACTTGTTTCAAGAGTCTTACTTTCTAATTCATATCTTTCTTTTTATAAGAGATAAAGTTCTTCCTTAGCTTTTTCTCCTTTATGTCCAACCTTTTATAAATGTTCCAAAGACTTTAAATATTGAATAGATTGGTTACTTCAATTAATTCATCAATAATTTATACGACTTTAGAAACGTTTTCATCTCCTGATGCTGCTACTAACATCTTAACAAGTCCATTATAAGGTGTTTACTTATTGTGTAAGGATTCTAAATGTTTATGTAATTTAGACTTGACATCAGCAACTTAGATGAAATTACTATTGAGTTATGAAACGATGGATTTAGCTTTCTTCAATCCTTGGATAAATTCAACAGATTCTGTTTATTTAGCTTCAAATGCTTTCTATAGTAATTTATTGTAAATAATTTACTTTATCTTCTTCTCTTGCCTTATCCAAAGCAGATAGTCTGTCTTTGATTTTTTAGTCTTATCCTACTTTATCTTTATGTTATTAATTTTTGGCAATCAATTCTTCTTGTCTGAGAGGGAATAATTGTTCATCTGATGCCTTTTTGGCTGAAGCAGAATCAATAACGCCTTAAATTTCATCAAAACGAAGATTGCAGAGTTCTTGTTAATGTCTCAAATTCTAAGTATTTTCTTCTAAGTCACTTTATGCATTAGTTTACATGGATTTCAATTGATGAACGATTCCATCGATATTTGAGCTATGCAATTATTATTACATGGTATATACTCTTCACTTGATAGGGAGATTTGCATTGTAGCTATGATTGTTTTTCCAAATTCATATTGGGATAATTCAGAAAGTAATTCATAGTCATTTGCTGTGACTAACAAAGCAAGACATACTAAGACTATAAACTTCATATTTTTAATAATATAAAAAACGATAATTTGTGATAAGATTAAAAAAAGAAAAAAAATTGAAAAAATATTTGTGCTTGATTAAGAAGAAACCTAAATAATTCATTCCTTTCAAACTTAGATGTTTGAGAAATCAGCACTTTGGACAACAGATAAAGCTTATTCACTGATTCCAAGTTCTCTTGTGAATTCATTCTTTAAGTTGGTGTAGGTATCGGTTTCTTCAGCATAGGTGTTATTCTCTAATTCAAGTTCAGCAGTGTATTATTTTCTGTCTGCATCTCTTTAATCTCTGAATTCAGACAATTAGTCGATCTTTTCTATAAATTATCAAAATTGACTCATACCATTGGTGGCTGTCAAATCAACATTGACTCTATTGATTTATCTTTAGAATTCAGCATATTCCTCATCCAATTATTCAAGGTATTCCTCGTGATCAGCTTAAGCTTAAGCTTCAGCAGCTGTTTAAGCATTAATTGAATCAACAATAGCATTTCTAAATTCATTAAGAGCATTAACGATTTAACCTATGACTCCTTGATCAGAGAAGTTTTAGTTTGAAGCTAATGAAATAAGGGCCTTAATCATAGGAGCCATCTTGGATCTTGACTTGATCTTTTATTCGATGTTCTTCAAGGAGTTTTAGAATCTCTTGACTTACAACAATGATGGGTTGGTGAGTGTCTAAAGAAGAGCAAGAGCATCATCGACTGCAGCAGTTGCATCATTTAATTCAGCAATTTAGAGTTCGAAATCATCATGTTCTTATTCTCTTACAAGAATTGCTTCATCATAATTCTTTCTGTTGCCCTCTTAGTTTTCTTAGATTTATTCAATTCTAACTTAGAGTTACTCTCTTCTTGGGAATAGTAAATTATCTAATGTGTCTTGTGTGTTATTGACGTCTAGTTTAATAAATGGATATTATTACCAATGACAGCGTCTTGGATGTCTTATTCAAGACTAACCACTAATGAATTGTGTTCGTTGGTTCTGACTTAGAAATTGAATTCTAATTCTTCCAATTCTTCTTCAAGATCGTTGATAAGCTCTTCAATAGCATCAATCAACTCTTAGACTGGTCCTCCTGCCATAGAGTGGAGTTCGACTAAGTGGAGTAATGCACTTCCGTATGTACTCTTCTTGAGGTCTGTAGTGATTTTTGCAAGATTTCTCTCTTGCACTCTAGCTGTGAAAGCTATTGCAATCAAGGCTATCAGCAATATTGATTTCATAAGAAAATTATTGCAAATAATCAATACGAAAAACACATAGTTAAACAACAAAAACGACTAGTTTCATTAATTTAATAATCAAATTAAAAACGCTATTCATTTCTTGATAATAATATAAATATTGTCGTTTTACAAATAAATCACACCATCATCACAGTATCAAATACATGGAACAAATTCTACTCTTTATGTTAATCCTAAATTTTTCAATTTCAAAATCTTCATTCATAATTAACTTTGATAATTATTTTCTACTTTAATTAATTCAAAATCTAAAATTAGTATAAAATTATGTTCTAATCTCTAGATCTTAATTTCAACTAAATTCTTTTTGTAGAATCGAAATGAGTTGCTTCACAGAATCGAAAATAGATTTACTTAATTAAGCTTGAGACTAGAACAATTAAACCTAATAACATATTTGTTATTTTAAGAGAAAATCCTCTTTTTCTTTAATGCCGTATATTTAGTTATGAAAATTTTTCCAACTGATTGCTTATAGTATGCTGTTATGATTTTACGATCAATTGTTAAGTTATGTAGTTCATAATTGGTTTAGATAAAGGTTATTTACTATTGAAATTTGTAGAATTGATGATTTTATTTATAATTATTAAATGAGCAAAAGTTTTGAAAACATAATTAATGTCTAACCTAAAAGAATAGTTTCACTTGATGAAATAACATAATAGGAAATGCTGGGTAAAGGATAGTTTGGAGTTGTTTATAGAATACTATATTAAGGTTAGACTTACGCAATGAAACAAATTGTTAAATAAACACTAATTAGGCATGGTAAAATAAATTCAGCTGTTCTAGAACTCAAGATCATGTACTAATTGGATCATGAAAATATTATGAAACTCATAACTCATTTTGAGGATGAAAATAATGTTTACTTAATCTTAGAATATATTGATGGATCTAATTTATATGACATTTTAAAAAGAGACACTCGTCTTTAAGAAACCTATGCCATACATTATTATAGACAAATAGTTTCGACACTTATTTACTTACATTCTAGACCTACACCTATTTTACATAGAGATATCAAACCTGAAAACATTTTAATAACAAAAAATAATGCAATCAAATTGGCAGATTTCGGTTCTGCAAATTCATTAGCGAAAGATGAATTAAGATTTACATTCGAAGGTACATATCTTTTCATGGCACCTGAAATATATTTGAATAAAGGTTACACTTAATGTGTTGATATATGGAGTCTAGGTGTATTGTTATTTGAAATATTGGCTGGTCATTCTCCTTTTTTGAATAAGGAAGAGGAGAATTCTTTAATGACACATGAGAAATAAACTGTAATTAGAGAAAATGTCTTAAATGTTCGGATACGATTCCCAGACACATTTCCACCATTGGCTAGAGATTTAGTGAGAAAAATATTGAGATTAGAACCACAAGACAGATTGAGATTGGAGGAAGTTCTCAAACATCCATGGCTTTAGAATGCTGAGGTTCTAGAGTAATTACCAATAGTAACTAAAAATCCATTAGAGAATCTCGTCTCATAATAAATATCTAAATTTTCAGAATCTAGAAAAAATAACAATAATCATCTGTTAAAAATAAGTGAACTTAAAAAAAGCATCAATGAAACCTAGATCTAAATAATGAAAGGAGAGTTAGAGAAACAATAATTGAGTGAAAAATTAAAGGAATTATAAGAAGTGAATGATGATTAAACTTAGTCTCCTAATTTAGTAAGTCCAGAGAAGATTGTAAAAATAGAGGAAAAATACAATAGGTTGAAAAAGGAAATCAATCAATTATAAAAAGAAATAATTTAGAATGAAATGTTTATTAATAAAAATGAGATGTAATAATCAAAACTTAATCATTATAAATCCAAAATTGAAAAATAAAAAGAAATAATTGAGAAATTGGAAAGAGAACTAATTTAATTAGATTAAAAGAAGAAACTAGAATAAATCAATTAAGATAGAGAATTACAAGAATTCACTAAATTAAATAACAATCGAAATATAGAACAATCAACATCGAATAATTCTTAATACACCTCTTTATTGAGGGTAACAATTGAGAGATTCAAGGAATTTATGAATTTCTACAGGAATATCAAATAGGAACCTGAAACAGATTATGAATCATAAGAAGATTAATAATGGAAAAAAGAATATTATGCAATTAAAAAATCTTTATAAGAGGAATTTAAATAAGAATAAAATCTACTAATGAAATTGGAAAATGAAAATCAATAACTCAAAATTAAACTGGGACAAATAGAAGCATAAGAATAACAAGTGTAAAAGGCTGAACAAATTGTTACCAATTTAAAATATGGATGCGATCTAAAATAAAATAGAATTGATGAACTAAAAAAAATACAATAAGATTTGGAAAATAAGATCGATTGTTTAAATAGATTTATTGAATATAATAAAAGTTCATAATGATAATCAATCTGTTTTTGGTACAACTTATTTTTTAGGAATGTCTTTCTATTTCTTTAATTCTGTATATTATTATTTCAATTTCTTTTATCCATATGGGTCAAAGAAAACAAAGCTTATTGTAACAAAACTCACTGTTAAAAACCCAACTAACAGAACAGCTCCTAAAGGTGTTTTGAGTAAAATAAATAATAATTAAAATGAGAATTCAGGCCATTCAGCTTTTTTTTGAGGTGGTTTTACTTCTTCAATGTCAATCTCATGGCCAAATCCTTCCCTTATTTTTAAAATGCTTTATTTCTCCTTTATTTCTTCTTCAATGTTTTTTAATTTTTCTTCTTTTTACTTTTTAATCTCTTCATTAGTTTTAGGAGTGTTTAGTTATATCCATCTTTCCTGAAACTTCTCCTTATCCTCAAAATCTGTTTCTTTCAAAGTACCTTTAAATAAAAATAGAGCAGCAACTGTTGCTTAATCTTAACTTGCGCTAAATCCAACTACTAATTCATTTCTGTTATTTAAAGCTCCAATACATGGTTTTCCTTAATAATAGACAGCCCCTCCGTCAATTATAATTTCTATATATTCTGTATGTGCTGTGAACGGTCCTACTAATTGTGAAATATCTATATTTTATAGAATCATCTTCTTGCCCAATAATATATTAAACACTCTGGAATTGCTTTCTTCGTAGTGTAACTAAACATCTTAGATCAAATACCTCGGCGAATTTCAACACAAGAACATATGTTTAGTTTTCAGGAACTTCATTACCTATAGGAATGGTATAAGCAAAGCTTTAACCCTGCCTTTGGGTAATGTAAAGAGATTGGTCATCTGTAAATCGTATCTTTCTATTTTCAACACTTTCATAATAGTCTACAAATTCTGATGTTCCAATATGATGATGATCCTAGAATATGATGCAATAAATTACACTCTTGTATTTAATACCAGCAGATGTACGAGTCTCCAAATAACTTCCACAATCAATTGCGTGTATAACTTTGCGAGGGACTATTAGCTTATTAATGGTAATCTGCAAAAGGAAAAACAATATAATCATATAAATTTTTATAATTAATTTATTTATCCAATTTTAAGCACTTCTTTATTGGGTGCTCTTAAGGCTTCTTTTGCAAAGTCTTTGAAAATTACTTCAACAAAATTAGATTTATAAATCGCATTAAATTTCTTAATTAACTACTCTGCAGTCTTCTTACTCAATTCACTAAAATAATCTTTTACTGTCATCATCAATTAGATAACCAGGAAATCATCATTATTATATAGAGCCAATTTAAATGCTGCATCTATTTAAGAATCCTCTACTAAATCCAATACTTTGTCATAATAATCTTCTGTAAAATCTTGTGTTTCCTCTATTTTTTCATCAACAAACAATTAGGTATCTTATAATTAAGGATTGATGTTTTCTGATATTTCTTCATTTTGGTCTTAATCAGATTATATTTCTTCGATTTATTCTTGGTTTTATAATTCTTATTGTTTTTATTCTTATTAAATAAATTGATCAATTAGGGAATCTTGGATTTTTTATTCTGTTACCTTTTCTTAAATTTTCTCCAATTATTACTTAACTTAACTTATTTGCATTTTCTTATATTTCTCTGCATTCAAAACCAAATGTCCATCCCCTCTTTTCTTTTTGATGAACGGTTTCACATCAGGAAAATAACTAGATGTTGTTACCTAAGGTGGATTTCTAGCAATATATAGATTTTAATATGACTATAATGCTAATTTTGCTGATTATTAAACAGATACTACTCTATCGAAAGTTGCTTCCCTTAAGATAGTTACACATTATAACTAAAATAAGATCTGAAATAATTACTAATAAATTGTCATCATAGATTTGATACTCAGCTAATGCTAACATAAATTTGCACAATGTTTATTTCACTTAATATGTATGTTTCTATTCTTAAAGTGCGGCTAAACTTCTTTAAAGTATTTATACTAAATTTGAATCCTAACTTGTAGTTATCTTAATCATTATTTCAACCATTGATTAATGGACTATTAGCTAATTTTTTATATATGCTGATTATATCTATTTCTTTGAATTAGGTGTAACTTCAAATTACAATAAATAATGCAATGAAATTGTAGAGCCGATCTAATGAATCAAATTATCAATTTTACTTAAATAGGCTATGAAGATAGTTTTAAAGCTAAATTACAGAGTATATCACTCAAAGAACCAATAGTTGTAGAATTAGCTAATAATCTGTAACATTCTCCGCACAATTAATAAATCACTTCTGTTCCTTCATTAAATGCCTTATTAATAATGGCAGCTGCTCTAAGTGATGAATTCAAATCGTATTTCTAAACTTGCACTGATATTTTTAATGCCCTTAGATTAACTTCATTCACTCTTTATGTCTCTAATACCTACAACACAATTTTTTAGTGTTAATCACTTTTATTTGCAACAAGCAATCTATTGAATTCTATCAAACATTATTATTTTTTTGGTGGATTTAAGGCTTCTGCCAATAGAAATTAAATTCTTTCTTTGAATTCATTTAAATTATTCATTTATCTTAATTCTAAACAACTCTGAAATTAAACATGAACAAGAAATCCATTTTAATACAATACAATATTATTCATCATCATCACCAACTCCCATTAAACTCATTAATTATTACAGAAAATTTAGATTATATATAAAAACCAATTGAAAATTTGATTAAATATTTTTTTAAGTATTTAATTGGATATGTCAACACCAAGTGTGAAATCAAAACTTGTTTAAACTTTTGGAAGAAAGAAGAATGCAGTTGCCAGTGCTAGCGTTAGAGAAGGAAAAGGTATAATTAAACAATAAATGACAAGGCATTGTCAAAGTTAATGGTGCTCCTATTGAATTAGTCAACCCTGCCCCATTGAGATAAAAAGCTCTTGAGCCACTCTTGTTGTTAGGCTAAGTCAGAACAGGCAGAATCGATATCAGAGTCACTGTTAGAGGTGGTGGTACAACTGCTTAGATCTATGCCATTAGATAGGTAGCACTTTATAATTAATGACAAAGGCAATCAGCAAGGGTATTGTAGCATACTATCAAAAATACATTGATGAAACATAAAAGAGAGAAATCAAGGATCTTCTTTTACAATATGACAGAACTCTTTTGGTTGCTGATCCAAGAAGATGTGAACCACGTAAATATGGTGGTAAGGGTGCTCGTGCCAGAAGATAAAAGAGTTATAGATGACTTAAAATAAAATCAATTTATATAAATGTACATTAAGCAAACAATTCTAATTAAATGAGCTAACCCACTCACTTCGATCTAGATAACATTCAAATTTAACAAATATTAAATGAAATTTCTGAAAAATTTATAAATAATTAAAATTACTTCCCAATAGATTTCAGGACATTATAGACCAATTCAATTAAGATTATTAATTTTTCATCTACATTTGTGATTTATATATGGATAATAAATTAAATAATATTATAAAGTTTAATTCTTTGAATAATGAAATTTGACATTATTTTACTATTTATTGTTCTTCTAACAATTAATGTACATTGCGGATTTACTATGTTATCAAAAATACTTTTCCATAAGTATTTTATTTGGATATTCTATTTATTTAATTCAATAGAAACAATATTGACATAAAGAATATTATTGTTAAAATTATAAAAATTCTTACACTTTGAATCTTTTTAATTAAACATCAGACATCTTAGTTCAATAAAAGAATTGTGTTCCTTACTTTGTTATATTTTTTATTCAGTTCTATGTATTTTGTAAATAAATATTTATATAGATTTTAACAAACCTTATGAATAAATTAGCAATTTACAGTAGTTTTATCGCTGTTACAGGTTTAGGTCTTTATTTGGTGAATAAAAATAGTAAAAAGTAAATGTACAATAATTTTAAGAGAAGAAAAGATAATTGAAAAAGTGTTATTAGTGAAAATACTTAAAGATCTTTAAAAGCAATATTACTCTATATGGGAGAGAATGATAGAAACTGGGAGATAACTCTGTCATGTTAAGAATAACAAAAGTAATGAAAATTAAACTGAAAGCCTAAAAGATTTGATTGAATCTAAATTTTAAAAAGTAATTGAAAAAATTGAATAAAGCGTGTATGTTAAGCATTAAGTATCTCAAGATGAGGTTGATTACAACTGTAAAATTATTTACAAAGATGACGAACAAATTAATGCATTGCTAAATTACATTAATTTAGGATTCGAACAGGCTCTAAAATTGGAATTAAACCTACCTGCTAATATAGAATTACCAGAATTTATTAAAGAAGAACTAATCCTGAAAACTCAATGTTAAATTTTGATTAGTAGTGCCTCAATGTTTAATAAAATAATCCAATAATATGCTTCATAAAATGGTGGTGTGAAAGTGACAAAACATTCAAATGCATTTCAATAAGTGTTGGCAGAATTGAAATAGCATAGTAAAAAGTACTTAAAATAAATATAATTAGATAAGAAATATTAGATTAAAATGGATTTGATGCATCGGATGAACCAAGCTCTAAATTATTTTATGATGCCATAAAAGTCTATTCAGAAAATAGATCTTTTAAGTAGAAATTGGTGAAGTTAAATGAGATTTATGATGTAATAATGAGTGAAATCCTTGAGAATGGATAGCTTTTAGAAATTGAAATAGAGAATAGATTAAAATGTTGAATAATATTATTTCTTAATAATTTATCACAAAGTTACATCTGGGATTTCACCAATTATTACTGTTTTATCATTACTAGCTGAGGCTATTAATTTATCCTTTGGACTAAATGCTGTTTCATTTACCTAATTTGAATCATATTAATAATTACAGTGCCTTAATGGCCTCCTAATTTATGAATAACCTTCTTTGAGTTGAAGTCCCAAATATAAACATTCTTATCAGCAGATCCTGCAGACACATACGAATCATCATGACTCCATGAACATCTAAGTAAATTCTTTTCTGCCGTATTTGCAGTTGCTCCTGTGAATACTCTAACTTATCTATTTTTTCCTTAAACATAAGGTCTTTGATTTAATATTTACATTATACCTAATGTCAAAGGTACGAACAGTCATATCCATTGAATTACTCAATAAGTAGGAACCATCATTACTAATTGCTAATCCTGTGACAGTATCTGTGTGATTATCTAAAGTATATTCAATTTCTTATTTTCTAACATCATAACATCTAATGATATTGTCCAAACAACCAGTGTAGAGTCTCTCTCCATTTTCAGTGAAACAAACACTTGTGATAGGATACTGAAGTGATTTAAAAAAAGAGAGTTACCTTGCCTTGAATTTCAAAAGCTAATTTTCTAGTTCTTAAATCCCATACTTTTGTATAGCCTTCATCCCCTCCAGTTGCCAAAAGGTCTTGTCCTCTTTTTGAAGGATAACAACAATTAACATAACTTTAATGTCCTTTCAATTTTTTTAAGGGCAAATATGTTTCCATATCCCAAATTTAAACAGTCTTGTCAGCTGACGCTGTGAATAATCTGACTCCATCATATTACCATGCAACATCAAGAATAGCATTTTTATGGCTTCCCAAAATCCCCAGATTAGTACAATTGTTATAAATATCCAAAATTAATATTTTCTTATCAAATCCAGCTGTTATGAGATAGTCTCCATTTGGAGAGTACTTCACACAATACACTTCACTCTGATGTCCTTTAATATTCATCCTATTTACCGGTTAGTTGCATATGTGCTGATTATAATGTATATTTTTTGGAGGGTTCTACTTCCATTTGATAGTCAGATGATAAGACTAGATCTTATTTATGTTATTTCTATAATAAATGGGGTGTGTGCATCTACAAAACTTGACTAGAAGTGTAGTCCTTAAACTCTGTGAATTTGGGAACACTTGGGATTATCTTATTTCCGTAAGACATAATTTAATTATTCTATTTTTTTAATAAATATTGTTGTTTATGCAATATATTCATAATAATTCCCTAATGGGCTCAACTTAGTGCTTATGATAAATTCTATTTATAAATTCTTGGAATATTTTTTGATTATTAAATGAATAATTTAGCTTGATCTAACTATTTATTTTAGACCAATTAAACCAAATTTAGAACATCTGTAATATATCCAACATATTGCATTTACTAATTAATAGAGAAGAATGTCTTGAGATGTTATAGTTTCTTAGCAAATTAAGGTAATCTTTGCAAATCTTTTAGAGTTGCATATAATTACTCTTCATTCAAGATCATTCCTGCAGCTTACATATTCTTCCATATATTATAGTTTTCATTCAGTTCCATCATCTCATTGATATTATCAGGGTTGCATTACTCTAGTTATTAATTTAATTCACCTTCAATTTAAGGAGGTTTCTAAAATTATAAGCCATAAATTTCTATACATTTGTAATTGAATTAAATTCAAATATTTAGGTAAGATAACTGTTTATTTCTGCATTCTCCCCTTGAGCTTATTCAATTGATTCTCCATTGTACTCCCATTTCATTAGTTCTTTTATTCTATCAGGCAGACTTGGGTTATTCTAATAATTTAATTGGTTTTAATCAATATTGAAATTAGTTAGATCTTAAATCTACTTAGCCAAATTATCAGCTGTCATTGAGACTTGTTGAAATTTAAATGGAATCCTACCATGAGGAAATTGGTCATAGATACTCTTGCTGATGTTAATACAAGTTTAAAGCATTTATGATAATCGCTCCTGTTAAATTACTTTACTTTCTGGCAACTCTTTCCACATTTTGTTAATCTCTGTATTGATATCTTTTAATTAATCTATAAGGATTGGAATTTGCTTTTGAAATAGAAATAGTTTGTGAAAATAATCTTATTGTTCTACTAATTAATTGAATTCTAATTAGACAAAACTCATCTCTTATTATTCCTATTCATTTTTAATCTTAATATTCGTTAATTCATTATTGATCTTCTCCTTCAACTAAACATTTTATTCATAATAATTCCAATATTCCTTATCATCTTATAGAGTTGTAGGTAATAAAGAACATTATTAATTAAGATTGACTTTGTATTAATCTATAAATTATGGTAAATCATAGTATAATTAAACTGATTAGGTTTACTAATTGCTAGCAGTTTTACCCAGTTATTGTAATTTATTTAACAGATTTCTATGAATAAAATATTTAATTACTGAGTCTAATTGAACTCTGACTGAGCAATTTCATAAATTTAATAGACATAAGCTCTAAATCGTGGAATGAATGGCGATAACACATATGATTTAACTAAATTAAAATGAATAACTTCGTCAGATTAAGCATTTGATTAATTAATGTAATAGTTTTGAACTATTTCAATTGAAATATCATCAAATAAAATGCCAGGAATTATGTCATTGACTAATTAATTGTACTTCTCTAAAATTTCTTTTTTGAGATTCCCAACTTCATTAAGTATCAATGGTGTTTCTGCTTCTGCACAGATGGCCATTATCTCCTTGAGCTCTTTTCTAAAGCGATATATATCCTTTCTAATAGTTTTAATCGTATGCTGGATATTTGTTGTGCTTCTTCCCTTATCATCGGCTTGTAATTAAGCCTCAGTATTTTTGATGTAATCAGTGAATAGTTTTTTACTATCTAAATAATCAACTATTCGAATTGCCAGATCATAATTGTTTTTTAAGAAAACACATTAATCTTCAAGATAATGTTTGAAATGCAAGAAATTAGCTTCATAATCCCCTGAATTGTTATTTGCAGCCTCAGAAATTGCATTTTCATTCCATTCCAAGGAACAAGCATCTATAAATGGTATCAGGATTGTTGAGTCTGCTCTTAGATGTACTTGATAATCTTAAGTGGAATTTTTATTGTTGCTTTCCACTTGCATAGAGTTATAAATTCTGGAGTTTTGTTTTTCTTCTATAACTTATGTTTTATTTAATTTATTTAACATTAAAATATATATTAGGTTTTGTTCCAATAAGAATATTTTATGGCAAAGTATTATTTTATAAATAATAAATGTCGTTACTATCTAAATTTACAAATCTGTTTAAATCAAAAGACGATGTTTAACACTCTCTTTAAAAACTCTTGAATCCTTCAACAACTAATGAACTTCAATTATCAATTAAGAGTTTCAATTAACAACTCAATAATTAAACAAGTGCAGTGTTCGCTATATTGAGATAGCGAGAAGCACTTGTCACGATGGATCCAAAACCAGAACAGTTATTAAATTTATTATTGGTTATTCATTCAAATATATCAAATGAAGAAATTTGCGACTAATTAAGATAGGTTCCAATTATTTGGTTAGATAGATTGATGACTGAAAATAGAGAAAGTTTCATTTAAATTGAGAGAATGATTACAGAGCAATCCACAAATAGTTATATCCCATAATAGTTATAATAATCGTAAAGTTAATACCAATAACATTAAAAGAAAGAAGAAAAAATAGAAGATAAAAGAAAAGCGAGAATTGAAATGAATCAAAAACTGCAAAATCCAATTCTAAATACTGAGGCCGTCAATAATGCAGATTCTCATAATTTAAATCCAAAAATGTTTTGTATTATATATTATTCATTTCTCTAAAAGTTATCAATCAATTAATAGATTTATTAAAGCAGTAGAAATTTAAAATATCCAGAAGATGAATAAGATTTCATTTGGATTTATAAGACATAGAATGTAAATGGGATTAAAATTGTTATAATGTCCATAAAAATTATATAGACCTTATTAATTATTGATTTATTAGGATCTCTTTTATTTCTAATCATTTTTAAAATAAGAATTAGAAGTACATATATTTAAGGAGAATAATTTACATATCTATGAAGCCTTTTGTGAATATTAGAGAGCAAAATAAATTATGGAGTCATTTGAACCTAAATATAAATTCAAATTGAATATCAATAGTTCAGTTATAGATGACTATTAAAGAAATGCAATTAAACAAAAAGTGAAATCTCAATTTGAAGAAGATTAAAAAAGAAAGAAATAATTAATAAAGGAAAATTAAGAGAATATTGACCAATTAAATTTCTAAGATTTAGATTCTAATCATGATTTCGAGAGAGAAATAATAATGAGAAAATTCTTTGATAAAGGATAATCAAATCAGATGAGTTTGGACGAAATTTCTTTATAGTTAAAAATCATAAACTCATGAAATATAATAAATAATATTTATATAATGATATTCGAAATAGGTGAAATATTTACAGTCTAAGAATCATTGAAGGATGAGAAAATAGCAAAAAATTTGGATTTGGATGTTGGTTCCTAGAATGATTTTCTTGATTTGAGATCTACTGACCCAAATCCTCATCTACCAAATAGAAGATTGGATCGTAAAGCATAAAAGAGATAAGATCAAATCCCTAAAAAGTTTGAACAAACTAAGGAAGAGAAGGAGACTGTTAAAGCATCAGAAATAATCTCAAATATCATTAAAGATGTATTTAAGATGGACATCAATGAGTTTGAGTAAATGAATTCACCTGAGAAATTGAACAAAGAATATAAATTTCAAGAAATTGACCCTGAAAAAAGGAAATATTTAAGAATGAAAATACCTCTCAACAAAAGATAAGAATAATTCGAGTAGGAGTTATTAAATGTGAAATCTGATTTAAAATTAAAAATACAAGAAATTCGCATGCCTTAATAAAAAAATACTGGGAATAATTCTTAAAAGGATGAAAATACTTTCAGTCGACCTAATTCATAAAAGATTAAATAGAATTCAAGCTCAAATAAGTTATTTTTTAATTCGAGTAATGAAGTAGATACAATTGATTCTCATATTTGGTTATAAAGTAGGTTAGATAGAACATTAAAATTGAACTCACATAATCCAGACACTTAGAAGGCATGGAAGGAATATTGGAGCAACATAAATTGCTCTGATTTTAAAACCTTTTAAGAATATCAATAATAACATAAGAAACCTCATCTTGCATCAGATTTAGTCACTATTAATTATGGTGGGGAGAGATCTGTCAAATATTAAAAGAATGATAATGAGACCTCTGTAAATATCAAGAATTCATCATCACTTACAATAAAGAATAAGTAGATAACTAGTGAACATATTCTTTATTTATCTATGGTTGAACCACCTTTGATAAATCTCTTAAGAGTTGAATTCATAAGAACCTAATTGAATGAAACTGCTTTTAAATTGTTAACTACTTTGCTGAGTGAATGCAAAAGATTAGAGTACTTAAATATCTCTAGCAATACATATCCTAGAAATTAAACTATTAAAATATTATTATTGGATTTGTAGAATCTCAAAATCTTGAAAATGTCAGACATGATGATTTCAACTAAATATTTTTTGGATCTTTGTGAAGTGCTGGTCTAAACTAATATTTAGGAGATCGATCTTAGTAATAACCTGTTAGATCATCATGCTTTACGATGCATTAATTACTTTAATTAAATACTTGCCTTCTTTAACATAAATGGATTTCTAATAAAATGATATTTTATAGAGTGCAAATTTGCCACTTTAGAAGAAATAATAATCTTGGGAGTACTTAGAGAAAGTTAAATTGAGTTATTAAAGGAGAGTAAATATTGTATTGTGATAATTAATATTAAATTTTATGTTCTTCACATAAACTAAATTTCATAAACTTAGTTCTTAGAAAGAATTATTAGCTAAGATATAAGAGTTCGAAATTAACACGAATTTTGATTCTCCAAGAACTTAGAAAGCGTTGTTGAAAATGAATAAGACTAAATATGACTTTAGAAGGAAGTATATGATAGTATTCACATTTAAGGAATAAGTTTGAAAAACATAATGAGTTAGATTATAGAAATAAAAGGAATAATAAATCTTTGGATTAGTAATCACTTGATTTTGAATATGAGACTTATTTAGAGTAATTATTAAGTAATTTGCATAATTGACAATTAGATGATTATATGGAACTGAAAGAGTAAAGGAAACAAATAAAAGAATGGTTTCAAAAAAAATAGTAAGAAGAAGATGAATTACGTGGATATGAACATATACCATTTAATAGTGTACATTCGACAAGTAGATTTCCATGTTAAACCATAACAATCGATGATAAAATTGGCAAAATAAACTAGGAAAGATAGAGGCAATTAAGTTTAAACAATGCTGAAGTGAAAGAAGCTTTATTGTTTGAATTAGATAGACGCCAGTGGGAATAAGAATCTCTAGAAAGAAGACAGAAAAATGCATAAATGAGATCAGCTAAAATTATGGAAATTAAGATGAAAGCTTAGGAATAAAATAAGAAGGCTAAACAGAAATGTGAAACATAGAAAAAAATAAAAGAAGTGTAAATAGAAGAAGATTTAGCCAAGGCAAAAGAATTTTAAGAGAAACTAAATCAAAAGTACTCTTATTGAATTATACTAGAGATAACGAAATAGCAACTAAGAAATCTACTATAATTATGGAGAAGATTGAGAAAAATAAAAAATTAGAAGAGAAAATATTATTTAGAAAATCTTTGTTAAAACACGAATAATCAGAAACTTAACTTTAAAATATTAGAAAAGACACTCAAACTGAAGAAAATAGAGTAAAATCAGTTGAAAGATAAGCGAAAGATAGGTAAGATAAACAATTGAGATATGAATACTAATTAATGAGGATTCATGAAAAAAGTGCATTATCAAAAGCCATTTGGGAATCTGAATTGTGTAATAATTTAGGATAAAAAATGATATCTATAGAAGAATAGAAAAAAAAGAATGAAGATCTTATAAAAAAAGAGGCTAATAAAATGTCAAAGGAAAGGAAAGATAAAATGAAAAAACATTAATAAAATCTAGAATAAGTTCAGGAAGAATAAAAGTACTTTTAACAAATATTTAGAATAGGCAATGGTAAATGAAGTTATAAGAGAAATTGCAAAACAAAGATGAAATTTCAAAGAAATTGAGAATGAGTAAATTAGAAGAAATAAAACAATTAAGAGAATAAAATGTTTAAAACTAAAGAGAATAATTGTAGAAACTAGAGTTGAGAAGGAGAAAACAAGTATTATTGATTAATTATCATAAGTTTAGTTAATAAGATTTGTTGTTGGAACGATCTTTAAATGCTTAGAAAAAAATGGAATAATAAAAAAATGAGTAAGAAAAGGTCTTATTTTATTTATTGAATTCAAAATAAAAGATAGACTCAGAAATTAGTAATAGGCAATCAAAATTAAAACTGATACATTAATAGTCATCAGTTTAACTATTAGAGTATGGTTTATTCTTATCATTATGTAGATAATTGAAAGACCTTGTGCCAGAGTCAGAATTCATTGAATTACAGAAGTAATATAAAATTACTAAAAAGCCTTAAACTGCAAATCCATAAACTATGAATAAATTGTGAAATTATATTTTATTTAAAAATACATAATTAAGTTTCAAGCTTCCTCTTCGACCATATCTTTCTTTTATTGTTTCTTTTACTTTTATGCCTTAAGCTATGCTTTTTAGATGGCTTTTTATTTGATTACTTCTTTAACAGACTTATCTGATACTAAATTAATATTCTTTGCCAATTCTGTCTCTACATTATCAAGATTCTACTTCCTTTATGCTCTTAATCTGCGAGAATTACATTAAAATATACCTATTTTTCCAAAAATTGTTTTCTCTTTTTAATCTGATTTTATCTATTTTTTTCATGGCTTAAACAGTGTTGATATATAAATCTCTGTTATATTTTAAGGGTTCATTTCGCTTTTGCTCAAACTCAAAGATGCTATCGTTAGTCATCTCTTTTCCGGCTGCTTTTCTAAATGCTTTAGTCCATCTTGTTTTTCTAGGGTTGTGTTAAGCTTTAAAGTGTCTATGGCATTTAGATCTGCAAAATCTAAACATCTATATATTATTCAATTGACTTATACTTTGCTATCATTTCTAACAAAGACTATTCCATGGCCTGGGTAGATGGGACCAGAGCAAAAATAACATTTTTCAATTCTCATATATATTTTATATTTTAATTTATGGAGAAATTGAAATTTATTAGTTAAGAATGCAAACATCAATTACAATCTGTTATCACTTGTTTATCCTAAAACTTACAAATCTTCAATTTCTACTTGATAATACAGTTTTAGGCACTTGAACAATTCCTATTCGGTTTAATATGCTTTAAAACAATACTCTCATTTAGGTGAAGGTGCATTTACAATTAATATGAACCCACCCGTTTAGAAAATCCTGATAACAAAAAAGATATAAATCAAACTGATAATGAAACCTTATCTACATAAAAAAACATAAAAAATATATAATGTAGATTAATCAATATTAACTAATTGTCAATTAGAAATAAAAAATAAAATAAACTATTAGGAAGATTTCCCATTCGAATAATATATAATTATACAAATAGGACATTTTATTTATTAAAGTATCCACATAACAATATACTTAGATGAAATAATAAAACAAAATATTCATTAGAGGTAACTTTTTATGATTGCATTGTATTCGCTCATTCGAAATATGAATACAGATTAATTCTTTAGAAAATCAATAATTATATAGGTATATATTTATATAAACATGAATCAAAAGGTAATTAATTTTTTTGATTTTCTTGCAGGTTATTCCTTTCTTCTATTTTTTTTGATTTATTTATTTTTTGTTAAAGGTATGATCTCTTCCATAGCTCTGGCTTTATTTTCTCTTTTGACTTCTCTTTTAGATTTGACTCTGACTCCTTCCATTGCATTAATCAAATCGTCTGCTTCATCATGTTGAACCTATTCATTTTGTTGTTAATCATCCATTTCGATTTCTTCCTCTACATCTGGTTCTGGCTTGAAAACTATTTCTTGAACCGGCTTTCTTCTTGCCCCAACAAATTAAGTGGCTGTGTATGGTAAAGATTAACTTCTAAAATCAACAATTGGTTATGGTTTAAATTTAGGAATTTAGGCAGTTGGATCGCTAGGATGTAAAAACTTATTCTTTGGTTGGATAGGTCTTTGAAATCTCTAAAGTAGGTAAAAATAATTAATTTACATTTTGTATGGTTGCCTCTAATTTTTAATTTAAATCATGAAGATCTGAATTGACTTTCACATTTTGGAGATGTTCTCTCTTTAGGGATCTCCATCTTCGCATAACCTTAGATCTTTATGATTTTGCCATGAATCAAAAAATATATATTAATTTATATTGCACTATGAATATATTTCAATCGAATAATTTGGCTAAAAATCCTTTATCTTATTTCTGTTATTGTTGGTTTGTAATTGGTTATTGTTACTAAGGCTTTTGCTATTATTGTTGTTATTACTTTTGCTAATCTAAATGAATAATATACCAAATTAGGTGGAACTTAATTGGTTTGTGGTTATTAAGGTGATTAACTAACTTTAGGTTGTTAACTAACCTTAGGTGGTTGATTAGAAACATTATTAGCTTGATTTGGTTAATTTGGCTATGCCACTTGTCCTTAATAGGTGAGTAATTATTATCCTTATGGTTAATAGTCATAGGCAACAGGTTAGGCTTGGACAATAGGTGCACCAACTCTAGTCTGAGAGGCCTGATATAGAACTGGAGGTTGAACATAGAGCTGAAGTTGTTGTTACTGGAGCAGATGCTTTGATAAATTGTGAAGGCTATCTTAATCTAGGACTTGAGGTCTGATATAATGGGGCTGGGATTGACTATTAAACAGGGAGAGGTTGCTAAATATATTATGTAGCGATTGGTCATTAATATGTAGAATAATAGGTTTGTGGAACATTCTAAATCATTTATTACTATACAATTGGTTAAGCTACTTATGTGACAATAGGTTATTAGACTGTTTAGACAATAGGAGTGGTTGTTTAGTATGTTTGGGTTGTCACAATTGGTTAAATTTATGTTTACTATACTTATTGTACAGTATTCTAATATTTAATACAAATATGTTACTTAAAGCACATTTTATCTCGTGACTGTTTGGTATTCTACTCTTTCAGCAAACTTTTCAACTGGCATATATTCAATCACTTTTTCTTAGATCACTTAAGGAATATATTCAGTCTCATATTAAATGGCCTAATATTCTGTGATCTATCTTGTAATTGGCACCTAAATCTGTCTTCTCACTTCTTCGTATTCCATTATTGTCTTTTCATAAGGAATGTATTCAATTCTTGATTCTCCTTTTACTGCTTATCCAGTCTACATTCAAACAATATTATTTACTGAGACTATGTTTGAACTAATTGCTGATGCGCCCAAAACTGGTTGATTAACCAACACTCCACCACCTTAATAGAATCCGCTCTGACCCAAATTCTAATTTGTTACTAGTTGTTGTTAGTAGGTTGAATTTCCAAGAACAATAGGTCTCACAAATTGAGGTTAACCTGTAATTGTTTGGGGTGTTCCATAGAGAGCAGGCTATTAAACAATTCCTTGTGGTTGATACTCGGCCATTTCTTATAATAAATTTTATTTTAATTCTTTTGAATCCCATTAATTAATTATAATACATGCAAGGTAATTAAAACATTCCTGAAAATGCGAATGATCACTGTCCAGGAGCCAACTCTGATTAAGCAGGAAAAAGTGAAGCTTGTGCTGGTTGTCCTAATTAATAACTTTGCTAATCAGGGGCAGGCAAATAATTATTAGGTTATATATCTCGCATATTCTTAGATAATTCTGAAATCATAGCAAATTTAAAATAAGTCAAACATAAGATATTGGTCTTATCAGGCAAAGGAGGAGTGGGCAAGAGCACTGTATCCTCATAATTAGCCCATATTCTTGCATCCAAGGGATTTGATGTAGGTTTATTAGATATTGATATCTGCGGACCTAGCATTCCAAGAATGATGGGTTTGGAGACCAGTGAAGTTCATTCAAGTAATAACGGTTGGTAACCCATCTATATCAACGAAAATTTGGGAGTGATGTCGATAGGATTCTTGATTGACAATAAAGATGAAGCTATTATTTGGAGAGGTCCAAGAAAAAATGGACTAATTAAACAATTTTTAACTGATGTGGCTTGGGGAGAATTGGATTTCTTAATTATTGATAGTAATTTTTAAGTTCATCTTATATAGCTCCTCCTGGGACATCAGATGAACATATATCTATTGTTCAATACCTTAATCTTACCCCTGATGATGGAGCAGTAATAGTAACAACACCATAAGAAGTTTCATTGTCTGATGTAAGAAAAGAGATCAGTTTTTGTTAAAAGACAAAAACAAACATACTTGGAATTATTGAGAATATGAGTGGCTTTGTTTGTCCTAATTGTTAACACCACACTGATATCTTTCTCCCAACCACTGGAGGAGGGGATTCATTATGCAAATAGTATTCTCTCTAACCTCTTGGGAAAATACCACTCGAGCCAAAAGTGTTATTATCAGCTGAAAAAGGCAAATGCATTTATGAAACTGCTCCTGACTCAGTTGCTGCCTAAGTTTATACAAACATTGTTTAATGTATAGTTTATTATTAGTTTTAGCATTATTAGAAACATTAAAAGAATAAATCAAATAATGATTAATATTATAATTATATGCAAACGCGTTACCCTCGTCATTAAATCAATCAATCTGTCATAAATATTCCCCCTCCTTAGGTTACGGTTGTTAGAAGTATATCCCCAGTTGTTGTTCGAACTTTAGAAGGTACTAAATATCATCATATAGTTCCGGTATATTATCAGAATGATCAAACCAACTGGAAGGATAAATACTATGAACTTAGACACCAATATTGGCTCTTGGAGGATAAATGTAATAAATTGGAAGACCTATAAATAAAGCATAGCAGATGCGAAGTTGTAAGAGAGAGTGAATTAAAATAAATTAATGAGCTCTTTACTTAGAGTTAGTATGATATTAGATAGCTTAAACACTGTTTAGCCAAAGTGGATACGTAAATGAATGAGGATTACAAAATGAAATATTAATAAGCAAATGATTAACTAGAGACAATCAAATCTGAATTTATTAAACTTCAATAAGAATTATATTAATCCTAACAATAATCTACTCAAAACACTCAGAGATAACCATAACAAATGAATCAACTAATTATTTCTAATTCAGAGCTTTAACGATAAAATGAATAATTGCAATTATTAAATAGAAACCTGCAATAGTAAATTGATACTCTTCATTTTCGATATGCTGAGTCTGGAAACTAATATAATAAAATTCAAGAATTATTAGCTTTAACAGTTCTTAAAAATGCAGAAATTGACAGTCTTAGAATATTGGTCTCAGAAAAAGAAAAAATGATTGAATAACTTCGCACTTAATATTTATCGTAATATAGATGATATTTTTAATGATTATATTAAATTTGGAATCATTAAGGAAGGAAACCAATTATGGATAAACTCAATTGCATCCCAGAATTATATCTCATCCAAATGAAAACATCAATTAAATTCTCCCGACTATAAATATGAGATACACACCATATTTTAGTGATTAAATAAATGATGCTGGATGGGGTTGCGCTTGGAGGAGCATTTAGATGATGTTATCTTCATAATATAACATAACTCCTGAATTTCGATGGTTATTCAGCTTTTTTGGATCAAAGGCAATTTTAGAAAAAATTTATATGCATATGAATCAAGTCGATTAAATTCCTCAGTATCTTTCTAATTCATAATATTCACCACATGATTTAGACAATGGATGGGCAGAACCATATATAGGCCATCTTATTTTATATTATATGGGATTCTAGTCCAAATTATTTTTAATCAATGGATATCCTCCTCATTCAAATGCTCCAAAAGAAGTATTTGCAGAAACCTTTTCATTCCCTTAATTTAAGTTATTTTTATAAGAACACTTCACTCAAAGAAAGTCTCCAATATAAATTGATGATTCAAAGTACAGTATGGTGATTTACGATTATAAATCTGATGGTGATAATACAATTCTTTTTATCGGAGATCCACATATTTACTACATTTAAAATAATCATTAGAAAATTGGATTATACACTGTTACATTAAATGAAAAAGGGGATTAAATTTCTAATTCTATTACTCCTGATTAAGCCCAGTTTTATATGTATGCAAGTTCTTATTAAACTCTTCATTTTAATGAGAAAAATTGGATGGCAGCTTGCATAATTAAAAGTTAAGATGTTTGGTTAGATTGGAGGGAAAGATAATTGATTATTTGAAATTAATTATTAGAATAATTGAACATGAATAACCAATTTCAACAATTTAACGCTTCCATTTATTGTTTAATGATGATTTCATTAACCTTTTTATCATTTTTCTGTTATCTTAAAGCAAAATTGTAATCTTTTCTGTCAATTATATTCTAATATTATTCTAATATTTGTACATTAAAATAATTTATATTAGACAATTTTTTTTTGTATCAATTTAATTTTTAAGAAAGGAGATCTATAATTCTTATATTTAAATTATTTAAATTTAATGCAGTTTTTGATTATCAATGAATTCCTTTCTACACTTTATTTAAATTCTACATTTAAATACTTATTCCAAATTTTATCCATGTTTCTATATTTTTCTTCTATATTATTAATTTTTTTTGTTTATTATCTGGTGCTCATATTAGAACATATAATTTTATAAGAGTTTACTCATAATTTTACTTTATTTTCTCTCTAAATCGAAACATTTCATTAAGGACAAATATCTGATTAGCATAAATAGTTAGATCGTGATTCCAAATCCTCGTAAGTTCAATCAGATAGAAAAGCTTTGGGGACAGTTAAAGTTAATATTTATTATTAGCAAATAAAGAACAATAAATTATATTATGTTTAACTATCAAATGAATTTAATATGAATCTACATAAAAGTATAAGAAAAAATTCTTAAATCCTTTATAAAATATTAATGGGGGTGTTGTTGCAGTGAGTATATCCTCTTTAATTTAACCATTTTTTATTTCCTTTAATTATTTTATATATTGCGAAAAACAATTAATAACGTTTCATCATAAACATATTCTATATTTTGTCTGATTAATCTCACTGAATAATATGATACCTGAAACAGAAGTTATTCATACCGTTATTTTCTAATAAAATAAATACCTTAACAAAAAATGTTATTACACAAATCATTAAATAAAGAATAAGCAATTTTAGGAAAAATCGGCTGACAACTAATTATTGTTAAAACAATAGTTTGTGATTAGATGATTAGGTAGAATATAATGAGATTTATATCTTAAATAACTTAGTACCATTCAATCAAAATTTAAATCAACCTCACTTTATTAACTTTAAGATTAATCATGTATATTTATGCATTTGGAACCTAAGAACTGTTTCTCAATTTCTTCATTATTATCCTTCATAATTTAGAAATCATATTTTTAAGCGCATTATTCGTCGCAAAAGCTGCATCCATTAAGTAGCACTCCATTTCTAATATCAAATTATTTACTGCAACTTACACATTAAACCTTTTATAAATTAAAATACTTACAAGATACAAATGGTTATATTTTTAATAACATTAATAGCTACAAAACTCATTGCTTTCTAATACTATATAGTCTTTAATTAATAATTTAAAGCAATTCCAGCAAGCTGCTTTTTTGATCCTAAGTTTTGCAACATTTTATTCATCGTAAGGTTTTTATTTAGAAACTGATACAGAGCTAAAATTATTATCAATTTGTTCTAACTCACTGTTAGTTTATATATCAATATCAATATTTTAAATTTCTCCGATATGATTTTGTTGCATATAATTAGATATTTCTTCTAATTCATTTAAGATGAAGGATTAGTGAAATGATTATTCAACTCCTAAATATCCTTTCTAATCATCATTTTCTTTAAAGGTGACTTTTTTGAGACTCTTTTATCTTTCTTTTTGAAGGCTTGATCTTTTTTTAGGGTTAGTGAAGCTTAAGTCGATTAATGGTTCTATTTTATTCAAAAGTATACCTTCCAACTCATCATATTTAGATTCATTTTGAATAATTACTTCATTCATTTCTACTGATTATTTGAGTTCTCTGATTTTTTTCATTAATCTAATTTAGTGCCCCAATGGTATTTCCATTTGTTGTAGCTATTCCTTTTAAATGTCAAAAAGAATATCCAACTCTTCAAATCCATTCTCTTTAAACTTTTAGACATAAGTATCCAATTTGATCGATTTCAAAAAAGATTCAATAGGTTCTGACTTATTTGAAGGAGGCCTATCCTTAAGAACTTTATTAATTATGCATTTTACTTCGATTATTTGGGGTTGTATTATTTTACCACCTTGAGCTTTCAGACATATCTCCAGATTATTTACTTATTTGTGATCTTTCCATCTTTTATGAATTCAAGTTTTATTTTAGTTTTGCTAACTTTTCTGCCTGAGAATAAGACTCATCAATACCATTTTTTTTGCTTCTTCTTGCATCTAAAGTGCATAGGGATTAGATGTTTTATTAGATGATGAACCTCTATTTTTGATCATTATATTATATTATATTATATTATGGATTTTGATTTTATTGAAGCTCAAAACTCATTTTAGTTCCTCTAGGAGTAAAAAAAGTTACCAATAAAGATTTCCCATAAGTTAGAGCTGCTTTTGGAGTGCTTCAATAACTAAGATATTGATACTTCAGTTTTCCATTCATTAGAATTAGAAGAGTGTTAAGCATTGATGAAGTTGAATAAACATGCTTAAAAGGATATGTTTATGTAAATCATTAAAGGATTAGCGTATGTAATTTATACTTTATTATTCGAAGGAAAACATGATTCCATCTGCTATTGGAGAAATCAAAGGGATTATTGATATTAGAACAAAAGTGTTGAAAAATTGGAAATAAAAATAGTTTAAGATAGACTCTAAATAAAGAACCTTTGAAATATTGAGAAAAAAGAGCAGTAAGAAGAAACCACGAATAATCTACCTCTAATTTTACACTGTTTAGCCCTAAGAATTCAAAGATAAGCGTTATCGATTCGTTATTCTAGCCAATTCTGAAGGTCATGGTTATTACAAAACATTGGTCTGTGGATCAGATGATAAAGCACTCTATGACAAAGTGATACAAGCACTTAAAACTATATCATAGTTTTCAGATCATGTAATGAGGGGATCAATCTTACTTGAATCGAATGATTTTAATCACTCTAGAATTAATACAAACTAATAATCTTTCATTACAACTAGGCAGGATATGAAATTAGTGACTTAATCAGAAATTATTCCGCAAAAGTAAAATACCAATGTTAAAATTACTAAATAACTCGAATCAGATATAAAGCAAAATCAATTATAATTAGAAAAATAGAAGTAATAAAATGTATAGCAACAATCGAATGTTAGTTAACAATTTTTATAGAATGATTCTCCAGCGAAATAATAACAATAAAGCATAAATACTTAATAATAATATTCATAACCTGTTCTTAACAATTAGAAACAGAATCAATAATAACAATATCTATAATTATCCCAATAATTTATTTAAGAGTAATAATAATAATAGTCATCACAACAATATCCATAACAATAATTACAATATTTGTAATAATAGTAACCTTTATAGCAACAATAATAATATTAATTATCATTGTAATAATAGGAATAGTAATAGTAGTAATAGTAGTAATAGTAGTAATAGTAGTAATAGTAGTAATAGTAGTAATAGTAGTAATAGTAGTAATAGTAGTAATAGTAGTAATAGTAGTAATAGTAGTAATAGTAGTAATAGTAGTAATAGTAGTAATAGTAGTAATAGTAGTAATAGTAATAGTAATAGTAGTAATAGTAATAGTAGTAATAACAATAACAATAACAATAACAGTATGAATAATAATTATTGTAATAATAGGAATCGTAAAAATATCGAGAGGAATAACATAAATTAATATAAGAAAGATTATTTTAAGAATATTAAATTGAGTAGTAAAGACGATAATAAGAATTATTAAATTAATAATTGTTGGAAAACGAGCCCGAATCAAAATAAAAGAACTATCCTGTTTTATTCAAAAATGAATTGAAGTATCCATAAGTTTTTCAGTTGCTATTTGAAGAGGGCAAATTTCATTAAGATTATTTTGTTTAATCAACGAAATAATTTACTCAAGTTTATTCTAAAGATGGAGTATAAATTTTAAAGGACTAAAATAATTCCCTCTGTTTCAGATCATCATTAACCATTTATAATGGAGATATCGAAAAGGTATTTTAATGTTTAGCTGAGATTGACTTTGTAAAAAAATGGAATGCTGTTATCAATCCTAAGGAAACTAAATTATTAAATATGATGTAGAGTGAGAATTGCGGAATAATTTATGAAAGACATAAACAATATGGTTTACTTTATTTGCCGAGGGATTTTGTTTACCTTAGATATGTTACATATAGAGGAGATGACATTCTGATTGTGGATAAATCAATAGAGAATGAAGACGCTCCACCATATGTGAAAGTGATAAGAGGGGAAATTAATTACTAAATAATAGAGATTGTCAAAAATGAGAATAATATCATAGTAAGAATTGAATCGGAAATGACAAATGGTGGTCTATCATCTGTAAATTAAGACAGTGCGATCACTTAATGGTATTTAAGTGAACTTTCACATTTTTAGCAATTTTTAAAGACATACTCTGCTGTTAAAGAAATAATACAATCTCCTTTTTTACAAGTTTTAAGCAATACAAAAGTAAATAAATAAAAGGAAAATATAATAATCGATTAAGGAGCATCTAGTTTTCCCAACTAAGAATTAATTTACTCTCCATAAAAAATATAATAATCACTAAATGTTTAACAATAAGAATATTTGAGCATTCCATAGCAATAATAATTCTTTAAATAAGAAGTCTACTAACCTTCTCCTGTAACTGTTGTTTATGAAGAATAGTTCAAGTTTGATACATTAAATGATACTCATGCTATAACTTTAGATTAGCTCCCTATAATTGCTACAGTGCCAGAAACTGTACCAGTGATCATTGAAAATAATAATGAGATATAATAATATAATAAAGATATAGAAGATGCCGATTTAAGTAATTACACTCCGAGTGATTTCATTTAATAGACACTACCAGAATTATCAGATAAGGAGACTGGTTAAGTGAAACAAATGATAAAAAATATTGAGCAAGGTATTTATGATTACACTGCTAATTGTATCACTCATAAGTATGTTAATGAACCTTAGAAGGTCAAAGATGAATATATTAATTAGATTAACGAAGGACATTACTTTTTAAGATAAGATTGGAAAAGAGATATGAAACATGGGGGAATGATTTTTTATAATTAGAAGAAGATAGAGGCTTAAAAAAGGGTTATTAAATTTATGTTAAAATCAATAGGATCAAATCTATTATCTGGTAAGTCAATCTTAAATATCTCATTGCCTGTAGAAGTATTTGAAAGCAGATCTAATTTAGAGAGGTTTTGTTATTCATTTACTTTTGCTCCTTAAATCTTAGAAAAGGCAGCTAAAATTGATAATATAATTGAATAAATGAAGTATACAATCGCATTTGGATGCAGTATAAATTAATTATAAATATAGGTTCAATTATAATGTATATGTCCCTGGAGAAACCATTCAATCCTATTTTGGGAGAAACTTATTAAGGCTTCATCAATGGATGCCCGGTTTATGCTGAGTAGGTGAGTCATCATCCCCCAATAAGTGCATTTTAATTGAAAGGTAGGGGCTACGATATTGATGGGCATATTGAATCTGCAGCCAGTATGCATGCAAATAGTGTTACCGGAAAAGACATTGGATTTATAAGAGTGACATACCACAATACGAGATCAAAGCAAATCTTTATTCAATGTCCAGGAGTATTAACTGGAACTGCATTTGGAACAAGAATATTTAATATTAATGGAAGATCATATACAATTGACTTGGTATTTATTAATTATGAAAATAAGGAAAACAATTTAATTGCAGATATGGCATTTAATCCTGGCAGCAAGAATGTATTCAATAAGAAAGATTTATTGCAAGACTAATTTATTGGCTATTTATACAAAGTAAAACCTGGAGTATTAAATAAATATAAAAAAGAAGGATATGCAAAATATTCTGGAATTGATTTTGACAAGGATGTTGAATAAAGAGTAATAAATTATTTAAAAATTTAGTTTTTTTCCATAAATGGTGTTTGGAATTAAATGGTCGAATTTGATGGAATTAAATTATTTGATACACTTGAGATGAATCCGCATGTGATGGTTAATCACCCATGTCCTTTGCCATCAGACTCAAATTTCAGATTGGATATTCTTTACTGGAAATTGAGGGACTTTAATAATTCTCAAAGAACTAAGGAGATCTATGAAGTTAAATAAAGAAACGATAGAAAATGCAGAGAGAAACTTACAGGAAAGAAACATTGAGATTTTGTATTGTATAATTTTAATATAAATATTTTGCTCTTGAAGGATTGTATATATGAAAAATAAGGAAAAAGCTATTGTGTATGGTCAAAAATATCTTTATATCCTTAGCAAAAAAACTGACATGGGCTAAGGTTGGGTATTGTGAAATTTTGCATGAAAATTAAGAGAAGAAGATGTTAGATATTCATTTTCCAGAATTATTAAAACATGGATCAGTTGAATAAGTTAATAAAGTAGCCAAATTTTAAATTCCATAAATTATCGATCTTAAGTTAATATATGTGATATAATCTATATCATCTAACTCTATTATCCCTCAATTTTCACAAAAGGTAGCAAATTAAATGGCATATTTTGAAATAATAGAAATTATATCTAGGAATTTAGTATCACAGTTTCCTTAGAAAATATAGAGATATCTTAATTGGGCTAGCCAATTTCTAAAGAGCATTATGTTGTACAAAAGAGAAAATTTCTAATAAATAGTTAATTATGCTTTGTTTTTGAGATTGCTGTATAATAAATAAAGAGCCAATTAGTTTGTGGAACAGTCGGAGTTCTATCGAGATATTCTTAATAAAATCAAAATGACATTTTATGATTAGAACTATGTTCAAAAAGAAATTTTAGATATTAGAAAATCTAATATGCTATTCTTTGGTTGAATAATATTATAAATGAATTTTGTATTAGAAAGGTCTAGAAGTAGATTGCTTTTAATGTTAAAAATTATACAATTTAAGATTTTACCTTATGCCGATAATTTAATTGCATTGCTTCTAGTAAAAGTTTTTGTGGGATTGGGTAATAAGTATCAACAAAGGATTATTGGAAATAATTTCAAATATTAATAAAGAAAAATACTGGATTAAATCCTTGAATTTAGTAGAAACTACATGAAAAATAAAATGCCATGAATTTATTATAGAATATGAGGATGAATATCTTTAAAAATTTGAGGATCACATTTAATAGAAGAAGTTACCGTTTTTCTTTGATAGCATAAATTGATTCTAACTTACTTGCCGATGCTAACATAATTCTATTTTGACAGAGGGTCATAAGGGATGGATTCAATACTACAGTAAATCATTCAAAATTATTGTTTATATGCATAGCAATTTTTAACTAAGGATGAAAAGCCTCAAGATGGCAAGATTTATATATAATATGTTACATCAGAGTTCTTATATGAAAAAGTTAGATGACATTGAATCAACAGGATCTATCTTGTTAAAATTTACAAGAAATAGCTGATGAAATATGATTTAGAATAAATTTGATAGTTTGCAAATTAAGACACCTATAATCCCAAGTTTATTAATGTATATTCATTATCATCATGTGGCAACCGAGAAATGTTGAGACTTAGATAAATGGCTTGAAATCACTAGTTAATATATTCAAAATAATATCAAATATTAGTTTGGGGTTAAATTATAAGATCTTATCTTTAGGTTGAGGAAAAGAAAGACATAAATACTTTAAAAAATTTATTTTAAAACTTAATTATCTAATTTAAATTTCAATATGTCAAATCGAGGATATAAAACTATTAAAATAAGAAAAATCATCATAAATAGAGAATCAATGATAAAATCTAAAAACCCTAAATTGTAATCCTTAATCCATTATTTAATTGGACAATCAGTTTTGAATCTCAATGATTGATAATAAAAATATTTAAAGGAGAAGGTTTAAAGAAGTTTTAGTTACAGCAGTATTCATGATATGATTTTGAATGTTTAACACTAAGTAGAGCCTTATTATCGAACCCTAATAAAAAATAATTATAACGTTACAACCTCTCTAAGCAATTAGATAGGTTAAATAAACGTTGAAGTTGAGGTTGAACTAATAATTTGAGGATGTCTAGTAACCAAAAAGAAAATTGAATTAAATGGATTATGAAGAGGATTAAAAAGAATTTAAATAAGAGTATGGAATGACTCTTGAAGAGCAACAATAATTAGCAGAGAGTCTTATTAATGAATAATCATAAGCTTATGCTGAATACAACGAACTTTTATAAAATTAGAATGAATAAATATAGTGGTATATTTTTATCATTAATAATAATAATTAGAATAAGAATAGTAAAATTGAGATTGGTTTTTGTATAAATAAGAATTATAATATTGATTAGTTTCATTATTCTTAATGCTTAATTTTAATATGTTTATATTTGGCTCCATATGTACTATAAATTAGGTATAAAATTAGTACCCATAAGTTTTCAGGCAGTGCTAACAAACATGAAGTTTTTTTATCTCAGAATTTTTTCTTCTTTTCTTTTTATTAAGCTCTTCATATTTAGTCTTCATATTTTCAATATCTATCTTGATCTAATCAACCTGATGATATAAGATAATGTTTAAGTAGTAAAATTTTAATGCTTCGAAATAAAATTTCTTTTATTATATTTAAGTCGTGATGTAATTTATTTGTGCTAGATTGTCTATTTGATTATTATACAACATTATTATTGTATATGGATAATATTTATTTATGAATAATCTCATATTGTTGTTTCCAAAGTTATTCCAAGAGGAACTGGAAGAATTCCACATTTAGATGGGCATTTTCCATCGACTGGTACTTAGGTGGCTAATGTCCATGAGAATCTATAAATTTGAATAGAATATAATTATACGTATTATTGAATTTTCCTTTAGCAGAAAGACCAACAGTTTTATTAAGAACGTTTAATCTTGCCTTAACATCAGCACCTTAGAATTTGGTTGAAGCAGCCAATAAAACTTAGACTCTGCTGACAGGTAAGTATTCAATTTCAAATCCATATTGATTGGAGTTCTTTCTGAAAACAGCATCAACCAGAAATTTTCCAATTCCAAAATTGCTAAATAATGGGAAAGATGGGATTTGATTGGTTATATGTCTAAAGTAAACATCATAATTTTAAGTTTAATATCCAACCAAAAAGTCTAGCTTATCAAATTCCTTTTTGCTGAGACATAATTGTGAAGCGACAACGTAAACCCAATTGTTGTGTTTGACTTATGATCTCAATAAGAAGTTGACTTTGTCTTAGTTTAACCATTCAAATCCTAATTAATCATATAAATAATATTACTTGCATGACTTAAGCATTTTTATCCTTCATAAACTGATCCAAATCTTATTGTTGATTTTGATGAACTATTATAGAATTACACATTAGCAAATAAACTTTATTGTTTGATGATATTAAATTTTCCAAAATCAACATGAACCTTAGTTTATTCTTTTCTTGTGGCAAACCAGAAATAATAATTGTTATATGGGAATTAGAACTTTGTTTCTTATCCTGGAGCCAAAGATTTAGCAATATCCAATGTGCCTTTATAATTTGCAATGCCTCCACCATTTGCTGAAGCCTTCACTTTCAAAGTTGCTTTTCCTGTTGAGAAATCATCTTCAACAAGCTTTTTTGCTGTGAAATCACCCAAAGATTACAATGGGGCTGGTGACAAGGATTGAGGGGTAGCCATAAATATTAATTAATATCTTTTTTAATTATTTTCTTTTTGTTTATTAGGATATTAATACGAATGTAATAGTATTTATATTTTGCTCAAATATGGCATCATTATTTTAATAAATATCTAGATCATAGCTCTTATTTAGGCCACGCCATTTCTGAATGAAAATACTGATTATATCTATTCAATTTTAGGTCAAAATTTATTATTAGATTGTCTTTTAAATTCTACAATATCTCGCAACAGTAGTTCAAGCTTCAATAACATTCGCAGCTAAAAGGCTATAGATATAGGTTACAACAGCGATGATTTTGCACTTGGGTACATCAATGGATCTCTGAATTTTATCTCCTAAATAGAAAGTGACAACAACAACTTGGGATTGTATAAACTAGATTTCTACAATATCATGATATTAGGACTAGTATAGATAAGATACTATTTACAACTTAAATTGTAAAACAATTCATTTATATTAATAATGAAATCAACTTTTACAAGGTCTGCTTAGAGAAATCTTGAAGAGCAACCAGTTTGTTCTTAATTCAAAGCATCTTCTCAGTTACATGCTGCTCTCCTTAATGAGTATAAGCGACCTGAAAATTCGTCAATGCCTAAAGTCACACTTACGTCCACCGGAAAAGAAGCTGTCAGATAAGCTAGACTCGAAAAAGAAGTCTAAAAATTTGAATATACTTTGCAATCTGAAGTTGCTTCATTGCCTAAACATCCTGCACCTATATTTAGAGAAGAAACAAAAGTAAGTTATCAAATTTAATACCAAGTTGCTTATTGAAAGGTAAAAGGATAATAGAAGAGAAAAGCATCTGAAGTTTTGCGATGAATTTGAGAAATGGGTCAATCGTCTTAATAAAAATTTAGAAGAGGCTTATAAAGATATTAAAAGAGATATTACAGATTTCTTTTCTGAATCAGATCAATAGATAACTAATTATTATTAAACACTTACTGATGAAGCCTTACTTAAAAGGGAAATTGAATTTGTGGAGAGTATTCATTCGACTGTTAATGCACATAGAGAAAAAAGGGAAACCAAAGTCAATGCACTTGATAAAAGACTAGAAGATTTAGAAAAAGAGAGATTTAGATCCTTAGAACTATTCTGTAATAGATTCTAAGAAGGTCTAATTGATGTGGCATTTCAATTAGAACCTGAAATAACTGCGCATGTGGATGTATGAGCTCTTATTATACACTCAGACTTTCAGAGAAGAGTTTCGAAAGGTTGTGGCAGAGAAGAGAGCAGAGAATTAAGTCTATGTTCAAGACGTCAATAGACAACATCAAAAGACATTCAAATTGTATGATGAGACACAAATTTAGAAAGAATAACGCTGGAGAGATTTAAAACATTAGCATTACATCGAAGAATTTAATGTTGATATTTAGAAATTAGAATTTGTCTATCCTGATGAAAGAACAAAATTGTATGATAATTTTAGGAAAACTTAAAAGGATATATTCAGAGAAAGAAAATAACTACTAGAGAAACTAAATTCTATTGATATGGCTGCATTAACAAAAACCATTGTTGAAAAGTGGATAGATGAAACTAAAGCATATAATGAATTAGCATCATAAACAATTGATGTTTGTTGTAATAATTTACTAGAAGAGACTAAAAAAACACATGCCCATTGTATGTAAAGATATGAATTAATCAAATCATAATTATTGTATGCTAGGGCTAAATCTGAAGAGGAATTAAATCAACTATTAGATGAATAATTCTTACCCTAAGTTAATGGTTTAAACCAATCGGCTAGAGATTTAATGAAACAAGCAATTAATTACTATGAGAGAATTGATTAATAATAGACCGATATAATAACTAATTTTGGCTAATTTTATATGAAAATAGCATAGAAGAATGATGAATACAAAACTGAAATGCAATTGTTAATACATAATTACGAAATTCAGAAAGCATAAGCAGCAGATAAAAATGATGAAGTATTAGAGGAACTAACCAAAAAGTTGAAAGAAAATAAACAAAAGTTAACCGAAGCATTGCATCACCCTCGTTTGGAAGAATGCTTAGCCTAATGCTATAAGGATTTGGATTTATTCGGAGAAGAATACGAAAGATTTCATTAAGATAATTTGGCTATAGCTAATTAACATCCGAACATAATAAGAAATAAGCATTAGATGTTTGAAAAATCAGCGTTAAGCATTTTTGAACTAGTTGATCCGCAAAAGGAATAATTTTTACAAGAGAAATACAGAAGGATAGCTGAAACCAAAATTAAATACTTAATTGCTAAGGAAGAATACAACAAGAAAATTGAAGAAGAGAAATAAATCGAAGAAGCAAAGAATAAAAAAGGTGGTAAACCTCCAGCTACAAAACCAAAAGATCCAAAAAAGTATCAATAAGAAAATATCATAGATTTTAATAAGAATTAGAGGACAGAATGAAGTAACTATTAAAGGAATAACCTCCTTAAGAAGTAGGTAAATATCACAGTCCTCTTGATTAATATTTTGTATAGTTTAGATCTACTATAGAAATTGCAGAACGTATGTACATTCCACCTGATGAAATGGAACAAGCTGTAGCTAAAGAGAAGTAAGAGGCTGATGAAATTGAATAACATTTGTAATAACAGAATGCACCAAAGGACCCTAAAGCAAAACCTGCAGTTGCTCCTCCTATTGAATTACCTAGTTATGTTCCAGAGGATGATGTTCCTAAGAAAGCGGTAGATTTTGCTGAATAACCTCCTATTAATGTGTTAAATTAGGCTGTTTTAGAGAGGGATGCAGTAATAACAATTGATTATTTGTCATAATTATTGAATCAAACGCAATAGAAATTGTTTGATTATATAACAAGTTGTCTTAACTTCCAAAATTAATAAGCTAATGAAAGTGATCAAGAATTTATTAAATAATCTGAAAATTAGAGGAATGAAAAATAGGCTTAAATAGATCCTTAAAAACAAGAAATCAAAAACACCATATATGTATTAAGAAGTCAATAAATTACTATGCATAAAAAAAGGTGAAATTAAATATTAATTAATTAGATATGAACGATATGCAAAGTAATTAGTAGAAAGGATTGATGATCAAACAGAATAGATTAATTTCTTATTAGAAGGTGGATTATTGGATATGAAGGATTATATTTAAGAGCAACAAACACTCAAAAACAATCTACAATCTGCAACTACTTTAGCCAAATTATAAGGAATTCAAAATACTGTTAAAGAGAACTATTTCAAATTTGGAGAAAGTAAGCAATTTATTAATAATAGAAATAAATGATTTGGAATAAAAATTAAGTTATTTGGCAAATGAAGAATTGGATGTTTTTTTGCAAAAAAATAAAGATTTTATGAGAGATTGCAAACCAAATGAATATTTTAAAGAAGAATTAGAATGGTATCAATAAATGATGGATGAACATAATGCTACAATTGTAAAGCATAAGGAAAAGAGAACACAACGATTAGAAGAAATGAAGAAGGTATTGACAGCCAAAAGATAAGAATAATTGGATAAGTTTGAATAAGAATACATTGTAGCCGTTGAAGATTTAGCAGCTAAGGATGGTACTGGAAAGAAGTATGGAAGACCTAAAAGAATAGCGTAAGAAAAATTAAGAACAGAAATGACCAAATGTGAAAAAGCATAAGAATGCATCAATTTCAAAATATAAGAATTGAAGGATCTTTATGAATTATTCAAAAAAAAATAAGGTGATTATTTTGCTAATCTTGATCCTTCTTTTTCAATTAAAATTAGAAAAATATTAAGTGGAATTTTGGTTTGTATCAAAAGATATGCAACTCATATTGAAGCACTTAAACCAGATAATAAAGTAGTAGATATGCCAAGGATCACATGGAAGGAAAATAAATTCGATACTATTTTAGAGAATGAAGAATAATAAGAAGATAAAAAAATAATTGAAAATGATTTAGAAAGTATGGGACCTTTATTTTATACTGAAAAGAAACTTTAGGAAAGTTTAGTAGAAATTGAAAAGATAATTAAAGAGGAAGCAATTAAAATTTATGCTGATAAATAGAGATTCTTAACAGGAGCTGATAAAATTCCAGATTATCTTAGAGCTTATATTGAGAATATGTAAAGGAATATGAACGAATTCAGAATATAATCTATTAGAGAACTCAGAAATGCTTGCGAAGAATTATCAGAAATGTCTCCAAAGATAAGTGAAATGATTCTATTCTCAAATCATTAAAGATGGATTTTCACTTTGTAAATGCTTAACTCTAATTTATGGAATGAATTACAATAGGAATAGAGTAAACAAGAGAATCTTAAAAAGACCCATTAGAAATAACTAAGACCTAATTTAGGAAATCCGTAAATAAAAGAAGAATTAGATGATCTTAAATCCAGAGAAACTAAAAGAATTTCTGATTTTTTGGAATTACTATCAAAATATTAAGTAACCCTTTTTGATGAGAATTTTAATCAAGGAGATAAATATTTAAAAGCTGCAAGCCAAAATTTTGAATTTTTGTTGCTTTTTTATGATTCGCTATTGTTATTTGAGGATTTTATAAAATTACCTGGTGATGAGCAAATACAAAAGAAGCATTAGAATTTGAAAGTCTCTTTGAGATAGAAGTAGAGTGGTTAAATCATAGATACAAATTCAGAAAGATCTCTAAGTAAAACCTGGGAAGGTGTTTAATTGGAATTGTTTACTATAGGAGATAGAATTGTTCAATATAATTGGCAAATCAATTAAGTAATAAAGGTAGATCCAAAGGATGCAAAAAATAAAGCCCCAGAAGCTAAGAAACCAGCTGCAGGAGGAAAGCAATAGGAAATTGAAAAACCCGTATAGACTACTACAACGTATTTTATGTAATAATTTTAGGCCATTAAAATCATTTAAGACTTTTAGATAGATATCAGCCAAACATGAGTTCTTTAAATCAATAAATGAATTCGTGATTGAGTACAAGAGATAAGTTGATTATGCAAAAGACTAAATAAAATTACTTAGTGAAAGAGAGTTAAAGTTCCAATTTAAATGGGAATAAAGCATTGCTTCTTTGTGATGTTAATATAATTTATATATATTTTATGATATTTCCAACTGAGCCTTACATTAAGAAGAAGTTCTTCTACAAGAATATGTTGGCAGACAACTCTAAGATAGACTTCCTTAATTAATATAAGGTTTTATAGTAAATGAAAGACAATCATAGTAGTAAAAATAAACAACACATTCACACATAGGGTACACAGGTAAGTCTATACAAGCCGATGTTTAGTATTCATTCACCACAATCATCGCAAACAATAAATAAATCAGAAAGACCAGGATTTAGTTCAGTTAGGCGATTTCATACTCACAATTCTTAATAAACTATCTTAAGCAAACCTGTCCTTGAAACTCCTTAAATCGAAAGCAGAAAAGAAAGGAGAGCCCCGTTACATAAGAGAAAACTTGTATTGAAATAAACATCCTTGGATATTATAGAATACTTGGAATTTTTGAAGTGTCAAAAGAAATCTAACAATTCTATAAAATATTCAGATTTACTCAAAGAAGACGGTCAGATTATCACAATGAATTAATAGAAATAATAAAATTATAGGAAACAAAAGGAAGAATAGAGGAATTATTTGCAATTATTATATTAATGGTAAATCACATCCATAATCCTCTAGCACAAATCTAGTTTCTCGTATTTAAGATGGTAATAAGTTCTAGGATATTGTTAATTCGTGTACTCATCAATATCCTAATCTAAAACATACGATCGACTAGTTGATGCAAGATATCGAAGTTGCTTCACAGATCTATACAAGTCTAACTTAATTAGGAGCCATTCTTGGTAGAATTGCTGGAGTCGACCATAAAATATTTTATTTGATGTTTAGACCTAGAGGTGAATATCCAGAATCAAATTAATATTATTCTGTTGATGAAGATCTCTGCAGAAACTATAAATTTATAAAACCAACCAAATACGATATTTATTATAGAATTTTCGGGGCAGGTGATTTACCTGTCGAATTTTAGGATTAATTAGGTGAATCTGCTCCTTAAATTAAAAGGCATAAAATAAGGCATTCTGAATATTAATATGCTTAATTAAATTAAGAAGCTCTTCCTTCTATTGATTATGATTTTGTTAAGAAGATATCTTACTATCAAAAGAATTTGTAACTATTCTTAAAGCAGAAATCAGGGGATATCTTAACTAATATCAGATAATCTATGATGGATGAAGAAATTAAAAATAGCACTCTACTTAGAAATACCATACTTTCGAAATTAATAGATTCTGAAAATTAAATTGGCCATTTCCCATTAGTAACTAGATAAAATAGATATTTATTCGAAAAGTTTGAATACGATCAAAGAATTCTTAATAAATAAAAAAACTGAAAGACTTTCAATAAATTTAGGTTGATTATTTATATTATAAAATATAGTTATAATAAAATTAATGAATTGTCTAATTTGTCATTTGAAATGCAATACAATTATCTCCAATTCTTTCACAAAATATGTATTAAAGTTATGGCTATTAAGTTTTATATTTTAATAACTCTAAAAATGAACCTTTCATTTTAACAATAAGAGTTTAAAAAATTGAATAGTATAGCAATTAATGATTTGAATATACTATTATATCTTTGCAATTAATAATAAATAAATTTTTACATTCCAATGAGCTAAAGAATAGAATCCTAAGGGCTTTAATCTGGTTAGATCTAGTGCCAATTCGATGATAATTATAGACCATTTAATAAAACTCCATCTTGCTCACCCTTGCCTTAAAATGAGGCAGAATAGTTTGATGATTTAAACTGTTCTATATTGTCAAATACCAATTTTCAAGTTGATGGTTTTAAAAGCTCAAAATACAAATCGAAAAATTAGCGGATAAAAATCTAATCAAACTTATTTGAAGTTATGAAAGTTGATAAATTAGTAGCACTTTTTAAAGAAAAATTAATGTTGAAAGCCCATGTTTTGAGTTAATCCAAAAGGGAATTGATTAAAAAAATTATTAATGAAAAGTATGTCTAACAAAGGGAATCAAACGTTTTGCATGATTTTCCTACTCGTTGCGCAAAATTAAGTCATCAACTTTTTGATTCAGGTAATTTTTTCCTCTAAATTTGGTCTTATATAAAGACTATCATTTTACTAATCTTATTATGGGTTTATCCTTTTCTTTGGAGTTTCAGAATTGAGAGTGAATATCATTCACACACCATTGTATTTATTCTTTTGGATATCATCTTAAAATTAAATACTCAATTAGTATTTTAGGGAAATGTATAATATTACATAATCTAATTAGGTCATCAATTCAAGATCTGAGATACTGTCCTTTTACTTTAGATCTTAATTACTATTTGACACTCTTATCATTATTTCTGTTATTACTATAAATTAAACAATTTAAGGAAATCAAAAAGTGTAAATAGTAGAGATAATTTTTGTGTTCATCTTCTCCTTTTTGATTTACAGAAAATTTACTGAAGAAGTAGCTAAGATTAATCAATCAACTTAGATTAATAAACTATATAGAGAATATTTTAATTTATTCTAATTACTAATATTAATAGTTTATTTTATTCACATTTTAGCATGTATTTGGAATTATGCAGGCCATGAATCCTAAGAATATTATTAGAACAGTTGGATTGTTTAAGCAAATATTTTTAATGAAAAAATAGAAATTCAATATTTATATTCATATTACTGGGCGGCTGCAACAACTATTACTGTCGGATATGGAGATGTATCTCCTAAGAATCCAATCGAAATACTAACTTGCATATTTTCAATGCTATTCTCTAGCTTTATCTTTGCATACTCTATTAATTCAATAGGAAATATATTATACAATATAAACCTTCAATAATCACAGTTTATGTAATTTTATTATTGTACTTTTTAGTCAAAGCATTCGTGCTATTTCAGCATATATGAATTAATATCATGTTCCTAATTAATTATAGAATAGAATTAGAAGTTATTTGTAATATTCGAATTAAGAATAATCAGATATTGATTAGGAATATAAAGAAGTGATTGATAATAAATTATCACAATAATTAAAAGAAGAATTGAAATTCACAGTCTTTAAATACATCTTATAAAAAAGTAAGATTTTACTGAACAATTTTTCAGAAGAATCTTTGAAACAAGCATCACAAAAATTGATTTCACGTCAATATTGTCCTGATGAATTAATTTTTATGTAAAACATATAGGATGACAATTCCTTGTACATGATTGATTCAGGCAAGGTTTAATTGATTGATACAAAGTCCGATACTACTATTTGTACATTAACAAATGGATAGTTTTTTGGTGAAAATTCTTTCTATACTCTAAATCCAAGGAAGTGCAGCGCAAAAAGTATTGGATTCACTAAAATATTCAGTATCAATAGAGATGACTTTTTGTCTGTATTATCTTAAACAGATCTTTAGAAGTTTCATAACATCAAAGACAGAATACTCTAAAATTTATCAATAGATGGAATGCTATGTTATCTTTGCAATAAAGATGATCACATATTGTTTAATTGTAATTACCTGAATTATAAACCTGATATCTAAAAACTCATTTAACTTTACAATAAGTCTCAGCAAAATAGAACGATCAGAGTCAAAAGATACCGTTAAAAATTCAATTCGCTTAAAATAAAAACAGTATTATATTCTAAATATAGAAGATTGTTTAAGATAATCAAAAGGCATACATTAACGATTTATAGTAGGATGATTAACTATCCGATTAAGATGAAACTAACAAAAACTCAATATCCTAACTATAGCCAAGTCTTGACACACCATCCCAAGAATTGACAAATTAATCGCCTATCAACTTAGAAGGTTTCCCTACTAGAAATTCCATTTATAAAATTGTTCATCCCAAAGGAAATGAATCTAAATAAGTTGCTATACCTAACAGTAATACCGTCATGAATTTAGAACCTTCAATAAAAGAAATCCAACTTAAATCAAACCTTAAAATTGAAAGGATGGAAAGAGAGAAATCATAAAAACTTACAAAAACATGGAGATCTTAATTCTTTACTTCATTAAATAATGCTAATTTTGAAGATCTAGTTGAATTTGAAAAACATTAAGAATTTCAGCATTATTTTCCTCATAACAATTTTACGGATATTATAATTGAGTATAATAAAATTGGAAAATCTTTAAGAAGACTTTCTAGGAAATCATAACGATCTGTTTTTAAGAATCCTATGAAAAAAAAAAGTTAATGAAATATTCAAATAATTAACATTTATTTATTTAATTTTAGGAATAATTTAAGAATTTAAATCTTAATTTATACAATACAAATCAATTATATCATTGAGTATTATTGTATGGAACACATCCAGTCCATGGTCTAACAACATACGAATTGAAACGTCCATCGAATTACAATGTATTTGTTACTGTGTTTTGGACTTATGTTGCATATAACAAGTTGTATTCAACTGGATCTCTTGCTAAAACCCACATGAAGAATTTTGATGGTTCACTAACTATAGCCCATTGATATTATTCATTTTTAACTGGGCCTAATTAGACAATCCAATAATCAGCATATTCAAAAGGTGCTCCTTCCAAATGTACTTTCAGTTAACCTGGTAATTCTGGATTTGGAATATAAGCATAGCCTGTAATTTATTTGATTTCACCTGAGGGTGATCCATATCTTTCCATATTTAAAACACTCAAATTTCCATCTTATTAAAGACCATATGTTGCTCTATTGCAAAAAGCATCTTTTTCAAATGTTAAATGAACCCAAGGACTGCTGGCTACTTCATACCAGTTACCCAAGTATTGGGTGACATTAAGTGTTTAAACACTCTATAATTAGGCAGATGCTAATCCAAGAAGTACAACTAAAATTAGTTTGTTCATTTATTAATGAAAGATCAAGAATTAAATTCTGCATTTATTTCATAAAATAAGAACAAAGTGCTTCTTAAATAATAATGCGTCACTCATTAATAAGTAAATATTAATTATTATCTTATAATCGATAAGAGATTCAAATTTACATATCTATATATATTTTTTATGTGTATAAGAATGATTTGTATATTATTATGTACTTTGATTCGAACAAGCCATATGACTTAAGAAAACCTAATACTTTGTGATATGAATTATTTCCAATCTTAAAGAATTTCTGTGAATAATTGTTCTTGAGTGATTAATTACGAATTAGCATTCTTATCTTTTGAAATTGTTTGAAAATTTGTTGAAATTTTAGGTCCTACAACTCCTCACTTTTGGGTTCTAAGGTTAAATTCCATTCCAGATATATGGAACTTGTCTGATTGTCTTAGGAAATTAAAAGACTGCCATTTACTTAAGCATTATTCATTTTTTAAGATATTTGGCTTTGTTGTTATCATTCTGCCAATATGCCCATAAGCATTTTAGACTTAATAGGTTAAATAAATTTATAGTTTCTTTATTCTCTTTCTTTTCATGATCTAAAATAAAGCTTCTAAATTTTTTTAAAAATTAATAGTTATTTCCTTTAAATTTATGTCCAAATCCATTTACAAAACCAACTTCTTGAATCTAAAGGTTTCTAAGTGTGTATCCAAGATCTTTTCATTGAAACAAATTCAATGCCAGTAATGCGTTCATCACAGTTTGAATTCACTAAAATATTAATTTATCCTTATCCCACATACAATTTACCATTTTTTAGTATAACGATTTATCAAATTAGTAATTGAGTTAACTTTATTGGAACTCGTTATCTAATTCTTTTACGGTTCTTAAAAAGCATATACTAATTCCCTATATTTAGATAACAAAGAAATGGTTTATCAAATAATATTCTTATATTTCCATAATTATAATCTATAATTCAAATTAAATAACCAGAAGTAATTCTAAATGAGTTAAATGAGAATTCAATATCTTAAAGTCAAATTATAGGGCTACTCTCAGGAATCGTAAATTTTATATTTATAATTTCATATATATTGATTCTATGATCTTCTTTTTCTCGACTCAATTGAATGTTACTCTATTAACACTCTATCAGAATATCAAGTTCTTCTTTAGATTTACCAATCTGTTTATAAATTCCATCAATAATTAACACAATTTCTATTTAAAATTGAAATTAATGTTATTAATATGAATTTTTGTAAAAATTAATTCAATTAATAAAATATTGACTTGATACTAAAATATCGTAAGGAATATTTTGTTCTACATAGGCCATTTCAATATGATTGTCTACAATGTAAGTATGGAAATCCCAGAATCTTTCAGCTGCAAGTAAATATAATAAATAATGAACTACCTTATTTTTTGTTATTTTTCATTCTGTATTTATGAAATGCTTATAAGGCCATCTAGCCAAAATGATTTTAATAAAGCTTAAGTGAGACAAGCATATCATTTGTTTCTAATGATTCTGCTATCATCTTCAAACCGTTGTCATCAATATCATTCCTTACCATATCTAAATGTATTAAGGTTCTCTAAGATTCAATCAATATATTTACATTTTTGCTTAAAGCCTATGATATTGCTTTTGCTCCATAATGTCCTGTTCTATTTGATGTTAATATAAGACTTTCTAAAACACAATATTCACCGCACAAATATTTAGCAATAGCTTCACAGCCTTTAAATGAAATTCGGTTTGCTGTTAAGTCCAATACTCTTAACTTATTGTTTTCTAATAAATGCTCTGTGATGATGTATATGGCATCACATGTAAAATTATGTTTTTACAGAGATATTTTTTCTAATCCTCTATTCGAATGAAACATTTTGCCAAAGTGTATTGCTGTCTCTTATCCAATAGAATGATACACTGGATTATCCAAATTTAATATTTACAATGAATTATTCTTCCAATTCAAAATTGATGTAATTGCCTAAGAAATCTAAATAAATTAATTACAATAACGCCATCATGATCTATTCCATTATTGGCTAAATTTAACTCTAAAATTGTTTTATTATTAAATAACATCTCAACAATAGACATAGCACCTTTTGTTTATAAATTATTAAAGTTCAGATTCAAATGAGTCAATGTTTATATATCCTTAATCCCTTCAGCAATCAACTCTCCTCCTTCCACACCAATTTTATTACTCTATAAGTTGAGACTTTCCAATGTATTACATCCTTATTTAATTAAATAAGATTGAGTACCTGATAAAAACTTTGATAATTCTTGAATTCCTACATTAGTTATCTCATTAAAAGATAGATCTATATGTTGTATATAATCCTTGTAATTCTGAAGACAAGAAAGCAGTAAAATTAAATCTTAATCTAACATTCTCTGATTGAAATTGAGCTTATAATTTCCTCTAAAAATTAGGTTAATATCATTGGCTTTAGTTTAATAAGTCCGAACTATTGCTTCATTTACAGGTTTTGAAAATTCAGAACATTATCTTTTATAATCAGTTGCAATTTTAGGTCTAATAATTGCCCAATCCATTATTTTAATTAATGCAATAATAATTAACATCTCAAGTTATTTTAGATCGTAATCAAGAATTCAAAGGAGTTGAGTTTCAATTCAACTCTAGAAAGATTGTTGTCGAAAACATCGATCCTCTAGAGCCATTATCAAAATATATTGATGCTGATAAGCTCAATGAAATTCTCAGTAACTATAATATTACTAGGAAGATTTCAAAATTGAGGATCCTAAGAAAGGCGAGGAAGGCATCAAATTGAATTAACATATTAAATATTATGATTTTTCAAGACCTCCCACTGGTATTCCTAAAAAGGCTTTTAGGGCATATAGTGCAATCGCAAAGAAAAAGAAGTGAATGCATATCATAATTATTATTTTGGCTATTCTAGAAATATATTTAAGCATTTTGAGCATAGCATTGAATAATCATTTTCTATTACTCTTATGTGCACTAAAAATTAATAAGTTATCTTATTTTTTTTTTTTTGATTCAGCTTGGGATTAGCTAAATTAAATGAGCTATTTCGAGTAATTATTTAATTTTTGTTTAGATTAGTGGTTAGTTATATATTAATAATTTATAATAATTGAATGACAAACTCTAGGGTTCATGCCATAGATTCTCTAAAACCTCAATCTTTATTACATATAGAATCTCCCGATCAAATTTGTGAAAATCCGTTAGTTGTTTGTAAAACAGCCTTGAATATTAAATCCATTCTCAAAAAATAAGAAAAATAGTAGACAGAGAAGAAATAACTATAATTTAAAGATGATCTAAATAAAATTTATGTGGTTGAAAATTGGAAGATTTATAATATCCCATTTGAGGAGGAGGATAGTTGCTGTTGTTTAATATCATGAATTTCAATATTAATAAATTCATACTAATTAACTAAATCATAATTATGCACGCAAGTATTAAGTTATTTCTTAAAACGATGGTCTTTTATTCGGATCTTGATCCCAACATTTGGTCATCAAATCTTTTAAAAACTAAGGACATCCTAACTAAATTAAGTTTAGATCTGGTCTTCCATTATCAACAGTTACTAATTTCATTATAGCTGGAGGATTTGTAGATAAAGATTTATAAGGAGTTTCTCGGCAACATATTTCCCATAATACTATCTAAAAGTTGAAAAATAATAAATACTGCATACGAATAAACATCTGCTTTTATAGTATAAGGTACATTCTGAAACACTTCAGGAGCCATCCAATGCTACCATTTACATAATATAAAATACAAATGTTCCTAATATTCCAGTCATTATCTCGCCATTATCAGCCTAAACTCTTGCAAGCCCAAAGTCTGCTATTTTTATATTCACTTTAGATTAATCATAAGTCTATTCTAATAATAAACTAATATTTCATAAGAGATTCATTTACTTTAAGCTTTTTAGGTCTCTATGTATTAATGGGGGATTCAATTTATGTAAATGTAACATTCCTTCTGCAATTTGCAATGCTATTTTAACTCTATTCTACCAACTAATATCTAGGTGTTTTTTTCTATGTAATAAATCAAATAATGTTCCTCCTGCGCAAAATTCAGTTACAATATATAGTTCATCTTCTTTTTAAGATATTCCCATCAATTGGACTAAATTATTATGCTTCTGAATTGTTACGAAAGCGGATATCTCTCGCCTAAATTCCTTTAAATGGTTTTCATTCAAAGATTTTATTTTCATTTTCTTTATCGCCACTTCACCTCCTCTCCAATATCCTTTATATACTTCACAACTACTTCCAGTACCAATTAATCTTTCTAACTTTAATTGATCATGATTAATCATCCATTCTTAAACGTCTAAAATATGATGAAAATTTATTTACTTCTTCCCTACTTTTAAAAATAATCTACTACTTAAAAATTATTTTATTATTATTATAACTATAATTATTAACTTAGATTTACTTTTTATTAAGAAACTTTATTAATTTATTTATTTTGGTTTAGATAGTTCAATTAATCGAAATAATTGTTATTTATTGGTTAAGAATTTGCTGATTAAATTCTTTAATTTTAATGAATACCATTTTATTTATCTGAGCCATTCTTTTTTTCACCCCAGTTCAAGAATTCATCATCATTTAACAATTCTTTTGTTAATTTAACATTTTAATTAGCTAAAGGTGCTCTTAAATTATTTTATTATTATTCATTAGGTTTATTTGGGAATTGCTCTGTCTCATCTTCATTATGTTGCTCTTCATCGTCATCTGAAAATTCTAAACCTTGATATAAATAGGATCCTTATTATTATTGCTTGGTTTATTTCTTTTTATAATCTATACTTTTAATTGAATTTTATTAATTTTATAGCTATTGATTAATAAATTAAGCTTCTTGTGTTTATTACTATTATTATTATTATTATTATTATTATTATTATTATTACTATGATTACTATTATTATTATTATTATTATTATTACTATGATTACTATTATTACTACTGCTAATATTGTTATTATTATGATTGCTATTATAATATATTAGCACCATTAGAAGAACTATTTACAGTAGGATCTAAATCAAAACTGAACTTATTCACTCTTTCACAATATGGTTATACTGATAATACTGGTTTAATTGGATATTATGTTGCAAACTTCTCATTTCTTGGATCCAATTCTACAACTTCATCATCATATTCCATCACTTACGTACTCATAATCTCACCATAACTTTATGGTAGTTTAATTCCATCAATTGACATAGAATAGCTTAGATAATCATAAATATTAAATTCTCCTTTAATAGATTGAAAAAATGGTACTTTTTTCAAAGTCTCAATTACACTTCTTGGAGGATCAGGTATTATTTAATAAAATTAAGGAATCTATTTGCATGAATGAAAAAACGAAATTGTATTTTCAAAATTGTTTTGATAATCATCTTATAACTATATAAAGATTGATTTTATTTCATTATTTTAAGAAGTCACTCCACTAATATAATTCGTACTCTATTTTAAAGCATAATATATATGAGTGCATGTACATAAAATATTGTATAATTCATCTGCCATAGTTATTGCAAATCCTAATTATAAGTTATAGAGGGATGACTTTTAGAATGAAAAACTATTAATGAAAGTATTGAACTGTTTCCACAAATTAATCAAATTATTTAAAATTGCAATACTTAATTTTAATTTATCCTTAGAATTCATATTATTAAAGAATGGAACCATTGCAAAATTTCCTTCAAAATATTTTAAGTAATATTAATGGAATTTAACCTTTTCTATTAAAATAAGAGAATAGCTGTATAATAAATTAGAAAAAAACTGAGATCTAAATTTATCCTTAGATACTTTAGCCATATTAGATTCTTAAAAGTTTTTGATCTTTTCTAATATAGCAAGAGGTGATGAATTTTAATTAGTAACTAATAGAGCTTCTTAAGGTCCTTTTTTCAAGTAATTATGTAATAATAACAAAGCCTTAAAACTAACTATAACAGAATTTAATTGTAATCTGTTAGATAGCTTTTCATAAAATTTTGGAATTTTGGCTTTCTTCTACCATGCTTTGACATGAAGATAACGGAAGTATTTTTGATTTGGAGCAGCATCAACTTCTTCCAAACATGCAGCAACCCAAAAATCAGTTTTTTAGGCTACTTTACTGACTAATTTGACAAATTTTGTTGATAGTGATGATGAAGAGGGATGTTGAAAATCAATTAATTCTAATTAGTTCATTTTACCATTTTCATTCCTTTAAGTAACAATTTCTCTATTCATTTTTTCATTTGTTGATAAACTTCTAATATGAATTTGAGATTGAACAGGACTGATAATTTTTATATTTATACTTCTAGTTAAGTAGATACGTGTGAATGTACTCTTCAATTTATTCTGCACTCAATCGGTCCTTTGGATTAGGAATCAATAGAAGTTTGATTAAATCTTATAATTTATTACTATAAAGACCCCATTTCGGACTAATATTGTAAAATTGATACTTTTTTACCCAATTGGGATTTTAATCATAGCGGACTTTAAATAGAATGTAATACATTAATTATCCTAATGCGTAGATGTCAACCTTTTTGGTAATTGGCCATCTTTATGAAAAGTCCTTTTATTCTGGGGCTCTGACATGCTCAAAAGTATTGGTTTCAATTTCTTCTTTAATTTTAGGAATGTATTCATATGGCAAATAATCATATTACTCTATTATACTATTTAATACTTAAAAAAAGCAGCGTTAAAAGTTCCATAATTTAGCTTATTTGTCCAATCCAATCAATACATTTTCAGGTCTGATATCGCGATGAGTGATGCCTAAACTATGACATTGCTTTAATCCTTTGCTCAAATCTAATAAGATCTACACTTATTTTTCTGCTTACTTTTAGGACTTGAGGTTCCTCTAAACCTTTTTGTGAATCCTTCAAAATATTTTGGAGGACTTCAGCTTTTTCAAATACTATTACTTTAATATTTTATTGTAGATCCCCTTCAAGGGCTTTTGCAATGTTGCTGTTTCCATAATCTTTGAAAATTTGAACTGCTTGTAATTCAGTATTCAAACACTAAATTAGAATTCATAATTTAAGTTATTACTTTCTCCTACCCATTGTCATATACCTTCACTACATAATTGTACTCAGAAGTTGAATATAATCTGTATTTAGTACCCTGGAAGCAAAGTTAGGAAAGGTAAACACTCTACTTGTTTCCAAAGAGCACTTTTTGTTATTACATTTATTAAAATAATATATAATTTAAATCTATGTTTATAATTGCAAAATTTGATCAATTGAACAAAAATTTTATATAAAGTCTTTGAGATTAATTTGTAAATTCCAAAGAATTTGATGAATTCTGAAAAAGTGTAATAACGATTGTCTGCTGTTGAAAATTCAATTTATGGGATGTCTATATGAAGGTTATTGTAAAATAGCATGAATATTAAAAAAATTTAGTTTAGTTTTAAATTCCTATTCTTATAGCTGAAAATACATCAATAAAGATTTTAATTTTTATATTAAAAAATAAAACTGTTTATCAAATGAAGCCGTCTTAATTCCTCTATTCAGAATCAATTAAGGAGCAGAAGGCTCAGAAGGCAAACGTAACAAAAGTAAATTATTAATTTGATAAATATAGTCGATTGGAGAGTTGAAACCTTTGCCTAAGACAGCCAATGCTCCAAAGGATTAAAATTCATCAATGATATACTCATTGGTGAGTTTACCAGTGTAAGAGACTTCATTTATTTCATAGAAAAGAAGGACAGAATGACACTGTAGTTTTCCCACAATCGTTAATTTCTTAATCCATGAATATTAAGCCACAAGTGGTTGTTGGCAAAAACACAGAGATCGCTAGAAGCCTGAAAAAACTGAAGCCCTTAGATAGTTTGGAAGCTACTCCTGAATCTGTACCACCAGGGACTGGGAAAGGAGTCAGTGGAGAATAATAACAATAATTGCAAGGACCCAAACTTTAAGTTTATTTGAAGTCATTGAATTAATTGACAAATGGTCAGTTCAAGAAGACACAAACACAATTGTTATTCGGATCCATTGAACCAAAGCTTAACAATAATACTGTGTTATGTGTATTGCGTATCCAAAAACTTAAATTTTTCAATGAATATAACTAGAAGAATGAGAAGGTATAAATGACTAAATCTACATAAGATTCCTTCATTGTTTTGTTGGGAGGCTATCTATCGCAAGAAGAGTTTAATGAAGACGACTCCAAAAGAATTTGATGCAGCTTAACAAGATCTGTTAGATTTTGTATACACTAGAAATGCATATGAGCCAGTTGATATAATACTATGGAAAATAAAAAATAACGATGAAGTAATTTATTCCTTAAACTTAAGAAATATGTTGGATAATTTGATATATCAAACAACGATTATTAAAATGCAAGAGAAGTCCTTGATTTTAAATCAAAAATCATTTGTGAAACTCAAATTGAGAAGGAAATGTTCAAAACTATGAAATAGACAAAATCCTATATTGGTAATGTCTAATTCTAACTAATTTAACTTGGTCATGAGAAGATCCCATTAAGTATTGAAATCAAACTATATTAAAGATAAACACTCTGGAATTCCAGGATCTCCAAGAACTGAAGAAGAAAAGGCTAGACACAGAACCATAGATGCTGCCATGTCTGGCTAAGAATACAGATGGTATGTAGATGAGAATGGCAAACTTTTAATTGAGAAGATAGACAAAGTCTCATAAGAGATTGTTGCTGAGTGCAGTATTGAAGTAGTTGCTGATGAATGTGGACAATTACATCTTGTCTACGAAGAAAAATATACGGATCCAGATAAATATGGTAGATCCAGACCAACCTCAAGAAATATGAGAAAACAACATGCTGATGCTACAATGGCAATGATTAAAGAGTTGGATAAAAACGGTGCATTTACTGAAGTTTAGACGAACATAAGAAATCTTAGCAGATAAGGGAGAGTAACAAGAAAGGTTATTGAAGAGGCCTTATATACAATGGGTTGTACTGCTAATTAATTGCTTTTGACTGAATGCTCAGAATTTGGTGATTGTTTAATGGACTTTTTACTTGTTACAGATGATCTAGCAGGAGTATTGGAAGCCATGTAAGAATTGAAGATTGTTGGAGAGGAGGATTAGAATTTGGAAAGTTTCTCCAATAATTTATTCTAAAATATTGGATAACATTTGAGAAAGAATACAAATCTTAAATCAGTTATTCAGTTTATCTTAGCATTAGAAAAGAAGCCTGAAGTTGCACTATTGATCTAAAATTATTCTTACGCTCCAGAGAATGTATTATCTAATACACCTCCCTTCTTATAGAGTAATCTATTGATTAATATTGTTTTTAGACTTTGATCCAAAAAATTATGAGCATGTGATGGTGTTGAGTAAATTAAATAAAATGATTCAGAATTTTAAAATAAATACTAAATTCACAAGAGCTTTGAAGAAAGCACATGTTGAGGCTAAGAAGTCTATTTATTTTGAGATTCCATGCTTCCCAAAAAATAAGGATTTGGATGATAAATCAGACTCCTTGTAATTGAAATAAATGGGATAGAATATTATGCATGAAGTAGTAAGAAGATAAAAGTGGAATAAGAGTCATATAATTTTTGAGAATTATTCCGAATGGTTCTTTGTAGCTGATGAATAAGGAATTACTCCATTTTCTAGAATGATGGAAGTAGCCCCTTTTGATGTTATCAAATCTCTTTTTGCAGCTTATCCTGATTAGTTAAAAAGCATTTTCAGCAAATTTGATCCAAATTAAGAATTATTTGAAGGAAGGGTGCCCAAAGTTGAGAAAAAGAAAAATGAATAAAATAATGATAATTAAGGAGGTGATGGAGGTGATAATGGTGATGAAGACGGAGATGGTGGCGAAGGGGGAGCCAAGAAAAAAGAAGAAAAAAAAGAAGAGCCTTCAGAAGATGATCTATATAAAAAAGGAAAAGAACGTTAGGCAGCTAGAAGGGCGTTTGAACACGTAACAATGTAAAAGGAGTATAAAAAAAATCTGATTCATTGTTTACTCTTAAATCCAGATTTTAATCAAAGTGATTTGTTGGATCTCTTAAGAAATATTGAATTATTGGTTAACGAATCCAACGAATCTAATTTTGAGACATTAAAAACCCAGAAATTAAGAGCTGGAGATTTTACACCTCTAGGATTGTACTTAGAATTATTGAGATCAAAATGCAAAAAGAAGTTGGATAGAGTTTAAAGGGAAATCGGTACATCTTTATTCATTTGCCAAATGCTGACTCCAAATATTGATGAAGAGGAGAATAATAATTAATAACAATAAGAAGGATAAGAAGGGTAAGAACAACAATAAGAATAGAAAGCAAAGTCATCATTTGTTTGGGATAGACAAAATCAATTTGTGATTTCCTAAATAATTGGTAAATTACCTGAAAGTTTATTCTAATAATTTGATGATCTATTCAGATTCATTAAATGGATACCTCCATTTGAGGAATTAAAAACAATCAGATATATCAACTTACCTTATCGATAATTAATCAAACATAAGTAATAACAAAAGTTGTTTGCAATCTTATAATAAATGTATGATGAAATCAAATAAAATTCAAATTATGACCCAGCAGATGTAGAATCTGAATAGAACCAAAAGATTCTTTACACAATCCAAATCTGGACATTGATGTTATTAGAGATCAGAAATCTCAGATCATAAAGACTAGAATAAGTAGCCTCCCAATTATTATCTTAATTAAGAGAGTTCACTTAATCATACATTGAATTGTTGGTTGTACCCATGCCAACAAATATTACATCTTCATATTACCCCTTATAACATCAATATGATTCCAATCCAAACACTATTCTCGAGTTCTTCAATGCCATTAAATTCAATATTTTATTGACAGATCTCCCCGTTTAAAGTTTGGATAAATTGGATATCAAATAGTTGGCTAAAGCTTTGTCTAGATGCAAGGATAAAGAACCACTAAGAGATTTAATCAGATTGGTATTAACAAAAGATTAAGGAAATCAAAATGCAGGAGCAGAAGAATAAGATTCGGAATATGATCGCAAATAGTTTGAATTGGCAGTAGATTCTAATGTGATTTTTAGTGATGAAGATGGATCTTATAAACATTTGCTTGATAAAAAGTAGGTTGAATAATTGTTATTAACCTATAAAGCAGAAAAGATATTACCTTTGGCAAATGGCAAATCAGATAATTTTACTAATCATGTTCATGGAATTATTCTGAATTCATTCCAAACTAGAAAGTCTGTTGGTGTTACTTAGTAATAAGTAGCATTGTGGATTAGAAATAATGAATCCAAAATAGATTCAAGATGGAAATAAAGATACATTGATTTCTTCAGATTGAATATGTCTATGTAATAAATTCACACATTGATTGATATTGAAATTCCAAAGCCTGCAAGAACATACCATAATCAAAATAAGATTTATCCCTACGTCTAAGCCTAAGGAAAGAATTGGGCATCAATATTGGATGTGAGAAGATTCATCTCTGCAATCAAGGACAATATCCAATACATCAACATTGAAAACACTCTAAGATCAGTTGCTCTTAATGGACAATATGAGAAACTAGAATAGGTTTTACCATATGTTAAGGATGCACAAATCATCAGATAAACTATCCATCTAGTTGCAACCATTGCCAATTTATAAATATTCTCTCCCACATCCTACCTTTCATTTAGATAATATAAAAAACCACAACCAAAAGATGATGAAGAAGAAGAGAATGTTGAAGGTGATAACAACAAACCAGATGATGGAGATGGAGGAGGTCCATAATTAGTTTCTGCATAAAATTAGCCTGAATCTTAGAAATAATAATAATCAAGATCGGGTCAGTAATAGAAAAAGAAAGAAGCTGAACCTGAAAGTGCTAGTAAATACTTAGATATTGCCAGTGAATTTTAAGTTAGATTATATGATCCAACTGTTTATTTCTTTAAGACTGCTATCAAGGAAAAGAAGGAGAAGTTTAAAGTTGATATTCCAAAATTCCCAGAAGCTTTAGATTAGATTAGAACTCCATTGTCTGTCTAATCCTAATTAAGTGAAATGACTCAATCAATTCAATTAGAATTTGACGACTTTTTCAAAACTCACTTTACAAAGAATGAAAGATTGAATTTGAAGAAGTTTGAGTCTAACTTTGAAAAAGATGTTTTAATGTTTAGATATCTAAAGAATTGGAAATCTTCATTGTAAAGATAAAACTTTAGATCAATATTCACCTCATATGATTAAGGAACTGGATAATAATCATATAAGAAAGTGTTAAACTAATTACTTAAATAATATCAAAGATATGGTATGCCAATTTGTGATACTTTCTATGAGTTTGAAAAGACTTTAGATGTCTTGATGATCTATAGTATTCAAAACATGGATTAACTCTTATTCTAAGTAGCTTCTAGTAAGATGACACCTATTGAAAAGAACAAGATATTACTTGGTTTAGTCTCTAGAGTGATCGATCCTGGAAACTCAGTATTAGCAAAACATTATCAAATTAAAAATGCAAATACCTATTTACAACAAATTAATAGAATTATCAAATCTGTGAACATTAAATTATTATCAGGAGAAGAGGATGTGGAGGCATTTTAAGCAAATATCTTGTCTAAAATTCATAGAATTGTGAGATATCTAAAACCAGACATGCCCAACGATTAGAAAGTCATAATCTTTAAATTAGCAAGTGAAGTATTGTAAAGATTTGATTAATTGGATATCAAATCATTGTTTGAAGAGTAGTTGATTCAAATTTCAGAACTCATCAAAACTAGATAACTTAGAGACAAAGCTTTATAGGTTCTAGCCGCCAAATATGTTAAATCAAAAGACGAAACCAAAAAGTTGAATTAAAGACCTTATTATAAAGATATTATTGCCTCATTTAAGAAACGAAGATTGGATGAAGTATTATCCACTATTGACCTACCTCAGTATATTAAGAACTATTCAGATGCTTAGTGTGAAGAGATAGTTACAGAGTTATTTAAATTACCTTATGAGAAAAGTTACTTAAAAGAATTATTGGAAAAATTTGATAGGAGATTATTTGAAAGTCTGATGTTTCATAGGAGATTCAGAACATATACTAAATTGATAAATGATATTCTATTTAAGTAAATCTTGAAAGGAAAGGAGCTGGCCTTTGTTCCCTTCATAACATAAGGATAAAACAAAACTAGTAAATAAGTCAAGAAGTAGGAAGGGGATAATGAGAAAGCGGATGGTAGAGCAGAGATTGTTTAGGCACAACCTGTTAATGAAGGTGGAGATGAGGCAGAACAACAACCTGATGGAAAAGATGAGGATGACATGAAATAGGATTCATTGAGTTAGATTGCTGCTTATTTCTGTTTTTATGAATATTTCGATACTTTGCATAGGTTCAGGGTCAAAGTACATGATGTTGAACCCTACACTTCATTCAGATTTATGTTACATACAAATGAACAACTTTTATAATTGGCCACTCAATTTGAATAACAAGGATATAATTATATTAGTAATTGCATCAGAATGTATAGATATTTGAGATTGAACCACTATCGTTCAGATAAACCTTAGATTAAATTAGAAAATGAACTTATGGTTAGTTTTATCTCATCAAATTCTAAGTATATCAATTCTCCTTGCTTAAATATCATCAAAGAATATTTGTAATTGTCTGAGCATCAGGCACCATTCTGGTAAAACACCATAAGTGATAGGAAGTAGCCATAAAAGGCATTAACTAGATTAAAGATTAATGGCATTGAGAGGGGAGTGAAATTCTGTTTCCCTTCAAATTATGTATAAGATGGTGATAATGAGATTACAAACGATGACATTCGTAGAACTCCAGTTAAGAGACCTGCATTTACAATTGATCAATATGTTGAGTATTTACCACCTAAGAATCCTTAAAGATTGGACAATCAAATTATAAATGATCCTGAATTTACGTCATTACTTAACAAATTGTTGATACCCAGTAAATAATTAGAATTTTTAATTGACAAAGTGGAATTTTAGGACAATCTACGTAAATTAGTTTATAATGATCACGAAATGTATTTTTATGTTTTGAATTTCCCTATGTTTTGGTATGAGGAGAAGTTAAACAAGGATAATTAAATATTCATTGGATTCTAAATGGAATTTGAACTAGGTATAATCTTCATAAAATCAGTACTATTATTTGAACCAAAACTAATCAATCAAGCTTTAGATATGTATTTCAAAACAATAGACAAGTACTTAAAATCAGGATTAGAAGGTGAAGGGGAATAAGAAGAAGATTAAAAGGTTGAGGATAACAAAACCGAATACGATGAAGTTGAATAATTGGTGACTGATAATGAGGAAGAAAAAGAAGCAGATAATAAAGAAGAAAATTAAGCTCCTTAGGTATAAGAAGAATAATAAGAATAAGATTAATAACTAGTTTAAGAAAAATAATAAGCCCCTTAATTATTAAGTGTACAAAAAGCAGACTAAAAATTGGCTAGCGTTGAGAATCAAGAAGAAGAATAATAAAACCTAGATGAAGCTCCTAAAATGGAATAAGTTGTTTAAGAGAGAGTAGTCAATTAGAGAGTTGATGATAGAAGAGGACCTGTTTAAAAGGCACCTGAAAAAGAACCTGAAAAAGAACCTGTTAAAATGGCACCTGATGCAAAACCTCCTAATAAAGAAAAGAAATATAAGCTTATCAAAGTAAATGTGAAAAGGGACAAGGGACTCAAAGATTAAAAGTTTGTTGAGTCAGATAAGAGTTTGAGAAAAATAATTAGAAATGGATGCAGCAGTCAATAACAATTCTAGATTTTCTTATAATTGATATTATTTGCAACAACTAGTGATGACATATTTAGATTGATTCAGAACTATTTGATTAAATTTTAAGTTATCAGTTCCCCATAAATTCCAAAGGAAATTGATCCTGTCATAAAGGCTAGATTATTGAAAGATGGATTTAAGGAACCATTTAATCTGTAATTTGTAGAATAAGCAGAATTGAGATTCAAGGAGTTGAAATAACAACAAATTGAAGATATTAAACATGTGAAGGATGTACTAACATAGAATGAATAGAAAAGACATTCTGATTCCAGTGAAGTTTATTAAGCTTTAATTGGATCTCTCCTTTAAGTTCCATTTGAAGATTATCAAATGTATATTGACAAATTGATGGATAATCCTGCTTACAAATGTTTATCCAAATTTAAGAAATCAGTTGCACCATATACATTAGAAAAAGATCAAAAGTTGTAAATGGAATTAGTCAAATACTTCTCTAAACTAACAACCAAAACAATAAGTGGAGATTTCTTACAAAAATTCTTTGAAAATAATAGAGCAAATTAAAATCAATAGCAATTCACAAATGACAAATGGATCAATCTTATGTGCATTCTTAACTATTGTAAACAGATATTAAAGCAAACTAGAAAATTTTAACAGTTCGTCTATGTAGAAAGAAAGAAATTGCAATAAAACATTACACCATTGTCATATTATGAAGAAGATAGTTTTGTGAATCCTGACTTCTTAGTTAAACCTAAATTCCACTATAAATTCAAGGTTACTAATAAATTAGAACCTATCATCTATGAATACAAGAGAGAAATTGTTAATGTTGAACTTAAATAAGAAAAATAAAAAGAAAAATAAAACGAAAACTAATAAGATAACTAATAAGATGATTAATAAGATAATTAATAAGAAAATTAATAAGATAATTAATAAGACAATTAAGAAATTTAATAAAGCGTTGAAGTGAGTAGATAACCAGCTATTAATGATCAATTTGCGGAAAATCAAAATTCAAATTCTCGGAACCCTGATGGTGGAAACCAAAATTCTCAAAACTCTGATAATCAAAATCCTCAGAATCCAGATTAAAATAGTAATCAAAATTAAACTGTTAAAAAAAATCAAGAAACCTTCTATTTTGAAGTCACTTTAAACATCTAGAAAGGCACTGCGCCTAATAATCCATACCCCGTAACTCAATTATACTAGAAGAATGTTGAAGAAGTTGTCAAATGCATAGATACTCTTTATTATGAAAATTACTTGGAACACATCAATAATTTATGTTCCTATCCACAATTCAAGGTGGCATAATTGAGTGGATCAGACAATATTGATTACATCTAATTGAAGACTAAATTAACAAAGGAGAACTTTAGAGAATATTAAGAATTGCATTATGCTTAAAACTTCTATTTAGATCAAACAATTATGAATTTGGAAATTTACAAAAATCTATTTTAAAATAAAGAAACTGGAAATAATCTTTTAATATTGAAAGCATTAAGAGATGGCATAGTTTAGACTGAAAGCAATGATTTCGAAAATCCTGTAAAAATCTGTGATTAAGATTGGATATTGTATAGTTCTAGAATTAGACCAGATATCAAATTGAAGTATCAAGATAAATTATATCGTAATCTTATTTAATAATATATTTAGCTGTTCCATACAGTAACTATTAACCAAGATAAAGAAATACCTAGTATAAACAAAGCATCCAAGTTGATCAATCATTCCCAGAATTATACCCAATTGTTAATTTATAAGTCTATTAATACATTCCCGATGTTATGACTGAGGAACAATTTAATTAGAAATATGATCAATTGTCAATAATCTAATAAGCTTGTGTAAGAAATACAATTAATTATAGTATGATTTGAATTCGTATGCATAATCATTGGATGATTTCATCACTCAATCACCAAGTGAAGAGGAATTGCAAAACTTAAGGGATGTAGCTCCACAAATAGTATCATGGCCATTAATTAGAAGCAAGTTGAAGAGAGATAAAGGATCAACAGAAGAATATAAAATTATTCACTCAGCAGAAGCACATCCTCTCTTCATGATTGAATATTTATTCAGTAAAGTCCAAATCCAATTGAGTCATCAACTCAAATTCACATTCAATGTGTTATCATTCACTGAAATTATTTTATTCAAATTAACTAGAATACTTCAATAAACTACAGGAAAAAGTAATTATCAATTTGATTTATTTTAGGATGCAAATTGTCAACTACTACAAGCATGTTGAGTGAATGGGCATTATTGAAGAAGATCTTATTGAAGATTGGAGATTTAATTGTAGAGAATGAGTTGGATAAGTTTAGATTCTATTATGTCGAAATTAATGAAGTCCATTAAAATTCTGTAAAACTCATTAGTAATTATTTATAGGTGTTCCCAATCAAATCAAATAAATTAGAGGGAATGGATGCTATCTTCAGATTCGGTTAGACTTAATTCTATGTTCATTCAAATGTTTTGATCGTTAGATTGAATGTAGCTGTTGTTTCAGAGAATGCTTCCACTTTGATCGCTTAAAAGAATGTGAAAGTAAAGTCTAATGAACTATGTCCATTACTATTTAAGGAAGACAAAGAACTTAGAGTATTTATTTATTCAATTTTATAGGGTTATATGAATTATATAATAACTTTGGAAGATATGCTTAAGTAAATATTTACCAAAAAGTGATAAAATATATAAAAATCAATAAAATTGATAAATAATTTATTATTATTATTATACAAATGTTTAGAATTGGAAGAATATTCCCCATATCAGTCCCACCTGCTCATCCAAATCCACTCACAAGAGTATTTTTTGATGTTGATGTGGGTGGCACTCCATTAGGTAGAATAGTATTCTAGGTATGTATAAATCAATAATAAATAAGCTCTTTGATAATATAGCTCCAAAGACAGCAACTAATTTCTTGAGAATTGCTCAGGGGGTTTAAGTAGATGGCAAGAAGCTTCATTATGAGGGATCTTAAATCAATAAGATTCTACCATTCAGAGGAATTTGGGGTGGCGCATTAGGTGGATCTATCTATGGAAGAACATTCCCAGATGAAAATTACAGTATCAAACATAACAGAGCAGGATTGCTTACAACTTCAAATCCTAAAATCAATAGCAATGATGCTGGTTTCATAATTACTTTGGGTCCAGCTGAATGGCTCGACAAAAAGTCAGTTGCATTTGGAGAAGTAATCTATGGTATATAGCATGTGAGAGCCATAGAGAAATTAGGTAATACAAAAGTGATTCCATTTTTAGGTGGATTATCTGGTGCTCCAAAAAAGTCTGTTGTAATTAAACAAAGTGGTGTCATTACTGAACATGAATATCATAAATACGATGTAATAGAGGAACCAAATATTTGGAATTTGTAAAGTCATCATTGATAGATAATCAATAACATAATAATATCAAAAAGCAGCTTTTTTTGGTTTGCTAGATTTTTTCTTTTCTTAGTTTCTATCCAAATTATGACCAATCTTCATCAAAATGACTATCCTCTCTTATTGTTGTGACTGTCTTCTCTTTTTATACAGATTATTCCCTAAAATACACATCGATTTGATGATGTTTTGTTTCTTGAGATTTATTTCGATTGGAATTGGTGTGTACATTCACCATTGAACTTCCACAACCCATAGATTATAATAGCAATAATATTCACTTATTATCAATTTTATTAATAAGATTTTCATTTGCTTTAATCAAATCCTCTTATAATTGTGATGTTTATTTCAGATTCTCTTTCAATGAATTGAAACCACTGTTGATCTCTTCTAATTGACTGCCCAAAGCCCTTGCTGCCACATATTTACGAGTGGTTAATTTTAATTACATTGCATACTTCTTCATTTTCTTATTCATCTCAGTAAACTACTCTTCTGAAAAATCGAGATGTCTCAAATATTGAATATAATACTTCTTTGCATAATAGATCCTACCAAACACAGTGATTATCATGGCAGCTTCCTATTGCATCTGTTTCTTCAAACTCAATCTGTCTATCAAAATTACCACCTTATTCTCTAATGTTGACAAATATGACTCATTTGTAATTATGACAATCATTGATGAAACCACAAAGTTACCCAATATGCAAACTACACTCATTACTATACGTCCCAATAATGTTCTGGTATAATAGTCACCATATCCTAACTATGCAATTGTTAGAATAAGCAATTTACAGTTGTACTAGTTACAATTACACACCACATTGAATTTGCATAACTACTAAAATCATTTGAACTTATGTCTATACGATTAAGTGGACTCTCACATATTCTCAAACAATATCCGAAAACCACAATTAGCAAGATCATTGCACTATAATTTACTGTAAATGGTTGATTCCTCAAGAGTTTTAATGTATATCTTACCTCATTAGAGATTTTATAGTGAACATGTAATCTGCTTAACTTGCATATAGACTACAAACTCTATCCGTCCTATTCGAATGCCAATAAGAATTCAATAAGGTTGTGCGAATAAAAAATATTACTCGAAAGGCTAGAGTAAGACAAAGCAATTCATTTGCATAGTAATAGACCTACCTAAACTCAATATCATTACTTCACCTTCAACGAAATCGTTTTCAAATTAGAAACTATAGTCATCCAAAAATGGTAAAGGAGATGCTGCTATTATTAATATCTCCAAAGATGTTTCCAATGGTTCGATACTAAATCCACTATACATATCTCCTTTACTTTCTCTCCATTTCAATTTAGCTGCATTTCTTACTACCACTATTCCCATCAAAATTAAATTTGATATGAATATCACCCACAACATCACCTTACGTGCCTCTCTTTCTTGATCATAATGGATCAATTCCAAAGTTATTACGGTTAAACCAGTCCCAATTAGGTTGAATACAAAGAAACTTAAATCCATCATTCTAAATCTAATCACTATCATCCAAACATCAATACCGTTGAAAACTGAGATTAGTCACTCTGCCATCCTCCAAAGCATCCCCAGAAGAATCAAGATCCAAAAAAGGAGCCTTGTTATTCATAGGTTCTTGTCCTTAATTTGCCTAAGTATTCAGATATTCATGATCTGGTTATGTTTACATTAAAATTATATAATAAACTAGAAACCTCATTAATATTATATCTCTATATCATTCTTTTGATAGTCCAATATAAAAGGATATGTTGCTTTTTTACATTAAATGGTTATTACTTCTTACATACTAATACATCTGGTTATCAGAAAATTTATTAAAACTTGAGTTCAAATGTTTTTGAATTCCATGATATAGGTGGATATTTGATATATTAAGAAAATCAATATTATATAATCATATCATAGAAATTCTGATAAATAAAGTTTACAAAAAATTAAAAAATGATCAAACTCTTTTTATTGGGAATAGTAATTTGCAATGCATTCAAAATATCTGAAAATTTCAGTTGGGCAGATGTTGATGGCAAAAACTTCTTAACTTACACTAGAAATCAGAATTCGCCTCAATTTTGTAATGGAGGATGGGCATTTGCAGTGACAGGTGCATTGAGTGATAGAATCAAAATAAAGAGAAATGCTGCATTTCCTGAAATAGTCCTATCACCTTAAGTGTTAATCTCATGTGATACCTAATCTGATGGTTGTACTTCTGGATCTGCATTAAATGCATATTAATATATTAAAGACAATTGGATATCTGACGAAACATGCACAAATTATGTTGCCAAAAAGGAGGAATGCAATGAAATGTCCCTATGTAAAAACTGTTTTGATGGAATGGGTTGTTGGGCACAACACAATTATTACATATACACAATTTCATCTTATGGAACTCTACATGGACAAATAGAAATTATGTAAGAAGTTGTAACTAATGGACCGTATATTTTATAATTATGTTAGTGTATCTTGCCAACTTGGATAGAGCGCTCATTATGTGGAAGTTGTAGGCTGGAGAACCAGTGGTTAAACTACATACTGGATTGTGAAAAACACTTTGGGTCCAAAGTATCCAAGCCTATACGAAGTTCCAACAGAGGAAATACAAGAATGCAGCTATGGGGAATTGAAGGATACATGGACAGAAGGAATTAGAAACACCACTAAATTACATACAAGTATTGAAAAAAGATTTGAAACAAAACGTAAATCTTATCATTTAGAAATGCTATAATTTCTATAATTGGATTAATTAATAATTACTCCATTTTCTAGTCTAAATGCAGATGTACCCACTTAATTTGATTGGAGAAATGTTGATGGTGTGAATTACTTAACAAACAATAGAAATCAACATATTCCCATTTATTGTGGTTCATGTTGGGCACATGCTGTCACTTCAACCCTATCAGATAGAATTAATATCAAATTAGGTAACAAATATCCTGTGGTCCTTTTTTCTATCCAATCAATGTTGAATTGCATGTCTGGAGGCAGTTGTGGAGGAGGTCTAACATAACCTACTTTTAAACATATCCATTTGAATGGATTGACTGAAGAACATTGTCATACCTATGAAGCAATCAATGGAAAACGAGTCAGATGTTCAGATGAGGATCAATGTCATCAATGCGATGAAGATGGATGTGAACCGGTTAAAAAGGCCAAGAGATACTTTGTTTCAGAATTTGGATACGTCAAAACTGCAAGAGATATGAAAATTGAAATCTTCAATAGGGGTCCTATTGTTTGTGGAGTGTATGCTACCTAAGAGTTAGATGATTATGAGGGTGGATATATCTTTTCACAAAAAACAAACAAAACTATCCTTAATCATTATGTGTCTGTTGTTGGTTGGGGCGTTGAAGATGGAGTCGAATATTGGATTGTCAGAAATTCATGGGGTTCATATTGGGGAGATATGGGATATGCAAAAATGAAAATGCATTCAGATAATCTACTCCTTGAACACTATTGCAGTTGGGGAGTCCCTAAATTATGAATGTTTAATATTCGTGAAATATATAAATTTTCAATCATTTTTTCGTTAAGGCTCCTTTCTTTTAAAATTGATTATAAGTATTGGAATTATATATGATGTTTAAATTTTGAATCTTAATTGACTATTACATTTGTAATTATTATTGACTAAATTGCGACTACCCCGATACCTTCATTTTATTTGTATCAGAATTCAAATTCAACTTTTACTCCTTGAATCCAGGAACCAGCTTCTCTATTGACTACTTGATTTTAGAATAAATGTTTACTGCTTTCTTTATCTATTTCCCATCCTTTTCATGTTGTTATCCTTAAATAGTGTAATTGTAAGCTGTATTTTACATATTCAACTGATTTCCCAAATAATTAGGTACTTTGAAACTAGTCTATAAGAAAGTTCTTTAATAATTCATACTTTAGTTCTAATCACATTTTATTGTGTGTTAGGTGATGCTGCAGTCCTATGAACACCTGCACTTACTTGTCTCTTTTCTTAGTCATTTTGCATTTCCAATTCTCTCATAAATTCAACTGCTTCTGGTAAGTCTTCGAAATATTAATGTCTAAGTGCTTATCTACAAGTCAATCGTTCTGCTGGTTCCATCTTTAATAATCCTTTAACAAAATTGATTGCTTTTTTAGGTAATTTACAAAGATATCTAAAATAAATTATTAAATTACCTTTATTCCAGTGTTTCTGGTTTAGATATTTCTGGAAATTTCATTCCCAAAAAACGAGGATTCTTTGAGAAAGTTTCTTATTAACTCTATGTCAATGGTCCTAGCATCTTCTGGATGAGATACAATTAATCCATTTCATTTTCACCTGGGAACAAAGGATTACCATCTGTCAATTCACATAATAAACATCCTATCGCCCTAATTTTAATTTATAGAATGTACCACATATCAACTCCTTTATCATAAATTGAGTAGGAAAGTAAGAGTTCTGGAGCTCTATACCATCTTGTTGCCACATAGTCAGTGAGATCTTAGGTTGATGCAGTTAAAGACTAAATTAAATGAGAATAAACTTCATACTCTCGCAAAACCGAAATCGCATAACTTCAACTAATGAGTGTTGCTTATCAACAGATTTTCTGGTTTTATATCTCTATGAACAATGTCATTCTAATGACAACAATATATTGACTTAAGCAACTGAAAAATTATCCTCTTAATATACAATGGCTATTGTGATAATTATATGAAATACTTCTAATCCTGAAGGGGATGCCTCCAGAACTTCAAGTAGATTACGCTCCACATACTCAAACACTAAATAGATTCTCCCTTTTCTAATTTAATTTCCACATCATATTACCTTTTGAATGCTTCCTTTAATTCCACTATGTTTGTATGTCTTAACAATCTAAGCACTTTCACTTCTCTTTGAATACTCTTTTTCACAATCTCGTTCTCTTCAGTTTCTTTGAACTTTTTGATCGCCACTACACAACTAAATATCAAATCTAACCTATTTCATTGGTCTCCTTATTTTTGCATTTGAGAACCACTCCATAAGCACCTTCTCCAACAACTCCCAATACCTCGTATTTATTCATTAATTAAATGAATAATTCAAAGTGTAAACATCAAATCAAACATTGCCATTCTGAATTGGCAAACCCTGATCTTATATTATGTATTTTTGTTATGATCAGCATCTGCTTTCATTGATAGAAAAATCATATTAGAACTACCTTAATATTACCAACTTAGTTTTCAACTTAATTGAATTAAAACATTCAAAATCAAATAATAAGAATGAAGTAATTAGATCTCTGGAACTAAATCATTAAAAATAATAAATAATTAAGAGTTACAAATAGAAATCTTACAAGCTTACAAAAGAAGAAATTGTAGATTTTTTACTAGAATAAAAAATTTTTATTACACATTTCAACCTCTTTTTGCAGAATAACCATCATAATATACAAATGAAATGCAGGATCAAGTCACAAAGTTTGATAAAATGTTGGATGAGGTGGAATAATAGCTGCAAAAGAATTTATGTTCTATTATTTAATAATTAGAATTTGAATATCAATGTAAATGAAGCCAATTAAAAGTTTAAAATCAATTTAAAAGAAATAGAATTTTCTTTTTGACTCTAAGATATATGTAATACCAAATATTTAATGAATTAATCCTTTTTATCAAAAATCGAAGTAATTACTTATATTACTTAAACTTAATTTATCTTCTAAATCCTATTCATTATATGAATTATCAATAGATTTAGAATCAAAGGATTCTCTATTAAAATAGAAGTTTATAATAGAAAAAAGTGTTTTTGTGTTCTTAATTAATTAGTGTTTCAATTAATTAAAAAAGGGAAAATAATTGACCTCTTATATTAAGTCATCAATATATTATTCTAATAAATTTAAAATTGTACTAAAATTTTTATCTTCTATGTTAGTATATAATGACAAAGCGAGGAAAAGGAATCTATCTCTTTGATCTGACATGAACCTTTTTTATACATAATTCTAATCTATTTTAATATATACAGATAACTGAGATTTCATTTTTTCTTTTAATTCTTTTTAAGTGGTTATTATTGTCTAGATTTATTCCATCATTTGTTTCTAATTTTATTAAAGTTATAAGAGTTAATTCAATTATCTTTTCTGCTCTAATTCAATATTTTCAGCATATAGTTCTGCTTTACGCTATTTCTTCAATTTTTTATCCCTTTCAAAATTGAATGATTCATTTATATAAAGGATTTCATTTTTATTAGATTTATGAGATTAAAACCCATATAAATTAAGTTATCTAGATGATTAAAATATGGCATACCTTCTAAAACTTGAATAATTATTATGTGTGAAATGCTTAACTAAAATACCAGATTTAAATTATTCTAGATCCAAAATTTTAAACCCATTTTTCTCTTTCAGCAATTAAATTATCCCTTAATACTCTTCATTCTTGATTAAAATAAAAATACTTCTAGGATATTTCTAAGTGTCCCTATGAAATCTTTATTTTTTTTGATTTTTATCATGAGGGTGCTTAATAATCAAATATTTTTACAAATTTATAATTACAAATAATATATTTTCAAATATTACACTCTTGATAAAATTACGTGCTTTGTATTAAACTTAAGTAGTACATATATAGGTTATAAATGAGATTGAAAATCAATGAGAAAAGTTCATTTTTGTATTAGTTTATTGCTTATAAAATACAACTAATATTGATTTACCCAATTATTAAAGAGGAACTAAAAAATTATTATATAGAGATTTGAGACTGTTCTGCGATCTAAGAATTAGATCCAATCAAATTCAAGAAGAGTTTTTTAATTCTTTAATAAATTTCAGGAATGTTAAGGATTTCTTTATTTTTTGCGAATCAGTTTAGTTATAAAATATTAACTAAAGGTCACAGTTCTTTTAAGATTTCTATGAAAAAGGGATTAATCTTTGAAATTATAATGAGGAAGTGAAGAAAAACAAATGAGTTAAAAAATAATTACTTTGAAGATACAAAAGATACTTGTGAGTTGATTGAGCTTTAAGAGAGTAATAAAATGGTGTTTAAAGGAAATTGTAATGAATAATTTATCACAATTAAAAGAGTTTTGTAATTTAAAGATTTGAGAAAGATGTGAATTTCTTTAATAAAGTATTGATCTGTATATAATATTTTCAATGATTATAATCATTAATTAAAATATAAAGAAGAGAGAATGGAAGAATTGAGTGCTTACCAAGTGTAATTAAATTCTGTGTTAGATTTGAAAAATGTATTTCTAATGAAACCACGTTGTAAAGAATCTGTTGATAAGAAGATTGCAATTGATTATTCCCCGATGTATAGTGAGTAAGTTTAATACTAAAGTTCAGAGTTTTAGGGTGCATGCTAAATACAGTGCCGATACTAAACAATGATGGAGAGCCTTCTTAACATGGGTTTATCCTCTAGATAGATTAGGTTTGTCATTTCGATATAATATAGCCTGTTCATTTAGCTAATAGTATTCATTATAGATCTCAGTTTGAGAAGAAAATCTAGGAAGTTCAGGAGAAGAACAAGGATTTAGTATATTTATAATTAACATTTGAAGCTCTTCCCAAAACCAAGGGGAACTAAAATCTATTGCAATGTTTGTAAATTATATATAGAGGATTATCTATAAGTAAATATTAAATTTATTCTTTAGCACACTGAATCTAAAAACCACAAATTGAAGTTCAGGAAGAACAAAGTCATCAATCTCATCCATTCTATGGCTGATGAATTTTAGAAGAATCGAAGTATGCCTCAAAATACACCGACTCTTCATTCCGATTCTGATAGATGTGGTTACTTCTCGTCCATCTAGGATGACAGCATTGAACATCAAGACAGCACATAGTAAGAACCACATACTATTAAGAAGATCAAGTTGAATGAAGATGTCAGCGCTTTCAACAAGATGGGCAACTCGTATAAAATCAATTTAAACTATTAGTCTTGTAAATAGCTCCAATTAATCATTCAACGATAAGTACGGAAGGTAGTGTCTTTGAAGGAACAATTATGAGCAGCATTATATATATATATATATATAACAGAATTATCATCCTAAAAATTAAGTTATAAACTCTGAAGGTGGGATGTTTAACTATATGTCTCTTGGATTCAAATGTTTATGTCTCTGCATACAAGCTTCTAGCGAGTTAATTTGTGGTTATAACTTAATAAATTACCACACATTGTAAAATCTATCAAAAGCTTCTATTACATCTTTTTCAGTAAATTGAAATTGCTAAGATGAATTTATCTTTTCATTCTTAATATTCAAAGCCAACAATAAGCAACAAATTGCATATAGTTATCTTTCAATAATTAATTATTCATATCCCATAATAAAAAAGTCACAGAAAAAGTAAGATAACATTTATGAGTCATTTGAAACTTTCAATTTTGAATTTATAATTTTTAAGAATTAAATTGGAGTTCTGTAAGTTAAGTTATAATCTAAAATTGAGAGAATTTGCTATTCCATATCAATTATTTGTTTTTCATTGTATTCATCTGCAGTAATATAAGCATAAGCATTACAATTCTCTTATTTGAAATATTCCTTAGACCTTTCATTATAAACACTATAGATTTAATGAAATATATTACTCAGCTAATTTTAATGAAGTAACTCCAATCAATTATAAATCCTTCCTGTTAATTTTCATTGTTGATAGAACTAAATCAATGTAAATGATTGACAGATGCAATGTCTCATCCATCAATTCAAAATGGATGCAGACATCAATCAACCAATCAATTAAAGTACTCCGCATAGTTTGATTGATTTCTGTTTGGAATTCCAAATACTCCTTGAACTTCGGTTCTATATAATACATCTATGTATTTTGACTAAAAGCATTTAAAAAAGGATGCTACACAATCTCAATGATATCTAATCGGGTTTCTGGTTTAATACATAATAGTTTTTATAATAAATCAATACCATCATTACCTAAAATTTTATTAAGAGTTATCAATTTTTCGTAGATCTACTTTCTATTCTAAACTATGTCTATTATTTCATTTTTCTTTAGTTCATTAATCTATAAACTATACTTTCTCCACTAAGGGAATTTAATTTTAACATCACTTGATATGGAATTCCAGTCATTTTCATCAGGTGATCCCAAAAATTGAAACACCTCAAACAAATATTCGATTTCTGTTTTGCCACCAAATAATGGACTCCTTAACGCCAATTCTGCTAAAATACATCCCAATGACCAACTATCAATTTCACAACTGTAATACTATTTTCTAAATAGCATTTCTGGAGCTCTATACCACAATCTTTTGACCTCTCTATTCGATCTTTCTCTCTCTTTTGGATCCTCTGGTGTATATGGAATTATGGGATAGGTTTCTAATCTAGACATCCCAAAATCTGAAATTTTAACTACTTTATTATTTATGAAAATATTATCCGGTTTCAAATTCCGATGTAATATATGGTTCTAATGTAAATATTCAACACCTTAACATATTTGCAAAAATAGAGACTTAATCTATTCAATTGATAACTCTGTCTATTTCAATTAATCTCTTAAATTCAAAGGGTAATATTCATATAAGATTGATACAATATGATTGGTGATTTTAACCTAAACAATTGAAGCTATGTTAAGATGAGATTTTAATGATTTCAGATACGAAATCTCTCTTAGAACTGATGTCTACACTCCATCATTATGATTTGCGTTTGCCTTAATTGTGTCAAGTTCTCGAAGCACAAATTGTTAACCAGTCAATCTATTACAGACTTGATATAATTTGCCTTTCGATCTTCTTTCTTAGAGAAATTTGAACTTTTAATATAGGTCGTCGAATTACAAAGGATTGTATCTGTTATAATACTAAAATCTCAATTAAAATCTTACATTCCAGAATTGTTGACTTATTAATTACAAATATTGATGGTTGAGTGTTCTGATAACTTTATTAATCTCTTTTGGAGTTAAAAAAAGGAATAATTTATAAAGTAGAACTTTTGGTAACAGAAGTTTTTGCTTTACTTAAAATTCTCCCTTTTTATTAGACGAGCTTTAAACTAAAATATTCTCCTTCCCTTTCTGATTTTCGAATTCTCTTTTTTTTTTTAACAGCATTATTATTAATTATTAATATTATAATAATTGTTAATCCAATAATATAGTGTCATTTCAATCAATTTTGATTACATCTTATGAAAATCATAAATCAATTTATTCAACACACTTAAATTCAAATAAATAAAATTATTTGCTAATAAATATGTTATAGCCACTTTAAATGATGTTTACAAAATTTATAGCATTATCAAAGTATTAATTATTAAAAAATTAAAATATAATCCAACTGTTTAAAATTATAAGATAAATAATTAAAATGTCTAGTTTCTTTTCTTTATATTTATCAATAAAAAAGTTAAGTTATATAGATAAAATACTGAATTAAGTCAAGTTAGTAAATGAAAACCATACTAAAAAGTTGTTTAATTTAATAATCATTTATTTTTCAATTATTATATTTGAATAATGCAATTATATGATCAACAAATTTGGCATTAAATTCTAAGGTGAATCAAATTGCCAAACAAAAATAATGAATAAGCCTTTAAATACAATTTAATAGCAAAAGAAAGATACTATTTTGACAATATAACCATATAAAGCATAACTATATAATCAATCTAAAATATTTAAGATATAGAGATTCGATTATAAATTTAAGATCTTTAAGTTTTTTCATTGGAGACTCAGTTAAATATAAAAAAAAATTAATAATAATATAAAAGATAGGAATGTTATCTTTATTCTCAATGGAATAAATAGTTAAATTAGAATTTATGTATATTATATGGAGAGCAATAAACTTAAATAATACTCATTTTAATTCTACAATATCTTCATACTTAGTGTCTGAATGCCTTTTTTAATCTTTATGCCAAACGGCCATATCATCTTCATCATCATCCTAGAAATTTTGTTCAAATTGTTTTTATGCTTTCTTTTAGAATTGTTCAACATTTTATTGTTTAGCTTATTATTAATCCTATTCTAATTCTTTTTCTACAATTTTCGGATCTCTCCAATGCTAAGGCATAGACCAAACCTTGATAACTTTGTCCTTAGCAGCTGTCAAAAGAGTTTAATCAGCATCTAGCCATTGCAATTTTGTAATATCAGAATCATGAGCTTTAAGTACATCTAAATAATCATTAACGATATTACATAATTATTGTGATTTTCGAGCATCCCAGATGGTAACAGTGCCATCAATATTGCCAACATAGATTTCACCTCTTTTTGATGACCATCCTATTTCTCTGCTTTTTGACTTCCCATTCAATGAAGCCACTTCTTTAGAATATTATTCTCTTCCAGGTAATTATATATCTATAATTAAAATGACTCCATTTTCATGACTAATTGAAAATAGGTAATTCCTTTGATTATCTATGAAAAATCCTCTAATAAACAATTGATTGGTTGGGATTTTAATAACCAATTTAGGTCGTTTCTAAATATATTGATATCAATATATACTTTCTCAATATCATAAATAAATATTTCTCCATGTCTATCTCCTACAAAAGTCTTTTTTCTCTCTTCGCTCCCTAAAAGACATGTCAATTCATATTGATCAGGCTCGATATCTAAAATATAATTAGCATTGAATATAACCTGCTACTAAATCCCCTTTTCTAAGATTCAATACTCTATATTTTCTATCTTTGGAGATGGAATGCAAATACTTCCTTTTATTATCATAATACAATCCCATTACTCTGTCTGTATGTTACTCAATTTCCATACTCTCAGTGAATTTCTTAAACCCTTCCTTCTCTGGTACATACAAATAATTAATTGATCCGCTATCTAATCCCACAAGCAATACAGAAGCTACTGGATCCCAATAACAGGTAATGGCTTAAGAATTGTACATCTTAACCCATAATCTTTAAAATTCTCCACTCTCTTATTATAACCAACATTCGACGCATCCTACTGGTATAAGTGCTTGATCTCCCTTTTCAGATTCCCATGGAGCTTTCATGTTTGTGAGATAGGCATCCAATCTATTGATTACTGAGCAATCTGATGTGATGACAAACATCAATCCTTATTCTGAACTGATTGTGAAATCTCTTATTCCATGCAAGAATCCTTTGAACTCGAATATCTGTTTTGGAGGACTCACTATGATGTCCTTTGCATTTTTTTCTATTTCTAAGAATTACTTTAACGGTTCTGATGCAACTACTTCTGGTCTGCTTGCTAAATTCTCATTTTATCAATAGTATTCTTACTTGAATGAATTCATCTAAACCTACCTTTCTTTTTTCAATATCTTCAGGCGTTTTACCTACTAAAAATGTAATATATTTCTTTTTTGGAAGTGTAGGCAATTGTTCACCAAAGAGAACTTTTAATTTTTTGGCTAAGTCTTCAAATTATGAAAATCTAGTTTAGATTAAATGTTTTACCTTTTTTCTAATTACCAAATATCACTTGTTTTATTTTTTACTTGCACCATATAGTAGATAGTATCATCATTTGGATCATTTCTATAGGAAATGACACTTGCCTAATGATTATTATAGAAGAATACAGATATCGGAGAATTTGAATCCATATAATATAATAATAATTAAATAAAATAAATTTAAACTAGTAATATTTTTGTTATTTTTGTTAATCATTTGTATTTTGATGAACAATGTTTAGAAAATTATTATATATATTCAAAATAATTTGATATTTTAGGTATTCTTTCTTTTTATTTTCAAATTTGATTCGAAAACTATGAGTTTATCATTGGGACTATGAAATTGCACTCTTTATTCAGATTTCAGTTTGAACTCTTTGGGTGTTCTTGTTGTGTTTTATCGTTATATCCTAAACGATTAAATATTTTCATTTTGATCAACATTGCTTGAATGCATATGAATATGATCTTTATTATGCGATGATAGGTTTCTGCTGATTTTGTTTAAATTTTTTAGACTTGGGGATTAAGCTTATTAAATAGAAAGAGTTTGATTTATGGTCTTTTAAGATTTGCTTTCCCGTCTAGTCAATTTGTGAAAGTTGTATTTCTTTTCACATTACCCAACCAAAAATGGATCGACGGCTTTTTTTAAATTTCTCTTTTTCAACAAACTAGTCTTAGGCGTATCTTGAAGCAATCTGACGGATTTGTTAGCAAATATTGTTTATGGTGGAACCTCTTCATCTTGAACTATTCCTATTTCTGCCTCTGAGTCACTATCATCTGAGGCTTAATTCTCATCTAGTTATTGATAATACTATTTCTTTAATTCAAGTTCTTTCAATATCTTGGTTTTTTAATCCAATTACATATAGTAAACTTTTAAAGATTGATGCAAATCCTTTCCAATCTGTGTTAAATCAGATTAAGAATATTAGATAAATTTGTTGTCTGATTTATAACCAAAAAAAGATGTTTCAAGAGTAACAATATTATGAAAACTGTTAGGATTATGCTTTTACATTTAATTATAAACAAAAGCTCTTGCAGTTTTCAGTTTGTAGGATTTCAAATTAAAGGTACATGAATTGAAATCGAAATATCGAGAATTTTCAGCCATGATCATGGGGAGAACTCGACATTCGATAGGATCATCAGTGTTTCTGCATGCATACATAAAAGTACCAAGTTTTCTAGAATGACCATGCAAATCAATAAATGTTTTGATATCTCTGCCTTCATCCAATATTTTCTAGATGAGATTTCTGATGTGAATAATTTATTAATGAAATCTAGATCTAGGGTTTTACCAGACTCTATTCAAATCTTTCCCACTTAAATCGCATCTAAAGTTACCCCATTTGACGCCATCTGGATTAACCATGGGAATAACGATAATATTATAAAATAGTTGGAGTGTTTTGTCATTTGAAAGTGCGTCAAGAAAGCCTTAACAAACATGAGAAGAAACAGTCTCTCCAGGATGCTAACGTGCAATTACTAAAATAACATCACTTCTTTTAGATCCAAATTACACCATTCTTACAGGCAATCCAGAAATAGTATTCGTTAGGATTTCTGATTAAAACCTGAGCAAGTATCTATCCAAATCAAGGTGAGTGTAAGGGATGCCAAGAGCTATCTCAAAGGTCTTTGATGACTTTTTTATCCAGAAGGATAGCGTATATAACTTAGTAGAAGTGGTATAACAGAAATTGGATTTGACATATTAGGATTGTTTGATCAATACTTGGGATTTCAGTATTTCCCAATGAGAATCGCATTTAATATAGACTCCGAAACCATTTTGGTACTGTAAATAATTCTTGCTCTGTTGTTTTAATATATATAAGTTACCAAATTAATGATGTTTATTCTATATTTATAGTCGTTGGGATTGGTTACTCGGAAGTAAAACCATTGAGAATAGCTGGTAGTGTTGATGTCTTCTTGGAGAAGTAAATCATATTCAAATGTATCGACTTAATGAACTGCAGCCAGATTTCCACAGGCGAAATTGGAATCAAATAGGGGCATCTGTTGAGTTTGAGTGATTGTAGGCGTTTGTAAGTCATTGAGATTTAATTATTTAAAATGTCGATTACTCACTTTTGATCCATATTATTTCTTATAAACACATTTATATGTTTTTTCGATATCTTTTATGTCGTTTGGCACTCCTCGATAGTCTGATTAGTACACGATGGGATTGGGAGTGGGAAGGGAAGTGAATATGAATGTAGGTTACTTATCTTATTAAGTTATTAAGGTTTCAATAAAAGCAGATTCGAATCCCTCATCATCCATTTTACCCGTTTTTGAGAATTAAATAAATTGATAATCATATGGCAAACACAATAAATATTAATAAATGAAAACCACTCTTGCAATTCTCTTGTTGGTAAGCATTGCCTCTGCAACATCCACTCATGATTAAATCATGGCTCTACTCCAAACTGGTACAAAAGCCATGGATGCCATTGACACTGTCTTTGGTTTATTGAATGATCTAATCCAATCCAACAAAGATGCCTAATTTGCTGCCGACTAAAAGAATGAAACAGACGAATGGGTTGGAGCATAGTAATTATCTTCCTTAATCATAGAACAATCGAGTAATTCACTAAGATCAAGACACTCAACTAAAAGCTTTTCTAATAATCAGTTGAAAATAGAGTCCTTTTCGAATAAGAACTCCAAGACACCAAGAATTATCTTGCTTGGAATGAATAAAGATAAGATGAAATCACCAGAAAAATCAATGTCCTCCTTGATGAACAATGTCTTAGTAATCAACTCTTCGTCAGATCAATCAAACAAAACAGAGAAGCTCTTGAAGTTGTCAGAGTTCTCAAATAAGATGTTGCTGGTTACATCATTAACGGAGATTCATTTGAATTAGTCCAAGAAAAAAGCACCAGTGTTGCTCAAAAACTCAAGGCTTACAGCAATCTATTCAACGACGAAGAAATCAAAACCTTCTTGAGTTTGGCTTAAACCAAATAAGAAGATGGAGTCAGCAGAGGTGCTACACTTGCAGAAAAAGTCCTTGCAGTCCTTGAATCACTTGAAGCCAACCTCCAAGCTTCCCTTGAAGCTCTTGAAGTCAATGAAATCAATGCCTCATGGGAATTGGCCGGCTGGGTTTCATTGAGTGAAGCTGAAATCGCTACCCTCAAAGTTGAATACGAAAGAAAATAAGTCTTTGCTGATAGATTAGCTACTGTATTTATTTTCATCATCCCTAGTAAATCTAAGCAGCCTTAGCTTAATAAGCCAAATCCAAGATCATCTTACAAGAGTCCCAAGATGCCCTTGACTAAGCTTAATCAGATTTAGAATCCAAAAGAGCTGACTATGCTCAAGCTAAAGCTAAGAGAGATGAAGAAAATGCCATCTTAGAATAAGTTATCATCATGTTCAAGAAATAAGTTGCCTCATGGTCTGGAAGATGATTAATATAACTAATCAAGTTATTCAAAACATTTATTCGGTTTTTTTAATTCATTTCTATGTCCCTTTCATTATGCTTAAGAAGCATACTCAAACTATTGGTTTCTAATATAAATTTACGAGTATTTAACTAATTGTTAGGAATTTAGAATAAATATTTATATATAATAATAATCACCAATCTTTGAAAGGATCATCTTATGCTTTAACAGCATCTGGCAATTCAGTACTATCAGGATAAGTAGCAAAATTAGAAGTATCATAATCAGATCTTCATATTACACATATATCATACTAAATAACTGGTATATACTGTGGTTTTATTTTTTTTGCGAACAAATCCTTCCAATTCAGAGTTTCATACCATTTATGTTATTTGATATCATCCACTCCGTTCTTTAAATTGCCAAATCTTTTGGTTACATCCTATTCCAATAAATGCTTAACTAAACTTTTAGCTTCACTATAGTTTATTATCATTTTCTTTTTACTTATCAAAATTTCGAGGAAATTTGACTTTTCCCTTCAATATTTTCTAATATATCGCCATAGGATCTTCATCATTAAATGGGTCAATTCCTTTAGAATTCAAAAATAAAATATATACCTGCAAGCATTTCATACAGAAAGATTCCTAAACACCACCAATCTACAGGTTTACTATGACCTTAAATTTGTTTAGATTTCAACATTACCTTTATTTAACAGGATTTCAGGTGCCAAATATTCGGGCGTTCCACATAATGTATAGGTTCTATCTTCAACTACTTTAGCAAAACCAAAATCTGTCAATTTCAGATAACCATCTGGTTAAACTAAAAGATTTTCAGGCTTTAAATCTCTATACACTATATTCTTAGTGTGAAGATACTCAAACATTGAAACAACCTAGGCTGAGTAGAATCTATTGTGAAAAATTGATTTACTAAGCTTCTTCATTTTGTACTGTTCCAGCATTTCTTAAGTAAGTGAATAATTCTCCTCCTTATATATATTCCAAAACAAAATATATGTATCGTTCATCTTAAGTGTACCCACTCATCTCAATCTAATATATAGTCTATTGTGATATTTACCAGAAATGGGTGCTTCACCTACTTCAGAATATTAAATTCACTAATTATATGATCAACCTATTTCAATCGTAATATTTCAATTTTCTTCAACATCTTCAAAGCTACATATTTGTTGTTTGATTTCTGTTTTGCTAATCTCACTCTTCCAAACGAACCAGTACCCAAAGTGTTCATTATGTCATAGTCAGTCAATTTTACTTTTTTAGTTTCCATATAATTAATATTTTTTATAAGAATGATCAATTTCATACTTATGGTTAACAAATAAGGGCAGACAAGACTAGCACAATATTTTTAATTTCTTAGTGTCAAAGAAAGGATGACCCTTGAAGGAGAATTGATTCGAAAATGTCTATCTAGAAGTGAAACCCAATGTAGTTTTCTTGAACACAGAGGATATAAGGTCATTTATCAATATCATTCTCTAGATCATTTACAGAAGATATGCCTCTCTTTATTTCATAATTGGAATGGATCTAGAAGAAGAAGTAATTCTATATAATTATCATGAAGAATGAAATGGCTTATTTAGAGTTTATTCACAATTTGGTTGAAACTCTTGACAAGTATTTTGAAAATGTATGCGAATTAGATGTATTCTTTATCATCTCATTCTATTTAGATAATGTTTAACATTGAAAAAGCTCACTATATTTTAGAAGAAATGGTGATGAATGGTCAAGTTGTGGAAACCAATAAAACTTAAATTCTAGGTATTCAATGCTCCTATAAGCATAGCTCCAATTCATGTATTAGATAAGGCTAAAGATGAGTGATGTTTTGGTTATGTATTTTCATTATTGTTTTTATCAGAACCTATATATAAAATCTAATAAATGCTCTTGAAATTCAAAATAATATCACTATAATAATATCTATAAAGTCTATTTAAAACAAATTTATCTAAAGAGACTATGAAGCTTAAAAAAATAAGTACTCTTAAGACAGATACAGATTTACCAACCATCAACTTACAATCCTCAACATAAAGTTCCAAACCTATGAAATTGCCCTTTCTATTATTATCCCCTGCTCCCTAAAGGAGAAATAATCTCTCATTTCATTAGCATCCTAAAAAGATTTCCCCAGACTCGAATTCCTCATAAAACTTCAAATCCTTCCGAGGAAGAAGTATTACTTTAAATAGAAAAAACATATCCTAATTTATTGTACATTCGAATTTTATTTAAGTAACCCATCCCTTTATAGTCATTATAACGATAACATTTGACTCATAAATCCAAGTTCGAAGAATAGTTATAAAAAAACAAATCAGATAATCAACAAAATAGAGATTGCAATCGAGAACAAGTATAAACTGAAAAAAATTACATTCACTCTCAAAATAATAGAAAAATATAGTAAGGTTAATGCAAATTAAATGAAAACAAAACAAAATCAAAAGTTGGATAATAATAAACAAAACAAAACTAAGCAAAGAAAGAATAGACTTATAAGAAATACTCATTTTAATGCTTTTAAAAATAGATTCCAAAATATCATTCAGAATATACTTAACAACTGATTAAGCAATAACCTAAATTTTTAGAATTTGGCAATTGCCATTACTTCGATAACTCACAAAAATGGGTTACTGATTATGAAATCGCGTTAAATATGAGTGGTAAATATGTCATTTAATGATAGAAATATAAGAAATGAATGAAGATGTTCTTTCTTCAAAAGCATAAAGCACTTTTTTTAATAAAGTCATATGAGTGAATTATAAGAACTATACTATTATTTTAATGATTAATTTCATTATTAATCTTCATCATCCTGTTCAAACTAAATATTTAATTTCCTTGATTTGCCATGTTCTTCATCATCTATCATACTCTTACTATTCTCTAATTTTGCCTTTTCGTATAATTATTTCTATTATTCTTCTAACTATTTCAAGTGCTCCTCATCCTGAAACCTCGCTCTATTTTGATTTTTCACCTTACAATAAAATTCATATATACATTCACTTCTTCTTTAATTTCTTCTTCTATTTCTTTAAGATGAGGTATTTAACTGTCTAACTTTAGCTTTTAAATAGCCTTATAGAAAAATTCCCCCGAGATGGTCTTTTTTCCCTACTCTAAACAAATTGTATTTGCTTAATCGGAAACTAGTTAGATATATTCTCTAGCCATTGACATCACCTGAGTCACAAATTCATTAGAGCACTTCATGTCTCCGTTTGTGGAAGTCTTTATAAATTGTTAAACAGTAGCTAATTTATTTTAAAAATATACCTTTGGGAAGTTGTTCCATTTCTATTTTTTTACATTTTTATTAATCAATTTTTTCTTTTTGAATTAGGATAGTTGCAGTACTTATTATATATTTAATGATTGGCCATTAATAATTGATTAGAATTCATATAAAACATATAATACAAAATTAAAATAAATAGCTAACATAATCTCTATCATTTACCTTTTCCATTATACACAAATCCTGTTTCCTCATTCTTAACTTTTTAAACAGTCTTATTTAATTTACTACTCCCTCTTTTTCCATCCTTTATATATTAAACTATTTTTATAAACTAAATATTCTCCCAAAATTCCAATATTTTCTATATTTTCAGATATATTCAATTAAACTACTAATTTTCCATTTTCGATATTATAAATATAAATTAAATTCAGATTTGACAAATATAGCAATTTGTCTTAATATATTGAGTTCCTATAATCAATTGTATTTAATTTTCGAATTAACTTCCTACAAGTTAATTAATAAAAATGGGTCTATAAAGAATCATAACTTGGCTTTAAAATCAAAATTTTGGAAGCATATACTTTGATATGATTTATTTCTTTAACAAATATTGAGCTAAGACCTTTTAAAGTAAATTTACTATATAATTTTATTTGCTCAGTATTTACGAGCAAAAGACAAGGACTATGCTATGTTAAAGTGTCCTTTTAAATTATTTTTTAAAGATTAACCCATTATGGCTATTATAAAACTAAATTTATATTCATATGTTAATCGATATAATACAGCTACAAGCATTTGTTTAATTAATGGTTTAAAATTAAATAGAAATTAAGGTTATTATTCCAAATTTGAATAAATTGACAGGAATCAAAGTAAAATTCTCTACAATCATCATTGTCCATTATATTCTAAATCAAATAGTAACTTTTCAGTTAATATGATCTAATAAGAATGAAAAACTTGTTGTCTTAAGTAAATAGGATTCTATAATTGATCCTTGGAAATCCTAAATTTTGAATAGGTTTACAAAAAATAGGATTTTAAAGTTTAAGATTAAAGATTCTTATATATTCTATTGAATTTTCATCAATCTTCTCAGCTGCATAATTTCCATCAGGGGAAAAAAAGACATTCTCAGAATATGTTTAAAATACATTTATTGGACCCTCATTGAATTAGTAAGGAGGGTTTCTAGAGATTGATAAAGATGTATGGGTATTATTCATCATAGTAAATAAGAAATAAAATTGATTTAACTAGAAAGTGGTTGAATATTAATATTATGCTAATAACAAATTTAAATGAAGAAGCATTATAAAAAATCAAAAAAAAATGAGCTACCATCTCGCTTAATGCGTGTCATCCTTACGCAGGGGCCATGCTAATCTTCTCTGTTACGTTCCAATTTGACGGATGACCCCGAAGGGTTCCAAGTATTATGAAATTGATTTGATTATAAATTAGATCAAAAGAGGAATAAATTTTATGGGTTTAATTAGGCATATAATAATTTGAATTTGGAATTAAACATAATAGAAATAACTGAATATTAATTGATTTATTAAAATATCATCCATCTGTGATGGTCTGGACTGCTATCTTGGTAGATCCATCCTTGAATTTATAGGTCTTTGTAATTTTTGTAACTTTTTGTCCACCTTTCATACTGACAGCTGATGATGTACTAACTGATACACATCCAGGAGGCAATTATTCTTGAATATAAAATAAGAATACCCTCCTCTTCATCTTCTTATTAAGGAGCAGCTCCTACGTGGCCTCCCTTTCCTCCCAAGACAACTGTTTTTCCTTAGTTACTCGCTGATTATTTAGGTTATTGTCCTTGTGGTGTGAATTCAGTTGCAAAATCAAAAACACATGAAGATTAATAAGTTTTATGATCACCTGCAGCAATTCCAACAAGATTGAAATCTTAACCAAAACAATTTTTTCTATGTCCTCTTGAACCAACTCCATCATCAATCAATAGCTAGATTATAACATCTTCTCCTGTTTTTTATCCATAACTTATGTTCTCTCCTATTTTGCCATTCCATTCTCCATATCTTTCGATTCTGTCAGAAAGTGAGGAACCATCAGTTCCGGTGTGACCACAAACACCTTTAGGTCCAGTGTCCTTAACATGATCAGAGCAAGCTTATTCTAATCCTTTTTCATATGTTAATGGATGCAGAGGCTGTTGTTTTTATAAAAAAGCAATTAATTCTATTCCTAATATAAAAAGATACCTTATATAACTTTGGTGCCTTCATTGGTTTGCAAAGGGATTTCACCAGGTTTATAAAGAACACTGCCTTTAAATAGTTTCATCAAATTTTATAGTTTTGGAATAGGGAGAGTGGGATTTTATCTGACTTGATTTAAATAGTTGAAGGCATCTTAAGTTATTTTATCATCAGGGTCTTTGGCTTAAGGCTAGGCAGGAGGTGCATCTGGTTATCTATTTTATTGTTGTTCTGGTTATTGCTATGAGGCATTCTGGGAAGGTGCACTGGCATCAAGTCCTGGTTTATCTTCGAAGGATCCTGCAAAATCAAAAACGCATTAAGTTTTGTATTATTTATGTTCTCCATCGTAGATGCCTACAACTCCGAATTCTGGTTTAAAGCAGTTTTTTCTATGTCCTCTAGATGAAACACCATCGTCAATAATCAATTGAATGATAACTAAAATGATACTGGATTAGTACCATCCTCTCCTGTAGTTTATCCATAACTGATGTTTTCACCAACAGTAACATCCCATTCTCCATATCTTTCGATTCTGTCACTCATGGATGATCCATCAGTGCCTGTATGACCTGTGACTCCTTTTGGTCCTGTATCCTTAACATGATCTCTGGCTGCACATTCTAATCCTTTACTCCAAGTCAAAGGATTAAGTGGCTTCTGATTTTATAAGAAGGAGATGCACTCTAGTATATATCCTAAAAATTACCATTGACAGCTTTAGGACCTTCATTAGTTTGAAGTGGTATTTCTCCTGGTTTCTAGAGGACATTCCCTTTGAAAAGCTTTAAATGCTCTTGCAATTTGGGGATGGCCAATTTAGGATTCTGCCTCAGTTTATTAAGATACTCAAAGGCCTCTTGAGAAATTTTGCTCATAAATATTAATATTTTGCATTATTTCTTAGAATAATTGAAAGTGAATAAAGTGATATTGAAACAAAAATATGATATTAAAATTTTTAAATTAATTTTAAAATGGTGAAGAATGTTGCTTAAGAGAGTGTGAATCAAAAACTTTAATTGGTTGTCAGATCAGGAAAGATCACCATGGGATATAAGCAAACATTGAAGGCAATCAGAAATGGAACAGCCAAATTAGTCTTTATTTCTAACAATTGCCCAACAATTAGAAAGACCCAAATTGAGTATTATGCCATGTTGGCTCAAATCACCATTGTGTTATATTAAGGAAACAACGTTGATTTAGGTACGGGGGTTTAGAGGGAGGCTTAGTTCTTCTTTGATTGAATTAATGGGCATTAGTGATTTAATCTTATTATAGGTACCGCCTGTGGTAAATTACACAGATGTTCAAGCTTAGCCATCATCGATGCAGGTGACTCAGACATCCTTACCCAATAATGATAGAATGTTATTTTAGTACAATATTTTAATAAACATAAATTATATATATATATATTGCTCTAATAAATATTGAATCACCGTCTATTGCCACCCCTTGTTCTGACTTCTCCTTACTTGGGTCTAAACTATCCCTCCTTATCTTAGGATGAATATTATTTAGATTGGTAAGTGATTGGTTTTGGTTTAGAATACCTCTTATCCCTATTTTCTTATTCATGTTTTTCCTATTTAAATGTCAAACTCAACATACCCTGTATTCTGGTTCATCTGGCTTCCTTCTTAATTCTTCAGGGTTTTTTTTCCCCACCTACACTTATGCCCCTCCTCTGGTCTTCAATTCTCCTCTCTCTTCTATTTGTTAATCAGTCCTTTTTTGAGGTTAGTTATATGTCTATTTTTGTCCTTCCTTGCCTTTCCAAAAATACAAATTCCTTGCATAGATCATGATATAATCATAAAGTTCAATCTTCTTATCGTCTTTCACATCTCCTGGGGCTTGATACCCGGGCTATTCTTATTCTTCCTTGGTTGGATTGCATCTACAATCTAGAAATGAAAGTACGTCAATTTGATTCTAATCGCGGGGATTGATATTATTGATTTTGATCCATTCTCAAGAATTTCCTTTTGAATGTTCTCCAGTGTGACAATTGAACTCAATCCCTAATAGATAATACTCTTTCTTACTTTATGTCTTGCTCTAATTATTTCAGCAACCAAAATTACATTTGGGATTGCCGATCCACTACCTGAGAGCCTAATTGACTCACTCTTATTCTCCCTATCTCTCAAACCCAAAATGGCCTATACCAAATAGGATGCTATTTGGTCCTGTGAAGACTTAGTCTTTATCATGATGTCGAAAAAATCCTTCCTTTCTTTCTTACTCATTATTTTATGATAATATCCAATCCTTATATTTTTTTTAAATATTATTGATTTATAACCCTCGTTAAAATAGCATAGCAATTACTTCAATATATATAGACCAGATTAATAATAAACTATTCAAAGTCATTTATATGTATTACCATTCTTTAATAAAGTGGAAATTTTATTAATTTAAAATATAATATGTTCGTTAATAACTATTGTTTGTCAATGAATTGCATCATAGCACCTTTAAATGGATGTGGAGGAATATACTTAGGAAATCTGGATGCTGCTAAAGATTCCTAATTGCTCACTCAATATAACATTGGAGCAGTCCTATAAGTACTTGATTAATCAGTTCCCGTAAGAGGAGCACAAAAGTTGGTATAGAATAATTTCTTATGTTGAGTGGATCATGGCAGAGGATTCTGAAGAGTTCCCACTCAATAAATACTTTGAACAAGCAATTAAATTTATTGAAAATTAAACCAAAAAAACTAATGTTCTTGTTCATTGTTATGCAGGTATCTCAAGATCTGCAGCTATTTTGGCTGCCTATCTAATGTAAAAATACGATTGGACCATAAATCAAGCTATATTACATTTACAATCAAAAAGAAGAATAGTTAATCCAAATCCAGGATTCATGATATAGCTTTAAGACTTTTAATAGAAATTACGTAATAATAATCAAGAATCTACTCTGTCATTAGCAACCATTTAACATGAATCTCAAAATGATTAGTAGAACAATCAGAATTGTCAGAGGGAGGTTTCTCCTTTGCACAAAATTTCAAGATTGGATGAATTTAATAATAAATTAGATTAATTTAGAAATTAATTGAGAATCAAGCATAAAGTGTGTTGATGATTACTTACTTGAAGAGATATTTTTATATTTATTTTAAAATATTATTGGTTCAATCCTTTTGAGTAAACAACTCTAATCTATTGATTAGGGAATTGTATGTTTGAAATAGATGATTTTATTCAGCATGATGTTTGATATTATTTAAATTGATTATAAATTATATTTTTAACGATATATGGGGAATAGCTCAGACACACAAATAACAAATGACTTGCGTTATGGAAAGGTCAACAAGTTCACATATGAAAACTCATTAATAATTTAAAAGGTGATTGACTATAAGAATGCTCCTGATTAATTGGCTAATTGCATTCACAGATGCTAATTAAGTCAATCAATAAATCATAAAAACATAATAAAATTGCACAAATACGAAGTAGATCAACTGAGTGTTTCGATATATTTTGAACATTATGACTATGATTTATAACAAGACATTAATAAAAGGAAACTAAATAATGTAAGATATGATGAAGTATTATTAAGAACTATTACCAAGAACATGAACTGTTGCAGATGCTTGATCAATTCGTTTCAGCGTTAGCCTACCTATAATAATAATAAATTTTTCATGATGATATTAGACCCCAAGTATAACTTATGATAACTAGAATATTTTCTTGACTCCAAATGATACAATCAAATTGAATTAATAATGGGTGATAGATAATACTCAAAACTAGCAAAGATATTATGCACCTGAATAACTCTAGCCATAAGCTTCAAATGTACAACCTAATCCTTTTAAAAGTACAACCTACAGTCTAGGAATCACAATGCTGCATCTAATGACCTTAACATCGATGGAAATAGTCTACCTAAAAAATCAGGTGAATCAATCATTGGTAAATGAAATACTGAGATGCACAAACTACTCGAATAAATTAATTAACAAAATTTAGCATTTACTATTTTAATCCCCTAATTAACGAGCCGATTACATGTATCAAGTTAATAAATAAGCCAATTTATAACAAAAACTGTTGTCCAGTCCCCCTAAAACTATTTCATCAAGTTAAAGATATGTTTACAGAACATCCTAATCGCCTTTAACCAGAACTATTTAGCCTCGACATTCTCACTCCCCTTTTACTTTCAGAAGAATTGCTCAACTACAAACTCCCATTTAACAAGTTCCTCCACAACAAATAGCCATTATTCAGAGCAGTCCCAGATAAATAGTTACAAATTCTAGTCCAATGAAGGTAGTTAAATAATAAGAATAATAATCCTAATTGATGTTCACTCCAAATCAATCCATAAAGACCAAAGAGATGCTCCAAAAATTGGATGAAGTCACTCCCAAGACTGATCTAGATTATAGAATATAGAAGGCACTCAAATAAACAAATGAAACACTTAAAAAGAATTACATGTTGCAATGATAATTTATTAATTTCACAAATCATCATTTATTTAATTTTGTACCCAAATAGTCATATTCCCCAATCAGACGATCACAACCTGGACAACTATGGCTTATTTTCATAAAGTATTTCTTCAGCACCAAGGGAATCCAACAAAGACATATTAACATCAATAATAAAGCAGACACATATGTATAAATAGTGTATTCCACATGCACAATTGAACTGCTAAAAGTATGACAATTTTCGCATTATATTTAAATTGGTTCAATTGAATCAAATTCTATAATTTAATTAGTAGAAGATTGAACCATTTAATTATTTTATTTTGAATCTGATCTAGCCTTCTATGATGAATTATTTCCAGAAGCAGCACTTATATTGGGACTCTTCATTGATTAAGTCAACTAAGGATAATTTGAAACATTCGGTCCTGCAATATAATGCGATTCTGCTAACCTTATTGGTGTTGTTAATTACATAAATATTTATATATAAAATTTACGAGAATCATTTTGAATGCTACAGCAATCCTCTATTCTAATATTTCTCCAATTATTTATGCAAAGTTTGATTGATAATCTTCAAACCTGCATATTCTTACTTCAATGCAGTCATATCCTACTACAACCCAGATATCTCCACCACATACCAATTCTCCTTCTCCATCAACTTGGCTTCCAACTTTTTCACATTTTCCATCCTTCTTTCAAATTCTTTACAATCATTCCTATACTTTTACAACTCCTGTTATTAAGAATTCATTAAATCATCCCTCTAATTCATTTCTTCTAACAAATTTTTCTGATTCCTTTACAATTCTAATAATTGATATTTTAATTCTGATATTTTAAGAACCAGTATCTAGTTTTCCTATTACGCTAAAATTAATTCGTCAATGCTTTACGGGTTGAAGTATGTTGGATTCACAATATTCAGTTTTAAATTAGAACCCATTTTCTTATAACTTCGTAATGAATCATTAGGAGATGTAAGAGTGTCAGCGCTGCTTATACTGAATTCTTTGGTTTGTATTCCCAATTTTAATTATTCAATTTCTTCATTCAATTAATTAATAATTTTTTCATTTGATTTGTTTTCTGATTAGATAAAATAATAGTCACTCAATAATGAATCGTATTGATTTTTCAATATGGTCAATTCCATAGTCTGTTAGTTGAATTGTTTTTTTGTAGAATTCAGAACATCAATACATTACTAATGTTCCTTGATTGTTTACTCGAGTTCTCTCTTTAGATCATCTTCTAATTGAACTGCCTTGTCAAGTTGAATTAATCCTGTTTGAGTGTCCTAATCAATCTAACTCTTAGAGTTCTGCAATTACTTGATCTGCTTTTTCATTTTTCTATTTTCTAAGTCATACTCTTTTAGAATAACTTTGTATTATTCTATCTCTTTACGTACTTCATCCTAGGTTAGCATGTTTATCTCATTATAGAACTTAGAGTCAGTCTAAACTGATTAGGAATTTGATTTTTGAGTAATAACTGAAGAATTAACACAGTTCTAACTAAAATTTATTCCAAATTCAATTTCCGTTTGTTGACTTTTACAAATCATTTGTTTATCAAATAATATCTAATTTTATTAAGACAGCAAAGTTGCTTGGCTATTTTTCATAGGATCTTATCCTTCTAATTTATTCAGTAGTTTCTTCTTCTAATGATCGATCTATAGGATCATGTTCTTAAAACTCAAGATTTGTCTCTCATATTGTTCTATTGATTTATCTTTTTATTTCAAAAGAGAGTTCATCAATTCGTAATTTCTGTCCACACATTAAATAGCTTTATCGTTCTATTTGGTACTAACTGATTTTTTGATGGTAGCCACTTCATTGGTTAATTTTTCGATTTGTTCCCTTAATTATGAATCTTCATTAGAATTGTGCTTTTTTGTCTAAACTAAGTATGATTCCAGTATTTCCCTTTTAATTGGCTCAGCACCTGATTCAAATAGCCTTGAATGTTTAGCAAGCATATAAATTAATTAATAATGTCCAGAAGAGTCTTAAAGGTATTTACTCCTCCGACTGTTCCTGAAGGTTAAGGTGCCTAAGTCATAAGGATCATTGGTAATATTGAGTTTGATAACATGCTAGGCAACAATAATCTTAAAAGTCTTAATCCATTTATGATGCTCGATCATGCCTTTGTTAAATTACCAGCAGGCTTTCCTGATCATCCTCATAGAGGATTTGAAACAGTGAGTTACTTATTGAAAGGTTCCTTCTACCATGAAGACAGCAAAGGATTTTCAGGTCATTTATTACCTGGAGATATATAATGGATGACAGCTGGAAAAGGAGTTATGCATGCAGAGATGCCAGGTAGTTGGGATGAATTAACATCTGGTTTCTAATTATGGATCAATTTACAAGCCAAATTCAAGATGGTAGAACCACAATATTAGGAGATCAAAAAGGACTTAATACCTGAAGCCAAATAAAAAGGAATCTTAGTACGCGTCATTGCAGGTGAGGCATTAGGTGTAAAAGGTCCAATTTATACCAGGACTCCTGCCTTCTTTCTAGATGTCAAATTAGATGAAAATTCTGAATTCTTATAAAGGATACCATTGAAATGGAATTCTATATGTTATGTGTATGAAGGATAAGGAATATTTGGGGGACAAAATGCCAATTAGCATTAAGTTGTTCACTTAGACATTAATGATAAGGAGGAAGTCTTAAAAGTTAAGACAGGAGCATCAATATGCCATTTCATTATGATTGCTGGGGAACCTATTGATGAACCATTTGTGTAACATGGACCATTTGTCATGAACACAAAGGAAGAGATTCAATAGGCATTTGAGGATTATTATGACTAAAAGAATGGATTCGAAGGAGCTCATTCTTGGAAGTCTAAAATCCAAAACCTCAAAAAGAAGAGATAATGATTGAGCATCTATATATATATATTATTCGTATCAAAAAATAATCCAAAACACATAAAATTTATTTATTATTCATCATATTCTTAGTGCTTTATTTGAATTACCTTTAATTAAAATAATTGTCATTTTATATAATAATGAAACTGACTCATTTAATTTAACGTAATTATTCAGATTATTAGGATAAATCATGTTTTAAAAGTGTATTGAATTATAGATTCTATTAATGACACTAAAATTTTAGTTTCCTTCTAGATTATAGAGATAGATTAGATGAAAAATTCACATTTATATATAGTCTAAGAACTCAATACATCATAAAATCATTTATATTGTCTAGTTTTAATATGGCATTTCAATCTACCAAGAAATTATTTCAGAGAATCTGATTAAATTAAATCAAAAGGCATTAGCTCCGTCTTTCCCTTTTTCGAATTGAGAAAGAAGTCAGCAACAGTAAGTTTATTACGAAGAAGGGACTGTGAATCCAATTTCACTTCTTAATTAACCCACTTAAGCTCTTATTTAAAATTAAAGCAATACTATTTGGCTTTAGCATCTACCTCAAACCTCTCGATGTAAGTTGACCAGATTCAATCACAATCTTTTGTTTTTGATAATTGCGAACCTCACTCAATAAATCTAAACTCAAATTTTTTTTTCTTGGAGTTGGTGGCATAGCTAATTTAGGTAATTCTTATTTGAATTGTCCCCATTTTAAAAATTGATAACTCGTAATCCGATGATGAGATTGTGATTTCTTATTTCGTAAGTCCATAATTTTAATAATTTATTTACAATATTTAATTATTGAATTAATAAATAATTGATGTTGAGCATCATCAATTTTAGTAGACCTTAGACATAGATTATACTCATAGTCTTTTAAATTGTGATATAATTATGTAAAGGGAATCATCTAAATTCCACATTTACACACTATTTAGATGAATCCTATATAAAATGATAATTTTCATTACTCTTAATATATAACTATAAAATATAGTATTATAAATATGTTGATTATGAGATGATAATATATTCCTAATTTTAGAAATTTTATAATTTTCTCATATTTATTATTATATATAATTAGGTAAGTAGATCTTATATTTTTGGATTCGCTATGCATAAAATACTCCTAATTAGATGCTATATCTCTTATTAAATTCAATAATTGATCTTGTAAACATTTTAGAACACTGAGATGATATATAATGTATGTGAATAAGTTAAATTAAATTTAATACTACCTAAATACAGAGATCCATAAACTAACTATTTTTCAATGTAAAACTACAATTCATTAAGTATTTAATATATATAATCAGTGAAATAACTTCTTTTTCTTTCTCCTGTAATAGTCTAGCTTATTGGTTGACATTAGATCCTTCATTAGTTCTTCCCCTTAACTAGAGAGAGTTAAATAAAACTATTATATCTGACATATACTCTATATATAATTATATTTTAATATACGTTTATTAATAATTTTCTGCATTCCTCTCCTTCTTCTATCATTTAATTTAAATTTTTCATTTTGTTAATATTATTTCTGTGTTAATTAAATTCGAAGGTTCGTTTTTCAAGATGTTAGCCTTGTTTAAGTAGATTATAGCATTAGTTTGTGTGTGATACAGACTTAATATATATTAATGATTTTACACCTAAATAATTTTCAAATTCTTCTCTAGTTTTACAGACTTTTCCATTTCATCTAATAATTATTATTGTTTTTATTTCTATAATAGTTCATATTTAGGTAAGAGAATATTTCGAAGCTTCATAGTGAAATTTGGATGAAATATCATATCTTTCTCCCATTTATTTATGAAATAAAAGACTTTATCTAATGGTTTAATGCTAGAGAGTATTTAGAAATTTAAAATCATGTTCTTCAATTTTATCCCAAATGCTTTTATAAAATCAATAGTAGGTCTTCTTTATTTAAGTTCTAATTAAAATATTTCATTGATCAAAAAAAGATATAGCAATTTTTTATCAGGCTAAACTTCCTTTATTTCATTTTCAACAAGAAATGCGATAAAATTTGCTTCATCTGGATTTTCAAAGCAAACTTAGGCAATAGCTACAAAATCAATAATTTTTACATTAAATATTTGAATAGTTTTCATTGATGGAACTTAATAGTTTTTCAATTTATTTTATTATCATAATTAATATAAGAAATTAGAAAAATTCAAGCAGTTTGTTTTACAATTTCTTCTTACCTAAAACTCTTCAAAAAGTGTATTAATTTACAATAAATATTCTAAATATTCTTATTGTTGATTAAATTCATATAATTTATAAAAATCTAAATTCCTAATATATAGCGATTTCATAACATTGAGCAAAATTCTATCTGATTTATAATTGTGAAAAGTGGTATATATTCAATAATGAGGACTCTATATCTAAATTTAAATTAATCTGTATCTATACATAGTGTTGACATTCATAAATAGAGTATAATTTTCCTGAGTTTGCAAACTAAATTCTTAGTAGTTAAAATGATGAAAGAAACTTGTATATTAAATCAAATTAATGAATGAATAGTCAACACAAATGTGAATTTCTTTAATTTTAACGAGTATGAAATTACCAATATGATTAAAGTATAAACAAAAGAGAAGTTGAAAGTGATTGAGTTTGATTATTTGAAATTAAATTAAATATATTTATGTAATAAGAGGACTAATAAAGGATCTAATTAGAGAATTAAACTAAATAAATAATAAGTAGAGGAATCCAAGTCTAAAACTTTTAGTCATAAAAAGAAATTGAAAATAAAAACTAAGAAATAGAAGGGTATTATTCAAGTCAATTACAATTAATTTGAGACAAATGATGCAAATGACCTAGTCAATCAGAGGTTCAAATTGTAGATAATCAGAAGATTGAGAAGAAACTTTTAGGTTCTGATGTCAGAGAATCAAATTTGAAATAGTAAATTTAGATATTTTATGATAACAATTTGAAATAGTAAAACTAAAGATTTTTATTAATTGAAGGTTAGATTGTAGGTAATAGTTAGTCATTAATTGCCTTATGAGTTAAGAAGCAAATAAAATATTAGTTATGGGTAAAGAGATTTAAAGGTTGAATTCCCAGTTGATACAGAGAGATTAAGAATCTGAAATCATAATTAATTGAATAACAGAAGGGATTTCAGTTAAGAACACAATAAATTAAAATAAAGGCATTAACTAAAATAGGATTAAATCAAATCCATAGCTTTAAATATTGATACATAGGAAGAACGAAGGCTCCAATTTTTAGAAGAAAATTAATAGTTAAAAAGTGTTTGAAATTAAAAAACTAAGGATAAAAAGAGTCATAAATGCTATTATAAACATCTACAATAATTTGCTGATTTATATTTCTTAGGAATATCAAGAAAACAGAAAGATTACTTAATTTGTTGAGAGTTATAAGGCTTAATGGGCCATTATGTAAAATAAAATCTAAGAATCTAAGAAGAGAGTATAACAAATATAGGGGGATAGGCAAAGATTATAAAATGTTCTTCAAGATGAGGAATTTGAGAATGATAAACTTAAAGGCAATGTTAATCATAAAATATAAAGAAAATTTAAATAAAGTCAATTAATAATAAAATGAGAAGAGTTTTGGTATTGCAATAGTTGCAGTAAGCCAAGACTAAACTTTAAGAGAAATAAAGGAGAATGAAAAGTTCAAATAGTAATACTTGCAACTGCTATAATATCATTAAGATTTGCAGAATTTGTAGGATGAAACTAAAAGTTAGTTGGATAACTTAGATCTGAGTTGGGCAATTTTGGGAAATGATATATAAAATATACTAGAGATATATAAATTGAATGGTTTTATCAATAAGGCTTAAATCCTTTTTTGAATGGGATGAATGGTAGAGTTGATAGAATTTGAAACATACTTATATGTATTTTATTTAGGTTATAGAAGGAAAATGTCTGAGATTAGTAGTAATGAATTAATTGAATTAAATGAGTAATCGATTTGATCAGTTTAAAATTATTATTATTTTAATGTTGAGGGTAACTTCAATTTGATTAATCCCAGGGGTTGCTTCTATGTGAAAATATTTATAAAGTAATATTATTTTAAATTACTTTAAAAAAGTTATGAAAAATGGCGTAATTTTAGAATAATATGAAGACGAGGATGAATATGAAGTAAATAGTTTTGTTTGATTCAGATTCAAGAGGAAAAACAGAGGTAAGAGAGAAAGGAATACCTAAGAAGGATGTAACAATTGATTTTCGATGAAACTAATTATGACATGACCTTATAATAAAATACAGAATCTCAAATAACATATGAATATTTAATTGATTTGGATAATGAATTTTACATAGATTATACTCACAATATACCTGCCCCGAGTAGTTAGATTAAACTAAGACCAATGAACGAATTACAGTTAGCCTACATTTATGTTGATGAGTAATTAGAAATTAAATTAGGTACCCTTTGTTGAAGTTGAGGAGAATCTTAATGATAACATTTTAATCAATCAGATATCTAATGAAATATTTAATAAATCTCAAAACTTTCTAATTGATACTGATGGTAACAATTATTTTGAACTCTCTGTGCTTGGCATTAGAATAAGATTAATATGAGATTATCTTTATTATTTGTTATTCAGTGGAAGCAATTTTCAAGATGTTGGCATTGGTTAATATATAATAAATAATTGTAGGGTTTGTACATAAAGAGAGACGCATACTTTCGAGATTTCTGGAATGTAATTGATTTTCTTATTTTGGTATTTTAATACTTGCCTTTCTTTGTGAACATAAAGTTCAATTTTAATGCCTTAAGGACAATAAGAATATTGAGATCTTTGGATGCAGGTTAAAGTATTCCTGCTTTGAAAGTAATATTGACCTCGTTATTTTAATCAGTTTATTAATTGAAGGATGCATTGATAGTTTTAGTGTTCTCATATTCAATATTTGCAATAGTGGCTCTCCTGCTCTTTGGAGGGGGCTTAAAGAGAAGATGTGTTAATTTGGAAACAGGGATTCCTAGAAATGACGAAGTATGTTCACAATGTATGGGAGAGTTTGATTGTGTTAAATAGATAGCCAATCCTTTTAATGATTTAATTAACTTTGACACCTTTGGTTGGTCACTAATATAAGTGTTTATATGCACCTTACTTGAGAGTTGGTCCTAGATATTGGATTACACAATAGCAGCTTATAATGAATCAGTTTACATCTATTTCTTTATGGTGGTGATGGTAGGAGGGTTCTTCTTGGTCAATTTGACATTAGCAATAATCAAACTCAACTTTTCAAATAATCAGAAATTAATTATATCGCCTGTGCTTGAAGAGAGTTACGATTATTGGGAATTGAGGATCATGGGAATATATGAGCCATCTAAATTGTAAGCATAGGCAGCCACTAGAAGAAAGAGTGACGCTCTATTTACATTCAGAGAGAAATCCTAAAGAATATAAACGAAAATCAAACATCGGACTCTCAAATATCCAAGCCAAGCTTAGAATTCTAATCTAAAAATTCATCCTATTAAATTTGCAGATAATTTCAGCACTCCATTCACGAAACAAGACAAGAAGTTTATGGGGATTTATGGAATGGGAAGGAAGTTGCAACCAATTATTGGAGGTGTTACTCCTTCCAACCAAAACAACCGTAAACTGAATATCAATTAAGAATAACGAGGATATTCCATTCTTCAAAGTCCTATTGATCAAAATATTAGTTTCTCATATAATATCTCGCCAGATAATAAATTGGGCAATATGTTTTTCAGTCAATCCAATAGATCTCTACTGAAAGATAATTAGACAAGACAATTATCAAGTAAATCAATTCTAAATAATAATAATAAATCTCCAAATAATCGTTCTCGAAATACTACTCCTTAAAATTAAAGAAATGAACTTAATGTTGGATCTCCAAAATCTCAATTCAGTAAATAAATTGTGCGTAAAGTAAGACCTTCAATATCTGAATCTGATTAAATGCTCGTTAACGATCTTAAGATTATTGGACAACATCAATCTAAAAAAACTATTACCACACCCAAAGACACTGATGAGCAACTCTAAGACTTCTTCTCTTAGGCTCATAATAATGTTTTAACTAATGAAAATTAAAGCAATGGACTCCTAACTCCAAACAATCAATTAAGCCAATTAAATCCTACCACCTTTAATAGAACTCATATGCAACATGGCACATATGCTCCACGAACTTCTCAATAAATTTAAATGCTTTAGGATGTTAAATAGAGATCATTTAATGTTAAGAATAGATAACTAGAAATGGTTAAGAATGATGTTTCTATTTTGGATAAGAGTGAAAATTCAATCATTAATTCAATACCTAGTGAAATAGTTGAACAAGAATTAATGGATCTAGGTATTTTGGATTATAATTTAATGAAAAAATAAAAATCTGAAATACCTTTTAATCCATTAGCCAAAGTTAATTTTGTTCGCAGGAAGAAACCTCGCTTCACAAGGAAAACTATGAAGAAATCAACTTATTTAAGTAAGACATTCAATTCAGCAAATGATGATAGATATCAACAATTAAAAATCAAATTATTTAAAACCAAATTCCATAAAGAAGTTTCATTTTAACCTTACAATTCCAATTCAGAATTAGATGTATTAGAAGTTTAATAGATGAATAAGATACAATAGAACATTAAGAATAATGAAGAAATTAACAGAAAAATAAGGAAATAAGTTAAATACGTATTTTCTAATTAACAAACACAATTTGTTTAGGATAGATCTTCCTCAAAAATCCATCCATCTACTACTGTTCAAATCAAAAGTACAACTGCAAAACGCTCCTAAAAATAGGTTAAATTCTAAGATTAAGAGGAACAACAATAATATAAAAAAATGATTTAACATGAACAAAAACTAACATTTTAAGAAGCTTAATTATTAATCAGAAAGGAAGTCTAGGCTGTGGATTTAGAGCAGTATGGCTAAGTTGAAATATAATATAACCTCAAAGAACAATTACGTTATCTAAACTACGATCAAATTACCATCACTACCAGTACTAATTATTAAGAATATGTTAAATTGATGGTAAATCTATTATTTTGATTATTTATTAGTCTGAAGCCAGTTCATAACAAGAATTAGTTTAACAATCTTCAATTGAAGACGTTCTACTTATGAGTGATTATATAGATGCATAAACAGTCGCAGTAATGAATAAAATAATGAAAGCATTAAATTATACTATAAACATCTATGAAATCTGGTTACCAGGAGTTTCTGGTATTATTAAGGTCATAAGAGTTAAATTACTAAATCTAATTTAGAGTGAATATTTTAATCGATCAATTAATTTGTGTGTTGCATTCAATACTATTGTATTAGCATTAGATGGGTTGGTTACCAATGATAATTTACTCTCTGATTTTAACTTGGCATTTACCATTATCTTTATAATTGAGCTTGGATTGAAATTAATTGGATTAGGGATTAAATAGTACGTTTAGGATAAATTTAATATTTTTGATGCCTTTATTGTTGGAATCAGTTTATATGAAGTAATTATCAATTAAGAGGGTGGAGGAAAGTCTGGATTTAGTGCATTAAGATCTTTAAGAATCTTTAGAGCTTTAAGAGTGTTGAGAATTTCTAAGTTAATCAGATCCCTTAAGTTTATGGGATTTTTATTAAAAGTATTGGGTAATGCTTTTGAATAAATATTATGGATGCTTATCTTGATGCTTTTCTTCTTATATACATTTACCATTTTGGGGTTTTCATTATTTTAAGGATAGATTTCAGATTAAAACTATAGATATACCTTCAATTCATTTATCATTTCATTTGAAACTGTCTTCTAGTTATTTACAATTTCAAATTGGAGTGACGTCCTCTATTCTTTATTCTTGTCTGATGCTAACAACATAGTTGTATTTCTATATTTAGTTATATGGATTGCAATAGGCAACTATGTTTTTTTAAACTTATTTCTGGCAGTGCTATTGGATAATTTTGAGGCAGAGTATAGAAGAGATAAAGACTAAATAGATAATAATATAATTATTGGTAGAGATTAGATCTTTGAATCTGCAATATCTTCCAAACCTCAGGCCAGCAGAAAGTCAAGTAAATCTTCAATATAAGATGATGTTGAAGAGTATTAGAAATTATAAACTCAACGTTTTATATACTTTTCAGAGAAAGGCATAGGAGAATATGCATTAATGGTTTTCTCTTAGGAAAGTGCTTTCAGGAAACTCTGTTATAGAGCAGTGAAGGATAAAATATTTGATATCTTTATTCTGATTTTGATTTTAATTTCAAGTGCTAAACTTATTTTGGATACCTATACTTTAGGTGATTCTTATGAAATTGTATCTTATTGGTTAGATTTTTCGATGGTTATTTTATTTGGTTCAGAAGCAGTTTTGAAAATCATAGCATTTGGATTTCTTGGAGATGAACTGAGTTATTTACGTAATTCTTGGAATGCTCTTGATTTCATCATATTAATAGGATCAATTGTAGACATCAGTGTGGCAGCCATAGATTTAAGTTATTTAAAGATACTTAGATTGTTTAGAACATTGAGACCATTAAGATTTGTATCTCATAATCGATCAATGAAGATTATTGTTTCAGCCCTATTGCAATCTGCAGATGGCATTTTAAATGTTGCAATAGTCATAATACTTGTTTGGATGATGTTCGCCATAATTGGAATTAATTTTGCCAAAGGGAAGCTTTATTATTGTGATATGGGAGATGGAGGAATGCATTATGTCACTAAAGAATAAGTAAATAAGAATATAATTATTTTAGTGTGAGGGATCTTGGAGAATTTATGATAGTAATTTTGAGAATATTTTCTCAGGGATGTTGACCTTGTTTTGCTTGAGTACTTTATTGGACTGGCCAGATCAGCTACTGTATTATAAGGATGGAACTGAAAATGGTTTAGTGAAGGATAATACTCCTGAATTCTTTTTATTCTTTTTGACTTTTATTCTGATTGGGTCGATTCTCCTTAACAATTTATTTATCGGAGTTATTTTAGTTAATTTTCACATTGCTGAGGAAAAGGCCAGAGATTCTTCTCTTACTTAGGATTAGATTTAATGGATTGACACTCAAAAGTTGATCATTGAATCTAAACCTGATTTAAGTTTGTACTATATGCCAAAGAACAGGATCCAAGCATTTTTCTTCAAGATTGTCAAAGCCAAAAAATTTGATGTAATAATTTCAGTATTCATCATCATTAATATTGTTGTAACTGGAATGTACATGGATGGTAATATAAATTAACTATTAATAGATGCTAATCTTGAATATCTCTATGCAATTGATTAAATTAATTTTGCCATATCAATCATTTTTTGTTTAGAAGCAACTCTTAAGATTCTTACTTTTGGTCCATTAGCCTATTTTAAAGTAAATTGGAATTAATTTGATTTTGTTATTGTAGTTATATCCATTATTGATTATGTAACAAATGAGAGTGGATTATCTATAGGAAAAGGGTTTAGAATTTTAAGAGCTATAAGATTATTAAGATTAGTCAAATAATTTAAGGGGCTCAAAAAACTAATAGATACTGCAGTTTTTTCAATTCCTGCAATCATAAATGCGGCTGCTTTATACTTCTTGATCCATTCAATTTTTTCAGTTTTGGGAGTATTTTTGTTTTCAGATATTAAGAAGGGGAAAATTATATCTGATACTAACAACTTCTCAGATTTTCATCATTCTTTCATTTTGTTGTTCCTTTCTTAAACAGGGTTGGATTGGAATAGAATTATGTATGATACGATGAATAATGGTTCAAATTTTAATGCTTTATTTTGGGTTGTCTTCATTTTGATTTAAAATTTTGTTATGCTTAATCTATTTATCCTTATTGTATTAGATCAATATGACATAAATTATTTTCATGAGGACAATCCACTCAATAGATTTGATGAGTACTAAAACAAAATGCTTGATATTTGGACTCGTTTTAGCTCTGATGGAGCAATTATTAGTTAAAATAAATTGACTGATCTAGTTCTTTAATTACCAAAACCATTGGGTTTAGACATTAACAAATCCGTGTAAAAGGGTGTAGAAGATTGGAAAAACATCAATCCGTAACACACTTAAGAAGAAATAAATCAACTTAAATTTAATATACAAGCAGATTTGATAAGGAATACACTTTTCAAAATTATGGATATGTAACTCAAATGCGATGCTTAGGGCAACATTCCTTATAATTTAGTCTTGTTTGCTGTTATAAAGGAGGCTTATTTAGAAAAACTTGAAATTAATTTAACTGAAGAAGGGGGAAGAAAACTTATGATGAAAGAAATGGAAACTAGATCAGAAATTGAAGAAGATTATGGAGTTGATTTAGATTAAGATGTAAACCCTTTAGTTTCTTATTTGTATGCCTAAACATGTTTTAGGGCAATGTAGAGATTTGTTGAAATTTCTAAATATAAATTGATTGATAATGGATTATCATTTTTAGCAAAAACAGATTCATCTCTTGATTTTGAAGAGTATTTAGACAATGATTTATCTAAAGATGAGTATGAAAAACCAGATTACGAAGAAGTTTATTTTGTTGAAATTCCTATAAATAATAAGATTTATAATGGAGAATAGTACAAAGTGTAAGTTGCATAAGAAGAATAAAGCAAAGATGAAAATTCAAGTAAATAAGTAATTGATGATGAAAACGATGCCGAAGAAGCAGAAGATTACAAATTATAAATAATTGATTTTAATAAGTATTTAGGAGATTGATATTGTAATTTTTAAATTTGTTTTATATATATTATGTCAAAAGAAATCAAAGTAACTGCAGGTGTTAAAAAGCGATTAACTGCTTTGGAAGACCAAGAAATCTCCGTCTAGAACTAGGATTCCTTTAGTGATGATGGGGTAATTATTCAACAGCATGTAATCTATATAGAAATATGGGGAATATGTGAAAAAGCAGAATCGCGAAATTTTAAAAAAAATAAAGGAACTTATACACGACGGGTAGTCCACTACAAACCAATAAGAAGAACAGAGTTTTGTTATAGCAAATGATAATCACAAGCAAGACCTTCTAGAAGACCTTGAAGAAGAATTCGGATAATCTTATTAAGAAAGCAAAGTCAAAATAAATACATATGTCAAATTAATTCCAAAGAATGAGTTGCAACTTGCTTACATTTACAATGACAAGTATAATGAAAATCTATGAATTTTAGGTACCCATTCTTAGTCATACGTAAAAAAATATTAATTTCTACAAAACTTGTGTCATTTTATGCATAATTGGTAACTACACATCCCATTTTTGAAGTGATCACTCTCATAATGATCGTGTTTAATTCAGTTATGTTGGCCATTGATGACCCCACAACAAACGTCTAAAGCCCATTCTAAAACTTAACTGACCTTATTTTCCTAGCATATTATACTTTTGAGGCTGTTCTAAAGATCGTTGCATAGGTAATTTTAAATTACTTATATTCAGGGGTTCATCATTCCTAAAAAGTCTTACTTAAGAGATACTTGGAATATATTAGACTTTTCTGTTATCATAACAGCATATATTCCATACTTTCTAGCCTCGAATTCTGTTAATTTAAATGCACTCCGTTCGTTTAGAGTGCTAAGACCTTTGCGAACTGTGTCATCAATTAAAGCTCTTAGAACAATTTTATTGGCTCTGTTTGCATCAATTGCTTAACTAAGAGATGCTGCAGTTGTATTGATGTTTTTTTATTCAATTTTTGCAATTGCAGGAGTGTAATTATTTTCAGGATATTTAAAACGAAGATGTATAGGTGAAGAGAGTGGTATAACTTGGGTTTCAGAAGAAATATTGTTTTGTGCAGATGATAATAATTGTCCTTTTCCAGAACAAACAATTTACAATGAAAATTTCATTTGTGGTAAACAAATTGCAAATCCATAAAATAATTTGATTAATTTTGATACATTTGGTTACGCCTTCTTATAAGTGTTTATAATAACAACTTTAGAAGGATGGACTTAAATTTAGACAGCTGTAATGCTAACATTCTCGTAATTTGTTGTACTTTATTTCATAATTGTGGTTCTTGTAGGAGCATTCTTTTTAGTCAATTTAACTCTCGCAATTATCAAATTAAATTTTAAACCTGAAAAAATATAGGAAGAATTAGCATAAATAAAAGAGGAAATAGAAGAATATGATTACAAATAATTAAAATAATTAAAATTATATGTTCCTGAAAGAGAAAAAGTAGATACAGCTGGATTTGGTATCACTTGGGATAAACCCAATGATTTCGACTAAAATATTATAATGAATCGTCGAAAACATACAAGAAAAGGTGGTTCACAAATGAACATTATCAAAAATACTTATCAAAGAAGATTTAAAGGGAAGAATAAAGTCCATTTCGAACCAATCAAATCAGCTGTTTATTATAGTCACCCTGTTATGCTAAATAAAAAGTATGTAAAAATTGAAGGTATTTATGGAATGGGCAATCAAACTAAATTAAACTAATAATAATAGATTACATCAAATATTTAAAGTAGCATTGCTGCTAAGAGATCCAGTGGAGTCAGAAGAAGTAGTTAATCAAGCAATAATGATGATAAAACCTCTTCAAAATAGATGTTTGATAATGAAAGTGGAAGTGGCCATAAATAACCTAAAAAGAGTCTCTAGTTATGTGATTAACAATTAAGTTCAGAGTTCATGAATTCTCCAATGATGGATCTTCAATCTGAAAATATCAGACCATTGAATGGAGGAACGATGTTAGTGCATCGTGGTGAATCGATTGACAGTAGTAGAAGTGGAGAATCCAAATTAGGGAGGACTCCAGTGAATAATAAATTAGAAATTCCTAAAATAGGAGACAGTAATCAATATTATATAAGTTTAGTTAAATAATAATCCTAAAGCATAAAGCCAAACCAAAAATTCAGTTTAGCTGCTGCCATGAAATTCTAGAAATAACCTCGTAACAGTCCTAAACCGGATTCATAAAAATCACTTGATGATCATGAATTTGATAGTGTTAATTTGAGTGAATTGAATAGTCTTTCAGATGATGAACTAGATTAGAGATTAGAAGAGATGGATATTGAAGTAGAAGAAAAGGTTACAAATGTTAACAGTGTAAATTAGAAGTAGATTTAAAAAGAATTAAATAGACAAAGAAAAATGGAAAATAGAAGACTTAGAGATTTAAATAAGAATTCCTAATAGAATTTAGATGAGGCATCACTTAAATTAAAATCCAAGTTATTTGATACTAAGTTTTATCCAATAATTGTTGTAGATGCTGAATTCAACAGTGTAAATGATATATTGATTTCACAAATGTTATAAAAATTAGAATAGAAGAGATTGGAATAAGAAAAGAAAATAAAGGAATTAGATTTTAAAATTACTTATTGTTTTAAGAATTCTAAATAATCATTAGAATTAAAGAAAACTAGCAATGGAAAAACAAAAAGCTTAACAAAATCAGCATACCTTAAGTCTGGAAATAAATCAAAAAAAACCAATTTAAGTTTAAGAAGAGTTCAACCAATTCTTGATGAAATACATCCATTTGAAGATTATTAATTACCTACAGAGAAAATAGCAGAAGGATAAGAGGAGCAGATTCAAGAAAATCAAAATGGAAATTCAGAATCAGACGAAGATAATGAAAATGAGAATAATATTGATAGAGATTAAAACAATGTTAATGGAAGTGCCAATTAAAAGTTAAATTAGAAGAAGAGAAAAAAGAGAGATGAATAAAACTAAAAATTAGATTATGAACAACTGGGAGAAAAATTTAATGATAGTTCTGATTGCATTGTCGATCTTAATAAAATACGTTAAGTGGAGTTGCATAAATAATTTAATTAAGACGAGTTAGCATTGCTTCCTCCTTAAGAAATAGAATTACAAAAAGGTGTTTTCTATTAGGAATTTGTTGATATTAAACAGAAAGACATACATGAAAGCAAGGGAATAATCACAGCATAGGCTTCAATTGAAGATGTACTATTAATAGCCGATTACACATTCTATGATTAAAAATTTGCAAGGCAAATGAATTCTGTTATGAGGGCTCTTAATTTCTCAAAAAGAGAGACATACATCTATTTAAAAGGTTTTATTGGACTCTTGTTGGTTTTATAAAACTAATTGTTGTATTTTGTATAATCTGGATACTTTGAGGCTTCAATGAATCTGGCAGTTGCATTAAATACAGTGATATTAGCTCTTGATGGATTATTGCCTGATAGTACTTCAGAAATAACGAACTAATTTAATTTTGGATTCACAATATTGTTTACAATAGAATTAGGATTGAAAATGTTGGGAATGGGACCAAGAAAGTATTTGAGAGATACTATGAATATCTTTGATGCCGTTATTGTGGCTCTAAGTTTAGTTGAATTATTCTTTTTGGGAGGAAGCACAAATGGAAAATCTTCATTGTCAGCCTTTAGATCAGTAAGAATCTTTAGAGCTTTCAGAGTTTTGAGAGTAACTAAATTAATGAGAAGTTTGCAATTTATGGGGTTTTTGATAAAGGTTTTAAGTAATGCATTTTAATCCTTCATGTATATTATGATTCTATTGTTACTCTTTATTTTTATCTTCACACTTCTGGGTATGGCATTTTTTGGTGGATAATTGTCGAAGACTCCAAGCAGACAAAGTTATGATGATATTCAGAGTGCATTTTTGGTTGTGTTTTAAGTGCTTACTTTAGAGAATTGGAATAGTATTCTTTGGGATTTGTTGGTATAAGATGTTTCAGCATTTATCACTATTCCTTATTTGGTATTTTGGATAATGATTGGAAATTATGTGTTCTTAAATTTATTTTTAGCTATTTTGTTAGAAAATTTTGAGGAAGAATACAAGAATGATAAGGCAGGATTGGATACTAACATTGAGATTGGATAGGATTCAGTAATGGATAACACTACTTAAGCAGTAAATTCCACGAGTACTTTGAAATCAACGATGAAGACCAAGAAGCATACAATTGCATAGTAACTAGAAAACAATGAAGATGATCATGATTAGAAGAAGCATAAATAAATAAACCAAGCATTTTCATATTTTGTTGAACCTGGAATGTGTTAATATTCGTTATACTTGTTCAGTCAATAAAATATTGTGAGAAAGATATGTTATAGGATTGTTAAAGATGATAAATTTGAAACACTAATTTTTACTATGATATTCTTAACATCAGCTAAGTTAGTGTTTGATACTTATATTCCAGATACTGGATAACTTAAAGAAGTTTCTTTAGATATAGACATATTCTTTGCAGCATTTTTTGGAGTAGAAATGTGTATGAAAATAATAGCATTCGGTTTCATATCTTAAGAAAGTTCGTATTTGAGAGAATCATGGAATGTGTTAGACTTCTTTATTGTAATTGCTTCATTTATTGATGTGAGTGTTTCAACCATTAATTTGAGTTTTGTAAAGATTTTGAGATTGTTGAGAACATTGCGTCCATTAAGATTTATAACTCATAATAGATCAATGAAAATATTGGTGTCAGCATTATTATAATCCATCAATGGTATTTTCAATGTGGCCATAGTTGTGATTTTGGTATGGATGATGTTTGCAATTTTGGGTATTAATTTGGAGAAGAATAAAATGAGTTTTTGTAATATGGGTGATGATGAAATTTATTATCATTATGGAGTTTAGGAATGCAAAGAGAACGGTGGAGTTTGGGAAAACAGAAAGACAAACTTTGATAACATCTTGAATGGAATGTTAACCTTGTTCATCTTGTCAACTTTGGAAGGATGGCCAGATATGATGTATTGGTTTATTGATGCAGATGAATCAGGACCAATAAAAGCAGCATAGTTGTAGTTTTCATGGTATTTTATTGTGTTTATCTTATTTGGATCAATCTTGTTGATGAATCTATTTATTGGTGTGATCTTGGTCAATTATCATTTGGCTGAGGAAGCATCAAGAGACAAGATCTTAACTTAACCTTAAGTTGATTGGATTGAACTCTAAAAATTGATTGTTCATTCAAGTCCGAATCTTGCTATGTTTTTTAGTCCTGAGAATCCTTTCAGAGCAAAGATCTTTACTATCATAAAACACAGATATTTTGATCCCACTATTCTGATGATCATTGTGCTCAATATAATTATCATGGGTTTATCCTAAGATGATTCACCAATCCTCTATGATTAAGTGTTAACATAATTTAATACTGCCTTCACTTTTGTTTTTATAGGTGAAGCTATTCTTAAAATAATTGCATTGGGACCAGTAGGTTACATGAGAAATTCATGGAATCAATTTGACTTTTTTGTAGTCTGTGCATCCATCTTGGATTTGATTCTTTCCTTTACTGGAAATTCCTTTATTTCATTTCTTAGTGCAGGACCCCAATTGGCTAGAGTTTTTAGAGTGCTCAGAGTCACTAGACTATTTAGATTAATCAAATCTTTTGAGGGCTTATAAAAATTGATAGAAACAGCAATATATTCATTGCCTGCTATGTTAAATGTAACAGCATTGTTATTTTTGGTTTTCTTTATATTTTCTATTTTGGGGGTGTTTTTGTTTGGAACTATAAAAAGTGGATGGGTCATTGATGATACTAATAACTTTTCAGATTTTCACCATTCTATTGAATTACTATTTAGATGTGCAACTGGGGAAGATTGGTACAAAGTTATGTTTGATACTATGCAAGATGGTCAAGGATATTATTGTATTTTCTTTATAATTTTCATTGTCATCTAATAATATATTATGCTGAATCTTTTTATTCTCATAATTTTGGATCAATACGAAATTAACTATTTTAACAGTGATAATCCATTAAATAAGTTTTAAGAATATGAAAATATGTTCATTGAATCTTGGTCTAAATTTGCTAAGGAAGACAAAGGTATGAAAATGCATTAATAATTGCTTGTTCCTCTCATGTTACAGATGGAAAAACCTATAGGCTACGATATAAAATAAAAATTATAGACTGAAATAGCTGAATGGAAACGAATTAACCCACAATTAGACAATAAGGAAAATGTTCAAAAGTAAACTTTGTTTTTGAAGGCCCAAGCCAAGAGAATAGTATCAACCTAATTAATGAAAATGAATATCTATTCTGATAATAATGGACATGTCAAATACCATTAGATTTTATTTTGTGTTATGAAATCCTATATGTGGAAGAAGGTTCAAGTTAACTTAAGTCCTGAAGGAGCTGAAAAAATCCTAATAAAAGAAGAAGAAACCCAAAAAAGATTGAAAAAGAAATAAGTCCAATAATCAAAAGAGGTGTCCCTCGTTAATCCCATAGTTCAATTTCTGTTTGTCCAAATGGCCTTCAAAACACTCAAAAGATATGGAGAAAAGAAGAAATAACAAAAAGAATTGTAGGTATTGATAGAACAGGAATAGGAACATTACAGTGATGGATTCAGTTCGGATTCTTCGTTTGACAACAATATTGAAATCCTTTCTAGGAATTCTAAGGATACAGAATATCCAAGAAGACCAGATTATGGGAAACCCAAATTTATATCTCTACCAAATACTGAAATTTACAAGGAGGATGAATACATAAATAAGGGAATACCAGTGTAGAATGATTCCAATAAGAATTCAGAGGAGGAGGAGGAGAACCCAGATGAAGATGGTAAGATTTGATTATCATTTTAAGTTATGTAATAGTATACAAAGGACTTTCAGAAGCACTTAATAAACAATGGAGGTAGCAATGGAAACATTCAAGATGATAGAAGTGGGGGTGCTGCGACTAAAAGTAGTATATCAAGACAAAGCCAAATTAATAAATAACAGAAGAAATTGACTCTAAAACCAAATGATCTGCTCTCAGGTATGAGCAAGAAATCAATCTAATCGATTTCTTAAAACAATAACTTAGCTGCGATTTATGACAATCCACTATAATGAATAAAAGTAATGTGAACAGAAATATATATGAATAATTTATTATAATATAAATTCATAGAAACTCAAATATCCCATTTATTCTTTAAATTAAATATCTTAAGTATGTTTAGAAGAGTGTTTGGAAATTCTATGAGACATAACCCAACTCGTTTACGATACTTGAGAGAGTATGTATGTTTAAGAGAGGCTGCAAATCCATCTGCTTAATAAGCTCAAATTGCCCAATTCTAGTAAGTGGCAAATAAATATGGATTGACAACATCTCAATTGACATCACTCTCTGGTATTTACCAACTGAGGCAATTGCTTCGACCTTAAAATTTCCCAAACCCCAATGATTATAAGGTTTATTAATTGATATATCTGTAGGTTCACGTTGAGAAATTGGAGTTACTATTCCGATAGAAACAATAGAGCAGCGAAAACCTAGAGCAATTTGCCTAAAGTCTACAGCACAGAATCCCAGAAATCAGCAAACTTACAAACGAAGCTAGAAAATAAGCAGCTCAAGATTTGTTTAGCATTTATTTGGAAGGAATTCATTATGATAATTTAGTCTCACCGTAGAGATTATATAATATTTTAGAGGCTATGTCGAACAATTAGAATCAACATTCAGATAACGAACTACTGGAGTTATAAATCAAATAAAAGCAGAGGTGAAAGATCCACAATTGGCAGCTGAATTAGCATAATCACTTGAATCGATCTTCCAAAACTATTAATTCAATAAAGGAAGGTATTTTTAGCATTTAATGAATAGATATGTGGGTTTGATCAAATCGTTCATTGAAGCAAATCAAGTAACCGAGGTTCAAGTTAGTCAAAAGGTGGATCAAAAAACATAAGAGAAATAACTCTTTATTCAAACTGTTGACAGAGCAACGAAGAAATTCTCAGCGGAAGATCAAGAATATGCTAGAAATGTCGATGGACACGATTTCAAATTGTTCTTATAGGAATTATACGAGAAGGAATACTAATCAGGATTTGCTTAGAACAGATTCAATGAGAAAGGATAGAAATTAGTCTACGAATCATAAGCACAAGAACATCATGTTTTGAGATATCAAATATTGGCAGGAGTCTTTGCAGGTTATTTCCTTTATCTATTTTACAGAGGTGATGCATACTACTCCACAATATTGACAGTGCCTGCTGTTGCTGCAGCCTTCTTCTATTTGGCAAAATAAGGACAAGTATCTATTGTAGTATGAAAAATTAAGGCAAAACGAGCAATTCCTTTCATCAGACAAGTTCTCAAAAATACTGACAATACTTATGAAGTGGTCTTTGAATAGAATCGTATTATTAGTAGAATTGAGAATGTCCAAGCTGCACAAATTAAGTAAGTAGGTCTATTATGAAAAGATTGGCTCAAGACAGTGCACTTTCAAATACTTTAGTATTGGGAAATCCCACAGACTTCGGATATCACGTAAGAGTAGCCGATAATTCATTTATTGTCCCGTACTTGTATAGTGGTAATGGCCTAGACTTCAGAACATTCATTAATATTTGATTCAATATAATAATAAAAATAAAACAAGACTTTCATCCATCTTAAGATTATACTTAATTATCGATTCCATACAAGTCAATTTTATCCTGATCTTCCAACTCATCTCTATCTAAACAATTAAATGCAAATCCAGTATGTGCTTTGTTGTTTAATTTTCCACCTATCTTTGGAGGTTAATGAATCGACAGATTGTTCAAAGAGAATGGTGTTTTTATTGACATGTTTTGATTCACTTTCTATAGCACTCTATTAAGTTTAATGTTTAATGCAATGTCAATACTACAAATTGCAGCAATGACTAAAATATTGCCGAAATGGAAATTTGGAGTTTGAAATAATCTAATTATTTAAACTAAATTTATACGATTGAAAAACTACATATGCTTCAGCTTATGGTATATTATCAAGGATGATCCAAGAAATTAGATAAGATATCATACTAAAGGATATGCTACCCTTAAATCATATAAACATTAATTACTAGCAATGCTGGGGTATAGGTATTAGAAAACAGTAAGACCTTCAAATTGCAAATCACAACAATCAATCCGAAAATCATCGTTCCTTAGGCCCATAAATGATGAGTAAATCCACTGTCTTCAACAAAATTCTCAGATATTGCATATGTAGCAAAGAAACACAAGATTGCAGTCTACCAAAATCCACAAAACACCCAAAATAGAACTATTTAGATATTAAACAGCACTCCTTGAGGACCCTACTAATAATAGTTTTACAATTTATTATCCGTCAATTAATCAGCATCATACTCCTCATCAAATATTCCATATATCATAATCGGCAAGGCTCCATACAAAATATTAAATAATTAATAAATGAAAGTATCATACAAGGATTAAGCTGAGAACATTGAGAGAATGCCATACCAAAATTATGGTAAAACCACCAATATATTTTTATAAAATGTGTAACAAACCAAAACACTGTTCCTGCGATAACATTCCCTTCCATGAAAAAATAATAGTCTTCTTAATTCTCTGAATTCCTATACACTGTAATCAGCTGCTCTTGCTGCCTATTAACCTTCAACTCCTCTAATGCCCACTCCAACATGAGCAGCTGTTATCATATTTACATCATTCGCACCATCTCCTATGGCTAAAGTTGAACATTATTGATTTCTCCCTCTAATCAAAGAAACCACATCTTATTTCTATTTTGGACTTACTCTACAACATAACACAACCTCACAAAAGCCACACACTTCTGCTACCTTCTTTTAGATATCAGGCTTCAATGCATGTAACAAGGCATCACCTGAAATAATTAAAGCCTATCCTTATGTGGTTTGAAGAGTGGGTATCTTGTTTAAAATATCATCTAATCTCTCATTAATTAGCAATTCTTCCTTCTCATCCACAATATGTTATACTAAATTATTAGTTAACAAAGAACAAGAGTATCCAATATTAATAGCTGTTTCAATTTTATCTCCTGTCAACACCCAAACTTTAATTCCAGCTGCTTTGACGGCTGCAATTGTATCCGACACATCTTATTATAATTTATCTTCAATTGCAGTTGCTCCCAAAATTTCATAGTTCTTCTCCAATTCATCCTAAAGCACTTACATTTTCTCTTCTCGATTTTCAATTTACTATGTTGCTTATTAATAACGTTTATGCCACTCCTCATATTCCTACTTACTTAGTTTTCTTTTTGATAGAACCAACGTTCTTAATCCTATCTTACCATACTCTTGTAATCTCTATACTAATTGATGATACTCATTCTTATTCAATTCCTCTCTTGATAATCTCACTTAATCCAACAATACAGAGTCTGCCCCTTTCGAAAACAGATATATGTCTCCAGTATTAATTACCTAGACTAAAATTGATTGTCTTTTTCTGGCAGATGTGAATTCGAACATCTCCAATAATTGATACTCGATTATTTATTCCTAATAACTTATTCTCTTGATATTGTTTTCATCCGTTCCTAAAAATTCAAATCCCACAAATCTAGCAAAATTCAATAATGCCAATTCATCCGGTGAAGTCGCATTATATATCAATTTTCCATCTTTCTAATCACTGATTACGGTGTGACAAATGGCAATCATCTTCAAACACTCCTCAACTTTCTCATGCATCACATGAGATTTGTCATTAATGGCCTAGATCAAAGTCTTGTCTCTAAAATCTACATTACTAACTTGCGGGTAGTTAAGCAATTCATCATCTCTTATATAATCATCTGAAGACCTCAATATATCCCCGTAATTTTGATTGCCTCTACTTTAAATTGATAAATATACATTATTATTTGTTTAAACTCCATTATATTACATGTTAAAGTACCAGTTTTGTCACTGAAGATATGTTCAATTTGGCCAAGCTCCTCATTTAAGTTAGAGGTTTAGACTCTTGGCTAATTAAGTTTCTCATCCAAGGTCATTATTTTACCTTGAATAAATTTAACCATCTCTAGAGTAACTAACAAAGAAATAGGCACAAAGTTATTAAATATGAGCATCCAATTGCCAAATCTAACAAAAAAGTTATAAGGAATAGTATATTCGGATGAATGGACTCCAATATATAAGTAATTCAGGTATTTTCGGTTATTGTAATATGTAATTGAATAGACAAGAGATGCTATGATGCACATGATAAACTGAGTTATAAATATTATTAAAATAAACTTTTGCATCTTGAGTTCCAATTTACTTCGTTTTGTTCTGGCCTTATACGAATTCATCATAATCTTAGTATCATGACCAGTATAAGCAACTAGGCCAAAAACATATTTCACATTTCTCAAGTTACATCCTCTCAAAAGAAAATTATTAAAATTTATCGATGAAACCTATAGATTGGAAGTAGTAGTTTCTCCGATGAATTTATACAAATACGGAGTTGGTGCTTAATATTTCAAGATGATCCTCTTATCCAATTGACCAAAACAATCATCCGATTTAAAAGTCTAAAGATGATCGACATGAACATTCTTTTATTTTAGATTAGTTTCACCATCTAACGATTTGGTCTCCACATAGCAAATGCCCTTTATTTCACTAGATCTCAATAGGATCATGTCTGCTGGGATTATTTCATCCTAATTCACCTTCACAATATGACCAACTCTCAATTCATATGAAGGGATCTTCACAAAGTCTTTACCGTCAAATGCAGTCACCTATTGTTTGTTCTCCTCATTATCAGAAGTTCTTCTTTTGTAATCTTCGTAGAAATCTTTTGCTCCGCTTACCAAAATGATGAAACCCAAAGGCAAATAAATAGTTGGAACTCCTGAACTTATCGAAACCTCTGGAACCATTTATAATGCACCCATTAACTAATTTGATACTTATTGTAACATACCACGAAATAGACATTTGCCAACTTCGAAAATTACTCAAATAACTATTTTGGAAAAAAGTTCAATAATGTATATTTGGAAGTTTAGATGCTATTATTGGGCAATTGATAATCTGGCCTATTAGATGTAATTTTCCTATTCTTTGATTGATATTTTTGAGCGTAGTTTCCCTTCTTTTCAATGTTATCATATTAATAATCTCGGATTAATAAATTAGTTATTACCAAACAAATTTCTAGAATCTCTGTCCTCTGCACTACTTAAGGCATGAGGTGCCTGTAACTCAATTTGTACATTCTTTGTTTCAGTCATATTTACTCTAAAACTAGTTAATCAAATAATAATTATATATATATATATATGATCCCTAATAAATAATTGATTGTTAAAAATAAATTATTTCTTTGAGTATTTTATGAAATAAATTTCATTTTGGTTTTGCTTCTGGTAGTTCTGTTTCCTTTATATCAAAGCTCTCATTGTAAGGAGCAGTGGCATCAACGATCTTCTTTCTCCAAATTAAGTATTTTATCTTATATCCCCACTTCTTTATTAAGTAGTACAGAATAACAACCAGCCAAATACCAACCACAACCAAAACATACAGGGTAAGAGTGTAATAAGCATATGTATTGTAATTTCCAGCCAACTAATAATATTAAGCATAAGCATACTTCTGTTGTTGTAAAAGTGAATGAATGAGATACATTGCATAAAGTAAATTGATAATTTAGGTTCTTCTCCTTCTCCTTTTCTGCGCAGCTGGTTGAATTAATCTTCACATAAAACTATCTCACTCCAGGATCTTTGTATTTGCATTCTATCTTAGGCATGTTCATAATAATGTTAATCATTTAGAATTCATATTTGCTAATTGCTGCGAAGATTCTTTGATTCGAGAACTCCTCTCCCTCAAATTCAAATTCTTTAACCTTTACCAAATCTGCTTAATAGAATGTTGTATGAGAAACTAAATTTTCGTTTAAGAAACCTATTTTAAATTATATCAATATACCTTAATAAACTGAATGATAAATAATCTTATGACCATCATCTCCAATCAATACAGCGTAATACTAAAAGACATTTACATCATTAATGGTCATTTCATCAAAAAAATAGTTATTAATATAATAATCGTAGGTCACTTAATTAACAAAGACCTCTATTGCAAAATCTTATTTATTGATTGTTTTAGCTACAATAAAAAATGTATTATCATAAAAATCAAAACTATGAGCATGCGAAATAATGATTGTAAATTCATAAACAAGCTCCATAAGATTTTTAATCCAATAAAATTTTAATCCTCTCTCAATATCTAGTACATATAATTGATCTTCTCCATTACTATTGACATCAACTATTTAACTATCAATCCCCAAATAATCTGCTGAGATATCCATTAACAATTCTAAATTCCCATTATTGATTTTGTATATATCCACACCTTCATATCCACATGCCACAAATATTAATTAATGCTTTTCGTTATAATGCACATTATAGATTTTATCCCTTTTTTTAATTTCCTTTTCAGCCTTAAATTCTATCTCTTTCTTTTAATTACTCTCAAAGCTCAAACCTCCATTTGTTGTAAAAATAAATATTTTATTTGATTTCTTGTCACTCACTAAATAAGGATGATAATCAGTATTATCCTCATCGTAGTCAAGCATATTGGCAAAGGAAGTCTATATTGGGTTAAGTAATAATTAGAATAGCCCGTAATTCAAATCCACTTATATAATCTTGAAATCATTTCTAACAACATAAGCCTACCTAAATTTCTCAGCCAATGCAACATCAGTACAGTATATATCTCTTGTTAATCCACTTTTGTCAAGCCAAAGCTTCAATTTCATACTGATCTAAATATTCCTCTAAATGGAATAGCAACCGTCTTCCTCTAAAAGATCCTCCTCAACTTTCTCAAAGTCTCCTAAATTAATGCTCTTATTGCTAATCTCTCCCTTTACTCTCTGATGTAAGTCTATGGCAAAGACTCCTGGATATCTAAAATTATATGGATTATATATATTACGCTCCATAAGGTATTTCAATAATTTCAGAGGCTTGTCTATAAAAATCATTCGATGTAAAAGTCTCTTCTACAATCTTCACTGGTGGATTAATGATTCTGTTACTCAAAGTCAACGTAAAGAGAATTTATATCAAAACTATGATCATTACTATATAATAAATATAATTAAATTAATTCTCTATTATCTGCATTAAAGACTATAATTTATACTGTATTTTTTACAGTTCAAGGATGAACTTATACTATATCTACCTAAAACATAAACACAATTTTATATTTATATATTTGTACTTTAATTTATTTTTGCAGCTGAGAAAAGATAATAACTTATTTTTAAAGAATATGAAGACCTAAGTGCTCATTAAACATCCCAATTTTTGATCTTTATTATCTTTGTTTCTAATTATTTTTATTTGAAATATCAAAAACTCGGAAATCATCAGTCATTAAAAAAGTGACAAATTAGATCATAATAGCAATTATATTTACTTAAATAAAAAATTCTTTTAAAATAATAAAACTTTGATGATACCATTAATAAAAAAGAGCTATAATAAGATAATTAATTTCCTTACTTCTTGATTAAGGAAAAAGTAAAACTAATTTGAGTTAAATTTATATATATAATTAATATTAACAAGGATGTGCAGACAATTGATTTTATTAATAAAATGTAAGTGCAGAAAAACAAACTTAATAAAACTGAATGTTAATCAATACCTAACATTTAATAATTTTATTCTTTGTTTTTTTAGAATTTATTAATATATCTAAAAAATAAAATATGAGTAACATACTAGGCGGAGCTCTTAAGGTTTACTCAAGGAATAAACGAAGAATAGATCCTCATTTAGCAATTTTAGGATTATGTCTAACAGCCAAATTTTTCTTCAGAAGAGCAAAAGCTATTATTTCAACTTTAAGTTTACAATAAGTAGATGTTGCAAATAGGTATGGGAAGGGATCATATGCACTAATAACAGGAGGAGCTGGAGGCATTGGAAGAGAATTTGCTTTAGATTTAGCAAGGAAGGGATTCAATTTAATAATTGTAGATTTCAATTAGGCTGGTTTGGATTCAATATAATAGGATGTAAAATAAATAAAGAGTGACTTGATGGTGAAAACCTTATTGATTGATTTCAGCAAAGGTGACAATGCAGAATTCTTTAAGAAATTCTAATAAGAAATCTCTAAGTTAGACATTTCAATATTAATTAACAATGTTGGAACAAACAAAGGTTGTTTTGGAATATTCGATAGACTGCCTATGAAAAATATTATAGAAGGTTTTAACATTAACTTTGTTGCACCAATTATGGTAACATAGGCAGTGATCAATCAAATGTTATTAAGGAATAAATACTAATCTTTAATTTTGAATTTGGGTTCTGCTTCATAAAATTATCCATTCCCATATTTTTTTGGTTATGGATCATCTAAAGTATGAGAATAAAACGTATATAGGTTGGAATGGCAAGTTTTTTTGATGCTTTGGCATTAGAACTAAGGAACAATAAGAATATTGATATCTTAACTTTAAAACCCTAATATGTAAGCACTGCTATGATAGGACATTAAAAAGGATTGCTTATTATATCACCTCAAAAGCTAGTTCAATCCACATGGAAGTATGTTGGTAGGACTAATGAAATTACTCCAAATTGCATTCACTAATTCTAAGTATATATAGAAAGCTCTTTGCCAAAATTTTTGAGAAATTTTACGAAGATGATGTCACACAGAAAAGGGGCTGAAGCAGTAACTTAGAGATAAGAATGATATATTAATAATTATTAAATAAAAATTGTATCTATATATTAAGTTAAATATCACATATTATTGAATAAACTTTTGTTTTTTTACTTCATTATGAAGATGATTGATACTCTTCCTATACAATGATGAATATTTAAATGTATTTCCAATCTATGAACAATTAAGATATTTTAGTTTGATAAAATTAATATCTAAAATATCTATTATACATGAGTTGTTTTTGTAGAAAAGTGTTTGTGAGACAGTTGGATAGTTTATCCACCTTCTTTACTCACATAAATTTGTTAATAAATTAATTTTACTCGACAACCACACAACTTTTGAAGGAAATATGGATTATTAATTATGATAATGAATAAAATAAATTTAATAATATTAATGATAATTTATTATTGTTGGAATATATATTTTATTGTTCACTTAAACTGAACTACGTAAACATACAGAATCAGAAAGGTGTGCTTGAAACATAATATTCAACATTTTTGTCAAAAAAACTGGAAAATTAATATCCTTTTTATCACGTTCTCTAATGACGAAATCTATTGATTTCATAATTAAAACCAATATAGCTGATATTTATAATATTTATATGATCTCATTTGTTAAGTAACTTATTCTAGTTAACCTATGGCTCTATTTGACCAATGCAGATTGGATTCAGATTGATTCTAATTTCAATGATACTTCAATTGATGAAAACGATTGGAAAGTCAAGAAAAGTTGCGATCATTGTGGAGACAACTGTGAATAAGATTTCTAATCTGGATAGTGCGATAATTCTGTAAATTCTTTAGATTATGCCTTAATTAAAAAGGACAAAGCAAAACTTTATAAGTCTTATGAATATTAAAGTTTTCAAACTTAAATAATCTTTGATGTATATTTTAACCGTGCAGATAGAGATAAATTTTCAAGTTTAAGTGTTGATTATCATGAAGACTCTTCATCCACAACAAATACGCTATTTGAAAAAAATTATAAAGAAGCTGATCTGACATAAAAATCAAACAGAATTTGCACTGGAGGTTCAGATACTGAATTTGATTAATATACTGTAGTAAGTAGTATCTTAGATAACAATGCAGAGAAGTTTTGGATTACATTCTGCTTAGATCCAGAGAAAGATGATGTAACAGTGTTTATCAGAAATTTACTCATTTACGTAAATACATGTTATCCAACTTGTAAAACTTGTAATGGTGCAGCAAAAAATTAGTGCCAGTCTTGTTATTATAACTCTGTATCATCTGGGTAATGTTCATGCCCATCAGATAATTAATTCGCCCAAACTACTGTTGGGTGTAGATAAGAATGTGATCGAGATTATTTCATAGCTTAATCTGATAATATTTGTGTGCCTGATAGAAGAATTAAATCAAACGTTAAATATTTTGACTCTAATTCAATTTCCTCCTCTGTCTATCCAAGATACACACCATTTGTATTTATTCCCGATCTCTTAAAATACTCAAATACTGGACTTATTTATGATGATTGTGATAGTAAAGATTTTGTCGGTGAAATTAAATTTTGTGAGGGAATGTTTTTAAGAATATAGAACATAAATGCTCTAAAGTTTATCAGATTAAGAATAACACTTTATCTTTTTAGTCTCTAAACGGACAGTAAAATAGAAATTTACTTAGATGATATACTTTAAAGTTAAATCATAGCTTAATCAGGAAGTTTCTAATTTAATTCATGCACTAAAATATATTCTAAAAGTGATAATTGCGATTCTAAACCATATTCTTTAGTCAGAATAGAAGCTATTCTTAAATCGTTTACTAACTCGCCAATATTAACTCTGTAAGGAAAATTATAATAGAATACAGAATCTTGGGGATTTAATAATGTAACCATCGATACAGGATTATGTTAAGAGAATTGTAAAATATGTTCTAATTTTAACGATTGTTCACAATGTGAAACTGGTTATATATTATACTAGAATGGTTGTATCTCCCAATGTCCAGTTCATTCCTCGAATTGTGTCGACTACGCTGATATGATACCTTGTAGTTATATTATTTAATTTAGATTCCAGATATTTAGCAAAAGGATTCTATGATATGAATATGACAAGTTAACAAGTTTCAACTTTCTTTGATTCAGTTACTAATCCAACTACAAATTTTAAAACAGGCTAAAAATTTTCATTTTTTCCCAAAAAGTTTGTTCTAGGAGGTGTCATGGTTTGGAATAATGCCAAGTATATTAAATCTTGGACAATCTCTAAACCTCACTATGCTGTTACCATAAGATTTAATTTAACATATGGAGATGAATATTCTGGTAATTTTTATTACTAAATTGGAACTGATTTGAGTACTGCCTATGCTATCCCACCTTCTGGAGGTTAAAATGTTGTAGGTAGAAATAAATAAGAAAGAACCAGACATTTCAATATTCTTAAAACCCCATTCAAAACATCGCCTTTGAATATTGAATTCTAATGTACAGGTGGTGATTCAGATATCCGATAATAGTTTTGTGCTATTTCAGAGTATTTTATTGTTGTGCATTATGTATTTATTGATCACAATTTTATAAGTGTCCTCCATTTTGTGCTGATTGTTCAAGTGATACGGTTTGCATAACATGGGAATCTGGCAAAACTAGTTCATTATGTGCTTCAAATTAATTTCAAACATTTAATTCAGCAACAGAAACATATACTTGCAACACCTGCACTTAGATTGGTTGTCTTACATGTAATAACTTGGATGAATGTACATCCTGCTAATCAACTCAATTTTCATTATAAAATGGAGTTTGTTAATGTTTTTCATTCTATTACCTTTCAGGGAGTACGTGTTTAAAATGTAATAAATTTTGTGAAAATTGCAATGGTTCTAATAAAAATAATTGCCTGTCATGTGTTACTGATTATTATAGAGCAATCTTATTTAATACATGTGTTTGTCAAATAGGATATTACGATGATGGTGTTAATTTACCTTGTTTGCCTATATGTGGAGATACTCTAGTTGTTAATGGAGAAGATTGTGATGATGGCAATAACAATCCTTTTGATGGTTGTCATAATTGCAAATTTACATGTGATGAACCATGTGCAAATTGTGTATCAGGAAAATGTCTAATATGTTAAGATGGATATAAGTTACTTTCAAATAAATGTGCTCCAATATGTGGTGATAGTATTGTTGCTAAGTTTGAATAATGCGAAGACAATAACTTAACTCCATATGATGGATGTTTTAAATGTAAATTTTCATGTTCTTCAAACTGTATTGATTGCTATTTTGGGACCTGTCTCGAATGTGATGAAACTAATGGTTGGTATTTACAAAATGATAAAACATGTGCAACAGAATGTGGTGACTCCGTTAAAGTACCTTTAGTTGAGTACTGCGATGATGCTAATTCAGAACCAATGGATGGGTGCGATCAATGCGTATATTCTTGTAATAAGAATTGTGTGGAATGTATTAAAGGAACTTGTGTGATTTGCGAAGATGGATACACAATAGAAAGACGAACAAATACTTGTATTGTTGATCATATTTGTGGTGATAATCAAATTACTAAGCCTATGGAAACTTGTGATGATTAGAATAATTTAAGATTTGATGGTTGTTATAAATGTTAATTCAGTTGTTAAGATTCTTGTACAAATTGTTAAAATTATGGTTGTTTAGAATGCAATACAGAAGGATGGGAATACAATGATATTCTATTGAAATGTGAGCCTATTTGTGGAGATGGCATTATACTTATTAATTACGAAGAATGTGATGATTTGATTAGTGTGAATTGTTAAAGTTGTAGATTCTAATGTTAAGACACTTGCGAACTTTGCTATAAAGGCTTATGTCATAAATGCAAAAAAGGATGGCAATTGGATAAATTTTATAACAGTTGTTATCCAATATCTGGAGATTCATTAATTGTTGGTTCTGAAGAATGCGATGACTTTAATAGAAATCCTTATGATGGTTGCTATCAGTCATAATATCAATGTTAAATGGCTTGCATTAAATGTGAACTTGGGAAGTGTAAATAATGTCAAAATGGATATTTTAATTTTAATAATCTCTGCTATGAGATTATTGGCGATGGACTAGTTGTTGGTAAAGAACAATGTGATGATGTCAATCTATCAGCATTAGATGGCTGTTTTTAAACTAAATTTGATTGTCCTTAAAATTGCTCTGCTTGTGTTAAAGGAGAATGTTTGGATTGCAATAAGAGTTCTGGACATTAAGTAGATATACTTAGAAATATTTGCATTTCCAAATGTGGAGATAAAATTAAATCAATAGATGAAGATTGTGATGATGGAAACGATATTGCTTATGATGGATGTTTTAATTGTTAATTTTAATGTGACTTATATTGCTATCTTTGTTTTGAAGGTTAATGCAAATAATGTTAAGTTGGATATTACCTGAACAAAAAGAAAAATCATTGTTTTAGCATTTGTGGAGATGGCATTTCTACTCATGATGAAGAATGTGATGATGGTAATAATATTTTAAATGATGGATGTTCTGATTGTAAATCTTAATGTCATTAACAATGTACTACATGTATAGATAATCACTGTTATGAGTGCAAAGGAATAGGTTGGGAATTAAACTTAACAACAAGATAATGTTAACCTGTCTGTGGAGATGGTGTTGTTATTGGCGATGAATAATGTGATGATGGCAATGATTTAGGTGAAGATGGATGTTTTGAATGTTATTATTAATGTTAAAATCAGTGTACTAAATGTTTAAAAGGCTTTTGTGAAGAATGTGATACAATGGGTTGGTATTTAGAATGGAATTAATGTTTTCCTTATTGTGGAGATAAATTAGTCGTTGGAAATGAAGAATGCGATGATGGCAATATAATCCCCTATGATGGTTGCTATCAATGCAAGTATCAATGTTAGGAATAATGCACTGATTGTCAAAAAGGTGTTTGCTATAAATGCGAAGTAAAAGGTTGGACCTTATTGAATAATCTTTGTAACCCTCTCTGTGGAGATGGATATGTTGTTTAAGGGTATGAATAATGTGATGATGGGAATAATTTATAATATGATGGATGCTATGAATGTTTCTATCAATGCGAAGAAATTTGTACTTTTTGTGACCGAGGAATATGTTATGAATGCAATAAACTAGGTTGGGTTGTAGAAAATCATCATTGTTTACCATATTGTGGAGATGGATTGGTAATAGGATATGAAAAGTGTGATGACATGAATGATGATTTCAATGATGGATGTCACCTTTGTTAATTTGCTTGTGACCAATTTTGTATTGATTGTTAAGAAGGAGTATGTTAGTAATGTGAACCTGGGAGAAATCTAGATAAGAATACTTGTTAGACTAAATGTGGAGATGGCTATTTTGTGAAATTAGCAGAGTAATGTGATGATGGGAATAATGATGATGGAGATGGTTGCAATAGACATTGTGTAATTGAAACCAATTTTATTTGTCTCAATACTGAAGGCAGCTTTTCTAATTGTTTCTACTCTAAAATACCAGAATTTAAGTTAAATCTAATAACAAAAGTACCTGAAGATTATGAAGAAGTGGATTTAGTATTTGATTAGAAGATGAAATTTAATGAAAACCTTGTAGGTGATGTGACTAACAATATAGAGACTGAAATTATAAATCTTAGAACTAGTGACTATTTTGTAACTCAGTCTATTTAAAAATCAAGTGATGAAATTAGCGAAATTGTCATTAGATTTATGATTAATTTTTATGTTCCTATCGATGAACCTGTCTTTAAAGTGAAATTTTTAAATAATCCTATCATATCAGAGTTTAACTTGACATTAGAAGAGGATTAAAAATCTCTCTAATTGTTAACACCAATGGTTTTAACTGCAGATTAAAAGGCCATTGCTGAAAGTGCTACTGTCTTTAATGAGGCAATCATTTATTCATTAGCAGGCATCTCATCAATTTGCTTATTAACAGGCTCTACTGAAATCTTTTGGAATTTAATGGACCAATTACAATACTTGTCCTATATCAAGTACGTGAATATACAATTTCCAAATAATTTAAATATATACTTCGACATTTTCAACTTAGTAACAATCTCTCCGCTAATGAAAACTTTAGGGATTGATTCAATATTTAATTCTCTTGACGGTGAAGCCACATATTTTGTTAAAACTTAATCCAAATTTGAGAAGGATGAAATCAATGCCTATTTTTTTATAAATTTCTAGAGTTTTCTATTTTGCTTTATCACAGCTTATTCTGGGTATTTACTTACTTATTATTCTCATTGTGCCCTTTATCGTTTGGGCCCATACTATATTTCCAAAGTAACCTTTGGTATGGGAAAAAAGATTCTAGAATTTAGAAAGACCTTGAAAAAAAAAGCCAAAGAATTTTATTATAATGGAATTTTGAGAATTTTTATGTCAAATGCTTATGACGTATGCTTTGCAACAACTATTTAATTAAACTATTTTTAAAAAGAAGATCCTATTTTAATATTTAATTCTTATCTCTCACTATTTGTATACTTATCTTATTTAGGCATTTCAATTTACTCTTTAAGTATCATGCATCACTTTAATGATTCAACTAGCATAAAAAAGAAAATTTAATATGATGCACTTTTTGATGGAATCCAAGAAAATAAATCATATTGGATTACTCAATATAATTCTATCTTATTGATTAAAAAGTAGATTTTCATATCTATTATTGTTTTTATGTAAAATGAAGGCTAACTATAAACTGTTTGTGTAGCAATCAATTAATCATTCTTTTTGGGCTATATGATTCTGAATAAACCCTTATCGAATAGCTTCGAATATTATAAAATGGTGTCCACAGAGTCCATTCTCATATTTAATGTTTTAACCTTTTTGATATATTCCAATAGAGTTGAATTGGAATTAACATTGTAATAATGCATAAACATAGGCTGGGTTCATATTTTTACATCTACTATGATTTTAGCAATTTCTCTAATTTTCGACCTAATACAACAGATGAAATTATTAATCCAAAAATTGAAACCACGCTTTGGTCATTAATCTTTACAAGAGACAGGTGCTCCGATTACTCTTTTTTATTGATTAATAATGGACATTATATAATATTAAACTATCTTTTGGATTCTAATGATTTTCTTATAAAATAACTATTTAAAAATAGGAATTGATTTAAAATAAAGAATTTGAAAAAAGAATGCTAGGAATAATTCAATTATAAATATATTATTATCATTTTCATAAATTCTAAGTTATAAAAATATACATGGGCTATTTTAAAGAAAATTTGTATATATCTCAATTTTATCTAATTTTTAGTAGTTTCTTAATAAAAAATACTTCCCATATAATTCATTTAATTCAGTATTTATATTTTACATTTTGATAAATCAAGATTCTTGAAAGAAGGCTTTAAGTATCTATTAATTACATTAATGTGATTTTTTCACTTTGAATAAGATTAAATATTATAATAATGTGGATATATAATTTATTTTAGAAATTAATTAACTGTCATTTAAATTATTTTCTATAAATATTATTTAAAATTTATGAGTTCTTTCTCACCAAGGCTAACTAAAGTGTAAACGAAAACAGGATTCATAGGTACTTTCGAGGCTGAATTATTTGCTCAACAACAAAACACTCAATTAAGGGCTCAGAGAATGTAATAGGTAAAGTATTAAATATAACAATAGATTCGTAAATAAGAATCAGACTTAACCAAAAAGAAAATACAACTTCAGTAGTAGCAACAGCAAAAATAATAAGAGGAAGAGATGAAGAAATAAAAATATTAGGAATACTTATAAAAGAAGGCTTAGATTGAATAATTGGAGTAAGCACGTTAATAAACGATACTCGATTAATAACGGTAAGCAAGGGAGGCTGAGGAATACAGATAGAGAGAATATGAATTGTAGTAGGAAAAGTTGAAAATGTAGGCTTACTATGAAGAGCAGGCTTAAAAAAGATTTCAAGAAGCCTAGGAATGGAAAAAACAATCCTTTTTGGAAACATCATAAGGAAAGGCACTTTAAATTTAAAATTAAAGAAAAGAAGCATCGATTATTGAAAAACAAAAAGAAGCTTAATCTGTTGCTATTTACAAAGAATCCTCAAAAAATAAGACATCATCTACATTTACTTAAGATCTAGAGAGTTATGAAAAATTTGATAAAAACATATCTCGTAGATAAATATTAAAGCCTGAAGATTTCGCTAATACATGCTTTCATAATCCTTAAGTAGTTAAACATGATATAGATTTGGAAAAAGAAAATGCCATGGAAAAAGCAAACCAAACAATGATAGAAACACAAGCACTGCTTTTAGAGTAGGCCAGATAGAAGAGAGAATAAGAAAGAGCATAGAAATAAAGAAGTCAGAAAGCATTATCTAAAGAGAGATAAATTAAAGTAATGGAATAATTAGAATAAGAAACTAAATTTATTAAAAAACAAGAAATCATTTAATTATAAAAAACTAAACCTCCAACCAGAAAACCTAAATCTGAGAAAAACCATTAAAAAATATTATCTACAGAATTCGACAAGATGTTTAATTGTAACAATTCTTCAATTGAGGTCAGAGATCACAGAGTTAAGTCAAATTCACCCAAAAAGTCCTTAACAACAAAAAATAAAGAAAAACAGAGACCTAAATCTGTAAAGATCTTTACTAAAGCTCCTTTAGATACAAACCTTTTAAATGATCCGTAAAAAGAGTCATTGGTTAAGGAGGACTATACAAAATATGCTATAGGGTCCGAGGATCAAAGCACTTCTTAAAAAAAGAGAGTTTAATTTAGTGATATGAAGAATGAATCTCCTCACAGTTTTCAGAACAAAGAAATTGAGTAAACGTTGAAAATTACTAATTCAAAATCACCATATCAATAACATTTTAATAATGACCCTGTACATTCAAATGAAAATAGTGATGATGAAGAAAATAATTAAGAAGAACAAATAAATGAATCAGACTAAGAAGATTAAAATGAAGAATAATAAAGTGATATTGACTCTCCCCCTCAACCAAAATCCAATTAAATATAAGACATCAGATAATACATTAAAGATTAAGAGTAATATTTATAAAAATTGGAATAATAGAGGATCAATACAAAAATGAAAATTAAAGAAGAAGAATCAAATTTAGTTTAATCATTTAAAAATACAAGAAAATAACAATTTTCAAAATAACCAATCCCAGAAGAATCAGAAGATGAGTCTTCCTATTAGTAATCCCCATCTCAAATGAATCAAGAGGAAACTGATAGATAATAGGACTCTTTTTAATAATAATCTTAATCCTAAAATTAAAATTAAACTAGTCCAGAAACATAAAATCTATAGAAAAGTTCATATTTGGAAACAATTGATAATTTCGATCCTCAAGATATTATGGAATAGTTTCTGAAGCCTAAAAAAACTGCCAATAACTAGAATAAATAACTATCTCTATTTGCAGATCCTCAATCATCACAAAAGCAGACAATATCAAGTTAATAAAAATAATCTTAATTTGTAACTTTATAATAAATGAATTCCCCTAATTCTGATTTAAATTACTCCTTGAGTGAAGTTAAGAATGTCACCTCTCCAATTAAAAAATATGAATTTTAATAAACTTCCCCTCCCCTTGCATAATAACATGAATCTTCTCTAAAAAAAGAATCTATTGATTCTGAATAAATGAAATATTCACTCTAATAATCTTCAGAGCAACTATAGGATTTGGTCTAACAAGAGTATGAAGAAACATTAGGAGAAATATTTCAAAAGAGAAAAGCCATGTTAGCTAAGAAGTTCGAATAAAGATAAGATTCAAAAACCATGGAGAAAGGAGGAAAGACTAAGGAAGAATTAATATAGATTAGAAAGGAAATGCTTAAAAGCAAGAGACAAGTCGAAAAAGAAAAATAAATACAAGAGGAAATATAGTAGGAACCTTCAGAGCAGGAACTAAGACCAATCGAATAATCAGAAGACAAAAGGGCATAACTAATGAAAAGGTTAGCTATGGGGGAGAAGGTGAAAGTGGATAAGAAAGAGATGAAAGAGTTGACAAACAAAAACTATGAATTGCTGCCTGAGGTAAAGAAAAAAAAGGATGAATAAGAAAAAAATGAGAATATTAAGTCGAGGAAGTAAAAAGTTAAAGAAATGGATTAGAAACTTAGGGAAACTATGAAATAAAAAAGATAATAATGTTCTTGATTTTTTTCAATTTTTTGATATCAAATTTTTATTATTTGTTATTTAACGAATATTTTTAATGAACGCTATGAAAAAAATGTCAGAAAGTAGGCATTTCTCGTCCTAATAATAAGGTATATTTCATTCATATAAAGAAGAAAGCAGTCCATTAATGAATTAATCCACTAATTAATCAACCAAAAAAAGAAACAAAAACAAGGAAAATATAAATTTGTTTAATGAGGTTAATTCCCTTCTCTAATACTATCAGAATTCAAATATCCTCAAAAGTATTTCAATCTATATTAATAAAGAAAAAACATCACTGCCTACATCAATGGTTTCTCCTAAGAAAATGATGGATGATATATTTTTAAAGCAAGTACTTTAAACTAGAAAAACTAATAGCAGAAATAAAGTGAGTGTTTCATAAAATGTTGGATAGAAAGTCTTAAGTTTGTCACCCATAGAATAAAAATAAAAATCATTCACAAAAGGAAACTAATTTAGATGTGCCTATCATGCAAACAAAAAGGTATCAAAATCTGTTAAAATAGGCTAAATTTTTTGAATACAATCGCAGCATAGGAGCTATATTCTATTGTTCTGAATGCTCTGTAGGAAAACTAATCAAAGGAAATATTCTTTTCCCTGTTGAAAACTATCAAGTTAAGCAAGTTTCAAATAAAAAAAGAGAAAATCAGTCTGTTAGTAGAGCCAATTTTTGGTCAGTGGATGAAAACTCTCTTTTATCTAATTCTCCCTTTTTATTGGAGTCCACTGATACGTTCACTAGCATTACCGACGATACTGAAGACAAAGCTAAGGAGTTGAAAGACTTCTAGAAATCATTATCTTCTTTATAATAAGAATGTTAATCCATTATTGACAATGCTAAAGGAAACACATATTAGACTCAATTCAATACCTTAAACACAGAGTTACAATAATTACTATATATGATAAATATTCAATCCATGAAATTGTTGCAATAATTACAATCATAAAATCATTTACAATAGGTGTATGAAGTGCAAAATGAATTGAAATCCATTTTATCTGACATTTAATCAAACGAATCTAATATACTCAATAATATGTCAATTAAGCCATTTAAATAAATAATGAATGTAATATATTTTTCTTATTTTAGAAATACAAGGAAAAGTTAAAAGGACACACTTAAACTATTAATAATTGTTCAAGTAGCCAATAAATATTTGAATTAGATGATAGATTGTAAAAATTAAATAAAATTAAAAAACTACTCAAAACTAATTTCAAAATTGAGACAGATGAACAAGAATTATTAAGTACTAAGAGAAAACTTAGTAGCAATGTTTACATTTCCTTTGAAAACAAAGAGATGTTCTTAGCAGCAGCAGCTGCCAATAAAGCTAATAGTATTCATGCAAAGGATGAACCTGATTTAGTTCAAATCGATGATAAGTGTCATTTACTTGAATCTCCTAATTTTATCTAGAATTGAATTAAAAAATAGATTTTTGATTGATATTATATTAATGAACTTCTATTATTATCTGATTTAGTAATGTAAATATTTTCTAAATATTATTTCAAATACTAGTAAAATTAAGTATCAAAAATAATTAATACTTAATATTTTAATACTACATGAAAATTCCTTATTCCATATGATATTATAAATGAATGTTATTAATTTGGAAGACAGTATAGAAGAAATTATTAGTTACTAGTAATAAACATAAATTTGGAAAAGTTCAAATAGTCAATCAAAGTTGTAACTGATTCACTCCAATCTTAATTGATATAGATGAGCTAGCAATTTATAGCATGTTTATTTAGATTTCTAAAAAGTTTAAATCTCTTAAATGAATTTAAAGACCACCCTATTACATTTTTTTTGTATTTTCATTCATTATGATCTTTCAAATTTAAATTACTTCATTCTATTAGTTAGAGTTAATACATGCATTTTTATTTTATTAACTCTTCTTTTTATGACATTTACATCAAAATACCTGCTTAAAATTAAATATATAAATATACATAAAAGACTGAAATCATAACTTAGAGTTTGAAAACAGACTTAAATATGTGAAATTATATATAGGAATTCAGAGTTTTGTGATCCAAATTTTAAAATTCACTTTAATATTTCGGAACTAACTTGTATGGGAAATCCGTTAAAATGGAGATCTGGAAGTTTGGTTTGTGGTAATTTGAATAATTTGGATCAAAAGATGCTGTAATAGCTAAAAATTTTATAAACTTTTTATCAATTAAAAAGATGATAGTTTGAAATAACTGAATAAAAGAAAAAACTGAATTCATTTTAATAAACCTTTCCTTCTAATTTTCAAAAATTAAATAAATGTCAATTTCATCATCAAATTCATACACACCAATACCATAAAGAAAACCATGGACCACCAAGGAAGATGAATTATTGACCGAACTGAGAAAAAACAACAATTTAGATTGGATTGAGGTGGCAAGAAGAATTGATGGAAGAAATCCATCATAATGTGCATAGAGATGGAAACGAATTAAAGGATTCAAGTTAAGGAAGTAATGGACTGAAGAAGAAAATCAAAAACTTAAAGACTTAGTTTCTAAAATTTGGTTATCATTGGAGTAAAATTAGTTCTTTTCTTCCATAAAGAACTGGGAAGTAGATAAGAGAACATTATCTTAACTAACTACATCCAGATATTAATAATGAACCTTGGACTAAGGAAGAAGATGAAATAGTAGTAGAATCTTATAAAAAGCTTGGTGGTAAATGGAGTCAGATTAGCAAGAACTTAAACAACAGATCAGAAAATAGCATAAAAAATAGATTCTATTCCTACCTAAGAAACAAATATCTAAACATTAAAAACCCATATTACATTGTACCTGAAAAAAAATAAAAGTTAAATGAATCCAATACTTCTGAGGAAAAGTAAGAAAAACAAATGACTAATCCAATTAAATAAGAATCTTCGTTTTAAACCAATTATTAACAAGTTCCTTTAGAATAAAACATGCAATTGTTTATGCCATTTTATCAAAATTAGTTTATCTAATATCCAATGGCTTATCCTTGTGCTATGTTCGTACCAATATATTTGTATTAGTAACAAGGATCCTAATTAAATTAGGTCATGCGATATTGATTATTAATTTTACATTATCGAGTTAAAATGTATATATACGATCCTTGATATCAATTCTGTTATTCAACAGTCTATTAATAAAAGCCATAAGTCAAATGGCCTGAAAGTTTTGAGTTCACCCATTAAAAAATATAATTATGACACTTCTTTTCTTGTTTTACAATGCGTTTTATCAGAAAATATATTAGGATATTAATAATTATAATTTAAGTTAAAATTAGAATCACCAGCTATTTTACTTAAAATTGATTCATTAAATTAATTTTTATATTAGTTCAAGAATCTAAAAATAGGACTGCAATATTTATACAATTACAATACTAGTGTTAAATTTACTTAATCTATTTATGATAAAATAATTAAATTATATTTATGAAGGCAAGACATAAATACTTGGATGATCACGAAGGCTTTAAAGATACCCTTCCAGATTTGCGTTAATATGGATAACTAAGAATGCTATCCAATGCTCTAGCTTTAACTTTTACAACTGGATTATGTGTAAAAGGTATACACCTTCATTTTATTAAGCATTCTCAAAAAAGAAATTTACAAAGCATATTTTATACAATGTTGGGTTAGTAGCCTTTTTGCCTATAATTGCAGTAGTCGGTCATTGGTAAGATGAATAGAGCAAAATTGCAGAAAAAGCATTACACGATCATATAAAGTCATAATTTGAAAATAAACCAGAATGAATTATGGATTCATATTAATGTCTATAACAACCCATCAGAAAATATTAATACTCTGCAATTTTATCAAATGAATTCTATAAATCATTTCTGATTTGAAGTAGCTAATACATTCTATCTAAAAATGATCCTTTGAGTTGAGATTAAAGGATTCAATGCCAAAAAATGTGCTTTGATTATAAATTATATACTTATTAAAATGGGAGATTTGAAAATATCGACTCTTAACCTCACCAAAAGGTACAGCAACTCTTTTTAACTGTTTCTGATGGTTCACAGTCATCGAGTTTTCAGAGGGTTTTTCATAATGCTGTTATTATTTCATATGATTTTGTTGCTCGTACCATGGATTGAAATAAAAATACCAGCATGGCCAATATTAAAAATAAAATTTGCAATAGGTACCTCCTTATGGCCCTTTCCTACTATTGATATGCTATCAGAGGAAAACCTATATTTACGACAGATATTAATGAAAACATTGGAGATTTCAGTGATTATGTTATATGCTATAGATTTATTGCCCAAAATTTTTATTTGGAGATAAAACGTGCTCTGGAAATTTGTCAATATTGTCATTTTATCATAAATGATGTTTTTATTACCAGTGTCAATCATTGCATATGATAAATTTGCATTACCGACTGACACTATGAAATTACGTATATTTTCCATTAGTTTCTGTTTTGTGATTGTATGTGAAATTCTTAGTATAAGAGAATAAAAATCCTTAAGATTCTTATAAATAAACTAGAGGTAATAAGAGAAGCAAAGATAAATTAAATAAAAGACTTAGGAATTTAGTTGGTGTGAAATAGTGAAACATGATTCTCCTAATGATTGTTGGATTGTAATTAAAGATAAAATATATGATGTTACATAATTCCTATAATATCACCCAGGGTAACTAAAGTTTAAATTAATTTAGTGGTAATATGATCCTTGACGGAGCAGGTGGAGATTGCACTGCCCTTTGGTATTCTTATCATCCCAGTAATTTGACAAAGCAAGAGCCTCCTTAGAAATATCTGATAGGGAAGGTCAGAGATCATTAATAATATTATTCTTATGATGATGATTTCTATTAAAATATAAAGGAAGAAGTGGAGCAAAAGATTCCAAGAAATAAATGGCAAAATCATTGGATTTTATTTGTAAAGGGATTCCTCTGTTTAACTGGATATCTAGCATGTTTGTATTATTATATCAACTATTGCACCTTATTATCTGCAATCTTATTAGGATTCTTAGCTGCACAAGTAATTTAGTAAATCAATAATTAGGCTGATGTGAATATTATGCATGATGGTAATCATTATGCCTTTTCATCCAATAAAACAATATCATTTTTAGCTGGTTATGTTTTGGATCTCACTTTTTCAACTAGTGTAGTGTACAGAAGATCCCATAATTTTGGACATCACAGTTGTGTCAACCACTTAGAACTAGATAGAGCATTTGATACTACATTTCCATATATAAGATTGCATCCACTTTAGCAACGATTTTGGTATCATAAATATTAACATTTGTACATTTGGATTATTTATACATTTGTTAATTTCACAGATGTCTTTGGAACTTTTGATGAAATGCAATGGTTCAGCAATTTTCCTTGTAGAAGAGGTTATGTCTCTAAATTGTAAGTCTTTTTGTAAATAATTGTTAAACTCTTATGGATTTCATTAACATTGATTTACCCTTCAATAAAATTTTCATACAAGGTGGCATTTGGAATGTGGTTTGTGTATAATGCAGTTCACAGTTATAATTATGCTTTATACTTTTCTGTCAATCATTGGACTCTAGAGGCTGGAGTGGTGGATAATCAAAATATCAATTAAACAAATTGGGGTAAATTGCAAATCTAAAATTCTTCTAATTTTGCTGTTGATTCTTTTATTTGGACTCACCTATCTGGTGGATTGAACTATTAAGTAAATATAAAGAGTAATTGTATAGATTGAACATCACTTATTCCCATAGTTTGCACACACCAGACTCAAAGAAATAAAGAATACTATTTAAGTGAAAGCTAAGCAAGCCAATATCAAGTATGAAATTGATAAATAAATTAGATACTTTGAATTCCCATCATTTTTAGATGCTTTAATTAGTCACTATAGATTGTTGAAAATTCTAGGATCATAAGATTTAATTTGAATTAATTTAATTATTAATTAATTAATAATTAGAAAATGCAAATTATCATTTTTTTCTAAATTATATTAGATTTATAGAATGAATCTTCTATAAGCTTTTATTTAACTCTTTATAAAATAAAAGTTTTATAGATGTACGAATAATGAAAATACAGAATATTATATTATTGAACAAAACAGAATGTTCATTTTAAATTTTGAATTATATTTCAAAGAAATGCTTTCTATGTATTAATCCAAATCCTAATGAAATATTTAGAATTAGGAAAAATTGCATTAAGAAATGGAAGGAGATGTGTTTGTAATTAATTTGTTGTCAAAAACAAATGATTTAATTTGTAATTATTTAAAATTAAATAAGAAAAGTTTGTGTACAAATTAGTTAATATTTTCATATTATTGTATTAACTTTATATGTGGAAATTTATTTTTTAATAGCCAAATTGGTAATCTTAGTTTGTAAATTTGAATGCTTTATAGGATCACTTAGTTGAATTGGAAATATTTAATAAACATTTATCTAATAGTTAAAAATTATTTTAAGTAGATTGAGAAGGTAGAATTGAAATGCTCAAAAAAAATGAAATGAGAATAAGATATTGATTGCGAGAGGTTGGAATTGGCAGGATTTTTAATGGGTTTCTTTTGAAATTTTTGGATATGAATAATATTATAAATTTATTTATTAATGACCAGAACAAATGATGAGGAGTATGATTTCTTATTCAAGATTGTTTTGATAGGTGAGTTTGATGATTAAACATTTTAGGAGATTCTGGAGTGGGGAAAACAAATATTTTAAAGAGATTCATCAATAATGATTTCCAACTTGAGTCGAAGCCAACGATTGGAGTTGAATTTGCAACGAAGACACTTCAACAATCAGGGAAATCTGTTAAGTGTTAGATATGGGACACTGCGGGTTAAGAGAGGTAAGGTTTTCGAATAAATTATATTTTAGATATAGAGCCATTACAAATGCATATTATAGGGGAGCTGTGGGAGCATTTATTTGTTATGACGTAACGAGAGAGCCCACTTTCAAGAACACAGAAAAATGGCTAGCAGAGTTAAAGGAACATGCAGACGGGAACATTGTAATTATAATGATTGGAAATAAAACTGATGCAGTTGATTAAAGAGTAAGCCCTGATGATTATATAGGCTGTGCGAACAGATGAGGCTTCGAACTTTTGTGAATAACAGAAGATAGGGTTTATAGAAACTTCAGCATTAGATGGGACTAATATAGATGTTGCATTCAACAAGATTGTAGCAAGTACAGCATTCTCATGATATCAATAGATATTTTTCACACAATAGGATCTAAAACAGCAAAGAAGGTAGTTTAAGTGGAAACAGACCCTGTAGTGCTGTCAGAACAGAAGACACCTCAGAGTAAATCAAAAAAGAGTAGTGAGGGATGTTGTTGAGTATTTTTCAATATATGTCTTTGATTATTTATTTAAATACTCACGCTCTTCAAGTTTTAATGAGAGTAACAAGAACACACTAGTAACAGTGGCGAATTGATTTATCAAGTTTGGTTTATTTTAAAATGAGGAACTTAATTATTTGAAATAATCAAATAAATTACAACTTGATAAAACTAATTACATTAATAAATTGCATAATTATTATGTATTCAATTAAAACAGAACATTTGCCAATTGCCATTGTTAGTCTATAGATGAATGATCGAGATGAAGAAATAAGAGTGTATGAAGGTGAGGACATTGAACACATCGTTAGAGTGTTCTGTTAAAAGCATTACTTGGGACAAGATTGCGTTGTCTATTTGATTAATCAAATAAATGAACAATTGAAAAGAGAATCATCGCCTCGATTTGGAGACAGCTTTGGTCAGAATGACATTTCTCGTCAATTACTGTACCCTAGTTCAAGTTAGCAAAGTGAGGTTGGCATTACAACCTAGGCTAGTAGTGTTGATGAGAATTAAAACTCAGCCTAAAAGAGTTATGAAAAATGGTAATAAATCATAAATAAAAAAACCGATCTGAAGTAAATTAGTGCTGTTACTTAAAATACAGTATTGTGGAATGTTCCTAGTTCAGCCAGATGTATATAATTTTAAATTTATTTTAGCTTTCAACGATAATAAAAAAGTCTCAACTAATGAAAGACTCTATCGAGACGGCTTGGATAAGCAAAAAATCAAATAGGAAAAGGCTCAATAACATAAACTCTAAAAATCTTAATTGGAATAACAACAAGCTACTTTTTAACCTTTAATTTCTCCCAGATCCAGGTAGATGGCTGAATAAAAGAAATTAAGTAGACCTGATTGTTCTATTAATAATATTGGAAGTCAATTGTATTAAAAGGGGTTAGATTTGAATTAAAAGAAAGAAAAACAAAGAATGTAAATGTAAGAATAGGAAAGAAAATAATCTCCTTTTTAACCTAGAATCACGGACACAAGTAGAAATCATTCTCAAAATAGATCAAATACTCCAATTCATGATAAACTCTATTGTTAAGCTAAGGAGGATAAGAAAAAGAAGGAAGAATTTTAAAATAGAGAATTCTCTAAAATTCATCCATTCCATCCTAATCCTTAAAATAATGAAATTAAACACACTGCATCATATCAAAAGAAATTGGTAGATAAATTAGTTAAAGAACATGAAGAAAAATAAAAAAGAATAGAGAAGAAAAAGTAATCTAACTAATTTTATTTATTAGACAAGAGTACCAAATTTAAACTTCAAATCAAGTGACTTTCAAACCGTGTATCAATAAAGATTCTACTTATAAGAAGGTTAGTGAAATGAAGGAATACGAAGATATCCAGATTGCTTAGGATTTGTAGAAAATGCAATCTCGATTATAGAGCAAGAATTCTTTTAGTCAATCTGAAACGAGAATTCCATCGTAATCAAGCTAATAATCATTATTTGATTTAAATATTTAGAGAATTTTCAATCTACTAGATAGTGATAAGAACGGATACATAAGCAAAGATAATCTTAGCTTAGATGAGTTGGACAAAAAGACATTTGATGTTATTGAGGTCGTTCTGGTATAAATTGACGAAGACCCATATAGGGAAATTAATTTAAAGGGATTCAAGTAACTTTGTGAAATGCATCAATTGCACTTATAATTAATTGATTTATGAATAATTTTGGATTTTATCTATATTTATCTATGAAAATTGTTACCAATATCTAATTCATCTCTATTAATAATTTAATTATGCTCTTATTTACAAATAGAAGATTATGGAGATTCGCCTCCCAGAAGTATTCATGATAGTTAATCAAGAATTTATAAGGATTCCACTAAACTATCCGAAGAGGATATATCGAGAATACTTTTTAAGGAGGAAGAGTCTGCTGCAAACAACATCTAATAGAATCAGAATAATCAAGTTACAATCGACTCCTTGTATGAGAAATCCAATATCAATGAACTATTGGATATCATCCAAAAAAAGGCCCAATAAGAAATAACTCCGAAAGAAGAACCGAAACAACCCACTAGATAAGATTTGCCATTAAAATATGGTTTACCTATAAAAAATGTGGGATTGGATCTCACAGTGGAGAAAGTGGAGTAATGAATTTGTGTCAATATTAATTTGCAGACCTCCCAAGACAGTGACAATGAAGATGTTTGATATTCTGAAATTGAATGAGCATACTTCTTATTAAGAGTACGAAAATGCAATTTAACAATTTAAAGAAGGCTTGTATGGAAATGCAGTCAGACCTTTTTATGAAGTGAGAAGCGAGATGAAAGAAACATTAAAAGAAGATGCCATACCCTATGCTTTACTGAATAACAATAAATACATGGAAGAAATCAGAGAGAATAGGGCACTCAATATATCTATACCTGGCACAATCGAAAACGAGCACGCTCATAGATTTTTGAAACTAAGACCAGTTGAAGAATTCAGACACACTCCATTAATCCCCATATCTGATAGACAAATGAGAGAATATCAAGAAAAGGTGGAAGCCTATCACAGAAAGGGAGTGTATTTGGAAGTGTCAAGAGAGCAACTTTATTTTGCTTCATTTGTCGCAGGAATATTGTATATTATGTTTAGAATGTTTCAGTGGGTTTTAAAGAAGGAGGAAGAATAAGGTTTGCAATTTCAGAGACTCAAATTAAGGAGAATGGGAATGGCTTATGAGGTTGTTTGATATATAAATATAATTAGTAATTTCTTTATGTATAAAATAACACCTCCTTCTCAGCGAACCCATAAGGGTCCTAAATTACAATAGAGTCCAATCAGCCAATTGTAAAATAATGAAACTCTAACCGATGACATCTTGTAGAGCTCTTCTGAACAATATCGAGAACAATTAGAATAGATGCTGGATCTCAAACCAAGTATAAGGGATTACAAATAAAATTACAACAACCACAAACCTGATTTGTGGAATACAATACAACAAATCGAGAAAAGAATGCAAGAATAGGAGCAGAACTTATAAAAAGTCAACAACGAATAACAGGAAGAAATTAATAAATTAAAAAGTGAAATAAAATAACAGAAGCAATAATACGAGCAAGAAATTGAAGAAATTAAGTATTCATCAAGAATCTAAAGCTAAAAACCATAACCTTCTTATAATTCTCACACTCCCAAAAATAATCGCGAGTACAGTTATAGAAGCGTAAGCAATAATAATATTGAAGAAATGCAAGAGAAAGTTTACTTATAATAATTGGTTCAGGATTTGAGATAACAGATATTGGCACTACAACAAAAAAACTACTTCACTCCTATTCAAAACACTGATAATATTTGGGAATAAAAGTATAGATAATTAGAAAAATAAAAAGAAACTGAATTGGCTATGAAGGATCAACATCATATAGAACGTATAAGTAATTTAGAAACATAATTACTAAATCAAAAATAATCATACGAAAATGAGTTATTTGCTCTCAGGAAGATCTTGGATGAAAAAAGTAAAGAAGACTCACTGCTTAGAAATCAAAATTAATAATTGCAAAAGGATTTAAATTCTTACATCAATTAAGTAAAGTATTTTTAATAAATTAGTTTAATTTACTGTCGCAACAGATTTAGTAATAGAATCAATAAATTTAGCAATATTAAATATAGATATAATAATTATCTAATCAATTACAATAACAATAACCGATGAATTATTAACATTAGAATCAGTAATTATTAGAATTGGCCAATCAACTTCAAGCTTTAACACACCTTTTGGAAAAGAAGAATCAAGAATGCGAATATTATAAATAGAAATCATTATAAAATTTGTAACCATTATAGCAGAATCAATAAATAATTACGTATCGTCAAGCTCTAACTCCTACAAGATAAAATACTGTCCAAAAAGCATCTGATTCAATTGTCTTTCCTACTTTAACTAAGCAATAAATTTTATAGCAATTTTAATGATTTTAATATAAATATAAGATTTCATAAACCAAAGAAACTATTATATTTTGTTTTTACAGGATCAGATCGAATGTTATAATTATAACAATGACTTTTCTTATCGTTATTTTTAATCTAGCAACTTTAAGTAGTAAAATCATATTGGCAATAGCTGAATTCATTACACAATCTTTTACTTGTGATTTGAGAACATCTAAATTATTATAGTAACTAAATATTACAGAATATTTGAACATTCATGATTTTGCCAAGTGCATTTTTAGGTGGATATACAATCAAACGCATTGGTTTAATATGAACATTATGTGCATAATTCTGATTTTAAGAAGCATCTTCTTCCATTTCTAAATTCAGGACAATCAGAATGTATGCTAAATACGCAATCTTCATTTCTGCAACTGTTATAATCAAAAATATCTGCAGCAAAGATATACTCCTTCTCCTTATCAGAAGCTACGTTATTAATAACATACTGGCATCTTTTAAAAATATGAATTTCAATACCTGTCTTTCATATAAGCGTTTCTGCATTATTTGAAATCTGTTATTTCAGAACATTTCTCAACATTTAGACAACGCCCATACTTCCATGTACAAGATACTGTATACCCCTTTGATATATGACTACATTTTTCATAGGTCTTAATATTTTCACATTTAACTTCACTTTTGAAGAATATTATGATTAATACTTTGTCAAGCACTCCCCATTTTACCAATAACATTCATTATCAGGCCTCTCTAAACACTCTTATTCACTAAAGGAGTAATAACAAGACGCATAACTGTAAGTAAAACAAGAATCTTCCCAACGACACCATGAAGCTTTCCAGTCTGTACCAATGCATTATTATTTAGTCTTTTGGTCTTTGCAAGTTTATTTCTTTAACGAACACTCATTTCCACTTATTAAAATGATAGAGAGTGCAAAAAGTAGAATTTTCATTTAATTTTTCAATTAATTCTCTTTAAAAAATGAGAATGATTATTAAAGTTATGTAGCAACATTGATTAAAAATCCATATTGGTTTCAATTTTTAAATTGTTTATTTATTATTGTAATATATAATGTAGAAATAGGTGAAAATGCTTTGATAGTAAGTTATAAGTGCCAAAAAGGAGACCATTATTAACCAAATAAATTGTATTGTTAAAATGTTCGCAATCATAGTTGAAGAATGTAAGATCAGAATGTTAATAATATAGGAGAATCTATCAACTAGGCCATAAATTCTTTGTAGACTATTTTAAAGATAATTTAAGTTAATATTCCAAAAATTAAATCATAAGTTAATTTGTATTATAATAAATTTTTAAATCAATTTTAATTTTACTAAAATCCTTAAAATGTTTCAACTTGATTATTTAAAAATTCTTCTAATTCTTAAGGTGGCACCGAAATCTAAGGAAGGGCTATCATTCTAAATTAGGCTTAGACACTAGCTCCAATATAATTATTGTTAGGATCTTCATTTAGATCCTTGTAAAGTAGGAATTTAAGTGCATCCATTCCCATTCCGTAGAGTGTAGAAAACAAATAGGATATCTAGAAAGTTAAAAGATCTTATTACCATAAAAGTAAAGAGGTAAATTGCCAAGATTTAATATGGAGGAGCGTGTATTGCTAGACAAGCAGGTGAAAAGAGTAATAATTCCATATATACTATGATACAGATATTAGAAACCCCAAAACTAACGATTAATTAATAATCAAATCCTTAATAGTGTTTTCTATTTTTATTTTGTAATTATTGATCATATTCCAATTGATTTTATGCTGATTACAAAAAGCCTTGTTATGTCAGACAAACTGAAATGAAGGATCTAAATCCACTTAAAAATATTGGTTTAGAGCAAAATGCAAAATACAATCTAAACATTCCCCACATCAACTCTCCGAAATGATATCTAACAGTTTTACCAATACAATCCTATAAATTCCTTTGTTTAAGATTTAAATTTAAATTTTGTAAGTAGTCAGCATCAACCTCTAAAACTTATTATTTGTAGATTTCAATAATAATGTTGATTATTAACAATTTGCTAAATCCAATGACAAGAAATGGAACCAACACTAATTCAACAGCTATAATGGTAAAGAATATGATTTCAATAGTATCAATCTAAAATGATTCAAAAGCTAATTAATGTTCTTCACTCTTGGGTGAACATGTTGTAAATAAGTAAAAAAGAGCCATCAATATAAACATAAAAAAGACTGCCAACAACACTGTCAGACCCAAAAATACTTTCAACAAAGATCCTAAATAATTCACATTTTCATCCGGTTGAGAAATTAAATAGTAATTATTCATAATTTCAGCCTTCTGTCCAACTGCAGTTATACTCTTTCGCCAAATAATAGTAAATATCAAAGCTATCAAACCAAAAACAAGGAAGATGATGCTGATTATGAATATCGTTTTAGAATCAACATAATTTGAATGCAAATAGCCAATAACCTCCTCTTCAGATAATCTGTGTTCTGATTCAATTTAACCATGCTATTGTAAACGTTAAGCATATATAACACCTAGAAAACTACTTCTGAAAAATCCCAAAACTGCTATTACAACTATCATCCAGATCACAAAACGTGGGTAGTCATCTATCTTATAGATAATGAGGAAACTATAGATATTATGAAACTTGGTACTTTAATCCAAGAGCTAGTAATGCTAAACCAATGAAAATAAATTTTGAATGATAAAAGTCTGACAATACTCTAACAATGAAGGGCTTTTAAAGGGCTTTCATCACATTTTATAATCGTTATTTTTCAGTTGGTGCACAAACATTTATAAAAGGAATGGTATCATAGTACAGAACATTAAATTCAGGATGATCAGGTTGAACTCGAACATCACATGACGCGATCTCTATATTTGGATGGCATTCCAATACAACAGAATCTAAAATTAATTATTCAGTTCCATTACCATCAGCTTCTGCCATTTTATTTTCAACTTTAGGACATTCCTTAAGACACAAGGTTCTATATAGGAATTCTTCACTATCAGGGTTAACAAAATATGCAAATTTATAATCTTCCTTTCCAGTGCCTGCCCCACATGGAGAATCTTTAAATTTTTAATATATACGTACTATCAACATCAAAAGGTTATCCAAGCTCTTTGGGATTTCCAAATGCAAAACTATAAACTAATACACAATAGAAAATCATTTGAAATATCAAAAGCAACAATTTTCCGTATTTGGCTCCAGATCCTTCCTCCCAATTTTCACATGATGAATTTTTCTCCAATTCCCTAAGAAACCTCCCCCTAGGAGTTTATTGCTGATTCTGTTATTAATTCATTATTTTAATTATCAAATTTAATATAATTAGCCTACTCTATTCAAATTATTGTAATCTCATCTTCATATCCTAGGACTTTCATCATCTGCATGCCAAAAATGATATTTTATAAGAAATTAAATGCATTTAACTATTCTATTTTTTAAAATATAAGAGTTCAATCCAAAAATACAAATTTTATCAAATATTATTTCTAAACTATTCAGCAATATTAAAATAAAAACGTAGAGCAATAAAGATTTCATATAAATTAATTCTAAAACCTATCTAAGTGGGCCTTATATTTTAGCACTTAAGAAATGATTATAATGTATCTATATATTTAATACTCACATTTAATCCTTCAGTTTAATTCAGGATATGGATGTTTTGAATTAAACTTCACAACAGCCTCAATCTCCTTCATTACTCTAAGGACCATTTCATCTTTATTTGGTAGGGCTGAAACCTAGACGTTGACTGGAAGACCTACGGCTCCTTATAAATCACTCTTCATAAATCTATAAACAAGATCTATTGAATTTTATTAACCATTTATTTCCAAATCTTGATCATTTTGCACTAAAGTTATAGGTAGACTACCTGCAGGGAAATCTACAACATTCCACATCCAAGTATATAAGCTAGAATATTATAATAGATATACGCAGTAAATGCCAGTTCTTTAGATCCTCCATGTTTCACTGCTGGTAATCCAAAAGCAGGAGAGATTATTACATCTAGACCTTGATCAATAATAGATTGACAAAATGCAAATTTTGTTTGTTTTCTAGTAGCTGAGTCAACCAAGTATTAATATACATCGACTTTACCATTGTAGTTATATTCTAAAAGTGTCTTTTATCCAAATAACTTAAACAATGGTGCTAAAATATAATTTTTGATTCCCAAGGAAGTATTAGAATCCTATACTAAAAGGTCGTATTCTTCAATAAAATTTTAACCATTCAAAGCATCTATGTATGATCTCATTCCTCCATCAGCAACCACTATTTTTAAGAAGCAATTAGCAATAACACTTTACACTTATTTATCTACTTTAAATTCAACAATTTCATGTCCTTATTGCTACAATGCTTAACAAGCTTCATGCACTGCTCTTTTCATACAATTAGGAGTTATTAACCCATTAAAAATATCAAAATATCCTACTCTTAATTTTTTCTTATCAGGAAATTCCTTTAATTCTTGTGGTTCAAAATAAGGATCCTTTATTTACTAAGGAATTTTTGAATAAATTTCCTTGTCAAATAAAACCTTTGTTAGAACAATCAAATCATCAACGCATCTAGCTATGGGTCCTCTTGATATTTTCAGTTACATTCCTCCTGAAACTGCAAGTGAAATCTTAGCCTCACCATAATCTGGTATTCTTCCGCTATAGGGTTTGAATCCATATACACCGCAAAATGCAGCTGGTATACGGATACTGCCACCTATATCTGATCCGATTCCCAATACACTTCCTCTTGCAGCTGCTATTGCTCCTTCTCCTCCTGAAGATCCTCCAACGGCTCTGCTTGGATTCCATGGATTCTTTGTTCTTCCGTAAACGAGATTTACTGATTCAAATGTCATCGCCACTTGAGGAACATTAGTCCTGGCTATGATAATACCCTTAGCTTGTCTAATTTAGGCAACTTGTATTCCATCTTCTTATGAAGGCTTAAAACAATTTACTCCCAACCCAAAAGTGGAGTCAAAGTTTTTCTAAAGGAACGTTTCTTTAACTGAAACTGGAATGCCAAACAAAGCATACTTATTGATAACATTTTTATCTTATTTGATCTCTTCATCTAATTTTCTATATTATTAATCAATTGTACTTGGCTTCTTCTAATGCTTCTATAAAATTGATCTCTGTTATGATATTGAGTTTGTCTGAACATGCCACTTTAAGAATTCTTTCAATGAAGACCAGCACAATTTATTGAACAGTTGTTTTTCCTTCATACAATAATTATTTTATTTAAGCAACACTACCGTTAAGTATCTATTTTTAAAGATCTTAGCTCAATTAACATGGTTGATGATTTAATTTATAATTATTAATGGCTTCAATCGTTGCTTATCGTTTTCTTGTACAAATCCTCTCCATTTTTTTATGATTAATAAAACCAACTAATTTACCTAATGCCCACGCACTAAAACCACTAGATAGAACTATAGCAAGTCCTCCATAGAGAATGTCTTTCTGATTCAATTTCTAAAAATCTTTAAATTTCATTTGAAATTAATTAAATTTATTAATATAGAAATGCTTATAAATTAATTCTAAAACTAATGCGCAAATGAAATTTTATAGTACAGAAAAGATATTTGATAGTTTATAGAATTGAATTCATTTAGATTTATTAAAATAAGTCATCACATTTTGATAATAAATTATCTATAAATCCTGGAAAAATGTATAATTAAGGAAATAAATATATTCCAATTATCTAGGACTTAAATTTAATTCCGAAAATTTGATAGCTTATTCAAAATCTGCTTTTTCACATTAACCAGGTCTCAAGTGTTTCTTCTTTACAATTAATTATTAGATTTAATCATTGAATTAAAAGTGGGATCTCTCAAAAAGTACTTTCAATTCATTTTCTATTGAATTAATTTCCCTCTTTGTAAACAATTCATATTTCCCAATTAATTGTTTGAAGACACTCAAGACTATTTAAGTGTCATTACCTTTTAATGCGTCATACACAACATAATCCTCGTTGTTATCTTCTACTAAATACCTCGCAATGAGTTTTCTTTAATCATAACTCTGAATTTTAAATGGGTCTTAGAGCAGCAAATCTAATAACTCATGAATCTTAATCTATTAATCATACTTTTCAAATAACATTTCTATGTCTTGCAATGAGAACTCCTTACTTAATAACTTAAATTTGATTTCTAAGCCGAAATGAGTCACATCATATAAATTCACTCGAATAACCTTTTTCTATTACTTATTGACTTATGATAATTATTTTTCACTCTCATCCATCTCATTATAATATTTAGTAAATTCTGTATTTTATATTTTAGATAAATCCATTTGTACACTCTATTTATATTATTAACTAGATTATCTTAGCACTGAATAATTTTATTATTGTTATGATATCCCTGAATTATTAAGTGATATTTTTAATTTTCTAGTTGAATTTTATCTAGATTCTACTTTCTGAATTTCAAGCAAATTAATTTTTTATTCTTAAGAAGTTTGTTGGAATTTCTCCAATTATTTTCTTAATTCTCCTTATTCAAACAACTAAAGTTTTAAATCACTGATTTCTTGATCTTTATCTTTGATGTCAGAAGAATACCGAAATTCTAATTGGTTTAATTGTTCTTGTAATTGAGCATTTTCGAGAGATTCTCTAAAGATCTATTATCTTGTTTTGGTTACTGTATTCTAATGTTATTGATTCTCCTCTAATTTCTTTTAAAAAGAGATTAATCTTCTAATTTCTTTGTCTTTAATTATCAATTAAGTTTTTAAGGATTCAATTTATCCAGTTAAAAAATGTCTCTCAGTTTTCAGATTTATATTTTCTAATTTAAGATCGTGATTTCTTTTGGATATTTTCTAAATTGTCTTTTCTTGTTTCTAATACAGACCCTCTATTTGGAGATTCTAATGCTCTTTTAATTGTTCCTTCAAATCATTTATCTCCTATTACTGTAATAGGGCTTATTATTAGTAATTAAATAATTCAACCTAAGATCATAAGATGTCAATTATACTTGCAATTCTTAATATTTAGTAACATTGATCATCTTCTTATATTCTTCTATCTATTTAATCTTGTCACCAAAATCTGATTCCAATTTTTTGAGTTATTATTTCAGGGATATTAAAAATGTTTTACTATTATCGAACATGAGATTCTGGGCAGAGTCTCTCTATTCTTAAATCAATCAATACTTAGAGTTATTGATATTTTAATTTCCAAGCCTAGACTTCTTCTGACAACGAGTTGATTTAAGATTTCATTTGAATGTTCTGGTGACTCAAAGTTTCAGGGTCAATCTTACTTGGATTGATGAGATTATTATGAGATTTTTGATTTTTATTAGATTATATTCTAATTATTTTCACATTATCTTAACTAGACACTTTTGTACTTATGCTATAAAATTTATGAGACATCAAAAATTAAATAATTAATATAAAATACAATCTAACTCATTTAATAATCTATGACTTCTTATTTATTATGATTCTTGGTTAGGCCTAGCAATTTTTAATTAAGAAATATCTCATTGGGTCTATAATAAATAACTCCAAAACTAAACTAGGAGCATAATATTGCAGACAAATGAAATTATTAACTTCATAATACATGATTCCCAAGACTAAAATAGCCAATTCGCTTGCCCACATCAAATAACTAATCAATCTGACAAGGCAACCTCTCCCATCCTTGCATATACATTTAATCATGTAATAGTCGAATATTTTGAGACCCATATATGCTCCACATGAAGATCCCATGATATAATAATACTATAATTGTGAGTCAAATAGTAATAATGCTCCACAAATTTCGAAGCAAAGCATTTGTCGAAAATAAATTTATGAAAGCATAAAAATTCTTGATAATCCAATCTTGTGACTGTAAAATATTTTAGCAAATGAATTACATTTCTAATTTAAAAAATTTTTAGTACATAATATTCCTTGGCTGGTTTGGGAATTTAATCATTCTAGATACCAAGTAAATTTCCATTCGTCTAAAAAGTTGAACTTGAATGTATCTTTGCTTGGTTGATGTGTTGTTAATTCAAACTCGATCCAAAAACGCTGTTTCTCTCACTATTATTTGCTGACTATCTTGATCGTACACTTTTTCGATTCGTAGATTACAGAGTATCCATTCCTTCCAGAATTCCTATGATAGGTTTTCTTGAGAATATAGTCTATGTTGGTGTCTATTTCTATTATTTATTGGCCTTCATTTATTGCACCTTAGCAGTTGATTCCTTTTAGGTTGATGTGTATTCAATTTTAACTTCATTCTTACTAACCTACTCTTGAATCTTTTATTATGAGATTGTTCTTTGGTTGCTCACCAATTCCTCCACCAATTAACTATCATTCTTTTACTAAGACTGCTTCTAAATGTTAGAAATTAACATATGATTAATATAAACCACACTATCTTATGGTGTTTATTGTTTAACCTCAGGAGTTATGGCTGCTAACTTATATTTTTTTTCTAGAAAATAGCCTATTAAGATCAAAAGGATAAAAAGGAAAGTCCATAAAGCAAAAAATACTATTATTAATAAGTTATGAATCATTATTATAATTAATTTCATATTAAAAATGCCATTAAATATCAATAAGTTGTATCTTTTACTCATAAACTTTATGAGTGGAAACGTAAGATGTCAATTGATATTCGAAAAAAATAAAACTAATTAAATTATAATAGTGACATATTTTAAATCAAGAATATATGAGTAAAACCTTATAAAATAAAGAAATATCTATTTATAATTAAAAAGTTGAGTGAAGCAATTTTTTAATTAAAAACAACTAATAGCATTTAAAATAACTATAAATAAGCAATGAACTTTAACCACCTTGTTAAATAACTTGGATTAAATCTTGATTTAATAAGATAGTTATTTACATTCATAATTATTGAGTAAATGGAAATCTAATAAAAATGCCATTATTTTGTTGATTTTTAATTGATTATATATGATAAATTTTATTAATTCTAATTGAAAAAAATAGTAGATAATTGTTGGTCTAATAATGATGTTTTAATTTAATTATTATTTTCTTACTATTTTGTTTAGCATAACCGTATTTGAATTATTTTGATCTATTAACATTCTTTATAATATAATAAAAGAGATAGAAATATATTTAATTGATGTGGATTTGATAATCGTGAATAATAATTAATCACTTGCCTAAGCATTTGATAACCTCTTTTGTAAATTATTCAGTACTGGCTTTACCTCCAATATCTTTAGTTTTAAGCTATAATTAATAATTAAAATACTTTTCTATCTTGAATAGTTTCTTAAACAGCACTGCATATTTAATCAGCAAAATTGGGCAATCCTAAGTGTCTCAATAATAACGAAGAGGACACAAGCAAAGCCGAAGGATTGACAATATTTTTTCCTAATTTGTAATTAATTTATACCTGCTATATCTCTACCTGTATGTCTACATCCTTGTGAAAAGAGAGCGTGATCCCTACCAATAGATGCACCTGCAGCCATTCCTACTCCTCCTGTAATACCAGCCACTACATTTTGAACAATTGAACCATATAAATTAGGCATGACCATCACATCAAATTAAGTAGGATTCTTCACCAACTACATACAACAATTATCAATAATCATTTCTTCGTATTTTATAAAAGGATATTTTTATGCAACTTCTCTATGGGCAGATAGAAATAGTCCATCAACCAACTTCATTATATTTGCTTTATGGACTGCAGTGACCTTCTTTCTTCCACTTAGATGAGCAAATTCAAATGCATATTCAGCAATTCTTAGAGATGCTTGTTTAGTTGTAACTTTGATTGATTCAACGACTCCTGGATAGACTTCATGTTCGACTCCTGAATATTCTCCTATTACTTTAGATTTATAAGTTATACCCTCTGTATTCTCTCTAATGACAACAATGTCTGTGTTGTTATGTCTCTATTTGATGCCTTCAACTGAAAATGCAAAAGTAATATTGGCATATAAATCTAAGTATTTATAAAATCTGTAATTATCTGTATATTTTTAATTTTTTTCAGTCATGACTCCCAATAAGATGCATTCATTTTTTTTCAACAAACTTCTTTATTCATCATTATCAAAATTGAAATTTTCCAACACATCGAATTTTATAGGTACATGTAAAGCTTCGAAAACCTACATGACACTTCCTTATTTGATTATTTTAAATAGATACTAGTAATTTCAGGACCTATTCCATCTCCTGGAAGCACAGTCACATTTTTTAATTGTCCTTCTCCTGGTCTTTATAAATAATTTTATGACCATGCTCCTCTTAATGCTGAATTTGATCTGAATGCTTATCTTACACAATTTTTCATAAATAAATTTTAATATATTTAAATTAATCATAGTAATTGCCAATCCATTGTCTCAATCATACCTCTTAAAATCTACATGATACAACTCTCTATAAACATCCTATATTGATTTATCCATGGTCGATATCAGATGACCAGATCCTTAATGTAATATGGGAACCTATAAATTCATAATGAAAAGTACTTTAGGATTCTTATCTTTAACGACATTGCACTTTTTCAATATCATTTTAGATGTCTCTACAGGATTAAATGTTTCCATCTCATTCCCTTGCTTTTTATCTTTTTCACTTCCAACATCTTCCACTCTTGTTGGGTGCCTCTTAGGACATCAATCTCTGCTTCTCAGAAGATGGCAATGGCTTCTTTCTGCTTTCCTCTTAGGTATGCAATAGGGGTTGAGATCTTGCATGTTCCATCAATGTTACTTTGATAATTTATATGCAGTATACATGGTAAATTATTAAACATCGTTTAAGCTGCTTAGAAATGTGTTTTATTGTGTAAAGAAGGCAAGAGATTCTTGGCAATCAACCTAGACAAATAAGCTCTTCTTTCTAAGGCTGACATTCCTTCTGAGAAGTTTTCTAAACTGATTATTTTTTTGTGATCGATTTTCATGTTCTCCACTTATGATTATGTATGATCTCTTAAATATTATTCGATTCTTGCAAGAGCTGTTTTATCTCTATATCTGAAGATGTCTCTTTTAATATCTTTTGATTGATCTCTTTCTCTAAAAGAGTGTTTTCCTACCTTCAAATTTGGTAGGAAATCCAAATCCTTGTTTTTTTCTTAGGCTTCCAATATTCTCTCCTTCTCATGTTTGAAACCTTTAACATAAATCTAGGGATCTCCCAAATTCTTTGTTGGATCCTCATCTCTAAACTTATAGCTTTCAGGAGGTTTATATTCGTTGCAAACCACAGGGTTCTCCAACATATTAATCACGAAGTTCTCAACTCTCTTTTTATAATTCTTCGACATTCTTTAATTCATATCTTGCCTGTTATGTTATTGCTCATACCTTTTCTGCGTTATCGTTCTGTAATGTACTCTTTCTTTATTTTGTCAATCTCTTTAGTGAATGTGAGTTACTTATCATATTGATACCCATTGAACATGAATTTATTATTATTTAATATATTTTTAATCAATTTGATTCCTCAAAGTTCCTATAAGTCTTGACATCCTTATTCTGCCACAAGAAGTATTGAAAAATAGTGTTTTGATTATAAGAATCTCGTAGGAATTTGTTGAAGACTTATTTCACGATTGAATTGGGGAAATGAAATATTATTTTAATAAACTTCATTCACAATTATATTATTTTATGCTGGTTGAAAATTTAGCAAATGAACTACAATGCTCAATTTGGTAAGCATTCATAAATATTATATTAGCTTAAGTTTATTTAGTATTCCATTTGTAATTCCTTGTGGACATAGTTTTTGCCGCGATTGCATTCAAAATTATGGCAAAGCAACCAAGTCTACGAAATGCCCGCTTTGTAAATAGCCTTTCAATCTGAACAAAATAAATCTTAACGTGTCGTTGCAGGCAGTCTTGAATGTCATGGATCAAGACAATACCAAAATAAAAGCAGATTAGAGTCGAAAGAAATCTAAATCCACTAATTTTTTTATATGTACTTCGAATTTATCTGATGAATACAAGGTACCAAAATTAGTAAATTAAGGAATGCCTTGAAAGATTTCAAAAACAATTCAAAATAAAATCGAATTCAAACATCAATTCCAAAATCACACATCTCATCTCAGGCCCCGACAATCCAAACAAACCATTCATAGCCAGAAGAACCTTAAAATACCTAGAGGCATTGGCCAGAGGAATTTGGATTGTCAATATAGATTGGGTAATCGAAAGTCTGAAATGCGACACAATCCTGAACGAGGAGGATTTCGAAATAAAAGGGGACGAATTCCCTACACTCACCCCCAAAATATCGAGAACTCGTGGTGGAATGTATGATTTCCTAAGAAATTACGAATTCAGCATCGAAGTGGGAAACCTCAACAAAACCATCATCAATCAGGATTACGTTGAAACCCTAATCTAACTCTGCGGTGGCAACTTAGTTAGTTTGAAGGAAAAGACTTAAAATACTATTATAATAAAAATAGTTTAAGATCCTCAAATTAACTCCACACGCATCGAGTGCATTCCCATGATAGTCAATCAGAAGTGGTTGTTCGACAGTATCAGCAAGTTCAACATGCAAAACTATTTTGGTTATCTAATAAGCATTTGAAAATTAATTAATAAAATTTACGTTTTTATTGTATTATAAATATAATTTATATGTTCACAGATTTGTCGGTATACTTAGTAGTATCAATATTCTGTGTGCTAGCCATAGCTTTATTTCTATTAGGGTTTCTAGGAACAGTAAACATTATTGAATAGTTATATAGAACTTTTCAATAAAGTAAGAGGAAGATTACTAGAATTTGATTTTAGATTATGGGAATCTGTATGACGAATAGGAAATTGATGAATAGAATTGGAAATAAGAACTGCCTGCTTATATTGCCACATATTTATAAACCATCGAGATCAGTTATAAGGAGTTGTACCTCAACCAGCTAATCATAACAATAATAACATCTGCAGGCTTCTTGTTGATAATAGCTGTACATATATAGCACAACTAGTTTAGTCTTGGCTAACACCCTCGGGAACATTTTGGGGTTTCTTTATCAGTTTTTTGTGGGGCACCATAATAACATGCATAATTGCCTATTTGATTATTGCAGTTAAAATAGGTACATTACTAAAAATTCCAATTAAGGCCAGCATTGGGAAGGTGAGAATCAATTTTATATTTAGGAAGACGTCTTAAAATGGATATACGGAAACGGATTCTTTTCAGCATTATTTATAGGCGGAGTCATAACCTTGAATTCCTTATTCATAGTATTGATAATGAAGGCAATGTCAGTTCATTCAACTAAACCTGAGAATTATGCAATTATGGTGAGTGGATTTCCATTGGGGATGCTGATATCTGGCATATATTTCAGAGAAGGCATGTCAGTCACAGGCAGAGGAATTCAAGCAGCTTGCGATTTGATGATTAAGAAAGAGTAATATTTTGGCGATATTGGAAACAACCTCTCTTACACAACCAAAATAGCAGCAGGCATGTCTTCCTTAATAGCTGAAGTCAACTTCTTCGATTCCATGTTGGTAATATCCTTATTTGTTTCAATGCCATCAATCATATTAGTAAACTCAGTGGATTATCATTACTCCGATAATTTTATTGGCAAAATCTTTGGAATCTAATTAGTATTCATTCTGAGTTGGGTTGGCCAATTATTAATATCATTCTTAAGTCATATCCTCAAAAACGACGATGCAGTTGCCTTTACTGCCAATAATGTAAGATGCCAGATCTTGATGTCAATATTTTTGAGTCTATGTTTTGTTGTCTTTTCCTTACTGTCTCTGCCCAAGGAATTTGAATTTGGAGACAAAGATCATGCTTAAATCTACAGAGAAAAGGTCCTCAGTCGAGATTTTATGGGATGTGGATTTATTGGAATTGTTGTCTCAGCCATTCTGATCATCTATTATGAATACTTAACCAGTCATGGCTATTCAGTGGCCCAGAAGGTAGCACTAGTTTCATACAAAGCTCCTACTCTTAACATCATCTAAGCTTACTCCATAGGACACATTGGTTAAATAGTACCTTCCCTTTTGATTGCTTTATCCCTATTCATTTCCTATAAACTTGCATCCTTGGTTGGAATTCTTGGATTGTTTTTGGGATACATTTTGAACATCTACATTCTGATGGGAATAGCTATGTTGGGTGTTCTATCAGGTGATGGACTCAAACTATCATTTCTTGCCTAATTTGCTAACAACATCAAAGATCGATTACACTCCATTACTTGGGCAGCTAAAAATTACATTGTTTGGTTAAAAATTACCAATGCTGGAGCTCTCATCATTGCAGCCATCCTAATCATTGGAACTGCTATATTTTTTAGTAAGACCTTTATTTTGTTACTGAATGGGTACAATCTCTTTGGTTTCTTGATTGGATTCGGATTAGCCTATTACAACAAAGGACTTACTATCTTTATAGTCAAGACCATTTGCGAAGAAGCAGTAAGACCACATCATTTAATCTTAGCTCTATGATGAAAAATCCTTCCAATTGAGAAAAAACAAACCAGACGAAGAAGTAGCACTTGAAAACTTTTCATATACTTATTTCCCATTAAAAAACAGACAAGGAAATTACTATGTGCTTGTCAATCTATTATCAGTATTTATTAAACTCTACATTAATAGTGTACTCTTGCAGTTTTGTTTACTGGAATCATTTTTGGTCATGGAGCCTCTATTTCATTGGCCATTTCTAACTTATTCATAAATGCTATTATGATGTTCCAATCCATCTTAACTGGAACAGTTTTGAAAAATGCTTTCATCTACAACTCATGTATATCATTTCACTAATCAACCTAGATGACTAATAACAATAAGAGACTTCATAAGTCTTGAGTGTCAATCTGTACGGTGACATTCAGGGACAAACCATTGAAGAAAGTTAAAACATCTAAAACCCATATTACATGATCTACACCATGTTAATAACTTTAGTAGGCATAGAATTGTTCAAGCATGATTATTGAAATTATTATAAAGTATAAATAAAATTATTAGTTCAAAATTTTCCTATATTCAATTCTATTTGTTACAAGTTTAAGTAATTTGCTTTCAATTTTCTTATTTATAAGGATTAGATGTAATAAACTGATTAAATCCAAATTTGCCCTAGGATATTAAATTATTAAATTGTTAATATTTTTTTTTATTTAGCAAAAACATTAATTATGTTATATAGCAACATTCTACATTAAGAACATCAAAAAACTGTTAAATTTAATTCAATTAATACAAAGTGTGTAATAATATGATTTCTTATAATTGATTAGGAATTAGCGGTGTTGAAAACAATAAATCAATATTTATTTTCAAAGCTCACGACATATAGGACTTATAAAATAATTAAAAATGTTTTTAAACATAACATAGATTGTTATTAAAATTAAAGACAGTATAATCCCTGATTTAGGCTATTTGACTAGTGGAACAGTTATGAAGAGGGGAATTTAATTACAAGCTCAATTGTGATTTATATTTCAAGCTTGATAATTATTGATATTTCTATGCAATATTTGTGTTTTGTTATAATAAAATCAAGATTTTAACTCTAATCCTCATTTTCAGACTAAATAAAAGATGGATGTATCACCAAAAGCTTAGTTAAATATTTTCAAAAAGAAGGGAATGAGCATTTAGACACTAGAATCAACAGAACCTACTCCCAAAAAATAAATTTCTCCAAAGCATTCTCAACTTTTCTTTGAATCTAGTGAATCATCTTAAAGTAAAATATGATTCTATTTATAGCCATGATTCCAAACATCAATAAAGAAAAATAAAGAAGAATCAAATAATTGCTAGAAGAAAATTTAAAGTTATTAGAGCAATGTTCAGAGAAGGATTTGCAAATTGGCAGATTATATACTAAAATAGAAAAAGACGTGGTGTTGAGGACCTAAAGAGTATAAACTCTCAATAATATGTAAAGTATTGACAAAAAGAAACATTGTTTCCTTAACTAAAAAGCACAAAATTTTTAAGATTTGCGACAAAAAGAAGAAAAACAACTTTTCACATTTTATAGTCCAGAACCAAAATAAAATTCGTAAATTTTCAAACTCCCTAAGGTTTTCAAAGCAATTCCGAAGCAAAATAAATTTTTTATATGATATGTCATTTCATTATAACGAATTGAATTATATAAATCGTTTAAAACTTTAAACTTAAATTTATTATTTTTTCAGTTCAGTTCAATGGTTTGTTGACTACTCTTTATTACTTAGAATTCTTGGTATTTCGATTCAGATATTCACATATTAGAATTAAATTACATAATTATTGGAATGAATTGAAATGAATCTCTCTTAAATATTTATATAATTTAATTATGCGTGAATCTTTCACAAATAGAACTTAATAACTTTACAATTACCCCATAATGTTGTATTTTTAGAATAAATATTATAATAAATGATAAAATCACAAAGTGAAGATGGAGAATAACCTGTATCAAGTGTGCAGGCAATAGAAAAATCGTAATATTTTAGCCTATTTGATTTGATTGTGGGATTGTCCATATTTAGTATTTTGTTTTTTCAATAATGCATGGCTGAAATTTTATTTCCAATTGGGTTAATTTTTTTGATGAATGGAATACTCTATAAATGCAATAGAAGAATCGATTAATTTATGATCGGTCTCTTTTATGTTGTTCAATTGTTTGCTGTCTGGGCATTAACATATCACGATTTCGAAGAGTGTCAAATAGGATATGTACTAGTCGTTATTTACGTAGTTGTAATATTTTGCTTCATTACAAGTAGCATGATTATATTGACATGAAATCAATCATTATCTACAAATACACATAATAAATTATTATTCTTACAAAACACTTAATCTTTTTATAATAACCATTTTTCCGCACTTTCCTTATATTTATTATATATAAATTTTAATATCTATGAAAAACCAAGTTACTTAAAATGTGACTTACTACTTTAGTATTTAAGTGTAACATTTTAATCAAAATATGTCAAATACATATGCTCATGTCAATAATCTAATAAAACATTTTATTGCAAAGTTGGTTACTTCATGTTTATACAATTTGAATTTCTATTCTTCAGTAATGAGGTATGTTAGGATATGCTTTTCAATAAAAGGAGGAGGATTTGTAAGCAAATCGACTTTTTTTTATTATATCCTAACCTATGAAATTTGCGTTTGCAATAAACCCTCAAAAAGGATATCTACTTCATAGATTTCATCTTAGACTTAAGATACCATCACAAATATTTGAATTTGACTCTTAATTTGTTATATCTAACTAGTCTCCCAATTTCCTTAACAATTTTTAAGTTTTCTCAATACATTCTAATCTATTTCGTCCTTACATAATGATTGGATGAAATACTATTAGTATACCTTGATGTAATTGATAGAATCATTATAAATGTTTTTTCTAGATTTTCCTACTTTCAATCTCTCAGCTTTAGTAAAACATCTTCATCAATTTAAACGCTTTTTAAATTTATTTAAATAAAGTTCCATCCAATTGTTTTATTAATTATATTATAAATGAATCATCGTCCTTTAACCTAGCTCTTATCAATTAACAAGTAAAAATATGTATTTAGTTAGATTAGCATCATTGATATTGTGTAAAGTTGTTACATACAAACAAATAACCTTTATTTTTATAATTAATTATGTTTTGAGAGATGGTCTTATCAATTCCAATTCTTAATAGTCTCATATATTCAACTGATAGAATTTGTAACATATAAGAAAGTGGGGTTTAATTAGATTATAACTTATAGATATATATATCATCTTTTAAAAAATACAGTTTTAAATCTATTCCTATGTGCATAGGAGTTACTTACTTTCCTAGTTTATTATTTTAGAATTTCTAAATCTGATATATTAGATTTGGAAGCACTCAAAGCAGAGGGAGAACTAGTTTTTTATTTATCTTCTTTTTATTATTTTTATTATTTAATAGATGCTAGTTATTTTTAGATGTTTTATTTTGCAACTTGAATTTGTTCTTCTAATTTTTGATAGTGAGTTACATTAAATTAGATTTTGTTTGTGATATCAATTAATTGTTCATCCTTCTCTTTGATGATGGATTTTAACTTTTCGATTTCTTTAATTTATAGTTTTTCTCGTTCATTTTAACTCATTTGTAATTCTAATTTCAACTTTTGAGTTCTGAATGTAAGAGTGGTTTCTAATTTTAGAATGCAATAAATCAATTCTTCAAATTGTTGTCTAAATTGTTAAAACAGATTTCTAAACATCAACTAATCATTGAACAAATTGATGGATTATTGTGTGATTCTAATGTTGAATTTCTTAGATTCTAATAGTTATTCAACCAATTCTTGTCTCACATCTTGTTTGTGCAACTTGGATTGCAATCCAGTTAATTAGATGATATCCTTTTGGTGGACTAATTTTGCATTTTCCAATTCGTTTATTTGCACAGTGGCAATGCTATTACTTTGCGATTCTTTCTCTTTTGGCAGAGTGGTCAAAAATTAATCCAAATAGACTTGAGTTTATTCATTGAGCAATTCATCTATGTCTTTGGTAACTTAGAATTCGATGCCCAAGATCGATTAAATAGTTTGTATGTTTTGATATCCAGAATCGTTGAATACAATTTTGTGATCTTCTTATTTCTTAGGATTTTTGATAAGTTAGGTAATAATTTCATCCAGAATAATACCATTAGGGATTTTGTAATCAAATGAAGTGTTGACTTCTTCAGGTATTTTTTTAAGGAAATCCGTTAAAGAAGCAACTGAATCATTTAGATTTATTAATTCTGGCAACTTAGACGTCATGATATAAATATTTTAATTATAAATACTAAATTTGTTAGGGGCAGAGTCTGCTTATGATGTGAGGGGAGAATGGGAAGAATTAAAGGAATGATCAATAAATTGAATAATTATATATATTAATATACATAAATAATAAAATAAATTGGGACTATGATTGACGAGATTTCATTGTTGGCAAACTTTGTTCAAATAAAGACTGAAACAGCATATCAGCGATCAAAATTCAGTGGGTTGTGTTTGTACCCTTCCATTCTCTTATTGATGGCATTTGATAGAAGCATAATAAATATTGGATCAATTCTAATGACATTGATTTTAAAAGCTATTTTAAAAAATCATAATAAATTAATTTATTTCTTAAGAGTATTACAATCAAAGTTAATTATAGGTTTTGTTAGTATTCCCCGAGCTGCTTCTTTAAAATTAGAATCATGCCTTGCTGAGTTCATTTTTTATCAACCAAATATTCGTGCCTTATTGGCCAAACCAAATACCTTTTTTGATGATAATGGTTAGGTCAGTGAATGGATTGTACTTGGGATTCGGATTGATTATGTTGTCTCGATATCTTGAAGTTATAAAGCGAAGATTCTTTATATCATTTTATTTCTAGGAATATCTTTAGCATCAGAAGGAGAATGTGTTTGAGCAATTGCCTATAGATGTCTTTATGATAAATAGTGAAGCAAACATTATCTATAGTAATAATAATGTAAAATAATTTGATAATGAATTATAAAGGAAATTGGAAAATACTATACGTAAGAAGAAAATGAATTAAATAACTATCAATAGCAAATATTATACCTTGGAACAATATAACTCTGACTTCGTATTGACATAATCCTAGTTTAGTTGTGGTGATGTTGAACTCTTTACAAAATTGTCTCAACAAATAGATTAACTGTATAACCTATTATGTCAGGACTATCAGAAATGGAACAACCTAAGAGCATTCAAAGTGGTGAAGGAGAGTGATCTCAGTATATTGGGATAATGCACTACGGATTGTAGACTATTAAAACAGTAAATAGATGCCATGACCATTTTAAATCATGATTTTCAACAAATTAAATACCAGTCAGTTTAGAATGATGAATTTTTTTGTAAGTAAATTGTTTGATTTAGTGAAGAACTATGTTGTGAATGTAATTGAATCTATGGTTAATCGACTCTAAGAGCATTTCAATCTTATTCAACTCGAATTCGAAGAGGGCATTCCAGAAAAACTTGTAGGAAACAAACATGGCATTCTCTATAGTCTATATGCATTCTTAAAGAGTGCCTTACTGGTTGAATAGAAATCAGAACTGTTGACTATAAATGTTAGAATAGCAAAAGTATATTTGGACAAGTCTGAATATGATCTGGAGATATCCATAAGTTATCCATGTTCTACCAAATAAATGAAATTGTATTGTCAGGATGAATATGAAAATGAAAATGAGAAAATGTTATTGATAATGATCAATTAATGCAAGCAATTGTTATCCATTGATTATAAAACTGATGGAGACAACATAATCATTCTCTTGATAACCAATGTTCAATTGTGTAAGAAGAGTGATAAATCCTGTGATAACATTCAAATGGTAGACTTGACTTTCACCAAGAATGTTGTTGATTAGAATCATTATTTCTGGAATGCTAAACGATTTGCCTCTCCAGCTATGACTTATGATAAATCTTTGAGATCGCCATTACAAAAATACACTGCTAAATTTAATAATCCTGATTCCTTAGCCTCAACTATCCAATTGAAATCAATCCCCTAATCAACTTTCGCCTCTGCTGCCAATTCAAATGCCCAATCTCTTGAAAATACTTAAGTCCAAAATTAAGACATTATAAAGGAAGTCGAAATTGCAATCAAATATACCATCCAATACCCACAAATCCAAGATGATATTATTAAATTACTTGAATAAACCTTGAAGGTAGCCTACAATGAAGGGATCTTGGATCATGATAAAACTATACTCGATATTGGATATCATCATATGCATTATGAGAAGTACAGTCAAATTAGTGTTCAATCTGACACTCCCTTTGTTAAAGATTACGGGGATCAATTGCACAATGACAAAGATACAAGATTTGATGCTCTCCCTAAATAGTTTACTACTCCATAATAAAAGCCTAGACAATTTTAGAGATTGGATAATTTTAGAGCATAACCTATACATGATATCATCAATAAAAACAAGGAAGCAAATAAGTTTATACAGGGGAAGAGAAATTAAGACCAAAAATAATTAAGTGTTCTGTTCAGTCCTTGGGTAATGAGCAAATTTAAAAACAACTTGGTCTCCATTGTATAATCCAAGACCTCCTTGCCTAATATTGATGATAATAATGGTATTTCTATATCTAAATGTCTAGAACACAAATTCCATATTCGAATCAGAGATCACAGATTGAAAAAGTAACAGAGAAAATGGACTAACAAAATCAAATTGGATGAGCTACCAAAGTAATAGCCCAGAATTCTCTGTTTAATTCCAAGCACTCAATACATTTAGGTTGCCTAAAGGTTTGGCAATAGTATGTATGGAGATTAAATGGTTGGAGAACCCATCATTACCTACTCAGTCTCTGAATTGATTAGGATTTATAAATAACATTTCAATGGAGGCAAACAATTTTGCTTCATTCTGATTTACATTCACAAAATCGGGGAGATTGAGGAATTGAGTATTGCTTTGTAAAGTAATGAGAATCAATGGCCTCAAGATTCTGGTTTCAAAAAAACTGTGTTGATTGGAATTTACAATTAAACTTAACTGAACAAAAATCTATATTAGCATCTTAAGTATACTATACCTCTGAGTCAGGATGCAGAGTAATTGGCTAAATCAAAAGAATGGATAGCGGAAATAAGTAAATGATTATAAATTATTATTAAATTAAGTAATAAAACAATGTCTCACCATCATCAAAAGTATTATGAAAGACCAGGTAAGTGTGTCCTCCTACTATATTTTAAGATGGATACGTGTACTCACCTGAGGAATTGGATGCTCATAGAATTCCATTGGCTTTTAGAGATAGATGCGTCAATTTTTATGTCCCATTCTTCAAGTGCCAATAAATCAAAACAGACAATCTATTCAAAACGGCTCTTGCAGCTATCGACTAAACCTTGGATCATTGGTATTTCCTGACTTCTATCTTAGGGGTGGAGACTGCTACAAAGAAAAAAGGGAATATCTAAATTGTGCTAAAGCAGCGTATTAACTTCATCTCATTATATTTTAGCTATCAATATTCCCTAGCCGTACCAGTTCAAAATATTTATACTGCCAATCCATGGTATGCTAGTCAAGAAGGTGTCTCAGCCGAATTAGAAAAAAATCATTTTAATTCACCAGTCCTGTATTGAGAAAATAATCAAATTTAGTACAAAATAAAACATTATTTATTATTTACATGCATTATTCACTTGTAGAAGGATCTTAATAAACTGACTCTATTCATTATCCTTCTAAATTTCATTTTAGATGTCCTTCTCAATTACCTATGGGTTCTCCCAGAATCATTCTCTTGCAAAGGCACTTCCCTGTTGTGAAACCAATCATTGTAACATAAGTCTAGTAAGGATCTAATTTAAAATAAATTAAAAACACCTCTTATACCAACAGATAACAAGTCAAAACATAATGCAACGAACAACTTGAAATACCAAAACAAGAGAAAATATTAAAAGAAAAAAACAAAAAATTGCAACTGAGGAAAAACATGACGAAAAAACTATTGAAAATCACTGAGTATCTAGGATCCTACAGAAAACCTTGAGAACATCTTCTTATGATTAAAAATATGAGAACAAGCCTTATAATTATTTTATCAATTAAATAACTCCTTATATTATTGATTAGATTAAAACAGAATATGTTGAAATTCTATATATATAGATATTAATTAAAGATTAATTCTTATCATACAATTTAATATTTATATTCATTCTCATTACATACATGCTTATGTAATACACTTAACAATAGATCTTTTATGGAGTTACTGCTATTTCTTGTGCTTATTTGTTATATTCTATCGCAAAATAAAAAACTTCAAAAAAAAGAAAGAACAAAAAATAATTAAATAAAACTCATGATTATACTTTTGGATCAAAATCATGGCTTATTTCTTATTTTGATCGGAACACTTCGGCTATTGATAATTCAAATTTTAAAAATAAGACTAATGATTAAGGCATAGAGTTAGAAAGTAAAAAATAGAAATAAATCAATAAAAACGTCTATTAAGTATCCTCCAAAGAAGCTGAAATGCCTTTAATTGAATAACCTAATCATTTCATTGAAAATTTGAATTAAATATCTGACGAAGAAGATTAATTATTTTTTAAACTTGGTCTTCGACTATTAAATGGCGTATAAAGTTGAGTATACTATTAAATATTCACTATTTATAATAATGTAATTAACTATATAATAGAAATCTCATCATCTTCTTAGAGAGTTCTCAACTCTGTTACATGTCTCATCCAATAGTCGAAGCATAGTTTCTTCCGTAGCTTCTCTTTGAGCTTTCTCTTCTTATAACTATAAATGTAAAATATTATTCATCTCATCTATCATTCTATACATCTAAGATTGAGATTCCTGTCTTTATCGTTTCTCCTTAGTCAATGTCTCCTGTATTTAAAACACAGATTCTCCAAATCTTCTAATTAGTTCTTAACATGCAGCTTCTCTAAGAATTAATTTTTATTAGAAATACCTTTCTCTTCTTTCATTTTACACATCTTCTGCTAAGTTTAAGACTCTTTCTCCGATTTCATTAGAATACTATTCTTCTGTTTCCTCTCTCATTTTTTTTTATTTGGCCAATTCCAGTCTGAATTAATAGGACTTTTCATCAATTAATCTGGCCACTTTCTATTCTGATTCTCTTCTCAATGCTTTATCTTTTTGTAATTCCTTAACTATATTCTGCTCTAAACCCTTTAGGTCTCTCTACTTAAAATTATCATCCCTTGACTATAAATTAAATTTGAATTCAAACATCTCTAATTATTTTTTCGTTAGTTAATCCTTCTTCAATTTTGCTTAATTGGTCTTGAACAATTTTGAGTCTGCTTAAATCATTTTAATAAGCCTTTTAAAATTTCTCATCAAAAAGCTTCAACTTCGATTCATAAGTTTCCTTTTTCAATGTTTTATCCTCTTCAATCTGTAATCCTGATAACTTTTCACTAAGCTAAGCTATCTTGGCTCTGCTAGGGGAAACTATTTGTTTTAAATCATCAATTACCATTCCTATCTGTTATTGAGGATTGGGGAGCAACGACACTTTTCAAATTTTTTGTTTATGGCGATTAATATAACGAGCTATTTAACATTAATTATTTAATTAAATTAAAATTAAATGACCTTTTAATTAATTTTCTTATTAAAGACTCAAGTAAGTCTAAATAACAACTTAAAAGATGATAGGGAAAGAGAATCAATGAATAGTTAATATAAATATTCATATCTTTATGGATAATACTACGAATATCATGCCTAAATTTGATTTTCTATGATAGTTTCATCTTGAATTGTTTGTTTATCTGGAATCATTTTATGTTAATTTTAAGTGATCTCAACTCTAAAAATAATAAATGAAAAAGATACAATGTATTTTTCTTAGCTAATCCATATATTTCATGAATCACTTTTTAGGTAGTTTTAGATGCATTCTGAAAAGTTTAAGGTCCTATTTGAAATTGAGGCAGTATTTTTTTGAATTGGCTTTTCATTATGAAATCATAAGTTGTTGTGCCTTTTATGATCAAATAAATGTGAAAGAGAAGTAATTGCAACATTAAAATCACAATTAATGTGGAGTCCCCTAGCATTACTATGGATAATATGTATTTCACGTTGAGATCATTTTCTTTTGTAAAATGCTTTCAAAAATATGATAAAATTGTACAAATTTCTATAATTCATTGTCTATGAGAAGTGTCTCATAATTTGTTTGATACAACACTATGATAGAGATGTAGATGAGCATTGTGTACATGAAGAGAAACAAAGTTGAAGTAATCATAAAGATGAAAAGATTATAATTGAGATTTCCTACACAATTATTTATCCATTTACAGTGATGATCAAAACCCTAACAACATCTAATACTGATTATTATGAGGCTTACCTGTCACAATTTCTGCAATGTTTAGTGTTCTCCTATACATAGGCATTGCATATTTCACAAAATGACTCTAATTTATTGCTTCCATTGTCAAAATGTTATCTGAAAATAAAGATCAAACTTACCCTTAAACTTGCGCCTTATATTGTTAAATTATAAACTAATCAATGGGACGACTCAAAGTAGTTTTCACACTAGAAATTATAGACATCAAAGTTAAGATACCTAAAATGGTGAAGTGAATTGCCTAAATTTGATAAATCAATATACATAGTAATCAAGTAAAGATATTAGGAAAAAACAGTTGAGTATGTTTGGAAAATAAAGTATGTAAGTTATTAGTTGATGTAAAGTGGGTGATTGAGTGCATCCATTCTTATTGATGCTATTTTTGTTCATTTATTAATAATATTGGATTTCAGAAACTAAATTTTACAACTGTTAATACTCTTATTGTATTTATTAATATTTTATTATTTAAAATGGCAGACAATGAAAATAATGATGATTAAGTGAATTTGGAGGAAGATCCAATGGCATTCTTACCAGCAGACCATGTAAATTGTTTATCCGATTAGATTAGCATTTGCTGGCCCGTTTGCAAATTGCATTACAAAAATAATTGGATGATGAGCATTCAAGAGTAGAATTAGAACTTGTGGAAGTGGAAGATTAACTAAAAAAGCTTGATAGAGAAAAGGAAGATATTGGTACTTGAAATTATTAATATAAAAGGTGTTAGATTATATGGTGTATAATAATAGTTAGCAGAGAATTAATAAAATTTCGAAAAAGCACATGAAAACTTTAATTTTGTATAAAAATTGAGAATTGAGAGCGAGCAGAAACTGAAAACCATTAATGACCTCCACTTGTAAAAGAAGAAAGAAGTAGACGAGCTTAGAAAAAAATATCTAAAAGCTCAAGATGAATTATCGAAACTTACAAAAACTTTGCACACCATAGAGAACTATAATAATTAGATGCAAGCAGAAATCTAATAGACTAGACGAATTGTTTATAGAGGAGAAGAAAATGTGTAAGGATTGGAGAAGGATAAGAAAAAATAAGATTACTTGATTGATTAAATGAATGAAGAAATTAAGAGATTGACAGAACAAAAGACAATATTGATGGATCAATTAATATCTCAAAGCAAGGAAACTGAAAATGCTAGGTAAACAATGAAGGATGCTCAAGCTGAGATGGAAAAGATTATTGCATCTAAAAAGAACCTTATGGAAAGATGGTAGAAGAGTTTAGTCAGGATGTAGAGAATGGACAACGCTTTATAAGAAATCAGAGAAGCCTATAAGTATGGTTATTTAAATATCACAATAGAAAAGAATCAGAAGTCAATATCTAATTAGGAACTGAACTCTAAGGAATTAATAATGAAATTAGAAAGGAAAATACGAGATCAGAAGATTTGATAGCTATGAAAAGAAAATTGGAAAATCAAAAATCCAATTTAGAAAATAGGAGACAAGAATTGCTTGAAGAGTAGGCTAAACTCAATGCCCAAGTACTTTTATTAAAATGAATCTTCTAAATAAACCAGAAAAATGAAACCAAAAAGACTGACAATGAATAAAGAAATGTGGATGAATAGATGAAATTGATTGAAACTAATATTATGAAATTACATACTGAAACTAAAAGCTTATTGGAAGACTTATTAGATTCAAAGAGCGAAAATACTACCATCGAAAAAACTGCCTTGAATTTATTGAAGCAGGCCCAAATAATCTAAGCTGAAATTGAGGAGAAGGACAATTTGAATTAGAAAATCTTAATAATGAAATTGCTAGAGTTAAAATTGATCAATTAAATACAGAATAATAGATTGAATAATTAAAATTAAAAAAGGCTGCAGTTATTAAAGAAAGAGATGATAAGAAAATTACTGTTGCAACTTATGAAGTCTAAATCAAATAGGGTCATGAATTGAATGAAAAAAAATAACATGAAGTTGGTAGATTAAACAAGGTTCATGATGAATTGACAAACAACTCTTCAGAAGTCAGCAGAGGACCTTTAGAAGCAACAAAGTCTAATCTAAAAAGACAATTCGATGAAATGATTCAGTAATGTGAAGCCATGCACAGAGATTGGATCAAGAAGCAAACTTAGTTGGTTGAAAAAACTAAAGAGTATGAAACATGTTCCACAGAGGTTGATGAATTATCAAATAAACAAGTTATTTTGGAAAATAAAAAAATGAGATTAAATTCTTAATACAGATCTCATGAAAGAGAAATAAGAGAAATCAAAAATAGTCTTAAAAATCTGTAAAATGATATGAATAAATTAAATGATGATTTAGCAAGATACTAATTTAAATAAGAAAAATTAACAAATGAAAATAATCATATTTAGAGTGAATTTCTTGAGAAGTTGAAAGAATTGGAGAAGGAAGCTGTTAGATATGAAGTCTAAATTGATAAATTAAAGGATAGCAAAGCAGATTTATTAAATGACATTATGGAGGCAGAAAAGTAAATCTTATTATGGGAAAGAAAGATTTAATTGGAAAAAGAAATGCAAGAAGCTTTGGATCCAAATGTTGGTCAAAGTGAATTAAAGCTATTACAAAAAGAAATACATAAAATGGAACTTAGATAAAAGGAACAAAAGAAGAGTTAAGAGTAAATCATAAAAGAGATGGAGAGAACTGTTTTTAAGAGAGAGACTATCCAATTGAAGTATCTCAACAAAGATAAATCCTCCTCAGGAACAAAAGATCTCAAACTACCTCCTGTTTAAGCAAGCAATAACACATCATAAGTTAACAAATAAATACAAACACTAAAGAACACATTAAATTAAACCTCTAATGAATGGATAAAAGATTGAACAAGGAATTAATGCATAAGAAGAACAACTTGAAAATGTAATATTTATTGAATATACCTCTAGCTCCAATAATAAATCTAGGAAGCCACATAAAAATAATAATAAATGGAATAAGAGACTTATGAGAATAAGTAAAGATTATACTACGCAAAAAATGAGAAACATTTGAATTTATTTAAAATAAGCCAATTATAATGCTAAGCTAGAAAATATGAGGAATTGCTAAATAATCCAAGACTACCTTTTCCTGAACAATAAATTAGATAGTAAATTTGAGTTTTATTATTAGGAAACTTGAGGAATAAAAGAATTTCACTAATAATATCAAGAGTGCATTAAATAAGCTGGTTGATGAGTAGCCATAATTACAAGAGATCTTAACCCCATTGTTAGAATTATGAAATATATGAATTTCATTAAAATATTTATCAGATACATCTATATTACATGGTTATTGTTGAATTTATCACAATTTATACATCATTTAAAGAACTATGTACATAAATATAAATTGCTAAGTTAATTTAATAATTATATATATTTTTAATTTGTGAAATGGCAAAGGATAAAATACTTTCTGCTAAGCTTAAGTAATAGGAATTCAAAACCAAATCGACTTAATTGAAGACATAAAAAATAGCTTAATTACTTGAGCCTTAGTTTTAATAGAGTGTAGAAATAGATGATGAAAGGCCTTTATTAAAGATTTCTAATTTTAAGGATTATTTACCTGAAGAGAATGTGCAAAATGTAGAACTTATATCATTAAAACAAGATCATCAATCTAAAATTAAAATCAGGGCCATATAAGCTTTCAATGACACCTTAAACCACATATTTGGCAGGGGAATCTGGTCACATTGCTGCTTTTAATTGGAGACACAAATAATTAGAATGTGAATTCGATGTTAAAGAGAAATGTTATGACATAATTTCTATTGCCCAAAGAAATTTTGCAGTAGCCCAAAAAAGTTGCATCTACATTTACGATCCAAAAGGAGTTGAAGTCCATAAAATTCGAGAATGCAAATAAGCCACCAAATTAGAGTATTTGCCCTATCACTTTTTGTTGGCTGCCCTCAATTAAAATGGATAATTGACCTATTAGGATATAACTTAAGGAAAAATAATATCAAGTAAAATATTGAAAGATTATAGCTTATAGAACTACTCCATCACCTTTATGTTTAAAATAAAACAATAACAATGCAATATTAGGAATAGGAGACCAAATGGGAGTAGTAAGAATGTACGCTCCTAATACTGGGACTTCACTTACATCCATGTTGTGTCATAAAGGAGGAGTGATGTCTATGACTTTCTCTCGAGATGGCAATCACTTAATAACAACTGGATCAGAAGGAACAGTTAAGGTCTGGGATCTTAGAACTTAAAAATTATAATCTCAAGTGGCTGTCAATGCAACTAACTTAGCATTAAGTGATAAAGGAGTATTAGCCGCAGGGAGAGGAACAGATGTCATTATGTGGAAGAACTGTTTAATTGGCGACTTAAAAACACCCTATTTAAGATATAAGGCTTCTTCAATGATTTGTGATATTGATTTCATCAAACATGAAGACTATTTAGCAATGAGTACCTTCGATAGTTATGAATAAACAGTAGTACCAGAAAGTGGTGAAGCATTCTTTGATACATATGAATAACCAGAATTACAAAATAAAAAACAAAGGTTAGAAACCAATGTCAGATAATTACTTGAAAAAGTATACTATTAATGAAATTTAATTTTATAGTTGCCACCAGAGTCTATTTCTCTTTAATCACATCGAATTGGTACAATTGATAGAACTTCAAAAATGATAATAGAAAAAGAATAAAAAAAATAAATTGAAGAACAGGCAGCAAAAAAGATTAAGAAGCAAAAGAAAAAGATGAGAGGAAGGTATAAATTTCATACAATTATTTTAGAAACAAAATTGGAAAAAGAGAGAAACTCAAGGAATTAGAGAGAGATTAGAAATAATAAGTTAAATGGTAAGAAATGTTATCAGATGCTCTAAGAGTTAAAAGAGCTGAGAAGGAAAAGAAAAAGTTTGAAACTAAATTGTTGGATAGATTAGAATAGATTCCAAGCAAAGAATTTATTAGAGTAGTTTCTTGAAATTTGTACAATATATATTTAATTATTAATATCCACATTAATTATACTAATACACAATGAAATTTTAGATAAAAGATCCTGGATGCATATCATTATCAGATTGCTAAAAGAGTCAGTTGAAAACGCTTAAGACTTCTCACATCCTATCGACCTTCGCAAATCCTTAGAGATGAAGGGAAGTATAAGGATGTAATGACTAAGGATTTAAAAATTGAATGCTCTGAGTTGATTACAAGATCGAAGACAATATAGAGTATAAATATATGACTATTTAGGGTTTTAGGATAACTTAATTAAAAGATTCTTAATTATACCAAATTACAATTCTGCAGACTGCATTTAAATTGTAAATTCGATATTTATTTTTTTCAAAGATAATTCTCTATAGATCATATAAATATGTTGGAAATTTGAAGACAATTACTTCTTCTGGTTACGGTGAACTAAGATTGAAATTATATTATTACTTTTTGTTAGTTAATTAAATATGTTTTAAATTGTATGAGGGGGAAGAAAAATTATATTTAATAATTTAAATATCTTTTTAAAAGATTTACCCCCCATTTATAAATAAAAAGAATGAGCACTTATTATTCAATTCAATATTTATCAATGTAATAAATCTAGGAAGAGTTCTCTAAACTCACTATAGAAACATATATCACGGGGTTCATTCACTGTGAAGAATTTGACAACCATTTCTCAGCAAAAGAGCACTGTGAGAATCCATAAAGAACTTAATCTATAGATAAAACTATTTAAAATTATCTATCATCAAAAGATTTAAAGAACAAAGTAGAATAGTTGTCATAATTTGAATAGTGGTATTCAGTTTAGTTAATTATTTAAGTGATATAAACCATTTGAGATTAGTTCATGATGAAAAATATATAGATTTTGTAGAAGGACTATTCAATGCTGTTGGGAATGAATAGTTAACAAAAGATGTCAAGTACTTTGATGACACATATCTATGTAAAACATCAGCCGTGACTGCTAGGAAATGTGTATAAGCAGTATTGGAAGGAGTTGATAAGATACTGAAAGCAGAATGGAGAAATGGATTCTGTAGTGTTCGACCCCCTGGCCATCACAGTGGACATAAAAACAAACCAAATGGTTTTTGTGTTTATAACAATGTTGCTGTTGCTGCAAAATATGCAAGAGCAAAATACAATGTCAATAAAATTGTTATCTTTGATTGGGATGTTCATCATTGTGATGGAACAGAGTCCATATTTTATGAAGATCCAAATACCTTGGTGATATCTATTCATAGATATGATGGTGGTAGTTTCTATCCTGGTAGTGGAGATCCTGTAAAGATAGGAAGAAAAGATGCAGAATATAAAAATATTAATGTCGGTTGGAATGTTGGCTGGAATGTAAAAGATAACGATGCTCCAGGTTATGATGACTATGTCTATGCATATGATAGATTATTAGGTCCTATAATAAAGGAATTCGGTCCAGATTTCATTATCATAAGTGCTGGTTATGATTCAGCAAAGGGAGATCCTCTTGGCGGTATTAATAATACTCCATAAGGGTATTAATATATGACTGAAAAGTTATAATAATTATGCCCTAGAGTCTTGGCTGTTCTTGAAGGCGGATACAATCTTGATATCACAGCTTAATGTGCTCTCGCTACCTTTGAATAATTATTAGGAGTACCTAAATAGTTTCCAGCCATTATTCAACCTGGATAATGTGGAATTAATGCAGTGTAAACAACTGTAGATAAACATAAATAATTTTGGACATGTCTCTCTTCAAAAGAATTATTGGAATATTAAAAACAGTTTTTAGGAGAAACAGTCAATTTAATTTCAGGGGGACATTTATAAGCTTTCCAGATTAAAGATAATATCATTATTAAAACTACAAAAAAGCAAGAATACTAATTCTATTCTACGTTAACTAACCTTAATAATCCATATTATGACGAAAATAAAAGGCTAATTAAATTCTTACCTAAATTAATATCACTAGATGAAAAAGCTTGTACTATTTCGATGGTATTTTATTATATCTAATTTAGGAAAATTTAACTTATGGACTAGAAAATGGATCAATATTGGACTTAAAAATAGGCTACAAAACATATCATCCAAATTGTACACAAGAAAAAAAAGAAAAAGAAATAAAAAAGGCTAGTCTATGTGATCAAGTATTGATGGGTTTTAGAGCAGCTGGTATTAAAATAAGAGATCAAAATGGAGTTTTAACGATCAACAAGAATGGTTCTGAAGCTTATAATTGGATAACAAATGATTAAAAAATGAAAGATATCATTGAATAGGTTTTTAAATCAAATCAAGTTGAGTAACCTAATAGAGAAGCACTCTAAGGATGCATTAATTTTATCTAGGAATTAATTGAGGCTCTTCAAACCAGCAAGAGGTATACATATATTAGATTGAATTAGATTGTTTCGAAGTACATCAATTTTAATCATTGTGGATAACATTTCCAAAAAGTATCAAATCAAATGGATTGACTTCAATTATGTAATGAATTTGTCTGATGATTCTGAAAATCCAGAAGCAGAAATGGATAATAATATTATGGGAGGACTTAAATATCTGATGTCAATTTTAAAATCCATAGAAGAGAAATGAAACAATTATCATATAAAACAGAAAAAATAATATGTTATCTTAAATAAGAAATTTTTTTAGTTTTAAAGTGTATTAAAGATTTTCTGAAATTTCAATAAATTTCATTCTTTTTCTTATAATTGATTGAGTTTCTTAAGCAATCGAGGAAAAATTGAATAATTTTAAAAAGTAAGTTTTATTAATTAGTTAAAGAACTAAGTAAAAATAATGATATCCTTAATTAATTTCAATCCTGCTGACAGAAATTGCATAATAGACAGTCCTCGCTCAAATTAAGTTATGAGGCAAAGAGGGATTGCTCAAAATGAGTTACTGTGTGTTAATAAAGATTAACTTTCGGCTATGATGAAAAAAGAGAAATCATTAACAAATGAGAATTTGGATGATTTCCATAAACACTTTGAATATCGTAGACAATAAAAAGTCTATGCATTAATAAGGGATAGGGAGGCTTTAATTGAAAAGGAAAAAAGAAATAAGATCGAATAAAGTACATGCAGTTTGAAACTGCTTCGACCAGCAAGTAGCACTACTACATCTAAATTTATGGATCAAGTATAGAAGAGAAAATAGATGGAGGAGCTAAGATAAAGACATTTATAGGAGATGATGTTGAAGAGAGAAGAGTAGACTTAAATAAGAGAAGAGAAGATGTAGTTATATGAGGAAAAGAGAAAAAGGATGTAAGAGGAGAGGTAAAAAGAGTTTTAAGAGAAATAAGAAAATATTGCAAAACAAAAAAGATAAAAAGAATTGGATGAATAAAGAAAAAATAGATAATAATAGTAAGTCTATTTTGAAAGAGAATAAGAAAGAAAAATGCAATTAGAGTTTGAAGAGCAGCAAAGAAGAGAACAAGCTGCTATGAGAGAGTAATAACAAAGGGAACTAAAGTAATAGTTAGAAAGAGAAAAAAGAATGAAAGGAAAGTAGAAAGAATAAGAATATTAAATTAGAAAACAAGAAGAAGAGGAATAAGAAATTAAAAGATAAATGTTCTTTAGGCAATAGCAAGAATCAAAAAAAGAAATTGCTTAAAAAAGGGCTTAATCAGCCAAAGAAAGGCAAAGAGAAGCTAAAAGAAGTCAAATTGAAGGTTTGAATAAACTAAGAGAGGATTTTTAAAAAAAAGAAGAAAAAATTGCAGAAAAACAATACAAATTTTAAGAATTATAAAAAGAAAGATAATTATCAATTGAAGAGAAAAACAGAATTAAAAATGAAAAAATTAAGCATACAGCTAAAGTAAAGTTACATGAATAAGAAGAAGTAAGGAGAGAATTTATGGAAAAGGAGATGGATATCTAATTAAGATTGCAATAGAGAAGTCAATCAAAATCTAAGGAGTAGTTCATGTTGGAAGAAGCAGAAAGAAGAGCTAAACATAGAGAGAAAGTCAAGAAAATGAATATGTTATAATTGGAGGAAAAAAGAAACATATATTTAAGAAAAATTTAAGAACAAGATGAAAAAGTAATATTTTAGTATATTGATAGATTGAAAAAGTAAAGAATGAATAGGAAACTATGTAGTAATAGCAAGCATATATGAAACTAAAGAAAAAAATTGATTAATAAGAGGCTATAAAACATTAAAAATAATTAGAAGAATATAAAAGAGAGCAAATTAGAGAAAAGCTGAGATAGGTTGATCTGAGAATGGAATAAAAGTAGGATGAGTAAAGAGAACTGGATAGATTAAGAGAACAAGCAAACAGAGTTGAAATGATGGGAAAAAAAATATGATATTATATTTAACTTCATTAATAATAATAAGCTCCCTAAAATTTCTGAAAATTATATTAATATAATCGTATTAGAAAATAAAATTAAAATAGAAATTTGTAGGTGTATGAACTAACTTTTGATATATTTAATATTCCGAGGAAGAATTTCAATTGAAAAATAGATCAATTCTTACATAGATAATTAAACATAAATTTCTTAATATTTTCACTATTTTCTTGATCTGACATACCTGACGAATGCTCTTTAAGAAATGGCTTTACTCCTTTCGAATAGATCCATACACAGTTAAAAGTGGGCCTATTCTTTACTTTCTTTGAAACACAGCATGAATTATTCCTCTTTAATTGCTTCAGCTAATGCAGCTTACATTTAAAATTAAGTTAAATTATTTATATTTTATATAATGGCATAATAGCTCAAAATGGTCTGAAATTTCTATAATTTGTTGGGTATTAAGCCGTATGAGCTGGATACGCAGAAGGGACATAACTTTGAACGGGTCTAACTTATGAATATGAAATTGGTTGTTGGACAACAGGTTGTATAACTGGGTTTTGGACAACAGATTAAACAATTGGCTATTGTACATATTAGGTTGGCTATGGCACATACTATTAAACGACTGGTTGCTAAACCACAACTTATTATTGCTAAAATAAAAAAATGATTTACTCTTTAAACTTATCTTTCCACTGCTTCATATTCTACTCTAGGGACTGTTTTTGTAATTGGGACGTATTCTGTTTGTTGTTCATAAACAGTCCTTGGAATGTATTCTGTTTGGTATTCGATTGGATAATAATCTGTCACGTATCTAGTTTTTGGCACTTAAACTTAGACTGTTTCTGTTTCCATTTCAACGACTTGTCTCTGATATTCTCTATATTCCACTCTTGATTCTCCACGAATTGTTTATTGAGCAGGTTAAGCCACGACTTATTGGACAGCTACAGGTTAGGGTACGTAGGATTATTGCATAACTGGTTAGATTGCAACAGGCTAAACAAATGATTATGCTATTGGGGCAGCATATTGAACAGGAGCATAAGCTACAGGCTATGCATACGTGTTTGGATAAGCTAAAGATTGCCCTAAAGGAGCACTGTAGGGATTGTATCCTGGGTAATAAGGCATCTTAGTTTGTTTGATAATTTTATTTATGAATATAAGAAAAGAGAGATTTGGTTTTAAATTTCAAAGAAGATACTTATAAATCTCATCAAATATAATAAATTTTATTTATTAAACATAACATACTTTTAATATAAATATCAATTTTTATTAAAGCATTAATTTTTATTAAAGTATCAATTTTAAAATAATTATAAAGTTCTTCATATATATTTTTTGATATTATTACTTGAACTACAACATATAATTGAATAATTAGAAATGTAAATATTATCAATATCAACCCTCAACTTTAGCCATCATTTCAAGTACTTGTTCAATTAACACTTAAAATTCATCAATTGATAATTTTCCATCTCCATTTTCATCTAATTCTTTTAAAACTTCATCGATTTCTTCACTTGTAGGTGGCTATAGTTATTTTAATTTGTGATACTTCAACTCCCAAATCAGCTGCTACATTATTCATAACTTCTTCCAGTTCTGGTCTTTCAAGGTATCCGCTACCTTTGTTTTAGATAAATGTTTTAATTACCATCCTTATCCACTTACTTAAATGCGCTTTCAGCTACAAATCTCACTTTTTTCTTATCTTTCAAAATGTCCTTTACATTTGCATTGCTCATTATTTTTATGTTATTTAAATTATTTATGCAAAGAGCATATACTTTTTTAGAATTTCAAAACTAATATTAGAATGATATCCAAATTTAACATTAATATCAATACTAGAAAATTGAAAAGGAATTCTCATCTTGACATGACTATAAAACTTAAATGTTATATAATATAATTATATAATTAATATATTCAGAAGAACTACTAGAAAAGAAATATAATTGATCTTTATGTACTCAATGAATCTATTACATATACATAGTAGATTCATGATGAATAAAATTAAAAAAACTTTGAGAATTTGAATTAACTTCATTTAAATTTTCTAATTAGTTTGATTATTACTGATTAATTGTTTATGATAATTTATAAAGTGAGTTATAAGTAATTCTAATATATTACTATTAGACCTATATTAATCAATTCATTATAGAAAATATAAAAAATATGGAGTTAGTTTTTTATTGTATTTCATGAAACCTTTGAAAGTTGATACTCCAATTTATAATTCAATTACATAACTTAATTTTAAAGTTTTCTTATTCATTAAAGAAATACAAAAGTAACTATTGAATTCTAATTTAATTTCCATTTATGACATCGTCCTTTGGGAAGATTCAAATATTTCAGGAGTTTTTAACTCATTTCTTTAATGGCTGGAGAATATATAATAAATATTAAAATCAAAATGTGATTATTTCTATTCTAATGGGGTTTATAAAGGTTCCTTTGTTAAGTAATTTGCTATTACTAACTTTTTGAAATCAATAGCCTGAACAAATATTGAGATTATCAACTCTAAATTATGCTATACTATATTGTTAGAAATCATTTAAAGACACTAAATAACTTTGAACATAAGCTATTATTGAATTTAAAAGATCTTTATTGTAGTGTTTTGACAATAAGATATAAGAATCTACATCAGAATAAGTGATTTTACAATAATCTATTTTCAAATTTTTATATTAATAATGGATAAAAGGAGGGGCAGATCGGGCAAATAGAAAAGTAGTCCAGAGAGAAATGATGAAGAAGAAGAGGAATTTGTTGTTAAATCAAAAGGGAAACAATAAAAGGGAAAAAAGAAAACTGAGGATAATGAAGGTAAGAAAAGTGCATAAAAAATCGAGAAATAATAGAAAGTAAAGGAAGTGGAAAAAAAAGTAAAATAAGTTAACCAAGCAGATGAAAAATTTGATTTAGGAGATGGAAGATTTAGTACTCCAACAGTAAAAATTTCTAGTTGGAATATAAATGGAATCAGAGCTGTCACAAAGCATGAATCAGCTGTTTAATATTTAAATGACTCTAAAGTAAATTATTGCTTAAAAGTAAGTTTGATATAATTTGTTTAAATGAATTGAAAGCTGATTAAGATGTATTTGACAAAGAAAATTTAGGCGCTAAATTTGGAAAACACTATTTTCTATATCTTAATTTTTGTAAATCTAAGGCTGGATACAGTGGAGTTGCTATAGCATCTAAGTAAGTTGAAATTTGTAATTCTTAATAGAGTCAAACCATTATCAGTGAAGTGCGATATTGGTGTCGATAAGCATGACCAAGAAGGAAGAACACTCACAGCTGAATTCGAACAGTTTTATTTAGTTTCATGTTATGTTCCAAACTCAGGATAGAAATTGGAAAGACTTGATTATAGAACCAAGGAGTGGGATATTGATTTCTAAAACTATCTTGAAGGACTTCGAAAGAAAAAACCTACGATCTTATGTGGTGATCTTAATGTAGCCCACCACGAAATAGATCTTTCCAATCCAGCTGGCAACAAGAAGACTGCTGGGTATCTTCATATTCTGATTTTAGATTTACTCTATAAGAAAGGGATCAATTTTCCAATTATTTGTAAAAAGGATGGGTTGATTCGTTCAGACATTTACATCCAAAAGAGGTTAAGTATAGCTTTTTTAGTGCAAGAAGTAATAGCAGGTAACAAAGTAGTTTATTTTAGATCATAAAACAAGGGATGGAGATTAGATTATTTTATAATTAATAAGGAAGCTTCTGATGCTATCACTGTATCTGATATAAACTTAACTGTTGAAGGAAGTGATCACGTGCCAATTGAGTGTGAAGTTGATCTAAGAAAATTATGATGGAAATATAAATTATTCATAATTTAAATCAAATAATATTTGTTAGTCTTTTTATTCACTTTTCTCTAAAAATATTATTCTTTGTTGAGGCAGAGTTTTGGTTGTGTTTCTGATTCAATTAATTGACATAGGATAAAGCAATAATATGATAAGATCGATAAATTGAAATTCAATTAATTGATAATTTAATAATTTTCAAATTATATATTGGTAGTAATATTTAAATTAAGTGTGTTTCTTGTAATTTTTTAAGAACCTGTGAATAGAAATAGGTAGATAAAAGTAATTATCAATGTATAATTTACTATATAGTAATGATTAATTGTCAATGGATTCAAGAAAAGCATCAAAGATATTATGTGGTCATTTAAATTGATAAATAAATTTTATTTAAATATTAAAATTGATGAAATTCTTTTATTATAGTCTGAATTTCGAATAAGATAAAATCATTGATTAAAGTATGTTCGATTAATGAAAAGTGAATATAACATGAATACTAAACAGCCTTTGTTATATTGAAAGGTCCTGCTCCGCATTAAAAGATGAACTGATCATTAATTCAAAATATTTCTTATGAAATAAATGATTCAATCTTCTTTTTCAAACTATATAAAAATTATAACCTAAGAATATCCTAAATAAAATTGATCAATAATGAAATTCTAAATTAGTTTATTGAATAAGTATTCAACTCATCTAAAAAAATAACTATAAACATCATTTCCAAATGCTAAAGGCCTATCAACTAATTATTTCATTAATCCCTTTTTTATTTTTTGCTTGTGTTATTTTTCTTTCCTTTTAATTAATCCAATATCTAATAGTACTTGTACTAATCTCTGTTGTTTCCTACATTTTTGAATTTCTCGATAGAAGTTACTTAAAAGGCCTCTTTTGATAAACTCAATTATTTGTTAAAAGTCGTTTAATTTTAATAAATAATTCTCAAAATACTTTATCATAGATAATATCATTTTGGTTATTATGTCATCACCTTCAATAAAAAACATAGCCAATAACACTAGAGAGAACTGTATTGGAGCATGTTGCATACATAAAGTTAAGTAAAATGCACTTGCACACATACTCATATCCTCAATTCCAAGTTTTAGAAAATGTTGATATAATGCAGGCATTCTTTTTTTAAATTTAAAGTTGAATTTAGCCATCAATAAGAATAGACCTGGAGTCCCATTGATATAAAGTTGTCTCCACTCTTTGTCCATAATTATGGTTCTTAGAATTTCAAAGATGGCTTCGTCATTATTGAAATCTAAATACATGAGAGCTGCAACGATGAAGTTCATTCCCTAACCATATGAAACTTCTGAGTCCAAATTACTATAAGCTACTAATATGTCCTAAAGTCTTTAGAGTACTTCCTCCTTCTAAAAATAATCTGAACTCTTAAAAGTTCTATGTACATCTTTGATGATGCATTCATAATTTTTTTCTTTCAATTGTTTTTTAAGATGCTCAAATTAACATGTCATCTGACATTACATTGTTATAAAGTCAAAAACTTGCTTCACTGTTAATGATCTTGTAGTAAATATTGATAATAATAAATTTTTGTTTGAATCATACATTCCTGTCTCTAAAAGATTTTGCCATTCAGAATGAGATAGTACCTGTATGTCCACTTTATGATATTTCAACTCTAACTTCAATTATTCATAGTAATCATCTTCCCAAACATATTTTGGAATATGTTTCAAAATAGCCATTTCATCCTCAACAGTTATTTCATGAGAGCTTTTTTCATCAAATAATGAATATGTCTAACGGTTGCTTTTTCTGAATGGGTTAAAGTTGTGTTGAATCATCTTAATATTTTATTATATAATTAATAGGAAATGAAAAGTGACAGACCAATATATAAAGTTTGCAAATATTGCGAGAAAGAATTTTAACAAAATGAAATCTTCAACCATCAACGATCATGTATTTCCAAGTCAAAAGAAATAAACAAGTCAAATTCTTCAAAGCCTTAAATAAATGCTCAACATATTTAGTCAGAGCAATAGCATTAGTCTTTTCAAAAATCATCATCCTTATAAGTAAGAAATCAAAAAATATCTAGAATAATTAAAATTTTCAAGAAAGCAATGTTGATCTTTAATTGTCTCAGAAGATCCATGATAAATATAATGGTAAAATTATAGTTTTAGGTGTTATACAATTACCTAAAGAGGATAGCATAAGGTATGAGGAATAATAGAAATAAAACATATAATAATAATAACCCTCCTATGAAAGGCAACCTTATCAAAACTGTAATTAACAATAATTCTCTCAATAAGAAGCTTATAATCAAAAACCTAATTTTGAATAACTCTACTATTAATAACCCTAGCAATCAGTCATAAATTAAGTAGATGTATCAAATTTAATAAAATGCGAACACTGCAATTGCCTTTTAAATTCTGAGGACAAAGATTTTCATGAAATGAATTGTTCTTCAGTTATTCGATTTTAAGAACTAATCAAAGACTTAGATTAACCATAAGAATAAGAAATCCCTTCTTAGTCTATCTCATTTATTATAGCCAATAATTAAACAATAATTGCACAATACCTCTAAATTCATTCTGAATGCAAAGATATTATATAAAAAGGCAAAAAACTATTGGATGGAGCTATGTTTAAAAACTTGAAATTTAAGAAAACTTTAGATTAAAAAACTTGCTACTTTTGTTCAGACTACTTCAAAGAAGACGAGATCATTTATAATCTAGAATGCTGCCTCTTAAAAAGTCATAAAAAATGTTTACATAACATGGTCAAAAAAAGTACCAAATGCTATAACTGCAAGAAAGAATTATTTCCATTCAAGGGACAAGTCAAAAGATGAATTAAAACTATTTTACAATGCTTTATAAGAATATTCAAATAATCAAGTTTTTTATTATTCAAAATCTATCTTACAAATTGGACAAGTCGATTAGTCTATTAACCACTTACTCATGCATTTAGCATGAAACCTGTGTATACATGGCAGCAAAAATAGTTCTTCTCCCTTTAAATAGTTCATAAAACAAATCCCACATTATTTAAATTCCTAATCAAGCTATTTGGAATCACAGAAATTTATTCTAACTAAATTTTAAAATCTTATTTATTATACAAGTAATCTAATTAATAATAAGATTACATACTTTTGTTGATCGTTTGCTTCTATTTGATCCAAATCAATCAAGTCCTTGTTGATGAAACTCTAAAAGCTCTAATGGAAACTCCTATTGTCATTAGGCACTATTATTTATTAAGAAATATGCTCTATCTATTTGCCGTTATCAGAATCTAGTAAAAACACATTTTCATATGTTTTATTAGTAAGTGGATCCCTAGTGATTATCTTTTGCAGTATTTTCCCATCACTTTACAATTCTTCATGAATTATTGTAGAAAAGTTTTCTGGTTCCTTTTATTATCCAATCATACTTTACTTATCAATGTAATTTTCATTTGATTAAAATTTATTTTGAGTCTCCTCTATTTATAGTTATTCTATCATTAAATAGGTTTGACAATTAGGATAATGATCATCAATTTGTTCTATAGGAAAAAGCTCATTGCAATATTCACACTTTTTAGTAGTTCGAACCAAAATAGATTCTGTTTATAGATCGTTTAATTTCTGCTATTATTTTACTGCTTATGGAGCTATCTCTCTTTTAAGTTAATAAGAAAATTCTTCTTAAAGTTATTTTTCTAAACCTGGATTTTCAACTTTTTAGTTCTTATTAAATTTAGATTTATTCGTTTATAATATATTCTATGAGTCATCTGGAAATTCCTCCTATATTTTTTAGAGCATTGATTCTTTATTTTATACAACAGATTAGTAATCAGGGTGATTTTCAATATTACATTCCATTCTATGCGCATACATTATAGTAAGAGGAAATCTTTCCTTACAGAATTTGCACGTTATTAATTCCTATGGTTTATCTTGCATAAAAATATTAAGTATATTATAATAATATATGATTTATAATAGAAAATAAATTTCTATATTTTTATTCTAATAATTAGAAGTCAACCTAAAATAATGATATCTCCATATGTTTTGAATATCTTCTCGTTTTCATAATTTAATTTTTTTTTAATTTAGTTTAATTGTAATAGAATAGTTAATATATGTATAAATAAATAGAAATTAGAGGAAACAATATTATAGATGAAATGAACATTTTGTAATATTTAAAACCTATTACCAACCAGACATAATGTTTAGTGAGAACTATCAATTTCTATAAAAACTTAATCCTCAATAAATTACCTCTAAAAATATAATTATTTTATAACTTAACAAATATATTATATTAATTTGGTAACCCATCTTGTCTACATAGTTTAATGATTCATACATAAATTTAATACAAAATCAAATCAAAAAATTATGATAATCTAAATACACAAAAATATTTGGTTGCAGTTTTAATATAAAATATTGTAAGAACTAAATATAAAGCAAGAAAGAATACAGTTATAAAAAGAACCAAATAAACATTTAATTAAAAAGACAGCTTCAGCTGTTAGAACTGCAAGGGATTAAAAGATGCTTCAATAATTTCGAGCAGGAACAGTTAAGTTGAGAGAAATCTGTAAATATTAAAAATGAACTTAATTGGTGATTAGAAAATGAATATTCTAAACATTACTTAATGAAATTATTGAGTGTTTCCAAAAGGAACTAATATTCTAGAGTTTGTTGTATTAGTATTTAAAAAGAGAGTGGAACTTACTCAGTAGGATAGTTTGAAGATACAAATTGATGTGCAATTGATTTAAGAGGAGTCATTAGATTGTTTGGAGATATTCAGTTGGGTGGGAGGATCAGAAGTGAGAGATTCTTACAAATTTTAACAAGAAATAATATATTATATATATTTAATGTGGTTAACAAAATCGTACTCGTTCATAAAAACAAGAATAGATTATCATATCAGGAAACCTCCTCAGATATAGGAGGGACAACAAGAAATAGTTCAATAACCAAGTCCGAATCAAAAGTGTAAATAGAGATCAGTAAGTGCTAATAGTAAAATGAAAATCAACATAATAAAAGTATAAGAGTAGTTGAATGTTAGGATTTCTACAAGTTGTCAAAGGATGATCAATACATTTATAACTCTATCGAGATAAATGATATTACTTTCATTGAATAAGCGACGAAGGACAATAGAACTCTGGAGAAGAATGATTGGTAAATTATCCTAAAAAATAAATCATTCACAGGATACAAAGTTTAATAAATACATTAATCGATTATGTTGTAGACAATGGAATATGACATGTAAATGATAGAATTAGTTGTAGACGGAGACAATGGTGGATCTTCGTCAGTAATCAGGAATAGAACAAGAAGGAACTAAGAAATCAAAGTTATTAAAAATTGAAAAAGGCTGATACTCTGCATAAGATTCAGATTGAAAAGGACGTGGCAAGAACAATCATTCACGATATGTTTAAGTAAGTATTAGTTTTGATATAGAATAGCATGAGAAATTAATAATCATTAAAAAACATTCTAATCGCATATGCGAATTATGATAAAGAGCTGGGGTATGTTTAAGGACTCAATATCATAGTAGCAAATCTATTAGTTTGTTACGATTTAAGTGTTAATGATTAATAATTAAATGATTTTGAAGTTATGGATGAGGAGAGGGATGAAACGGTGTTCTTTATCTTCTTATACATAATGAAGGATCAAAATTGGAGAGTGGTATTTTTGGAGGGTTTTGAAGGCTTAAGACTCAAGATAGATGTGCTTGAATAGATGATGAAAAAAAAGATACCTGAATTACACAGACATTTCTACGATGAAGGGATTGTAAAGATGAATTTGTATTTAGACTGATTTCTTTCCTTTCTTTTCTCGATTCTATATGACATTATTGATGTACAATATCCCTTGGAGATTTTCAGGCATGATTCTTGATCTTTTCCTAATTGAAGGCGAAGAAATCATACACAAATTGATACTAGCTATGTTGTCATATCACAAAAATAAGTTGATAACCAGAAACTACAGCGACATCAGAACATTCTGTTAAGAATAGCTAGTTGAAAGTTTTTTGGAAATATTTGATGCCTCCTAACCCAATTTAATGGCAATATTGCAAAAACTTAATTTATTATGATATTATATCTATAATTGTGTAATTTTTATGTTACTTAAGTAAATCAATTAAAAGCTTTTTTCCCAACGATAATATAGTCATCATACAGTTTTTTCTTAACATAAGGATTTTTAACCTTAGGTTTCATGTGTGGTTTCGTGATAGGAGGTAATTTGGAGTGCAAACTTCCATCTCTGACCTTCTCGTTCTCATCATCAGATTAATTCAACTTGCCCTCCAACTTCACTTCCAACTTTATTGTACCAGGATAGATCCCCTTATTCAATCTCTTCCTTGGTTTGGCGATATTGATGGCCTTTCCAAATTGAGTACTATCACTTGACTGAGACATAGGAGCATCCCAAAATTCTTCAAAGAACTCATGTCTAAGTGCCTCCTCCGCACTGATTCTCTTAACTGGATCTAGCTACAACAACTTGTAGAGTAAGTCTATGCAATCAGATCCAGCATGTGGAGGGACTAATCTTTCCAATCCTATTCCCTTTTAAGGTTTGAAGTTGAATTCCATATGAGAAGCTTAAGATTTGAATCTGTTCAAGAGTTCAGAATCAGGAGTTCCTAGGATTTTGAAGATCTTATTAATTTGATCTAATTCATTTTCTCCTTGAAATAGGGGTTACAATGCAATAATTTCAAACATCACACTTCCAACTCCCCAGAGATCCATTTTTTGGTCATAGTAACCATCTGTCATCAGACATTCAGGTGCTCTATACCATCTTGTACTTATGTATTCAGTGTATGGATGGGTAGAGTGTATACCTTTGCAACTACCCAAGTCAGCTACTTTAACATTATCATTTTTAATCAAAATGTTTTCTGGTTTAATATCTCTGTGAAAGAAGTTGCGTTTGTGCATGTAATCTAAGGCTTTTAATACTTGATGCATGTATTTTTTAACTTTGGCCATGCTCAAATAGGAAGTTCTATTCTTTATGCAGTCATAAAGATTCATTTCCATTAATTCGCATACCAAAGCCAATCTTCCACTCGGTTCATCATAGAGAACTTCATTGAGTTTCACAATATTGGGATGTTGTTATAATTAGTGCAAGGCTTGGATTTCTTTTAGGTTCTTTACTTAATCCTAAGAATATTTGATCAAATTACCACGCTGTCGAATCGATTTTTCATGCATTTGATTGCAACCAATTATCCAGTTATCATTGATTTAGCTTTCAGGACTTCAGAGAATGTGCCTTCTCCTATTTTGACCAGAATGTAATATTGGTTCATATTACTCAATAAAAAAATAAATTTGATTTTTTTACTAATAAAAATAATTATGGGGCTCATTGAGAAAATCAAGGAAATCGAAGACGAAATGGCCAGAACCCAAAAGAATAAGGCAACTGAGTATCATATGGGTTAATTGAAGGCTAAATTGGCCAAATATCGAACTCAATTATTGGAGCCACCCAAATCTGGCCCAAAAGGCGAAGGATTTGAAGTTCAAAAGTTTGGTAATGCGAGAGTCTGTATGATTGGATTCCCATCTGTCGGAAAGGTATTTACACATCTCTACTTCTAAGTCCACCATTCTTTCGACTCTAACTAAAACTTAATCACTTGTGGCTGCATACGAGTTCACTACATTAACATGCATTCCTGGAGTAATTGACTATAAAGATGCCAAAATCCAATTGCTCGATCTTCCAGGAATTATCGAGGGAGCTTCTGAAGGCAGAGGAAGAGGAAGACAAGTCATTGCAGTAGCCAAGGCTTGTGATCTTGTCTTAATGGTTTTGGAGGCAGACAAGGCTGAGGATCAAAGAAGGAAACTCACTTTGGAATTGGATAAAATGGGTATTAGACTGAATAGGAAGAAACCAGATGTGACCATTACACCAAATAAATCAGGAATGTAATCTAGATTCTCATTACTTTTAGGGTTCGTATTACATCGACTATCAAATTGACCAAGGTAGATGAAAAATTAATTAAGAACATTATGTAAGAATACAAAATTCATAATGTTGATATACTGATCAGAGAGGATATCACAGTCGATGATTTGATTGATATTATTGAAGGAAATAGAAAATATGTCAAGTGTCTCTATGTTTTCAATAAGATTGATAAGATATCTATTGAAGAAGTGGATGAAATTGCCAGAAGGAAAGATCATTGTGTGATATCATGCAATTTGAAGCTCAATTTGGATTTCTTATTAGAGTGCATGTGGGACAAACTCGATTTGGTCAGAGTATATACAAAAAAGAGAGGAAACTAACCAGATTTTTCAGATCCTATAGTTCTTAGTAATGATCGTAATGGTTTGATGGTTAGAAGTGTTTGTGCACAGATTCATAGAGAGTTGGTTGATGAATTCAAGTTTGCTATTGTTTGGGGTAGAAGTTGCAAGTACGTTTTGTTAATCTATTTAGGTTTAATCCATAAAAGGTGGGCTTAAACCATGTTTTAGCAGATGAGGATGTTCTGTAAATTTATAAATCCAAAACTAAGGCCCAATTGGCCAAATAAAACAAATAATTAAAGGGAACAAAACACGATAGGAAAAAGGAAGAGAAGGGAGATAAAAGCTCAAAAAAATGAATGCTGTAATTGGTTCTAAATATATATAATTAAATCAACATAAATTTATTCACCATTCACTCTACTTAAATAATTGATATTTTACATTTCATTCAGCATTCCAAATGTTAAATTACTGTTTTCTTGGTTATTTATTATAAACCAGAACAAATTAGCATTAGTGTTACATTTGACTTTTTAAATTTCTTAATCTTATTTATTTTTGTAATGTCTATAAATATAATCAAATCTCATAAAATTGAAGTACCCAAACAAAGTGGGAAGAAAAAATGTATTGGGATTTGTATGAAAACATCTCAATTGTTTCGATGTATCATAGAATTGTAATTAACATAGCAAAAAGCTTAGATGGGTTTATGAGACTTTTATAATAAACATGCTATCAAAAATCAGAACAATTCATCGATACAAGATAAGTTATTTCAACTACACGATAACTGACCACTTAAAGGACTTTGATGGAATTTGGATTTGTCAATGGAAGAAGCTCTCCTATCAAAAAGAATAGATAACATTAGAGGAGTAGATAAAAAAATTATAAATTTCCGGAGTTATAGTATAAAATAAGGAGATTAAGTTGTGGATGCGGTGAGTGTGGAATGGTTGGCAGAAAGATAAGGAAATTTCATGACATTCTCATTTCAAAAGTCAAAGAGGAGGAAGAAGAACAACCATAAGAAATTGTAAGAAATGGGAAGAAATTAAGGGGAATTTTTAATCAGGTGGCTAAAACTGCTAAAGTGTGCATGAATTTAAGAACTTTGCAATCGGAACGAGAAAGGGATGAGAAAGCGGAGTTTAGTCCTGAGGCAAAATCAAGTGTTTTGGAGCTTTAATGTAAGCAAGTATCTCGAAAGATCATTTAGCAGAACTAAGTGAATCAATTACCATTACTTAAGAAACCTTTAATGAAAGATTACATTAGGAAAATTAACAATCTGAATAATCTAATTGAATAGACTTAACTGATAACTAGTCAGTCTTCGACTCTGATTAGAAATTCAGCGCCTAATTTGGATGCCTTCGAAAAGAGACGAAGAGAAAGTCCAATGTCGAAAAGAGAGCAATCAACTCATAGCTCTCGACAGAAACAAAATGTATACTTAATAAAATCACCTCTGAATGGAATAAACTTATAGAAGTTCAGAGAGTTTAAAATAAAATAATGAAATATATTTAATTTTGGAATTAAAGCACCGATATTGAATAGCAATCTGATCCTCAAGAGAAATCAGGATTCGTGTCTAAGTTTTCTTAGTCTTTTAGATTTCTAAAGCCATGTAAAAAATTAAATAATATTTCAAAGAAAATGTTGTGACAAAAGTGCAGGATGTATAATAAGCAGCAATGAATTGGAAGAATTTCGCAATATTTTTTGGCCTTGGTTTGTGCTTCATGTTTATAGCATTCACATTTTTACCTCTGATCATAGTGTTTCCAGCCAAATTCGGGGGACTATTCAGTTTAGGGTAAGACGTGTATTTAAATGTTATGTAGATCATTAAGTTTATGGATTTCATTGTTCATTATAAAAGGAGGAAAGAACTTTATGAAGATGTTTTGCAACAAGGAAAAATTCATCTATACAAACATTTATGTGATCATGCTTATAGCCACAGTGTACTTTAGTCTGATCCACAAGAATTACATATTCGTGCTCGTGTTTTCGATTGCCTAGGTATTTGAGTACTTAAAGACTTTAGATGATATCTTTGGGCTGGCTGTTTGCGTCTTCATTTCCAGCTGGGATCACTGGAATGAAGTTTATTACAAAATAAATACTTGCACTTATAAAATAGATAATGTCTTTTTGCTTTAAGTCTTCACAATCCAATTCATTTCTACCCATATGAGATGAATAATATGAAATTGCAGTAAGACAATGATGGATTTATATATTTTAATAATATTTTCACCATGATATTGGATTGTATGGAGATTCCTCTATAACATAATTCATCATCACAACTCCAGGGACTCCCATCATTCTCTATATCTCGAGTTCGTGATTCATCATCATTACATCCATCGGAGGTGTGTGATAGTGAAATTGCATGAATGAATAATCCTCTAAGCTAACATCCTATCTCTCTACACATATCAATTGCAGCTATACCAAATTATTGGCGGCCTCTCAGTTGGGATTGGGCAAAACATATAGATGCTAAAATCAGTATGAATAACACCTGTCTCATCTTTGCTATTTTCCCCTTTATTATTAATTATTCACTTATAAATCCGTTTTAAATTTTATATATTCTAATAATCTCCATACAATAGAATTTTTAACACTCCTCTAATTTATCCTTTCTATGGTTCTTTCTCCGTTCTCCTTCATTTCACACTTAAATTGAAAATTTATAATTTTAGCAAAATGATGATGAAAATATTCTACAATTAATTCTTATATTTATTAATTTAATTATGCATCCTCTTTATAACACTACTCTTACAAATATCCCACTGTTAAATAACAAATACCATATGTCAGGTAAAATGAAAAACATAAATGAATTGAAATGATTAATCCAAATAGATTGATCAATAATGCATTCAGCAAAGATATTGAAATTGTTATACCCTATTAGACATTTGGATATTATGTTTTCAAAGTATAACTCAGAATTGATTTTTATAAAATAGTCCCTGAAAAATACCTGAAATATGGCATGATGTAAAATAAATCATTTTATTTTATTTACCTACCAATACTTCGATAACATTTAGGTTTGCCCTTTGTTTCAATTAGTAGGTACTTTTAAAATAGTCTATAAATATTACTATTCATTTAAATACAAGCATTGAATTAATCTCATTCACTCATATAACTAAATAATACAGAATTTACATTAGAGTATGTCAAAATTTATTATACTTAACCCGATTAAGTAAGTAAAATATAAGGACAAATAATCTTTTCATACTAATTAATAAGATACATTGAATAAATATAATAATTAGTTATCAAGATAGAATTTATTAAGACTATACTTATTTAACATAGAAATTCAATTAATATTATAATAAAAATTCAAACAACAAACGTCGTACAACTTCCCTTTGTACTCAATCAAATCTGATTTTGATTGGAAACAATAATTACAATAATTCTGCTATTATTACTATCCTTTCAAGTAGGGAATCAATGTATTTTCAAAAATGAATTCGTAATCCAATTTATTCACTTCTTTCTATTCAATATTTAAAATAAATTTGTACTTCGATTTTTAGATCACTTAATCTATCATTAACCGATTAGACAATCTCATTCAATTAAGAAAATCTATGACTCATTCCTATAATCTTTCTCAATCCCAAAATGAAATTTTGATATTTCTTTTCATATCTAACCTTTTCCAACTGCCCTTATAATTTTATTATAGACAAAACTGACTCTGATTTTTTCAATTCTTTCTTTAATTTACTTACAAAGTCTTCTACAATCTGAATCTTTGGTAAAAGCATTTCTATTGATGGATTCTCGGGTATTTCACTTTCGTGATCAAATATATATTTCTTTATATGATAATCCAAATCTTATTAATCCATTTGATCAATGACCTTAGCAATCTACAATATTTTCTTCTTCAAAACCATAGCTATCGGCTCTTTTGCTCTTAAAGTATCTCTAATAACAGTTGCCTCTTCGTACTCTTCTTTATCAACGTGAATCTGCTTTTTCTTTCTCAAAGCCTAAATATCCTTAGCCAATTAAGCATATTCTAACACTTAAGCCTTATACAAATTTAATTTTAAGTCGCTCAATTCTTCAATAAAACTATCCATACATTCTGCATCGAATCCAACAATGTCTTCTATTTAGTTTCTCCAATTACGCTTCTAAATTGGTTCAACCTTTAGTGGCCCTTATTTTATTTTAATTTCTGGTGTCAGCTATATATTGTTAAGCTAAAGTAAACTACTTTCCTAAAACTATATTTATTGTTAAGAACTCGGTGAATGAAAATGTTCCTAAATATTATAAATTTATGATGTTATTTATGGATTTTACACTACTTATTGTTATTGTTATTAATTTGTTATAGTAGATTCCATTTATATTTATTAAGTTTATTAATGATTTTCGATTGTGCTTTCTATCTCCTCTCCTTCTACAAATTCATCAAATTCTTCATTGTCGATTTTCGTTTCTAATTGGGTACTCTGTACAGCCATCTGATCAGGTTTAAATTAAACATGTTATAACTCTTAGATTGGAGTTTTGGATTCTTCTTGTAAATCCTCAGTTTCGAAGTTTCTGTTTATTACTATATTTTGAAAATTGTATGAACTAATTTATTGATGTTATTATTCAGATTAAAATGCATCATTTGGTAAATCATTATGTAATGATAATAAGTTATTCTACATTAATAAGGGTTCTTATTAAATTGGTTATTATTATTCTTATTTTTCATTTGAAAACTATAACAAAGAATCAGACTATTGTTCGTAATGTTATTCCCTTAAGTTTGGATTTGACTCTTTATTAAAATCAATTAAATGTAATAAATCTTATTTTTATTAAGGTGTAGATGACTCATCCATTTAGTTCACATGCTGATCATTTATGGGAGGGATAACAGAATTTTAATACATCTCGATTAAATTTACATTATTCATATATTTTGAATCATTTTAGGTTTCTTGTTTTAAATCAGTAATTTGCAATAAAGGAGACGGCTATAATGATGTAGGTGTTTCGTTTAGTTCAGATGGAAATGCATCATAAATTGAGGTTAATTATATTTTAGGTTCTTATTAAATAGTTGAAATAATTTATTATTATTATTAAGGTGATATCACATTTCCACTTGTTGGGATTTCAAAATTGATTAATTATTCTTATTATTCTATATTTGCATAATATTAATGTTCTTCATTTTTGTTTGTGCTCAAGATTTAGGGTTGATCTGCAAGCAAAGATTCTTATTTTATTTGAATGGGTTTTTGTACTTCAATAAACTCCCCTTCTTAGAATTCTTCATCTTCATAAGCTTGGGACTATTATTATTACTATTATTAGTGTGCATAATTGGAATGACCATTTGAATTAAAGGATTCTAATTAGGTAGGATTATTTTGTTAGGGAATTTGATAAATGGGGCTATGTTAATTATCGTTTTAATTTGTAAAATTTGATTACAAGAGCGGATTTGAATTGAAATGGGATTATTGATTTAATGGCTGATTTTGATACAAACTAGATATATCTGGAATTGGTTAGGTGGTTGGGGATGTATATAATGGAATTTGAGTAACAGCAAATATTGGAGCATTCTATATTTAAGTCTACTCTTATTCTGGTTGAATATCGTTAAAATAGTCATATCTATTTTTGGTGTTTGTAGAAACATAACCATCAAATTGATCATCATCAAATTCCTCTGCCATTAATTTTAATTATATTTTAATAGTATTCATAAGCTAATATTAGAAATTCTGAATTATAATATTATTAAGGTCTTAATATTCATAATCCCTAAACTCTAAACATTAAGTTTGGTAATAGACAAGATTATTGGCAATTAAGATTCTAATATATTACTTTTTAAGATTCATATTATAAAATTCTTTTTATTTTTGGTTGGTCTTTATTATAAGTATTCTATTTGATTGAGAAAACCAATAAATATGTTTAAGATATTTATTAGAAGTCTGCTCAAATGTTGTCTTTGGCCTATTTTCAAAAAGAATCTGGAAACATAATTCTGTAATTCATTTATATATTTATAATATCAAAACTATAAGGCAGTCAAATAAAAAAAAAGGAAATTCTTTGATTTCTTGTTTTTATACTTTAAAGTTGAGTTGATTAAAGATCATAATGAACATTTATATCTCAAACATATATCCATTTCAACAAATTCATGTGAAGTTAGTATTATTATTAATACATAATTATTATTCAGAAATAGAATTATTTGGTAAGAACAAATTGTATAGCATATGACTTTGAGACATAAAATGTACTAAAATAGATATTGTAATCATAAATGACAATGTCAGGATAGAGAAAGAATTTCTCTTTGATTCTAGATTGAAATGGATATGGATCTGGAATTTAATGAATTAAATATGTATTTTGTATAATATTTGATAAAAATATAAAATAGATTCGAAAAAGAAGAGATGAACCATGAAACATTAGATAATAATATATTTATGCAGGTTATTGTAATTCAAATGTATTAATATACTTATTTTATAATAAGCTGATCATTTCTTCTTATTTCCTCCTTTAGCTTAAGTTTAGGCCTTTCCACCAGTGTTCTTTTTCAAAGATTTGAGTTAGGTGCTGAGGAGGGCACTTCTCTAATAAATGATTTATTGATAGCATTACTCTCTTTCTAAGAATCATGACTCTGAATCTGTCAAAATCGTTTAATTTAGCTCTGAGTGCTTTCTTAGCAACCTTCTTGGCGGCAATGGTTTAAGCGTATTGTGCGAATGGATCAGATTTTTTAATTGCCTTGGTAATGACACCAGTTCTGGCTCCTCTTGTTGCACCTTTAAGAATTGATTTTGGTAAGTGTCAATCTTCTGATTGGGATGACTTATCTCTAAACTCCAGTTGTTGGTCCATCAATGAGGACTCTCTTATCATTAAGGATTTCAACAATTGTTGCCAATTTGCCTTCTTAAGGACCATAATTGATTTTGACAACTCTTCCAACTTCAACAAACTTTCCAAGTACCTAGATAGAAAATGAATGCTATATATACCATCTTTAATAAAACAAATTTTTTTATTATTTAAAAATCCTTTTAATCTTTTTAAAAAGAGAATGTAAAAATATAAATTATATTATATATATATTAATATTCAATCAACAGCAGGGCTTTTGCTATTGATTTAATTGATTTTGAGCAGCATTTAATTATACATTAGCACTTTAACTGAAATTCATCTGTTGGTTCGCAAGTAATCCTTAGTCAATGATTTCTTAAATTAAAATTGTGAACAGTTTTTATAAATCTAATACGCTGCTCTACCTTGATTCCCGTACTTTCCTTAGCACAAGTTTGAATGCAAGAGAAAAAGTTATTTCTTTTTGCAAAAGCTTATAAATTCTGATACAAAAGAAGTCTGTTCATCATCACTCACCAAGTCGCACTTATTCTGAACCAACATGAATATAATATTATTTTAATCTCTATATTCTTCTACCATTCTCTTCTATTTTAGAGTTTCCTCCAAAGAATTAGGATCCTTAATGTAACAAACTATGAAACAACCTGCTTGTATTTATTTAAATTAACCACTGCCCCTCTTACATACGTTTTACTGAGAGTATTGTATTTTTCTTAATGAACATAATCCCATATTTCTAGTTGAACACACTACCCATTTGATTATGTCTAATTCCTCATATAATTTCTTCTATTAATATCTGTCTATTAGGTGATATTTATTAATAATAATGTTAAAAGTGCATGCTAAACTTGCCTACTCCTTTCTCTCCTACTACAATCATTTTAATAAAAGGTTCTCTTTACATATATATGAAATTTATTATAATTAATAATGGGAATTACAAAATCAAAATAATATTTACTCACAACCTATGAACTCTAGGAATTTGCTGATCAAGCCAATATCCAGTTAGAAGATGTGCAATGTTTATATAAAATATTTTAAAATCTCAGTAGTCTCATCAAAGATGATGGAGTTATTGATTTCAATGAATTCCATCGAGGATTTCAGAACAAGTAAAATCCATTATCTCCCTTATTATAAAGATCGCAAGAAACCACGAATCTCATTTTCACAAGAATCGATCTCAATAACGATAGAGTTCTGAATTTCAGGGAGTTTCTCTTTGGGTATGCCACATTCCTTAGTCAAAATAAAGCAGCTTAAATTAAATATCTCTTTAAGTTAATCGATAACAAAAACGAGAATGTAAAATTGATAATCATATTTAGGTAATTTCTAAAGACAAGATCATAGAGACACTTAATTGCTTATTACCTAATTTTCCGCAAATTCAACTCACTAGGGAAGAGGTTGAAGAACTTATTGCTTAGGAGTTAGATTTTATTTTTAATAAATCAATGCCCACATTCAAACAATTTAATGAAGACTTAATTGATGAAGTTCAAAAAGAAAAAGAAAAAGAAAAATAGAAAACCTTAGATTATCAATAATTTTACTTTTTCCTATCTGAAAATTCATATATTTTAGAATGGCTCAATCTTCCGAAGATATTTCTAAAATCAAATTGATCTTTAAGTATTTTCATATTATTCATCATTTTATATTGAACAATTTCAATCATGTACTTAAAATTCAAGTATAAATCATCCCATCCATTGTTCCTTTTGAATTATCAATGATGTCTTCTTAAAATCCCTCAGAATTTAAGGTAGAAATTCAATTGGATCACAGAACCAATTTCAAAAAGGAAGAATGATTCTGGTGATACTGAATTTTTGGGATCATATATTGGCTTGATTGTAGAGAATGAATATTTATAAATAAAATTATTAAATAGATATGTCTAGAGCAAATAAATAAGCCGAGTAAGCACCTGCTTAAAATAATAAATAGAAAGGCGCACCAGCAGCTAAACCTTAGAAGCCTAAGGAAAATTATTTGACTCCAGAGGAAATTAATGACTTGAGAGTAATAATATGGTAAAAGATTTTAAGGAAACTTTCGATTTGTTTGATGATGATAAGAGTGGCACAATAGATGCTCATGAAATAAAGAAAGTGCTTGAAGACTTAGGTGTTGATGCAAGAAATAAATTTGTGTATCAAATGGTGCAAGACTTAGAAAAGTAATCATCATCATATATCAATGCTAGTCATGGAGAGTCAATCAATTTTGATACTTTTGTTGATATTATTTCAAACAGATTAGGAAACAATAAAACAAGAGAAGGAGCATAGAAATTGTTCTAAATCTACGATCCTGAAGATACTGGGTTATTATTTTAATCATAAGATTAGTTTAATTGATTTCACAAATTTAAAACGTGTTGCCAAAGAACTAGGAGAAACTTTGAATGATGATGAATTGCATGAAATGATCCATCATATTCACATCCTCAGAAAAACAGAGAGTCCTGAATAAATCTCATTTGAAGAGTTTTATGAGATTATCACAGCTCCAAGAAGATATTGATAAACATAAATAATCCATATATCTATAAATATCAGTTGATTCAATCATCATATGGCACACATTTATCGAAAAATCTAGGAACATACTTATTCAAAACACCATTGAAACCCAAAGCACTTACTCGATCTCTCACATAATCTTCATACTCCTCTCTGTATTACTAAGGATTTCTTGATAAAACCCACATAAACAACATTTCAGGTTCACTCACGATAACCCATTGATATTTCTTATTAATAACTGGTCCCAATTCAATTATCCAATAATCTCCTCCTCCTGCTTATCCTCCATTTAAAAACACCTTCAATTTGGCTTTATGAGATAAATCTGGGATCCTAGCATATCCATCAATAGATTTTATTGGTCCATCACCAGCCCCATCTCTTTAAACATTATAAACACTGAGATCTCCACTGGCCAATGCACCGTATCTAGCTCTATTACAGAATCCATTTTTCTCGAATGTTGTATGAACCCAAGGACTACTAGCAACTTCAAACCAATCGCCAAGATATGATTCGACATCATAGTCGTCTACTACATCAATAGCTAAACTTAATGCTATGATTGCAAATATGAGAACTAATTTTTACATTTATTAATAGATAGAAAATTAGCAGAATATGAGTTTTAATTTCAAAAATAAGAATATTATTATTCTTAAAAATTGATGCTTATACATTTTATTCCATTAGTAATTATAATTGTTGATGAATCCTATCAACAATATTTTAAATTGAAATAATTAGATATTCTACTTAAGATTTTTTTATATTCACTCTCTTATTATTGTATTTGAAAGAATAAAATTATGAATAAAAATCATAGAAAATAGAATGAGGATTTTGATGGTAACGCAGATTTAGAATATTACATATCCTTTATTAATAAAATCTTCAATTTGAGATCAAATTATAATAAAAATTAATATATATGTATTTTTAGAATGCCCAAAAACTTTTAATGAAATTTCTTAATTTATATGTATTATTATGTCTAATAATCAATCATCGAACACCCTTTAAGACATTTTATACTGCATCAACAATTTATTCAGTTTTAGGGAATGCCATAGCCTCTAAATTAAAAGCATAAGGAGTTGGTATTTCTACACCAGTCACTCTTTATATTGGTGCATCCAAGTATTTGAATGCTCCTGCCTCCATAATTAATGCTGTAATTTCAGCTGAAATGCCAGACTGTGGCCATCCTTCTTCTACACACACTAGACGACCTGTCTTTTTAACGCTTTCAAGAATTGTTTCCCTATCTAATGGTCTCAAACTTCTTAAATTAACTACTTCGCAATTAATTCCTTCATTGGACAGTTACTCAGCTGCCTTGAGAGAGTATTAAACCATTTTTGAAAAGGCTACTATAGTAACATGATCTCCTGGTCTCATGATCTTGGCTTTTCCTATGGGTGCTAAATAATTAGGATCTCTGGCTTCAGCTGAGAGTTCAAAGGATTCACTATAGAGGATTTCATTCTCTAAGAATACTACAGGGTTTGGATTTCTCACAGCTGCTTTGAGAAGAGATTTGGCATCGTCACAATCATAGGGAGATAACACAACCAATCCAGGTACATTACTATACCATGAAGCAAAACATTAAGAATGTTAGGCTGCAACATAAGCTGTAGCACTAAAGACTTATAAATCTTTGATCTTACCCATTGATTCCTCGAAAGACTATTGAAGCCTTCTAATCACCAGCACTCATATAATGTGCTTTAGCTGCAGAGTTTATTATATGATCGATAGCTTGCATTGCAAAATTCCAAGTCATAAACTCAACGATAGGTTTCAATCCATAAAGGGCTGCTCCTACAGCTATGCCTGTAAATCCTGCCTCAGTAATTGGTGTGTCAATAACTCGATCTCCACCGTATTTTTAGAATAATCCTTTTGATACTTTGTAGGCACCCTAATATTGTCCCACTTCCTCTCCTGATTTATATTAATATTAAATCGTATACCAAGTAAAAACACATTTGGGTCATGAGCCAATTCTTCATCCATCGCTAGGTTGATAGCTTCTCTGACTGTCATTTTGATGGGGGTATATTAGGTTGAAGGATGAACATGGGTAAATTTAATACTTGGGTGATATGCATAGCGTAATTTCAATAAATGTTTATACATTAAATTTTATGTTTTTTAAATATATAGTATAACTATATGATTATACCTACAATTTTACTGATAAATGAAAAATTAAAGACAATTATTCCAAATCTCATTTGAATATTCTATTTATATGATGGTATACTTTAAAATAAGATTATTACGTATCCCTTATGCAAATCAGAATCAATAAGCCATTCTGCTTTATAAATACTCTTAAGGATCTAAAAATTTTATCGAATAGAATTATGAGATTAAAGCTATCACAATTTAGATGATTTATTAACAAATAAAGATTCTAAGAAAGCACATCAAAGAATTTATTCCAAAACCGATGTAGATCATTTGAATAACGAAATTCTTCATAAATGTTATTGATAAATTTGAAGTATTGGAGATTGAAACAAATGGCCTAGATCTGAGATTATGTTTAAATTAATATTATAATAAAATGTCAAATAAAAATAATTAATTTTATAAAAATTATATATAAAGCTTCCTTGAAAGTTTTACAGTGATGTAGTAGGAAGCATCATGCAAATGAGAGTGTCCAGATCGTCTGTATAATAATATATAAATAATTTAATTGTCTTTCTTAAATCTTGCGTCATAATCACTATTAATACCTCATACTTTATCACTCACATTTAGCTTTAATGGGTAAAAAAGTAATAATATAATGAGCTTTTAAACCACAGAAGAGAGACTAATGGATTCACCAAAAAGGACCGAAAGTACAGATATACACTCTGACAGTTAAAAAGTTAAGAAAGAATTGAATTCCTTTTTTTTAGGGGTTCAATAAACTTCTAAAGTATTCCAATTATTAATAGATTTAAGGTTACAAGGAAGTATATTGACACTAAAACACATGGGATATAGTTATATTACCAAGAATTCACTCCTTAGTTTATTGATGCTTAAGTAATAATTGTGCATGGATTTGGTGAACATTCAGGAAATTACAATCAAGTATTACACCTATATCTAATTTTAGTTGACTGATTCTTTTTTACTCAATAATTTTAAAGTTCATCTTTATGATTAAAGAGGTTTTGGATTTTCAGGTGGAATAAGAAGTAAATCTACTATAGAAGAGATGCATATGGATCTTGAAACCATTTTAGACTAAGTTGATAAATCAATACCATTGTTCATATTTTCTCACGCTTTGGGAGCAGCAATTGTAATCAGTTTTTGCTTGATGAATCCATAATTTGAAATACAAGGACTTATTTGCAGCAGTGCTCAATTTAGAGTACCACCAAGATATGGAAGAATAAAGATGATCACATTACAGATGATGGCTAAAGTATGTCCAGATTTATAGCTTAATACTTATCATAATTTATCCTTTGCATCCAAAAATAACCATCATATTAGAAAATTAGCAATAGATCCTTTAATTAGCCCCTTCATGAGCATCCAATTTGCTTTGAATGTGCTATAATTTTAATAATACATTTTACCTAATGCTAGTTAATTTAAAATTCCTATCTTAATATTACATGGTAAGCAAGATAAGATCTCTTCGCATCTAGACTCAGTAGATTTTTACATGTAAATTCAATCCTAAGAAAAAACAATGAAAATATTCGAATAGGGTTTTCATGAAATGCATAATGATTCTGAATGGCCAAAGATGAAGACAGTTATATCTTAATGGTGTTAAAAAATGATTAATAAAGATATCAAAATGAATTACTTGAAGGAGTACAATCGAGGTGTCATTGTCTAACAATATAGATCTAAAATCAGACTTTTAATTTCTATTCTTTTAATTGTAATAAGAAGGTAACATATAATTTATATTATTAGAAAACTTTCATGCTTGAAGGCCAGTACTAAAATAAGTTTAATAATATTTATGGAATTGTTGCTCAGATTATTCACACCTCAGTGATTTTGATATTATGTTTATACTAATTTATTGCGTAACCATTAATAGTATATTATATTTAATTTAAATTTGCATTAATAATCTAAAAATTTATATAAAAATTAAATAAATCTATGCCCCATAATGATCATTTGAAAAATTTGTACTTATAATCATATTAAATGGGAGTCAAGGGAATTAATTTGAAACTGAGAGTGATTATTCTTAATCAAAATTAATTAAAGTAATATCAATTTAACCGATATAAATTTTTAAGAGTTGTAAATCATAAGGATTAAAGCTACAGGGTTCTTCCAACACATCTTTTTAGAAAATACATTGAGATATCTTTAACACCTCAATATTTATATCGAAACTTAATAAATCCTTTCTTTTATGATATCTATTTATCTTTTAATTGAGAAACCAATGACATTTTGGGCTCGATAAAAATTAATTAGGTGCCATTAAAAAAACTGTTAATTTTTCATCATTTTTTAGTATTAAGAATACAATAACGGAATTCTTTAAATAAGAAGGATATAAAAATCATATTATTATAGAAGGAACGTCCAAAGAACTTTAAATCTTATTGTTCTTATTAAAACTAAATAATATTTAATAATTTATACTAAAAATTAGAAATTCTATTATAAGTTGAAAAAACATATTAATAAGTTAGTTGAGTAAAACAACCATTGGTTTACAAATATGAAAATTGAGCCATTAAGATTGTAAAAAATAATAAATTTATAAAAATTAGAAATTTTAGTCATGAAAAACAATCAAGAAATACATCACTTTCTTCATTCGGCTCCTTTAATATTAATAAAATTAATTTACTTCTTAGAAGACATATATATTAGTCTCGCTAATAAATGAAAAATGTTTGCTTATAATTTCATTCACAAAAATTTGTTCCTCCTTAAAATAACAACAAATCATACATTATCGTTTCCAATCCATTTTTATCCTTTCCATACAAAAATTTGTAAGGCTAAGTTATTAGTTTCTTTTAATAATATAACTAATTAAGATTAATCTAAATCTTCTAAATCAAAAATGTGTAAATATTGATCAGAATTAGGATAGAGATAGAAAACAGTCTTTTCAATCTGAGCTTCTTCTGTTCTATCAGAGCTGTATAATAATTAATTTTCTTCTTTTTCTTTATTGAATTCATCTTCTTCAACTTCATTATACCATTCATCCCATTATCTGATTTTTCTACAAACAGACACTTGCTTACCAACAATCCCCCATAAATTCCAAAATGCTTATGCTTCATCATTAGCTTTGATCAATGTAGGTTGAACCTAAGGTGCTTTTTCATATTATATTAAATAATTCGAGTAATCTATTGCAAATTAGATAAACCTAGATATAAAATATATATTGTACTTTTCTTATTACTTACATTCTGGACCTACCCAGACAAAAAGTTCATGTTCTGATTATATCAAAAATACTCCTCTACTATCGAAAGTCTTTTCCAATTTTTCTGAAAATAACTATTCCATCAACATTCTACAAACTATACTTTAATGTCCACTAACACCTCTCCCAACTGCAAAAACCCTTGGAGATATTGGGATGCTATCGTATTAAGCTAATAATCTTTTTTAGAACAATAATAATTGGACTGTAAATCCCATATTAGGTGATGCTACTCCTCTATTTTTCTTGATTATATCAAATGCTTATGAATATGTAATTTATTATGATATTATTAGATAGGCTATGCATAAGGAGACAGATCTCGAAACTCCTTAAACGCAGTGAATTAAAACCTTTCCGTTGTTTTTCTTTGCATTTTCGATTATAGCAATAGCTTCATAAAATATGCATTCTATGTTCTCAGTTTTAGAGTCTTTTAAATAGTATGTTTAATATTAGAAGTCATCTTGGAATTTATTCTTACAAACATCTCCTGCACAATTAATCACATGAGTGACTCCTATCTATTTTAAAATTTCTCGATTATAGGCAATTTACTCTCCTCCTACAAACAAAAAATCTGGAATAACTGAAGAACATTATTCAGAAAAATATTATATCTTTAATTTCTTCCTATCTGTGTCTCTTATATCAAAATTATATCCATTTGAGTCTTCCTGTTCAATATCCTTATATGTTGTGATATCTCTTTGGAATTTTAAATTATCTAGATGCAATTTCATGGGAATAGCTTTTTCATTTTCTGAATTCTCAACTACTTCAACCAAAGGAAGCCAAATGTTTAATTCTTTTGAATTTTTCTTGCAATTTAAATTCAGTTTTGGTATATTAAAACTCGGCACTTTATTTCTTGATTAATCATGTAAATTTATTTAAACTGAATTGCCAAGTAGTTATGCTGAATTAGTGTTCTCATCATCTTTATTTTCTTTAGAAATACTAGAATGTGTATTAAAACTTTATAGAGAAGGAGAAATAGAATCTTAAATTTCATTTGAATCACATCTTAATTTTGTTTGATCATAAACGATCATTAAATCCTTAGGTTAAGCTTCATTGCAAAATTATTTTAGCTATAATTTCTATTTTTCAACTGATACTTCTTCTACTTTGGACGAAAGATATTAAGGCAAATCCATTTAAATAAATTATTAAGCGTAATCTTAAGGCAACTCTTACTTCTATGCAATTAAACCAGCTAATTTTGAAAATTCTTTCTTTTTATCAGGAATTGGATACAAAAAATTTAATAAGTATATTGTTTATCGTATTTAATTTTAACTTATTATATTTGGGGCTTAAGTTTAAGCTCCGCTTTACAATGTTATGATTTAGCCTTTTGATAAATTCTTATTTTTTATTGTACATCCATTGAAGAGAATCTCCAATAAAGGGTCTCTTCCATTGTTTAATAATTACTCTAATTCAAATGCATGTGATAATGCTTATGCTTTAATTAAAGGATTCGCGGTTTTTCCATTCCAAACAAAGATCATATACTCAAAAATGTTGGAAGTTGATGGGTTTAGTTGTCTTTAAGGCAATAAAAAAGATTCAAGGTAGCTTTCAGATAATGCTACTGGACCTTCCAATCCTCTAGGAGTTAAATTTGAGTGGGACTCTACTATTCCCCACATCTAATGGGGAAAGTTCGTAAATTAATTAAGCTCTACGTCTTATTTATAACAGTTTACCTTCATGAACCTTTTTGTAAACTAACAATACTAGATAACATTCATTTGATAGAAAATTAAATCCATTTGTCTATATTTAGTTTAGATTGATTGGTTCAGATTTTACCTTCTTATTAAAGAGTTTGTCTTCATAAAATTTCCAAATCTGTCATTTTTGAAATAATTATACTTTCAAGTGCTAAGTTATAGAGTTCGGAATGTTGTTATCGAATTTAACCTTCTCTATTAATTTAATATTTAATTCTAAAATGTCTTCTAAATTTGAAACATGTTTTTCAATACTCAATTTAGGTCCCATTGTTTATATAATTATTAATCATTATTTTTTTATGGTATAAAATAATTTATATAATATTTCATATCTTATGTTTGGCTAAAAATATTATTATCATAAACTATGATTTATTATAATGGATGATCATTTAATAGACCATTTATTAAGAATTTGTTAAATTTTTATTATATCTAAGATTAACAATTTTCAGATTATAAATATTATTATTATCATTAGGAGATATACAGACAGCAGAATTAACCTAAGGATTAATAGAATGAACTAAAATATTTTAGCTTATAGAATTGAGTTATTCTGTTACTCTTATTTTTATATTAATATTTGAATTCCTTAAGTATATTATATTTGATATTAATAAATAATGATGATGTGGAATTAAATTAAATTTCTTAACCAGAAATCTTGTAACACATCACTTTTAAGGAATTAATTAATGAGTTGATTTTCTAATTAAAGTATATGTTTAATCACCAATTATTTCATATTATTGATATTATTTATACTTTATATAATAAAGAAAAAAAATAATATTAATGATTACAATTTTAAAGAATACATTAATAATTTATTTAGGTCTTCTTGGCCTAAGTATGATCAGCATTTTGTTTGTTTGTTTAGATTCTGAATATGAAAGTCAATGTCCATTGATTGCAATAAAAATTTTGAGAAGCTTGACTGTAATACCAATTGTGAATGAAGTGAAGATGATTATAATTCCATTAATCAGAGAATTACCTCCAAATTTGGTTCGACCATTAATATTGAGTTCATTGATGATGGCTGTTGCTTTCCTCATCTCGATGATTTATAGTACTCTGTAATTTGTTGTTTTAATTTTATAGTAAGATTACGTATAGTTTAATAATGAACTTATTTTACATCATATTAGTAGTTCTTATCATATCGGTATGCCTTGGTATTTCAATGAATTCCATACCTGTACAACAAAATTTTTAATAGTACTTTGAGTACATCAAATTATTATACTAATGAATTATAAAATCAATTATTTCTCTATATTTTTTATTAAATACTATAAAAATTATTTTTGAAACTTATCAAAGCAGAGGTGATCTATTCTTTTTATAATTTAGTTTATATCCTCAAAATTTTGGGGTAATCATAAATTAACTTCATTAATAAAACTTCTTGCTAAAACATGATGAGACTAAAAAGGATTTTAAATAAAAATTTAGATGCCACCTGAAAATTAATATAACATAAACAAGTGGGAGTTTAATTTAATAGATATGAGATATTATTGAAATTATATTATGAGAAATCTAATTGCGCTTAATATGCAGTTAAAATATAATTGAATAAAAATGAAATGTAAATTGGAACTATTAAGAAACATCCTCCATACTAATGGAATAGATGATATTAAACACAAAAAAGCATTTAAATCAATTTTATGAATTCTTAGCAATTGTTTTGGATTTTTGTTTAACTTCAAATTGAAATGCAGCATCCCATTCTTAGTCTATAGAAATACTTTTTCATTTTATAATACTTTTTAATATAATAGATGGTTTAAATCATATTAATTTCTCCAAAGTATAAATAGAAAATTGAAAAATGAATTTTGTTTTTATGAAACCACTATTATATAATATTATTAAATATTATGAACGTGTGAGTATAATTGCAATTATTGAATGAATTTTATCATCTATATTTGTCATCCAAGTTCATGTAATTAATTTATTAACCATTCTACCTATTTGAATTGTTCTAAATTTGGAGCAAAATTAAAATATATAGTTATGACTTATTCTATAATATTCTAGTATTGCCAAAATTATCATTCTATTAGGGAAGATGTAAAAAATTAATTTAACAAAACGAGAGGTTTCTTTTTTGATAAATATGCGTACCATTTTTCTTTTGATAATTAATCATGAATACTCTATAAATACTTGTTGTATTTTAATCACTTTTATAGAAATCTAAATACTTCTTATAATCCAATATATAAATAAAATTATATGAGAAGAGTCGAGAGATTTGAAAATGCTGTGCTCAAATTTATTGAGATAAATCCTGAAGAGCAATCCACAAAAAGAAGGTTCCACTCTTAATTGCCCTCACTCTAATTAAGTCGTGTTACAGTTGGAATGACAGACACAGAAGAAAGCCCTTACGTCTTTAAATAATTTGGATAACGTAATCAAAAAAATAAAACTCCAATTCCCTTCTTTAAACCTTTCAATATAAATACTGATTATACCCAACGGATAAAGACTAAAATTTTACTTCGAAAATTTTAAGCCCTAAAAAAGATAGGAAATTCTTCATTTAGATGAGAATGTATATTTAAAATTACTATTAAATTAAATAAAAATTAATTGTTTTCATACCTTGTTTGCTCCTGCCTTAGGGAGAGGACTATTAGTCTTAATTTTTTATTTTCATGAAGCCTTTCCCCATAAAAACTTGATTACTATAAGGCAACGCCTAAAGCAAATAATAATAATTGTATCTAAGAATATGGAAAATAAATTTCAGACGCATCAATAGAAAATAAAAATCTTAAATCTCATTATTTCCTAGTTCTCTATATGAAATATTATTAATTCGAAAATATTGAATAACCAAAGGCCTATTTATTTCAAAATAAATACAAATATTGAATTCTTTCAAAAGCAAATGACTTATAAATTTAAAAAGTTTCTTTAATAAAAGATCTATATTAAGCATCTATAAATTTGTCTGCGTTAAATAAATCAACCAAATCATATATTACTATGGTTCACTTATTTTTTACTACAAAATCTATTAAAATAAACATGAACTGATAAAGTTTCTTTCAAATAATAGTCTGAGGAGTTTGATCATATCTCGAAAAACAAAATGCAATTATTCTAGTATTGATCTTCTAGGAGTATTTCTGCTGTTATTAATTTTTTTTTCTAAAATTTTATTCAGAACACTATCCGTTTCTGTGTCTAAAAAAAATAAAGGACGCAAACAATTTCATTATTAAAAATGGTTTAAGTCAAGTTCATAGTCTTGTTAATCTGTGCATTGACAGTGACCTAAGGTATCTCTTAATTTTATGTCAAGCTTTTGAAGCTGAGGGCACACTCTTGTCAATGTCATTAAATGAGATTAGCAACCTCAATTTAGGGGATGTTAATTGTGAAAACACATCTTAGCAATAGTTTGTGTAGTTGGAACAAAATCTCGAGTCATGGGCCGACATCATTGATCATAAGGATGACATTTAAAAAGATATCAACACTTTGAAATAATTGGAAGTCATCTTGCTTTAAGTCAAAAAATAAACATAAAAGAAATGTATTTTAGTTTATTTTATTTCTAGAGATTGCTCCATAACAATTGAAATAAATAAATTAAGTTGTGACTAAAAAAATTAGGTCTTTAGTTCTTCCATAAACAGCTAGCAAAATTGGACAAGCACACTGCGATGAAATTGAAAGACAATTAGAGAGATTAAGTAGTGATAATGAATCAGAAAGAAGTGAATGTTGTGATGCACTTTTGAAATTGGCTACTTTCCTAATTAGATAACTATCTAGCATTAATTAATAATGCCATCAAAATCCAGTCACTGTCATTAAAATCAAAGGATAAATCAAAGAATTACATATCATCTAAGGAGGATGTGGAGGAGGACAAACTATTGACATTCCTATGGGAGGATCTGATGAAAAATGCGATAAACCAGAAACACCAACAAAACCTGCAGATCCAACTACTCCAGATACCCCAACAGATGAACCAGTTCCAGATCCTGGAAAAGAAGAGGAGACTCCAGCAGAAGAGACTGAGACTGAAACTGAAGAAACTACAACAACACCAGCTGAAGAGGAACTTCACGAACCAGCTGAAGAAGAAGAATCATTTGAAGGTGGTGAAAAAAATAATACTACTCCTGTGGATCTACCAGAGGCTGGAGAGGAAGGGGAATTCTGGCCAGAGGAAGAATTTAACCCTGAGGATGGACCATAACCTGAAGATGAAGGGGTTCCAGAAGATAAACCAAAAGATGGACCAAAAAGTAGACCACACAGTAAACCAAGAAGTCGACCAAGTAAACCTGCAGCACCTTAAGCTGGAGAAGAAGAAGAATGGTTACCTGAAGAGGAAGAAGACACTCCAGTTGAAGGAGATACTCCAGCTGAAGGAGATAAGCCAGGTCGTAGATCAAGTAGACCAAGAAGTCGACCAAGTAAACCAAGAAGTCATCCAAAAAGTAAACATGCAACACCTTAAGGTGGAGAAGAAGAATGGCTACCTGAAGAGGAAGAAGACACTCCAATAGATGTCGATGTAGATACCCCAGAAGAAGGAACTCCCGGAGATAGACCACACAGTAAACCAAGTAAAGGAAGAAGTGGACCAAAATCAAATAGTAAAAGTGCAAGACCTTAAGCTGGAGAAGAGGAAGAATGGTTACCTGAAGAGGAAGAAGACACTCCAGCTGAAGGGGATAACCCAGGTGGTGGACCAAATGGACCAAGAAGTGGACCAAGTAAACCAAGAAGTCGACCAACTCGACCAAGTGGACCAAGAAGTCGACCAAGTAAACCAAGAAGTCATCCAAAAAGTTAACATGCAACACCTTAAGCTGGAGAAGAAGAAGAATGGCTACCTGAAGAGGAAGAAGACACTCCAATTGATGTCGATGTAGATACCCCAGAAGAAGGAACTCCCGGAGATAGACCACACAGTAAACCAAGTAAAGGAAGAAGTGGACCAAAATCAAATAGTAAAAGTGCAAGACCTTAAGCTGGAGAAGAAGAAGAATGGCTACCTGAGGAAGCTTGTGAGGAAGAAGGTGAAGAAGATGGCTGGGTACCAGGTGACATTCCAAAAGATAAAAATGGAACATCTACAATTCCTGATATACCTGAAGGTGAAGAAGATGTAGGTGAAGAAGGACGACAAGAAGATGTAGGTGAAGAAGGAGGGGAAGAAGATGTAGGTGAAGAAGGAGGGGAAACTCCAGCTGATTAGACTGAAGAAAGTCCAGATTAACCAGAAGAATAAGAAGAAAAGTAACGATTATTATAATGAAATTAGATGTTAAGAAACTGTTGAAATTACTGCAACCAATGCAGCTGATATTATGTGTGCTTTAGGATAATATTTGAGTTAATTGGCTCACGGAGGATCACCTTCTGATAGTCCAAATGCTAAGAAGGTTTGCTTCTGCTTGAAATATGAACCAGGTATATAAAATTTTAATTCTAGATAACGCTGATCCTTCATTGCTACAATTAACTTAAAAAGTAAGCAAGAAATAAAGAAAAAGATAAGATGGCATGTTGAAAGCATTAATTCCTAATAGGAGAATTTGAATATGAACAAACTTTTTTTATTTATTGATTTAAATAAAAAAAGTAAACTTGTCGATGTATTTTCAAAGTTCTTTAATAATTCTTTCTTAATTAATTAATATTTGATTGTAAATGATATGGAAATAGAAACTCAATACTCGTCAACCGTATCTTTGGTATCCAATTAGACCATATATCTAAATTTAACCTTGGTTTCGTCGTATACTATATATTCATTGTGTTATAAATAGTATTAGATTGGATTGCCATCCTTGTCTTTCTTTTTAGGATCTGGATAATCTATGCATTATCCAACAGGAACTTTGCAGCCATTTGATAGAATGACGGATTATTTGTAATCAGGTCCTCTTCTTCCACATCCCTTTACAGATTGATATTGTTCTAATGATATAAATATAGCTAAATACAAGGTAAGTTTTGAACATTATCTGCTTGGTAAAGCTCTTATGATTTACCAACTGCAACTTCACAAAGTAACATGTATCTATATCTTTGGATTTCTTCTTATTCATCTTTGACTACTTATTATTATCTATTCCAATGTCCGCCGCCGCTTTAGAATAGACCATTATAGGCATTGTAATGAAGTGACCAATCGTCTGTGTAACCAAAAGACTTTTAGAACATATCAGCAAAATAGATTCCTTTGCCAAACATTGATCCTGTATTGAGAGCCCAAGGTGGTGCAACTAATAATTATGTCTATAAATTTACCTTTGAGTCCTTAGGCTAATATACCCATAAAGTTTGAAATTTTTGAACCATGCCAAAGCAATAATCTATTATGTTGTTTATTATTTTCAAATCTTTCAGCTTCTCCTCTTCTCTCAATAGCAAAAATGTTAGATATTTTAGGAGTTGAGGATTGATTTATATATTAATCAATCAACTTAAATTCTGGATGTTCTCGATGGAGAGTAATTACTCTAACATTAAGTGCATTGAAGCAATAGGTGAGTGGATTTAAGGATTATTTCACCAAGTGAGCTCCCAAAAGAATCTTTGATGTGATTTCAAAATTGAGCAAAGTTTCAATTAGTAGTAGCTTTTGATTAATTCCTTCAATCGAATCCAGAGGAGGTAGAGGTTCTGTTCTTAACTCAACCATTGGGATTAGTTCATAAAACCGACTTGATTTATCGGCTATTTCAGATGATATATTAGATATCTTCTTAATATCCAAGTCTCCCTTCTATCTAAGTTATTTTAGTTCTTCAACGCTGTCAGTTAATTCATTAAGAATAGCTTTGCCAACTTCCAATTGTTTTCTATCAAGTCTTTCAATAGGCAAGAAGTCCATATCTACATGGAATTATTGTAAATCTTTCTAATATAATTTGACCTGAATGAACTACAAAATGAATCTTTTTATAGTATTATCCAACTTGCATGGTGGATAAGGAGAAGTCTTACTGAAATCGAAAGGACTTAATAAAGTTTTGTAATTCTTCATCTTTTTCACATTCATTAACTGATATTTACCAGGTCTTTTAACAAATTCTTCTTCCCCAGTTTTAATCTTTCTCCAATCATTGCCACCTGTTTTATTTTAAAAGATCTTATTAAATTCTTTGATTGCTTCTTCGGAATTTTCGAAAGGAGTTTATTAATGTTATCCTCCAGTTCCTATTCTGCCCCATCTAGTAAATAAGACATAAACATTTCGATTGATTTCATGCAAGACCTACATCTTATAAAACACATTTTCTGAATATTGCCCATTTCCAATATCAACTTTGGTCATCAATAAGGAGTATGGACCTATTTCCTTGTCTACTAAGACTTCAAGTTTTCCAGTTAGAACAGCATATTGATCAACTTAATTTTTAAAATCTTACTTTGAATCATCCAACTATTCTCCATTTAAGTCCAAAAACTTTTAGGCATCAGCCTCTACATCAATTTCCTCTTCCACCCATTAAGCTTATGAGATTACACTAGTTGGAAGTCTTGGTTATTTAGATTTAACATTCTTGACAGCTGAGAAATTCTTAAGAATTCCTGCCATAACACCAGAATCCTAATCAACAGCATAATCTAAAGCAGTTTTTCCATGGCTATCAATCAGATTCACATCAAAGATTTTTCCTAAGACTTCTAACATCTCTGTATTTTCATATGAACCAAATTCCAAAGGCTAAACAACATGATGAATAGGTGATCTTTTATTTTGATCTTAAATGTGGGCTTCTTTTTTAAATTTAGGATGATGTAGAATGAAATTAACTAATTTCATAGAGTTATTCTTAATTGCAAGAATTAAAGAGGTTTCTCCTTTTTCAGTTTTCTCATTAATATCACAACCTGCATCAGTAAATTTAGTGAGAAGGATTTCATCTTCTACGTGATATTCCTAGATTAAATATAATAAAGGAGTAAGTGAATAATCTTTCTTATTAACTTTAAATTTAGTATTTAAATTAACATTGCTGCTTGTCCATAATCCCATTTCCACAAAATCTGCAAAAACTTTATAGTTATTTTGCAATCTAATTGAGAAGGGAGTGTTTTTGTCAGAATTAAAAGCATTAGGATCTCCATTTCTATGCAAGAAATATTTAATCATTTAAAGGAAATCATTTTTACATGCATAATGTAATGGAGTATTCATTTGATTATCAGTCGATAGATTATCAACTCCCCTTCTGGATAATTCATCTGCAATTAGAATTGCCATATCTTATCCACAATTTCTCCCTTTGATTGCAAAAATGTGGAATAGATTTTAATGGTTTTGGTTATACTTTTGAACAACTGAATCCTCCTTAACTTTCAAGAGTAAGGTTCTAACTAATTTGAATTGATCTTCCATCATTGCATCTTCTATGGCTCTTTGAAGATCATATCCATCAGTGATCAATAAGTATGCAACACCTTGCCATCCTTATTTGATTGCTAATTTAAAATACGAATAAGTTCCAGCAGGGAATTTAGTTGGTTAAGACAATTAATTTAGTTAATTGCTCTATCCAAATGCACTTCTGGTTGCTACTTTTCCTTGAGGTTAAAGTCTATTACCAAAGAACATACCACCACTATTAAATGCGTTGTTATTAACATCATTTTCAACTGGATTTGATTCTCCTTCATCTTCTGTTTCTATTTCTTCTCCTTTATCTCTTCTTTCCTGTCTTTATCGCTTCTCTTCTTGCTTCACCTTTTCTCTATCAATCACAATTGCATCTCGATTAACGTTGGCCTTATTGTCGATAAGCATAGTGCAGAAATTAGAATGCCCACTTATGAAGGCTAGACCCAAGGGAGTGTTTCCATATTTATCAACATCGTCTACTACAGCATTCATTTTAATCATGTATCTGCCAGAAATTACACTACCTCTCAAAGCAGCATAATGCAAAGGAGACCTTTTATAAAAGTCTAAGCAATTTACAGAGCAATTTTTATCTGCTAAAATTGAGGAAACTGTTTCGAAAGGATCGATTTCAGAGAATTCGCTATGTTTGTTTATCTTTGTGAAAGCGTAGAATATAGGAGTTCTTTATAAAAAGTCAATCGCACTGGTATCAGCTCCATTCATAATCAAAAGGTGTTCCATCTCAAAACTTGCATCTGCTTAAGAATTAGAAGAATTGATAGCATGATGCAATGCTGTTCTTTTATACTTATCTTTGAAATTTGGATCAGCCTTAAATTTAGTCAAAAATAGTTCAACAATTTTAATATTATTGGCTTTAACCCACTTTTACAACGGAACTTCATTACTTTTGTTTAAGTTATCTATGGATCCTCCATTTTCTAACAAGGTTTCAATAAACCAGTTCAAATCCTCGTAGTATCGTGAGGCTAATATGCTAGTGGGAGTATTGAAATTTCCATCCCTAACTTTGATATCGATGTGATTTAGGACATACTTTAAGAATGTTTAACTAGTTTCTTATTCTCTGCCACAAATTGCAAACAAATTGCATGTTCCAACAAATAAGTGAATTGGGTGTATATCATTATGAGTAGCTACTTTAAATGAGATGTTGGAAATTCTTTATAATCCCTAAAGAAAAGAAACACTATGAAATGATTTAAACACAAAATGTGCTATGGTGTAGTTACCTTCACTTATGTAAGGATCCTCTTTAACATCTTGTTAAGTAGCATCTGGCTCTCTAAATTTCTTTCTTTTTATCACAACACTATTGGATTTTGCCCCCATATTAATTAGTTATTGGAACAATTTTAGGACAGTCTCTTATAATAAAAATGAGGCTTAGAGCGTTTCTTATTTTAACACATCCACTTATTCTTTGGTTAAATGAACAATAATTGGTTTACTGTTATAATAAAATGTTCTTTAATGGGCAACATTTTCACCAAATCCACTTGTTGTAGTTAATTATTATTATTATTATTAGAATTATTATTATTATTAAAATAAACCAAATGAGGCACCAAATTGATTACCAAATTAATTGCCAAATTAATTACCAAACTAAGATGGTTAAGCCGGAACACTTATACCTGGATAACTATTAGTTGCTGCAGGGGTTCGTGCTTTAGTTGGAATGAAAGCAGGATTTTTAAAGGCTCCCTACTTTTTTTTAAATGGAATTTCTTCTTCATCCTCTTCTTCACTTCCCTCCAAATCACTATGTTCTTCACCTTTACTCTCATCTCTTTCTTAATCAGCCTCTTCATCATGCTTCTTTTCTTCATCTATTTAATCTTTCTCTGGGGGTAATTCAGATACTTTCTATTCAAATAACTTAACTTATAACTGCTGAACCTTCTTAAGGTAAATCTTATCATGTTATTGTTCAGCCGACTTAGTGTATTCTGATATCAAATATAATAAAGGATTCCAGCCATTTTCATCATATTGATTGATGTAAGATTAATCAACTGTTTTAATAACATTCTCTAAAATAGTATTTCCTTTAGGATTTAAAAATAACTTGCACTCAATAAGTTTATGTAATATGTTTCTATCTTTGTTATCAATATAATCAAATTTTGGAGTAGCCAATTTCATAATTTATTCTGCTGTTACGAAATTCTAACTCATCAATGCTTGTATAAATGGGGTCTATCCATTGACATCTGGAACATTGACATCTGCACCAGCATTGATTAACAATTCAATCAACTCTCCTAATAGTTTTTCATAATTATTTTTAATATCTCTTTTCTCTGCTTTTGTCATCTCATTCCACTTTTAGTAGTATTGTTTAACATTCTTCCTAGATATCTACACAGCATAATGTAGAGGAGTTTTCTCCTATAAATCTGCTATTTTCACATCAGCACTTTTCTCAAGAATCAAATATTTCATATATTCAAAAGAATCGGCATTAAATCTGCTCAAACTTGAAGAAATTAATGTTCTTCCCTCGTCATCCTTGCAATTTACATCAGTACTTGGGTAATTCAAGAGAGTCTTAACTACACCCAAATGATTCTTCTATAGAGCAACAGACAATGGTGTCAATTTCCAAGAATTAGGCAAATTCTAGTCTGCTCCTGCTTTCATCAATTCTTCAATGCACTCAGGGAATCCATAAGCAGCAGCATAATGAAGAGGAGTATTTTTTGATGAATCAGGCATATTGAATTCTGCTCCATAATAAAGGAGAAGGGACAGAATCCTCACATTTCCATTACGAGCAGCCATGGCACAAGAAGTTCTTCCAAATTTGTCTTTGCTTATTACCTTAGCTCCTTATTCAATCAAGTACTTAACCAAATCGTAGTGTCCATATGCACTTGCAATCATTAATGGAGTCATTCTAAGTGCACCAGGTTAATTGATTAAAGCTCCATGTTATAAGAGTGCTTTGACTGTTTCCAAATGCCCTCCAAAACATGCTAAATGGAGCGCTGCATTTCCCTCCTTGTTCTTACCACCAATATTATTAGCAGCTAAAAGTTCTACATTATGGGTTCTTCCGTGTTAGGCAGCAAGCATAAGGGGAGTATTTTTTTATCTATCTCCTTCTCTGGCATCAATTCCATTCTCTAACAAATACTTTAAACAATCATTTGTTTATGAAACAGCAGCGTAATGAACTGGTTTTCTGTGAATTTCATCTAATATATTAAATTCTTATGAAATGTCAAGCAATTTTTGTAAACAACCATGGTTAGGATTGATGGCTGCACAATGAATAGGGGTTATCAAATACATTCCAATTGTCTTTTTGGTTGCAGATGCTTTTTTGATATTGCCAATACGACTAGCACTGGTATGATTTAAAACATCAACATGTACTTAATTATATCCATACATATGTCCTTTCTCCATAGCTTATTAAACCAAATAACCAGCAGTTCTCCAATTACCACATCTTACGGCCATTGCAATCAATTCGTAATAGGAGTGCTCATTTCCTAATTATGCAATCATTAAACCAAAGAGTTCAGGATCAGTTTCAATTTTCATTAATCTTTCAATCTAATAACGACCTAAATGATCCTCTTCATTTAAATCATAGACAAATGCATTGTTGCCTTCTCTTCCTCCTCTACTCATAGCAACTTTTCTGGTTCTAACTCCATAGGCATATTTGTCATTGTAACCTGTATTTACTTCTTTCAAGGAGCATCTTGGAGTAACTCCTAATTTGATTTTACCGATAGATTTAACAAATAACAAGAGCATTACTCTATCTTATCTTTAGAATATCAATTCCAAGGCATTAATTTCATTTTCAGGTCCCCATCTTGTAAATAGATTACTTATTTTCTAAGAATTGGCAAATATATCTTCTAGTAATTTTTTATTGCCTGTTCTGGCAGCTCTAATTAATTCTTTATTGTTCATAATAACACTAGTGTAATCATGGAATTTTGAGCTGGGTCCTTCAAATTGGTCACTAATATTTCTCAAATCTCTGTAATTAGGATTCACTTTTCCTCTTACAAATTTACTTGGTTAATTAGTTTAGGATTTGGATTTCCTAGTAGTACTGCCTTTACCTCCTTTCTTTCGTTTACTATCAACAGAAAAAGATTAGGATAGAGATTAGGACATGGATTATTCTTCTTCTTCATCTTCTTCTTCATCCTCTTCCTCTTATTGTGTTTATGCTCTTCCTCTTTTCCTAGTTTCTTTTAGAATAAGTGACGAATCTTAAACTTTTTAAGATTATTTTGGAGCAGGTGTATTTTTAACTTATTTTTTTTTAACTACATTTTTAACTTCTGGTTCTTCATCCTCTTCATCTTCTTAATCACTTTCTTGACTCTCTTCTTTCTTTTACTTTTTGCTGATTTTTTGTTTTTAATTTTAAACTACTTTTTAGTTTTAATTATTTTCTGCTTTGGTTTTAGTTTATTTTTAAACAGATCCTTTTTTCGATGGTTTGACTACTACTTCCTCCTCCTCTTCATCCTCATTCTCTTCGTCATCCTCTTAATCACTTTCTTCTACTTTTTATTACTTTTGTTTCTTGCCTTTCAAAACCTTTTTCTCAGGTTAAGCTTCCACTTGTTGCTTTTAACCCTTTTTGATTGTGAATTTTTTTGGGGGTTCTTCTTCCTCATCCTCGCTCTCAGAGCTGACTTATTTTTTTTATTGTTTTGTATTGGCGGGAACCTATTTCATACTTTTTGCTATTTCTTAGAGTGTGTCTTGAGGAAAAGTGAAAAAAGTAACAGCTGTCTTGCTTCTTGGATTTGGTTTTGTGGAATTTACTTCTACATCATCAACAACTTTACTACAATAAATGTTATATCATTACGTGCGCTCCTTTACAGGTAACAAAAGTTCTTCAGCCTCCTTATAGACTACTTTGCCATCCTTCAACTTCTCTTATTGCTCAAGTTTAACTACTCTTAATTGAGATCTATGATCATTGGTTTTCATATCTTCAACCACCTTATACAAAAGAGGCTTGCCTTTTTCGCTCTGTCCCAATATTTAATCTTTTTTGTATTGATATGCATATTGGGGTTCTGATTTCTACCCGCGAGTTTTCATTTTATTTATGTAAATGAATTTAAATTAAATTTGATAAAATTATGATACTTGTTTTGCTAAAAGCAATAATTAAATAAATAAATAAATAAATAAATTAAAACTTCAATTAATCTTTTCCAAACTTATACATTCTATCTAACTTCTCAATTCTCTCACATCCTCTTACACATTATCGAAGTTTGGATGATGATGTGCATACTCAAAATTAATTGGACTATAGTCCATCAATATCCTCCTCTAATGGAAAGGAGAAATGTCTTGCGAATGAATCCCTTCAAATTATTTTGAATCAAAAGAATCTAATCCTTAAATTAAACCAATTGATGGTTGAATTCTATGCGATGGTGTTCGATTTTAAATATTCATAAATGAATCGTTTCTTATTGAATCATTCTTAGTATTGTCATGTTCCTCTTTGATCGATTAAATAGTCTCCAAAGGCTAATAAATAGGAATTGGCTGAGGAATATTGGGCTATTCAGAAAACGAAGAATTCCCATCATCATCATCATCATCCGATTTCTCCTCCAACATGTGCACTCTCTTAATAAACGAATAAAATCTATTCTTCACTTAGTTTTCCTATGTTTAAATACATTAATACAGGTCTTCTATCCAACATCTTTGCAATCTCACTCCATTTTGGGCCATAAATTCGATACTATTCTAAAATTATTTTATCCTCCTAGGGAGTAAATTTTTAATGGTTGATCTCTGGATCCAAATTATTTAAAAACCTCTCTCTTATCTATTTACTTGATCTGCCTTCCATAAATCCTTCTATAACTTTCCAATTTCGACCATATTATTGAACAAACAGAATCACTCGCTTGTCCTCTTCATCACTCCACTGCTTACGTAATTTGGTCTATAAATATATAAACTTTAAAATCCAACCTTATTTGGATTTATACGCTTCCATCTTTGTTAACACTGACTTAGGTTCCTTCCAGGAATTTCCCCAGCAATTAAACCCCAATTAGCATTGTATTTAGAGTGTAATTCAATCAACAGTGCATCTTCATTTGGTTTCCAAAATTTTCCATACCTTCTTTCTGAAGAACTTGAATCTGAATCCTTGCTGTGTTTCCTAATTTGCTTGTTTACAGTAGGTGACCTAATCATGAGAATTATATTAATACTTGGAGTTTACCCTTTGTCTACTCATTTTTATTATTTATATAAATAACCCTCAACAAAAATGAATTTTGAATTAAATCTTAATATGTAACATTTCTCAGAATAATTATGAAAAATTAATCATATAAATTCGTCAATTTGGCAAGATTAACAAATTATACATCAAATATGTATAATTATATGTATATGCCAATCAATTTTATCTGATAAACACGTAATTAAGTTCCATACTTAGTTTTTGCACTCTAAAAATTTGTCAAAATATATTAAAGGAAGTCTAGGGTGTATAAAAATTGGTTGTTAAATTAGGAATAACAGAACAATGTCCAAATCATTTATTATCACCCAATAATTTCAGTAAGGAACATATGAACCAAGTGTAAACAATATTATAATGTGGTTCTATTGTGAATAACTGATTTTAGAATTTGTCTGAACAATATTTTTTATTTCAAGAAATCTTAAATAAATTGAATGAATTTATATAGCTAATCTAAGTTAATTATATTTGAGTGAATAACAAAAATGAATATAATAACAAGGAGAAATTGTACTCTTGTTTTCAAATAATCTGAATTACTAAAATACAATATAAAAATCATCAAAATCTTATAGCTTGTTCTTTTTTTCTCTAGGTTGCTCCATTTGTTAGGAAATTGAAGAGATTTTTACATGAACATCGAACGAATCGATCTTTTTTTTAAGAGGGTAAATCATCTTCAATTAATGAACTTTTATTTGAATCGGCTGTGACTGATCTCATAGTAGAATTTTAATTTTGAACTGCAAATCTCTCGAAAGTAGTCTTACCTAGAAAAATGTTATAGATCTAAGTCACAAGAAGAAGTGTGATTCCCAATGCAAAAATAATTTCGATTAAAATATTGATAGATAAGATTGCCCAAAATATTAAAGGTTCATCAAAGAATTCCAATTCATTCTAATTACCTACAAAACATTAGGATATCGTTCTGAATAGAGCATAAATAAGTGATGCTTCCAATGAAATTAAAAAGGAAATGAAAATCAAATGATTCTCTGCACCAACCTAGTGAATATATATATAAATATGTTACACAATTATTAATCCAAGGGCAGTGATGATCATAAATCAAAACACATCTTTGGCAAATGTCGCAATGCTTACTTCTTGGTAATTTTACAACGTTACAAATTGGACATATGTCTTGGTGATTAAAGGCTGTAATTAAAGTATAGAGTGGTTCTTGTCTTCTAATTTAATAGCCAGGATTAGAACAAACAATTAAAATAAAAAAAAGTAAAGTAATTCCAAAGAAAATGTAATCTGGGACTATTGGTGTGAAATCATCGACCATATAAAATAAATAAGATACCAAAAGAAAAATCATGAATCCACCAAATCTCATTAATTCTAACCTATTTTTCCTTACTCTCTTTAGACCCTATTTCAGATTAAAAAAAGAGATGAGGAAACCACGTTTTTTAGTAAGCAGATTGTATATGTTCTTAAAATCATTCTCCTCAGCCATATTAGCAGGAGTTTTATTCTCATATCCTTTTATTTTCTTATCAGCCCCATAAAATAACAATTTCTTAACTAATTTAGTATTTCCACTATGAACAGCCAAATGTAAAGGTGTGTATTGATGAGAATCTAGAGAGTTTAGTGGAAAATACGGTTTTTTTTATTCTATTAATGGTAGCAAGTAATTAGCAGAGTCCTCACAACCTTTAAGGCATGCCCAATGCAAGGCGGTGCCTCCATTTATATCAAAATCAACTAATTTAATTCCATTAGCAAGAGCAAATACAATGCTATTGGGTTGATTTCCTTATGCACCAACATGCATTATATTTAAACCTTATTAACTTGTAGCTTTTAAGTCGGCTCCTTTTAATTTTAAAAGATTCAAAATCTGTAGATTTCCTCGTTAAGCAGCAAAGTGCAGAGGAGTAAATTTATCAATAGCGACAGAATTGATAAATTTCTCCATATTTAATGGGTTGTTCTCTCTTCTTTCTTAATAGTTTATTATTATTTCACACATCTGATAACTATTATTGTAACAAGCATAATGTAGAACAGTATAACCTTCGAAATTCTAGATAACTGATAGATCAAGTGGTCTTGATCTTAACAAATCTGAAAATTGTTCCAAGTCATTTGAATAAGCCAAAAAAAGCAAACGGTTTTCTGGTGAACTATGATCTGTGGGTTATCGTATATAAGATCCAATCATTGAAATAGCTAGAATTAGGTTATCCTATTCAGCTTATTTTGTAGAGATGGATGAACTTTATTGCATAATTTATTAATATACTAAATATATGTCACTTCTTCTTGCCTTTTTTTCCTCCAGCAGCTTTATCGGCAGCACCACCAGCTGGGGCAGCAGCGGCGGCTTGAGCAGCTTTGAGAGCTTATTATTTTTTGATTGCTTCTAAGTTGGCTTTAATCTTAGATATAAAATTTAACAATTACTGTTGCCTCGTCCATTCTAAAGGTTTGATGACAAGTTCCACAATAATGTCTGTCGAAGTGTTTAGCCATGTACACACCTTAAGGACATTAAGGACATTATTTATGTGATCTTTAAACTACTCCTTTGTTGTCAACATTGTACAATTTAAGAGTAGCCAACTTAACCTTTCGGTGTCTGTGCTTCTTCTTCTTGGGCTTTGCGAAATTCTTCTTCTTCTTCTTCTTTTTCTTTCCTCCTTCAGCATCGACTGTGACATAATAGATTCTCTCTCCAGCCAAAATTGATGATGCACTCACTAATTCACCACATTAAACCAATTGAACATCACATGCCAATTCGGAGTTCAAAATATTCATTAATTAACTTGCAGTACTCTAGTCTGCTAAGTTGTATGTTTTCACCTCTCCATTAAGGTGACCCACCTAGATAATCATAATACTTTTAAAAAAAAAGATTTAATTTAAATCTCAAATTAACATAACCATGTTATATATTATTAATCTACACTACAAACCTATTTAGCTTCTTTTCATATTTCCTTTACAACATCCCAATTCCATTTGTTCTGTGTCTAATCTATATATAAACTCAAAACAGCAGTATGATAATTATCCAAAGTGCTCAAAATTTATTTTTACATTTCTTTATATATAATGAATCCATTTCATCTTAGAATTCTGAAATGTCCAATGATAACTTAATAACTAGGATGATTTTGTTTATAATATTGTGCGATTCTTCATTTTTTCATAAACCATCTAATTATTATAGGATTTATTTAGATTTAAAAAAATTGAAGGATTGTTGAGCCAATTATAGAACATCTATTTATTATGTTGCTAATTTTAAATAAAATATAATATCTCAAATGATACTGATTCAAACTTTGAATGGTTTAGAAATCAAGTTGAGAACATTTATAAAGATATTTTTATTTGAGAAGCAAAAAGGAACGATTTGATTAATCTTATTATGTTAATTCATTTTGGTATTTTTTCGATTGTCTAGGTAAGAGTCATCTCAAATCTCAAATGCCTCGTCTGATAGATTTATGTTCCAACAAAATGAGTCATGAAAAGCGAATTTGTACTCATTGAATAAGAGAGGAGAATACTAATCTTCGTTTATTTGATCATCTGAATATAATTGCATTTGAATCAAAGGTTCGATGGATTATTCAGGTTGAGTTTGACTCCTTTATGAGTTTCTTTCTTTATCATTCGTCAAATATTTTGGAACATGAGTTTTCTTAACTAGTTTCTTTTGAATTGGTATCAACTTCGTCTTTTATGTTAATTTTAAGGCATCTTGTTATTAGCGATAATTCTTTAGTAAAACAAAAGGCTCTGAAAGCATTATTATTATTTTAATAACTGTATATAAAAAAATGAAATAGGAAAAAGAAATGCCTTTTAATGGAGATTTTGAGGATAGTGAAGCAGACGATGACGAAGTATCATAGGAGTCAGAGAGCGAGGAAGAACAAATTTAAGTAAAAAAGAAGAAAAAGAAAGTTGTAAATTCTAGCAAGAAGTTAATAATGAATGTTTCAGGTATTTAGTATATCATTAAATAGACACTTAGTATCCTGTTGTTAAATTTGTTGGTAAGATGATTTACAAGTTTAAATTGTCTTATGTTCCTTATCTTGAAAACAATAATTGGGACTTTTGCTGGACTGATAATGCTGTACTACCTGAGACTCTCTCTAAAATGCAACGTAAAGTTCTAATTTATATGATTAGCTCATTAAAGAATTAATCATTTTCCAGGTATGTACTCTTTAGCAAGAAAAAATCACCTTGGTCGTAATCTCAATAAAATGCAAAAATAATATCCAGATGATTATGATTTCTACCCTAGAACTTGGATGCTTCCAAGTGAGTATGGAGATTTCAAAGCCTAGTTTCAAAAGGGGAAAGCAAAGACCTTTATTGTAAAACCAGAAGCTTCTTGTTAAGGAAAGGGTACTCAATAAAATAATAACTAAAAGGTATATTCTTGACTAGATCGATTGACTCAATTAATCCTCAAGAACATTATGTTGCTCAAAGATATATTCATAAACCGTTACTGATAGATGGATTAAAATTTGACTTAAGAATGTACGTAATGATTTGTGGTTGTGATCCTTTAAGAATATACTTATATAAGGAAGGTTTAGCTCGATTTGCCACTTAATTATATTCCTCCCCTCACTCAACGAATCTTGAAGACGCTTGTATGCATCTGACCAATTATGCTATTAATAAGGACAATCCTAATTTCATATTCAATGAGGACGAAAAGAAAATGGATGTAGGACACAAAAGAAGTATGACTAGTGTCTTTGATTTATTAAGAATTTAAGTATAATTAATAACTAGTTATATAGAAATAAAACGTAGACTAATTGTTGAGTGATATCAAAGATTTAATAATAAAAACGTTTTGTGCCGTTCAACCAATACTACAATAAAACTATACACAAGTAGAAAATTATGCAAACAATATGTGCTTTGAAATTCTTGGTTTCGATATTTTAATTGATAGCTCACTTAAACCATATTTATTGGAAGTCAATCACACTCCTAGTTTTACTACTGATACTCCATTGGATTCCTATATCAAAAAGAATCTGATCAGAGATGCTATCACATTAATGAATATCAATGTCAAAACAAAGAATGATATCATCTCATAAAAGAAGGATCAAATGCAAAAACGAGTTCTTACTGGAAAAAAGACTAAATTATCATACGAGGAGAAGAGAGTCCTCAAAATGTAGGCCTAAAAAGAGAGAGATGAATATGAGTCAAGAAACAAAGGAGATTTTGAATTGATATATCCGTGTGATAAATCATATGATGAATACTTACAACATGCTTAGAAATTGTATGAGGATTGGACTGGAGCAAGTACATCTCATTTTTATTCTCATTAGATATAAGACGGAACATGAAAAGGGATACGATTGCTGAGTTGCCTAAACCGCAATCTTGCACTTAAAAGCCAATTTTGAATTAGAAAAGCTAATTGTACAAGCATGTCTAAAGCAAAGTCAACACCAATTTATACCCTACCAAAACTACGAAGGCTGATCAAGAAGTCACTTAAGAAGAACCAGAGTAAATTCTATAGTAGGGACAAGAACCCATTTTATCTTAACCTCAACTGGAGCCTGATAATTTTGTGACCTATGAGGATTATCAACAATCAGAATCACTCAAAGATTTATACAATTTTGCTGAAAAGAGAATTCCAGAAATATAACTTATTGATTTAATTCAATTTAGAAGAGCAGAAAGCAAATAGGATAATTCTAGCTTTTAGATGATTTAGATGAGTCAATAAAATTCTCTATCAAATCTATCTCCATTAATGTAAATTAAATCCATTCAAGATTAAAAAAACGAGAAGAAGTTTTCTATCAGAAAATAAAACAAACAACTTAAATAGTTTGACTAAGAATAAGTAAATTATACAATTTAAATTAGTTATACTTTTAACCCTAACCACATTATCAACCTCCAATCTAATAACATTCAATTTCCTATTAATAATAAGTGTAGATACAAAATGGTTCATTTGTGAAACCAAAAGTTTTTAGCTTAAAACTATAACATCCTCCAAAGGGATATAAACTATAATCACTTCCAATTTTAATGTAATAAAATTATACAAAATAACGATATGAGTAAGGAGTATGAATTTCGTTTTTCTTAAATAATTATTATTTTATATTGTTTCTTTTCTACTCTAGCATTTCAATAATCTTTTTAACTATATTCTCTAAGTCTGTTTTTTTGTAAAATCAAACTATTAAGATGAATGCTATTTACATATTTTTATTAATAAATAGATCTATCACACATACTAAATACATTTGTTTTGACATATTCTTTTCTTCATTCAAAGTGAATTGTAAGCAGAGGTAATTTGTAAAAATTCAGTTTATAATTTTCATTTAATAATTATATTAGATACATAAGAAAATAACTAAAGGAATCAAACTTGAGACGATCTCCTATTAAATAAAATATCATTAATAAATGAGAATGATATATATAGATTTTGAGTTCAAAAAGCAGATAAAATATCAAGTGATTTTTCAATATTTAAATTTTAAATTAAACAAGAACTAATATATTATGTAATCTGGAAACAATATTTTTGTTTTCACTCAGCAAGACTTCTAAACATGTTTTGTTGTGAGTTTGAACCCTCCTCTGGGTCAAGGGCATGATGCGAGAGTCTACTTGGCCATGCATAAGAAAACAGGGGAAATGTTTGCTCTAAAAGTGCTAACTAATTTATCACAGGATCACATAATAAATCTCCAGGTTTAATTACAATTTATTTAGCGAACGAAATACAAATTCTTAAACGCATAGACCATACAGGAATAGTTTTGTTGAAAGGATACGCTTAAGATTACACTTGTGTTCTATTAGAGTATATGCCTAATGACACATTTTTGAAAATCTTGAGAAAGGGTCCCTTCCAGTTGTCATTTGCAAAGACTTTGGCAGCCTATCTTATAAAAGTGCTTGTTACACTTCATGCTGCATCGATAGCCCATTGTGACATAAAGCCTGAGAATATATTAATAGCTGCAGATTACAATTTGAAACTTTGTGATTTTGGCTTTGCTCGCATCTGTAATGAGCCGTAAAGACCTCCTGGAGGCACTCCTGGTTACACAGCACCTGAGTTGTATGTTAGTCCGTAAGTAAACCTATTTAAATGTGACATCTTCGCTTTGGGTGTAGTGTTATTTATCGTAGTCATGGGATTCCCTCCATTTCAAACAAACGACCCCAATGTAAAGGATGGCTGGTGGGGTTTAATCCAGAGTAAGCAATTCGAGCTTTTCTGGAGCAAATGCGAATCATTTAGACAATAGCAATTTCCTTAAGAGTTCAAGAACCTAATAATGGCTATGTTAGAATGCGATCCCGAGAAGAGAATATCGTTGCAGTAAGTATTGGAACATGAGTTTTTAATGAATGGAGCTCCAGAAGAGGAAGTGTTATAGGAAATTGAGAAGCGAGTGAAGGAATGATTGAAAATTAAGAAATAATATTCAAAATATACATAAATTTAAAATTAAAAAATGAGTTCATCCCTAAATTCTAATTAAAGAACTTCAACAATTTTATGTAATCCTGGAGACTTAGTCAGGAGTGATTAAGAGAAGGCGGGAAGTCTTTATGGAGGGGACATTCTGCGGGATGGTTAAATTTCATATGGTTTAAACAAATTTCACTACCGAAAAAGTGAGGTGAAAAAGAATATCATTATTATTAAAATAACATTATAATTATTTTATTATTATCCAGATGTAGAGGCTTCTGAAACCAATTAAGATATCGCAACCAGTCTTGTAAAGAATAGAAAGTGCAAGATCTGATTGTTCGGCTGATGAGGATCTTAGTTTTATAGAGACTTTAAGGGCCGACGCTCAAAACCCAATGATAAAAAACTTCTCACAGGAAGACTCTCTTGTAGATGACACAAAGGATTTGGAAGAATTCCTTAATTCTCTTGATTGAAATCAATGATTGAAGAGGAGAGCCACTTCATCCGGCAAACCTCTTTTTCGACTGATTATAATACATAAACTTTTAATCAAAAACACTCTCAAAATCTAATTAATCCGATGAAGCCATGTTTTATTTTACTTCATATTCTGGTTTATAATAATGACAATTTCCAAATTTTAACTGTCAACGTATTTCCATTATTTTTGAACTATGATTATTTCCAGATAATTCATATATTTTCAAAAAATAACCAACTGACTCATGTTCCTCTTTTGAGATGCCTTAATTCTCGGTCACCCCAAATAGAGATTCTCACAATTCTCTTTAAAATGAATGTTACGAGTTTTTCTAGCTATACGCGCATTCGTTTTTCCATTCTCAGCCATCCTTATAAATCAAGTGGAACAAGAAATAGTTACATCAACACATTAAATTGAGATTAAAAGAACTAAAAATTTAATCAGCGCATTTTTCAGTCTGAAAAAGTTAAACAATTTAAGTTAACAAGTAGTGTTTATATTGATATTTTTGGACTGAAATAAGCGATTTTAATTCTTGTTTATATATGTTAAATATATAGAGATTGATCATCTAATCAAATCCTCATGTTTCTTGTGAGTGCTTAGTTTTCAATTACTTAACACAGACTTACATTTGGATATAGAATAAATTTGAGAATCTGGGCATATAATTATATATAATTATTAATGAATAAAGATAAATATAAGAAGGTAAAAGGAGATCCAAATCGTTCTAGGTCAAGAGACAAAGAAAAGAACGAAGTGCTAAGGTTTCCTCCTATTAATCAAGAGCAATTTAGAGCAGTTGTTATTGAATTTATGCTGAGTGATTAATTTGATTACCCTATATCAGGTGGTGAATTATACACTTACATAAACACAATATTTTTAGTATTGCATTAATTCATTCAATTAAGACTAAAACAAGTACTCCATATCTGAGGAATCTCTAAATTGAACCCATTCTAATTTAATTATCGGAGGCAGGAGCAATCAATTTATCGAAACTCGCTGTAGGTACATATTTGCAGGATTTCATTTTATCTATCTCAAAAGAGAAATTGGGACAAATGAATATCTAATATTCAAAAGATAAACCAAAGCAAATGCCTACAGTCGAAGAATGGATTAAGGAGGAAATCAGATCAATTACAAGTGGATAAACATTTCTAAAAATTGATCACTTGTTGGATGAAGCTAGAAATTAAAAAACTAATGTTAGTTTATTGCCGAAGATTGCGGCTTAGAAAAAAAGATTGATTGAAAATGTAGGAAACATTAGTTTAAAATATGAAGATAATGTTGTTTAATTGGCTTTGGAAAGGAAAAGAGCAGCCTTATTGAAAACTGAAAATTACGATGAGGAAGAAGCAAAAAGAAAATTTACAGAAAGAGGACTTTAAATATGTGAGAATTTCACAAGAGACAAATGTAGAAATGTTTAATGTCAGAAAACCCATTTTAGAAAGATACTCAAAGCAAATACATAAACAAAATTAGGTAATTGTACATATCTGGATTAATGTCCTGAGTAAGAATAATGTAAATACATACATTACATTCTCGATGGAAATGATGTTGATTGGCAAAAAAGAATTTAGACAGCATTGTCTAATCATAAGAGTATGCCACCTCAATGGATTAATTGTGATTTGAGAATCTTTGATTTCAGAGTCCTTGGTAAATTTGATGTTATTATGGCTGATCCACCTTGGGACATCCATATGAATTTACCTTATGGAACTTTAAAAGACAAGGAAATGAAAGCACTTAGAGTAGATTTATTGCAGAATGATGGAATCATTTTCTTATGGGTCACAGGTAGAGCTATGGAGTTGGGAAGAGAGTGCTTAATTCTATGGGGTTACAGAAGAGTTGAAGAATTGGTTTGGATTAAAGTAAATCAATTACATCGTATTATCAGAACAGGAAGAACTGGACATTGGCTTAATCATAGCAAAGTAAATTATTATCTCATCTCATAGGAACACTGTTTGATTGGAATCAAAGGAAATCCTCAATTAATTAAAGGATTAGATTGTGATGTCATTGTCTCAGAAGTTAGAGAAACCTCCAGAAAACCTGATGAAGTTTATGGTATTATAAACAGAATGTGTCCAAATGGAAAAAAAGTAGAATTATTTGGAAGACCTCATAATTGTAGACCAAATTGGATCACTCTAGGTAATCAACTCCCAGGAGTCTATCTCAAAGATGATGGTATAAGATAGAGGTATTTGAGTTCATGAAATTATTTCGTAGATTCATGGAAGCCTATCCAAGTGTAGATATTTCAGATAACAATATGAATGATAATTTAGTGTAGATGTCAAATTAAGAAAACTTAAATGTAATTTATAATAATCATATTGGAAAAAAAGAATGAAGTATAAAATATTAAAATTAACAGACTTCTGGTGTTTTATTACTAAATTATCATAAACAATATAATCATCAATTAAATCCTAAAGTTCATCAGATCTCTATGACTTCATATTATTTCAATCTCTCTTCATAAACTTCAAATACTTCATTTTATATATATAATTCGTAATTCAACATATCTAAAAATTCCATCTCCAATTTATTTATCTCCTTTAATGACAAGCCTCCCACCTTTGCATAGTATTCATTCTTATAATATTCATCGTCATAATACTTTATTGCCACCATTATAGAAACTATCATAAATCAACACAATATTACAAGTTCATACCTATGTATGCAATTTGAATTAAGCACTACATCTTAGCGCATTTCCTACACTTTATCTAGATATATCAAAGCAAGAACAAAGCAAGCACTGTTGCAATTCGTATATTTTGCAATTCTCTGAATATAACTTTGAATTGAGATAGATGGGGCTCTCGAAGCGTGGAATACGGATACCTCTTACAAACTCAATTGATCTGTTTCCTTTAAAATTTCTTCCAAAATTTTAGCTATTGTGATAAGCAACTAATTTATGGGTTGCATTGAAAAAATTAGATATTTGTCGAATGATTTTATTTATTAATAAACATATTAAGATGGAGATTATTTGATGAGATTTCTATTTCGTTTGCATTGCTTTTAAATTTATATTATCAGATAATTGTTTATCGGAAATAACATGTTAGAAACCTCTAATATTTTTCATTCATTTAATAAATTTAAAACTTTTTGAATCAATTTGTATAATTAAATAAATCATCATTATCTAACCTCATTCATAATTAATATAACTCATAAGCATATCATAGACAGAAGGCTAATTGTTAATGCCTTATTGTTCCTAATTCTACTACATAAATCCTTAAGGAGCTATCTAGAATTAAGGAGCAAACATCGAACTCATAACCTGTTATTTATTAGTTTATGATTAGGACAAATCTTGTTAGAGAGATTAATTTTAATAATTGAATTATAATGGCTAATTTAACAATTGTTATTGTTGTTTTTATTGCTAATCTAATTTTATTTCTTATAATCTTAACTATTCCTATCTAATCTATTCTTATCTGATTTCTTCTTATCTAATTTATTCTTATCTTAGTTATTCCTATCTTAGTTATTCTTATCTTAATTATTCTTATCTAATTTATTCTTATTTAAGTTATTCCTATCTTAATTATTCTTATCTAATTTACTCTTATTTTAATTATTCTTATCTAAACTTTTCTTACTTTATTTGATCTTATCTAATTTATTCTTACTTAATTTATTCCTATCTAATCTATTCTTATCTTAGTTATTCTTATCTAATTTATTCCTACTTTATCTATTCTTATTTTAATTATTCTTGTCTTAATTGTTCTTATTATTATTATTACTTAAGCTAATCTTATTTAATTTTCTCTTGTGTCAGAGCCTCTTAATTTTAATTTAATTTTTATGCAGATCTATCTTGTTTAGATTGATCTCCAATAGATTATTAATTACTTTTTTCTGCATTTTCATTATTCCCATTTATTTTATATTATTCTTGTTATTTCTGGTGATGAACGGATTAATTTTAATTTTAAGTCTAATATATGACTGATTTAGGCACATATGGACAATCATCATCTTCTTAGTATTTTGGTACATAGATATATTTAGGTTAATACGTATTTTGAAATGGTGTATTGTTTTTTTAATTCCCTTATTAATTTCTGCGCCCTTCTGATTTGATGTTGTATCTGTCATTATCAAATTTTTCTTATTTCCTATTTTGATAGTTGAATTTTTTTGGAGAAATTTCTCTCTTTCGATCCCCTGAGGCATTTCTTCTTTAAGTTCTTTAATTATTTTCATATTAATGAGATTGTCTTTATTGAATATTTTCCGATTCTTGTTTATTAGTCACAGATTAGGATCTCTTTGGCCTCTGATTATTTTCACTTGATTTGGTCATCTTATGAAAGAGTGCTTTCCTTTTGCTAGTTATTTCAATCCAATCATCGTCACCATTGTCTTATTAATTTTGATTTTAGATTTAAATGCTAATGAATTCATTTGCAATCTCTCTATTGAAATCGAACTGCTTATAAATTTTGTACAAAGCAAATTTCTTTTTAATGGTAAATTGAATTTACTTAGAAACTAGGATATTATTGAGAGATTAATTTAATGTCCTGTTTGATTTCCTAACTCAATTTATTTTTGTTTTCCTAATATTCCGCTTCATATTTTTCCTTGATGGCCTTATTGCCTACTTTCAACTATTCTTCCTATTGCACTCTTTTCTTTTCGGCTTCCTTCTGTAGTCTCTCGGCAATATTCATTTTGTGATATGAGAAATAATTTAAATAATTTTTAGCTCATACGCAAAAAATTTTTAAATAATCAATCACATTAATCTAATCAGACCAATAAAAACCTCTATCCTTCATTATCCAACATGTGTACCCTTTTCCACTCTCTGAATTTATAAAAACCTTAAATCTAAACATATATACTAAAATCAAAAACAAGATTTGTTTAGTTTATACATCATATATAAAATTAAACAATAAATAACTAAATGTTAAAATATAAGCGTAATTTTGAAGTATTTATGTGTATATTTATATTTTTTGTAAAGTATTAATGGGTTGTTCTGCATCAAAGAAAGAGAAAGGACAAAAAGAATATTTAAAGGAATTAAGAAAAGAATACAGATCGAATAGTCTATATAAATGGAACTAAAGTATTACGTATCGGCGAAACTAAAGCCAAAATTCATTTATGAATGATCACTGATGCTATTTTTGTAATTATTACAAATATATTTATCCTTATGATTTCCATTACTGAAATAACTAATTTTAGCTTTGAGTCATGCACCATTGTACTTTAGGTGCTTTATTTCTAACCATTTGTTTGTCTGAATATATTTTCTTCTTTGTTATTAATTATTGAGATTCATCATATTCATAAAATTTCATGACCAGCACAAACTTATAGATCAATATAGAAGTGGGAAATAAAGAATATGGCTCATTATTACAATATTATTTTGATAATTAGTTGTCCTATGAGTCAAAAAGGATGATAATGATGTTTGATATAAGAATTAAAAATTTTTTTTAATTCAAGAGTTTTCTATCACAACTAAAAGACCTATATAAGAATTTTGAGTCTAAAAAATACAGCCAAATTGTAAGAACATATTTAAATTATTATTATTAACCTCCTTGCGTTAATCATAATTGTTAAGAATATTATTTGCTTTTAAAATTGATGATCAAGATTTTGTAAATCGATTCATGATATTCGTAAGAAATAGGATAATGAACTTAATGTTTTGTTAGATTATAATGAATTTTTCAACAATCTATCTTGTAATTACACAACTATTTTAATGTTGACATCTTATAATTCAAGGAATATATAAAATATTATTCAATGCGATTTACAAAAGGCCAAATGATTCTATCGAGCATTTTTCTTATGCATCTTTTGTTCGTTTAACTAAAATAGCGTTTTCTGAGACAAAACTATTAAGAGACTGCATTGTAATTAAAATTTGGTCTAAATTTTAATAGAATCAATGTAGTAATGAAGATTTCCTTTAAATTTTGCTCACAAATACTTTAAAATAGTATAAAATCTTATGAATGCTTATTTTATAATCATAGTAATAATATAATTCTGATATCTTTGCATAAATGAAATTTAATAATGGAATATACTTATAATTTGATTCTTATAAAATTTCCCAATTACCATATAGTTTATATCTAAATAATTTTTAATTTATGAATAGATTATCCTAATTGAGTGGACAATATGATGAAGAGTAGATGTTGCAGTAGTAGATAATTGAATTGGATAAGTAATCATCCATTATAATCTCATCAAATAGTTGGTTCAAGAGTCCGCGTTTCAATAATGTCCTGCGTCCATACACAGCTAAATAGGTTGCTGAAGTAAGAGGATAGATTGTGCCTAACCAATTCTCTGATTTCATGGCAAGGAAATTCTATAAACTCATGATGGATTTAAAAAAAAGCAAAGGGTATTCAATAATTATGATAATAGATTCTCACTTGCATGTGGAGCTCTAGATACTGTTTAGGTTATTAATATGTCGAAATACATGACATCAATATATGTATCAGGTTGGCAATGTTCTTCTTCAGCTTCTACAACGAATGACCCAGGACCTGATTTTGCTGATTATCCATATGACACTGTGCCTAAAAAATGTGATTAGTTAGTCAAAGTAATCATAAAATTGATGGTAGATGCAAAGATTTTAAGACAGAAGATAGTAATATGAAAGAAGCCTAATTACTGCTGAATAACGAAAATAAAAAAAACCTTATGATTATCTAGTTCCTGTCATTTGTGATGCAGATGCAGGATTTGGTGGTACAAGCAGTGTAATGAAATTGACAAAATTATTTATTGAATCTGGAGCTGCAGGGATTCATTTGGAGGATTAAAGACCTGATTTGAAGAAATGCGGCCATATGGCTGGAAGAGTTGTAACATCTACTAACACTCATGTCTAAAAGCTCATAGCCTGTAGACTTTAAGCTGATATCATGGGAAATGAATTATTTATTATTGCAAGAACTGATGCCTTAGGTGCACGATTCATAGAAACAAATGTAGATTTGATTGATTAACCATACATTCTTGGAGTAACAAAGTTTCATGATAGACCTTGCACTTATCCAGAAGCAGGAGTTTTTATAATCGAACAAATGATCGATAAAGATAAGAGAATATAAGCCACTAATTAATGGTTGAACCAATGTGAAATTGGAGGAATCAAAAAAGCTAAGGACTTAGCAAAGAGATTAGGATTTGAACTTGAATTCGATTGGGAGTAATGTAGAAATCCTGATGGGTTCTATGCTCTTAAGAGTAGTGTTCATTATTGTGCAATAAGAGCTAAAGTATATTATAATTATCTATAATAGGAATATTTAAAATACGCAGATGCTTTGTGGATGGAAACCTCAACACCTGATTTGAAAGTTGCCAAGGAACTCTCTGATGAATTACAATTTGAACTTTAGCATAATAAGGTCCTTTGCTATAATTGTTCTCCAAGTTTTAATTGGAGTAAATTCGGATTCTCAGACAGTGAACTCAAAAACTTTAATTCTGAATTAGGGAAGTTAGGGTATACTTGGCAAGTATTGATATTCAATGCTATTTATTTAGTTTATTACATTGGCAGGATTTCATTTAAATGCATTACAAAGTGAAAGATTCTCTAAAGATTTATCCGAGAGATATATGCTGGCCTATGTTGAGGATATTTAAAGAAAGGAAGAGAAACATAATGTTGATTAATTGAGACATCAAAAGTAATCTTAATTATATGCTCATTTAGATGGTCTGGAGCTGAAATAATAGATCATGTTATGACTATTGTTAATCAAAGTACATTGATATCTTCAGGCGAAGACTCAACTGAACATTAATTCGACAACAAATGATTATGTGTTAAATATCAATATATATATTCATATCTATGTATCAAAATAGAAAACAAGCTACATATTCATCAGATCTTTAGGCTTTATTCTTTTCAAAATTCTACAAGCAATCTTTCAAAATTTAATCCAACTCGCTCTTACTTGTGATTGAACCCCAAGCTGTTGTTTGTGTTTGTTTAGCTTCTAAACTAGCATTATCATTCAACTTGAAATCCTGAATTCTTGGAGATGAAGGTTGTGAATAATCCATTTTCTATTTCACAGTCAATCGTGAATCCTATAACTAATCTTTTCCGAGTTTTGGCGTTTCGGCATTCAACTATTTATCTTATTCCTTTCTTTTGCATTCCAAAACTCTTGTTGTAAAAACAACATATGACTTCTTGGTTCTCAAATCTCCTGATGTATTGCATCTATGCTCGTTTTTTGTGGTTTCATGTTCTGTAAAGGAAAATGCTCTCTTTTTAATTATTTACTTATTTCCTTACTAGTTTTGGTGTTATTGATCTTCTTGTCTTGGAGACTATTCAAAGGAGCTGAAGATATGTGAATATTTATTTTCACTCACACTCTGAAAGTTTTCTAATGGAGCCATCCTAAAAACGGGATTCTAACTATTGTAAATACATTGTAATAATACAATTTTGTATTATCAATGTTATGAATTACATACGATTGCGATGAATCGATTCTGGCACTCCCATTTGAAATCGACTTTGATTCTTTTGTATTTATAACATAGTTTCCAATTTATAGCATTTTACTAGTTATATTGTAATCGATTATAAATATATTATAATCGCCTTTTATTTAGTTGATTAGAATAAATTCAATAATTAATCATATATTTTTTAATTTAATGTTATGGAAATCAGGTAAAAATTTCCTAAAATACACTTATCAATCTCTAAATCTACGCACTTTGTTTAGAATTCTCTAGACCTACAAAGATAATCATTTTTTGATTCGGCATCAATTCAAATTTTATGATTCCCTCTAAATTGTAAAATTACAATTAAAACTGAGCAAAATATTTAATTTCATCCAAACCTTGGGCATAACTATCTAACTTTTCTGGATTTGTGATAGAAAAACATTCATTTAACCTAGTGATATCTAGATGATTAGACAATATTAATGTATTGTATTCAAACACTTCCGATCTGTATATCTTGGCAGTCTTCCACTTTCTTTGATATCCAATTTTACTAATTTTGCGGTATTGAATCAAACTTAGAATTTGTAAAGGCAATAAAACTTATTAGATCTTATTACTAAATTATAAATATCATATATTATTACTTATAATTGACTTCCAATATTGGCACTTCAGAGATTTCTGATTGTTGTAATTTAATACTTACTTCCAAGAGCAATTGTTGTTTTCTCTATAAATTTTATTAAATTTCTTGCTGTGATGTCCATAAGGTTTCAAAGTTCATCAAGTTTTTCATATATGCCTTTAAATTCAAACTCTGTACGTCTGTTTTGAAATATATACCATAATTAATATAAAACTGAGACCCGACTTTTTGTATTTATTTTATGACTGCGATTTTAAGTTCTGAATTATCAACAAAAATAGTATTATTGACTCTATTCAAATGGTACATTTTGTATAATTGCAAATTTTATTGATTAATAATCATACTAGGTATGGTCCTTTTGCATTATAAAACAATCCCTTTATGGGGACGAATCTTCTTCTAATAGTATTCTTCTGCTGTAAGATATGGGTATATCATTTCATTTTGCACTGGCACCTTAATCTATTAGGTTCTTATGAATAAATTCTTAACATTGTCAACAAACTCAATCTGTAAATTTTAAAAGTTTAGATAGCCAGAATAGGGAACATTAGATTAAGGTCTCTCTAGTTTATTTTGGTTTGCTGTATTAACAACTTAAGAATAATTTTATTTGCTTGAAATTGACTAAGGGGACTAGACTTACACATACTCAAAACCACTCTCTTTGATCTTCGACAAATCAAGTTTATTATTAAGTAATGGTTATTGAGGTTCAATTTAAATCTGTTCAGTCTTTTATTATGTTTTCTCGAATTATAAATGTTGATTTAATTCTTAGACCTTGTTCTTAAGGAATTAAGTTTCATTTCTCAGGTTCTCATTCTCACTAAATTAGATTTTTAACTTCTATTCAAGGAGATTCAGTTTCTCTTTATATGAATTTTCTTCAATCTTCTTCGATGTTTCTAATGATAAATATTATTGTTTATAATTTTGGATTTCTGCTTAATGTTTCTATTAGATTTAAATGTTCAATGCAGTATTCTAAACATTTTATTCAGCTTTTGATTATTCTAATTCTAGTTATTTAGCTTTCAACTCCTACTCTAAGATTTTAATTTGTTCACTTTTATGACTAACATCTTGTATTAAATTTGCAGATCTAGACTTCTCATTTTCTAATCTTTTCTAAAGATCAGAAATTTCCCTACTTGGAGTTTTGTCGAGATTATGATTATCAAGATAAGGAGAGAATTTCATCTACTCTTGTAGTTATCTAATCTCTTATTTATGACTTTCCTCCAATTATTGTAATCTTTAGTTCCCTTGATTTTTCTCCGTATTCAGTTATTACTTTAGATTTTTTATTTCGTCTTTATAAAATTCATTTTCCTCCTTTAATTCTGCTATGTGAATTCTCATTTTATCTATATCATTCCTATCTTTTTCCTTTTAACTCTACATTTATTCATTTTATAATTTCAATGCCTTTATTTAATCAGTCAATGTAGTATTGATTCTTTTGACATCATCTGATGATGATTAAGATGAATTATTTTTCTGCTTTTGACTGTCTATATACTGCTACTCAATTTCTTTGTATCTATTCTCCTTTTTTTTGAACTCCTACACTTGATTATCCAACATGTTCCTAATCTAATTTGACTCTTGTATTTGCTTTTTCAGACTTGATACCTCCTACTAATGTTCCTATTGGATCCTTAATTTTTCTCTCTCGTGTTGCTCTGTTATACCACTTAACTGGATTTGAAAATCATGCATAATTTACTCAGGATTATACTGCAAACCAAGACTGTCAATGTTGGTATTTGGAGCAAACTTCTTATCAACTTTACCGAATTGCATTGATGACTAAGAATTCTCAGTCTCTTCATAGATAGATTGCAAATGGCCTTTCTGTTATCTGGGAGCTTATTGTTTGTATACCTCGAATTTATTTTTGTATTGTTGTGGAGTCAACTCCTCCTTTTATAGCTTTTGATAGTATTAATAGAGAATCTTTATCTCATCCTAAACATTCAACAGTTCCAAAGAACTATCTTCGTCATCCTAACTTAAGAGTTCTTCAACTTTGTTATCGATCTTTTCCTTCAGAAGAAACAAGCTCTAGTTGACTTCCTTCAAGTCCTTAATGTACTGACTTGTAGCCTTAAAGCCTAAGCTTAAGGCCTTCTCCGTTAATTCAGCTTTCAATTGGCTATACTAATTAATCAACAATTGCGCACTCTAGTTAATTTCCCTTTAGATTTCACTTACAGGACCAGATCCAGGAGTATAAGGGGGTTTCTGCACTTTTTCTGTTTAAATTGGTTGTTGATTCTATCTAAATTGTGGATCCTGTTGTTAAATCTATTGAACTGGCTTTGGTAATTTACTCTCCTCCAAGACCTATGCTATATTTTTGGAATGTGTCTTAAAAGTGGCAGATGTATTCTTATCCACTTCTTCCTGCTTGTAATATTTGAAAACCTCGGGAAATTTGACTCTCTTCACCACTAGTCTTGCATATGCCAGAAAAAAAGGAGATATTGTCACTTAATCACTCTTACATGTGTAAATTTTAGCCCAAGCCTCTATGCTCTCGAGAATAAGTCTCAAAAAGCTATTTCCGTATTATGATTGATTTTTATCCGGAGTTTCTGAGAAATATGACTTTCCTCTATCATCACTTAGATCATCCTTCTTATACTCAGCGATCTTTTCATAATAGGGTAAACATATTTCTGTAAACATTGTATTGAACTCCACATTATGTTGATCCACTGCTTCCTTACCCAATCTTGTAGCCATTAAATTCAAAACAGGTTCTTTATTCTTGAGAGCCTAAACAATAGCATCACAGATTGGTTAATAGACAGACCTAAAAATTATGCCAGATATTACTAATCTTTCTTGTTCACCAATTCTACATACTGTTTTATTTACTTGTATGTCTCTTGTGTTCGTAATAAACTAAATATCTAATTTGATAAAGACATTATTAATATTAATTAGAGAACTTTATTTTATTATTTTATATTTATAATTGAATAAAATATATTTTACTCAACGAAATAAATAAAAGTACAATCATTTTATCGAAATTAAAATTGAAAATTAAGAAAATGTCCAATAGCAAAAAATAAGTGCTTAAATTATTGAATTTCGCAAAGAATGTATAGTTTTAGTTCATCCATTTAGGGAAATATTGTTTGAATCTTTCTTATTCAACAATATGTCAACAATCTTTATATAAATTCATTAAATTAAAATATAAATTTTCTATAAAATAACACTACATAGGGAGAATTATTGGTCCAATGGTTGTCAAGTGACAATTACTATAAAATACTTAAAAAAATACGAAAGAAGATATTAATACAATTATTAACACTTGATATCAATCAATCTCCATATATAAGGATTGCTGCAAAATAAAAATTTGTGTTGGTGAATAGATTTCTTTTAACATGAATGATTAGTATAACAATTTAGTATTAATTTAATCGAAAATAGAACTATTATTATATATATTAATATCTAATAATTTAGAAAAAATGATGAAACTCTTATTATTGATGATATCAATCATGAGTAGTTATTGCTTTAATCCCAATGACTATGTAACAATACCCTTCCTAAAATTCCCAGATTCTTTAAGTTATAACGTTTTAGAGATAAATTCAATTTTTGAATATTTGATAGCATGTGTGTACATAGGGTAAATTAATAACCTTATATAGGTTGTTCTATTATTCCATGTACTTTTGTATTAGTCAAATTTTGGTTTGGAGTCATCCAGCTCCAAAGACTCCTGAAAGAATCGAATAAACAAGGGAAGAAATGAGGAGGGGAATCAAAGCTCTGTTCTACGTAATTTTATTAACAACAGGAATAATATGGAAGATACAGCCTTTGAATCCTTATTATGGGTATTATGAGACACATGAATTCGGATTGAAAGAATTCTTTGTTTCCTTAATCATGTAAGATAATATCATTTATGAATTAAGATACATGGTGACATTTGATGTGTGGTTTTATACTTCACATATAATTGGACACATGCCCTTTTTTTGGAAACATTTTCATGGAGAACATCATGAATTTGTTGAACCTGGAGCTTATGCTTAAGATGCTGTACATCCAGTAGAAGCATTGATTTAAGGGCCTATCGGACATTTCCTACCAACATTTATCTATCCATTCCATCCAGTGTGTCATCACGTCTTTGGGCTATTAACATCAGTATATGCTTAACTTGCACACGATGGAAGATGGGACCCAGCTGGACATACCTTACATCATTATTACTATTCATGCAATTTCAGCATTTGGGGATTAAGCGATTTTATATTTGGAACCGGATACAACTAAGAAAAGTATCCAATTCCTTACATCCCAACTTGGCTTAGAAGCAAAGTCAATAGTAAGAATCAGGATAAAAAAATAATGTGATAATATGATATAATTGATTATGCTGATCACAATCTGGCTTTGTTGTTGGGGAATCCTAATCCTTAAGCAATCTTCTCTCCATACTCTGGGTCACATTTAGTAAACACTTTAACTTGTCTCTCTTGGATTACTCTATTGGCATTCTAACATTATTAATTAAACAAATACTTTCAAATTTCCAACAATATTGGTTATTAACCATTATCTTTCAAAATCATTCATAACCTTTCTGTATAGAACTCCTGGTTGAGCGAAATCATCATTTGGATGTGATGGTTTATATCTTCCGATTAAACCAGTTACTCTATATTAACTAGTCTTGGTTTCTGGAATCATCTTTAATGGTTAAAATGAATTAGGTTCATAATTTGGTCTATTTCCTTAGTTATTGTAGGATTAAGGTCCATCTCTTTATTGATTGATGACTCTAGCTCTGTATGGACAGTTGACTGGGAGTTGTGTATAATTGGTTCCTAATCTGTGTCTGTGAGTATCTGGATATGAGAACAATCTTCCTTATAACATTTTATCCAATGATGGTTCAATACCTGGGACTAAATGTCCTGGACTGAAAGCTGATTGTTCAACTTCTTAGAAGTAGTTTTCTGGATTTCTATTCAAAACCATTTTTCCGAAATTAAGACATGGATAATCACTGTGTGGCCATACTTTAGTGACATCAAAAATATTCCATTTATATTTGAATCCATCCTATTCTGGCATAACTTGAACTTAGACCGTCCAAGTAGCTGTCTTACCAGTAGCAAGATGTTCAAACAAATCTTGAGTAGCATAATCTGCATTTGTTCTCTTTAATTCATCAGCTTCAGCACCTGTAAATGTCTTATTACCAGAATCTGTTTTGAAGTGTAATTTAATCCAAAATGCTTCTCCTTCCTTATTGACCCATCTGAATGTATGTGATGTATATCCATTCATATGTCTATATCCATTTGGAGTACCTCTATTTGAAAAGAGAATGGTGACTTAGTGAGCACTTTCAGGCACCAAACTCAAGAAATCCCAGAACATATTAGCATCCTTTAAGTTAGTTTAAGGATTTCTTTTTTATGTGTGAATAAAATCTGGGAATTTACTTGGATCTCTTATGAAGAAGACTGGTGTATTGTTTCCTGTCATATCATAATTGCCTTCTTCAGTGTAAAACTTAACAGCGAATCCTCTTGGATCTCTTTCAGAATCTGCTGATCCCTTCTCACCTCCCACAGTAGAGAATCTTGTGAAAATTGGTGTTCTTTTTCCAACTGTATCCAAAAATTTGGCTTTTGTGTACTTAGTCACATCTCCTGTCACTTCAAAGTATCCATAAGCACCTTTACATGTCAAAGATATCAAATACCTGCTCCTTTGGCATGGACAACTCTTTCTGGAATTCTCTCTCTATCAAAATGAGCTAATTTATCAATGAGATGAGTGTCCTGCAAAAGGATGGGTCCATATTCTCCTGCTGTCAAAGAGTTTTGATTGTCATCTACTGGACAACCGGTGGATTGGGTCAACACATTATCTGAATTGTCTGACATATTATTTATTAAATTTGCGTAATAATCAACTCAAACTCAAAAATCTTTATTTCGCATATCCAATTTTACATAATGTTAGTCATATAATTTATAAATCTAACGGATATTTAAACTCAACTTATCGCGATCCATTTTCTAGCAGAATCCAAATTAAATAACTAACAATTTTATCAATTTATTATATAATGTGTCATCTAAGATTTTGCTTTTCTCTAAAAAGAATTATCTATTCCCACTTAATGGTAATCCAATTGAATAATTATTCACTAAATAATATTTGCAGCTTATCATCATAAAATCTCTGTTCTGGATCTAAACCTTTTTCTACTTAGTATTTCTTGAATTAATTAACCACCTAAAAGGCTCTTCTTTTAACCTTTTGTGTTTAATCCCTATTCCTTTACCTCTGATGACACTTTGAATTTTGTTCTAACTTTTATATAACCACGCTGGTTTTATAAGCTGTATTTGATACTCCTAATTATCTGATTTGGTAATATGAATTTAATGACTACCACTATGAATCTTTTTATTGTTTAATAAAGCGGATCATCTTAATTTAATGAGATAATGGATATCTTTAAATTAAAATCCTATTTCTTGCTCATATCTTACAAACTTTTAAGTCTTGCTGCAGTTAGATGTTAAACCACTTCTTGAAATATCTTAGATTATCTTCCTAGAGTGTGAAATTCAATATATAAGTTTCCTATCTAGGTGGATATTGAGTGTCATTTTTTATTCTAAATTAAGTATTTCATCCAAAAGAAGGGCATAGCATGTTTTTATGAGAGATTTCATATCATTAAGGGTTCTCTATGCCTTATTTTCATTCAATACAATATCCAACTTTACTCTAAATTAGTTCTTTTACGTAACTTTAAAGTAATCGACCAGATAAATTTATTTTCTGAATAGGCTTCACCTTGATATCACCTCAATCAAAAATAATAATATTCCTTAATTTGGTAAAGCACTTTGGCTCCTATAATAATTTTTCCTCAAAAATTGTAATTTAATTTTTAACTTAAATTGAGATTCTAAATGATTAACCTTTGATATCCTCAAATAGTTGTAATTTCAAAACATTAATTTGAAATATTTTGTTTGCCATGATATAGAGTGTAATGATTAAATATTACTTTTAATGAAAGTTTAATCAAAATGATCTTCTTCAACATCAAACTTTTAGATTCTTTCAATAATAATAATATTATAACAATATATATTTTTTAAATTAATTTTTAAGTATTAATTAAAGAGTTACTGTTTTCTAAAAGAATGTAGTGTTTACAAATCCAAAATAGATTTTCAACTTCAAGAGCTTATAAACTTCTAGAATACATATGAATTCTGATATCTAAATATTAATATTATTCATCCCATTACTCAATAGATGAATAGAATGATTTTAATTATATTTTATAATATTAATAAATGATTAGTATTAAGGTTATATCACCTAAATTAAAGAATGCAAAACATAAAGCAAATTTGAGTTAGCCATCAATAACTAAATATAATAACTTAAACAGTTTTAATGATTATTTTAGAAGTTAAAGAATTTACGAAAAAGGTTCGCGGCATAATAACAGGATAAGCATTAGCAATAGTAGATGTAAAACAGACTCTCGTTTGTTCGAGAATTACTCGAGTAGCACAAAAAGAATGTCTATGCAATCATCAACTTTATGCTTATCGAATACTAAATCCCAGAGCACAAGTCCAAAAGCAATAAATTTAAGTTCTACGATGAATTTAAAATCTTAAAAAAATGTAACTTAACAATCTCCAAAGAAGCAGAAACATAAGTAAAATTCTATTCAACCAAATCCGTTATCCTATGATTTCCAAATAAAGTTTGATGCCCTATTATTGAAAACAAAATCATTGATTTAACATTTCAAGTAAAGAGAAAAAAAATTTATAAAAAGAGAAAAGGATTTAAATCAAGAAATATTAAAACTAAAAACTAGAATAGAAATACAAAATAGACTTTTAATTAGTTATAACATTCCTCAAAGCAAATTTTGAACACTTTTGATTAAAACTATATTTATATAATATAATCTTAACTTCTGTAAGATAATGGCTATTTTCAGTAGATGAAAGCTATAATCATTACCATTTCCCATATTATAAACGAATAAAGCGAACACATTCTTTAATAATTAAATGTGATTCCTGAAGAAATGTTAAAATTAGATAGGCAACATAAATTTGCGATGATTCACACCAGAAAGACTAGGAATATTGGAAATAAAAATTGAAATTTTTCCCCTATTTATTATCATTGATAATTATATTAAAATTTAGTTCTAATATATAAATATTTGAAATTTAACATGAACATAGAAAATCCTTTTTACTCATCAATTTAGACTCCATACACTCAAACCAATATGGCACCTGTAGCTAATATGCAAAGAAAAGAAATTGGTGATTAGGCTATTTGGACTCTATCATCGGCCAAGACAGGAAATGGAGTAGATCAATTAAGGGATGATAATTTGAATACATTTTGGTAGTCAGATGGAACACAACCACACTATATAACAATATAATTTTTAAAGAAAATGAGAGTTTAGGAAGTTGCTTTGTATTTAGATTTCAAATAAGATGAAAGTTATACTCCAAACAAACTTTCCATACGAACAGGAACTAATATCTAGGATATGAAGGTATATTTGATGAATAGAATTAGGAAGTGTAATTCATTGAATTGAAGGAACCATATGGATGGTATGTATTTGCACTCAAGACCAAATTGCTTAATGGCTAAGAAAAGTATATGCTTAAATTATGTTAGGCCTTACGTTTCTACCATTAATATCCAAATAGTGGTCTTACAGAATTAACATAGTGGAAAGGACACGCATATCAGATAAGTGAAAATATTTGGACCAAGAGAGTACATAATTTAAATTAATTATATTTTAGGAAACAAAATCAAGGTTTGAGTTTCCCAGACTTTAAAACACCTGAAATTACTTAATATGCTTCAATTCGTTGATGTTTATATTTATATAATTATGCTTTTTGTTGTTAAGAGAGATCCTGTTTTTAAACGAAAGAAGGCTGTTTCAGAACGCATATCGCCGGAATAAAAAAGTATTTCTCTGTTGTGAAACGATAGAATTGATGGATGATTATGAGATTTTCTCGTATCTCAAGAATGAAAGAAATAATCATCCTGCTTCATTTCATGTAACTTCGCTACACTAAGTTCCTTTGACTCAAAGATCTTAGAAAATGATTACGCAGACAATCAAAGAGGATGTGGGGAAGCCAAAGAGTGTTGAGAATAAAGAATAACTCAAAAGGAAAAAAAAAAGTTACTTTTAACTAAAATTGGAAAGATATCAAAAAGAAGTATCTGAATAGCAATCAAAAAGAAAATAAGAGTTACTGACTAAATCTAAAAATCTCTTAAAGAAAGACCTGGATGATATATAGAAAATGACAAATAAAGGAGTTAGAGAATTTGAGGAAAGATGCAATCTGTATAGCAAGTATTATTCAGAAGAGTTGATGACACCAACTGGAATGTAAATTCAATTTCTTAATTTTTTAGGAGACAAGAAGACTTGAATCTGCCTACGCACAAGTATTCAACAATTGAGAACTAAAACAAATACAAAGTGCTGCTCAAAAGTAAGCCAATACCTCAACCACGACTAACATCAGAATAGGAATTTGACTAATACCAAACTAATCCGGATAAAGTTTAGTTGATTAGTTAATAACTGCAAAAACTAAATATCAAAGTAAATTATCAACTTAATTTCAAAGTTAATAAAAAGGTCAAATGATTCTGAAAATCAACTTTTTGATGCAATACTTAAAAATGATAGTTTTACAGTTCATAAATTACTTATGGAAAACAAAAATTTAATAAATATTAGAAATAGAGTATCAATTAATCAAATATATTAGATTTAAGAAACACCATTGCATATAGCCTGCAAAAGGAATTTAAAAGAGATGGTTGAATTGCTATTGAGACACTAGGCTGACGAATCGTTAAAAGATATATGGGGGCAAACCCCTAGATAGCTTGCTTTGAAGCTTAGACATTTAGAGATTTTGAAGGTTTTATCTTATATATGAATACTGAAAAATACTTTTAATTAATTAAATATATTTTTACTTTAATCTAGAATTCATGGTATGATTAGACTTTTATAGAGAGGCAGCATTGCTAAATTTGGTGTAAGGAGCTCCAACAATAGATATATACTTAGATGGATTAGATTCAAGGAAAACAGGGAGATTCAATGACAAGCAATAAGGCTTGCTAAAATTGCCTATATATTAAGTAATATATAATTTGAACAATCAAGGGTGATGATGACATTTCGGGTGTTGTAGATTTGAAGATGAATAAAAATAAAAAGATTGAACACTTGGGAATTCGTATCGAATTAATTGGGAGAATTGGTAATTTATAGAAATTATCTAGAAATTCTAAATGATTAAAAGCAATCATCCGATTTTATGTCAATGGGCAGAGAATTGGATGCTTAAGGTATTTTGATGGAAGATAAAACTTATAAATTCTAATTTAATAAATTTGAGAAACAATATGAAAGCTATTATGGCAAGGAGGTCAAATTGAGGTAAGATAGGGTGTTAATTAAAAATAGATATTATTTACGGGTTACAATGAATAGAAATTACGGATAAGTGAAAAAGGAAGTAGAGTTTGCAGTTTAAATAGTGGAATAAGATTAAGAAGATTAACCCTAAACTTCCTTAAAGCTTGAAGTGGGAATCGAAGATTGTTTACACATAGATTTTGAATACTTTAAATCAAGATACCATTTGAGGGATGTTGTAACAGGGAAAGTGAACTTTTATTTAGTTAAAATAAAAATCAAGTACATGGAGTTAGCTGTGATTCGTAAGGAATAAATTGGATAAGGTAATACTCAGTAAACAGAGAATGATATCCTTGTGAAGTACGAATTGATGGATGGGTGTCCTTAAAAGGGAGAAGTAGTCCCCATTCGACTTTTTTTGAGTGGCATTGATATGTCACCTACTTTAAAAAATGTGAGTGGCAAGTTTAGTGTGAAATACATTTTAAATTTGATATTAATTGATGAGGATGATAGAAAATATTTTAAATAATAGGAGATTACAGTTTATAGAAAGAAATGATAACAAAAATAATATATTTTATGCATATAAAAACGGATTATGTTATTATAAATAATGAAAACATTTGTCTTGATTGTTCTCTTAGGATTGGCACTTGGAGTACAAGTGAATGAATAAGCAACAATTTTGTAAGATGCTTTGACCAACAATTTAAAAGCCACAAGTATGGGTAGAGCAGTTCTTGCTATGGTTGAATTGGGTTCACCTAATTTCAATCCCCTATTCGATGCATTGGAAGCCTGGGCTTCACTCATTGAAGTAATATATCGATTAATCTCAGCAAACCATAGCCGATGAAAATTCATCATATGGAGCATTCGTCTAATAAGTAGAAACAGAGGAAACAAATTATAAAGCTCTTATTGCTCAATATGAAAGTGAGGTGGCTGAGTACAATATTTAAATCAGGGAAATCTTAAAGTCAAGAATTTCTCTGGAGGAAGACCTTGAAAGGACAAGAACCGAATTAGGAGGCACTAAACAATAAAAGGCTAACATCGAGAATTAATAAAGAGAAGATTCAGCTGATTTCAAAACAAGAACCAGTTAATTGAGTGCTGCTATTGTTGTGATCGATGAAGCATTGAAAGTGTTAGATAAAGCAAAGTGTAAATCATCAATTAAAGATAGACTCCTCATTTGTTGAAGAAGATGCTCAATAATTGTCTTCTTTAGTCTCAGGAACACCAGAATTACATAGCTTGTTACTTTAATTAAACACTGAAGATTACAAGAGTGCATAAAACTTATAAAAGTATTTATTCACTTCAAGTTGTTAGAGTCATTAATTTATTACAAAACATTAGAGATTAATTTAATCAAAATATTCAAACATTGCAAGCAGGCTTTACAGCAGCCTAACAATAAGCCTAAGATTTGTTTGAGTTATTGAATGCAAAAATTGATTCATTGGTCAAAGATGTCATTCCATAATTGCAATAAGATATCTAAGGAAAGGACAGTAAGAATATGGTCTATTTTAAGGCGAAATCGATTCAAGAAGACAATTAGCTAACGAAGCTCAAGCAAATCTTGATGCTGCAAGGGAAAGTTTGAAATAATCCATTTAAGAGAAAGGCTTAGCAACAAACAGCCATAACATATTAATTTCTGAATATCACAGCAATTTGGATACTGTCGCAGAATGTATAAGTGCTTTACATGGAAGCGGAATTAAAAGATAATGAAATAGATACATAATAATAAATAATTTTACTCAGTAATGATCAATTTATTATGATCTCGCTAAATGATCGGAATCTGTGTTTGCATTATGGCTCTTCTTGTATCACACGATTCACTCTTTCATAAATTGTTGAATATATCTATTAAGCCGTCTGCAATAAATATTTTACTGATTCATCTTTCTTATTTGGTATATAATAATAAACACTTGATGCTAATTATTATTATATTAAAGGCTCATTATTCTATCTTTAAATTGGGCTTTCCATCTCATCAATATCAAATTATTTAGATTAAGATTATTCATCTTCAATTTAATTTGCAGATGTTTATCTTTAATGATTGCTACTTATTGAAGTTGTTGGTAATAAGTCCTTATGATTCAAATAAAACTGGTGCAAGAACTTATAATTTGAATTCATCTTTTTGGCTCTTTCTTAATACCGAAGATTTGAATTTGTAAGCAATTTTATTCTATGCTTAATTTACTATTTAATATTACTTCCATCTCATCGCAATATCTTTACAACTCATCATTGTGTGCTTATAATGTCCTGTTCAAGATCATTTCTCTTTAATGATTCTTTCTGAGTTCATCCAGAGCTTTTTCGAGTTTTTAAATCCTTTCCATACTTTAGATATCATTCAAAGGTTTTTAAGTCTATTGTATTTATCTTTTAGCATTAATCTCCTATATTTATTTAGCTCTTGTTAAATCAAGCTTAGGAATAACTGTTCCCTTTGTTGAATTCAACTAAAACTATTAAATCTTAGGAGAATAATTTCCATCTAGAGGAGCCTCTGAGGATTTTGAAGAAGGTGTATCACAAGAGGAAGAGTTATCCATTAACTTAAGGGCTCTTGCCTAAAAATCAATTAATTATTCTGGATCTTTATTCATGAAAATCAGTTTGTTACCAGCATGAGCCATGCTCTTTTATTGCAATAATTCATTCATCAATCTCTAATAAAATAAAATTCTTAAATTACTAAATTTAGTCCTTATATGCTCTATTTTTCTTTGATTAATTTCTATTTCTATTTCTGCTCAATTAAGAGTTGCTCATTTAGCATTTGAATTTCATTATGCATTTTTAGTCCAATAAGATCAGGATCACATACTTCTCTAAATTTGATTACCACTCCAGCTATTTCGTCATATTCCGGTTTTAATTCCTCCATTTTCGCTAACTTACTTTCAGCAGACATCAGATTTTCTTGCAAGCCCTGCATTTTTTATTGTAATGATAAAATTAGTTCTTTCTCTTATCTTTAGACCTCCTCTGTTATTTGCTGATTTATCAATTAATCACATTAAGCTTCGTTACGCTATTTAACTAATTTCTCCATTTTCATTTGTAATGTTTCATTTTCCTCCTACAAATTCTTTAATACTGTTAATAGTCCTTTATGTTATTCATCACTTGTTTGAGGCATCAATACCTTCAAGGCCTACTTATTCAATTAAAGCAATCCTTAGAGCTCACGAACCTGCTCTTACAATTATTAATTCTCTTGCTTGAGATAATCGAGAATCTCTAAACTCATTATAAATTTAATTATTCAAATTTTACTCAAAATTTGCATAAATTCATATATATCTTAAATATAATTAATCATTACTAATAAACTATTATAAACCCCTAGGATTATAACATTTATAGCAGTTAAAATAGCATAATTGATATAATTACCCTTATCTCAAAGCATTTATGAAATAGTAATAATTTTAAATTTATGGAACATATATGTTGCTTTCAATGGAAGAATATGAAATATACATTCGAGAAAGTGAGGTACACTAAGGTAAAGTATAAGGGAAATTTGATCGAAAGGTTGGGTGATAGAGTAAACCTATGTTTATCATAAACTCTTTTATTAATATTTTTTATAGATTTAACCATAGAAAATTTATTAGCCTTTAGTATAGGGATGAGTTAACGACATTACACGTTTCTCCTTTTTTTATTTAGAAAGAAAAATCTGATGGATAATTATTTTTTTAATTAATTTGATTTAAATGATTAACAAAAATATTACCTAACAATATGAAAAAGGTAATTTTACTAAAGATTTAATACAAGTATAATACCTATTTAAATTAATTAATGTAAATGTTTTAATCAGTTCTTAAATTCAAAAAGCGATCCATATATTTTTATGCTAAAAGTGTGTTTTATTTTGATTGTTTTTATACTTTTGGAGAAAATAGGCTATCAACTAATTTTCTATTGAATCGAGGATATCTTAATAATATCACATTAATATACCTATTACAGTATTTCTGCATTTAATTGAGATGGTTCTATAATATATTGATTATTATTTGATTATCAGAAAAGGAGATTTTATTTTTAATACATATTTTTGTATCCAATTACATAAAGATGATAAATAATTTGATTATTAATCCATTTAATTCTGAAGATATGCCAAAGAGGTTAGGATGAATACTTTTGATGCAGAAAGAATTTTGATTTATAACTATATTATTCGCTTATTAAAGGATTTTGAAATGAGGTATTGTCCAGATTTAGTTCAAATTTTTCTAAGCATTGATTTCCAATTATTAACTTGCTTCAGAGATTCAAATGATTTACTATTTTTTGAACGAAGATAGACAAGAACTTGCGGAATTGCTACTTTAGAAGTTAGGAGGATTGAAATCTACTGTAGGACCTTTGATTCTAAAACAGATAAGATCAAGTATTATCAAGAATAAGCAAAAATATTAGAGTTCATTGCAATTAGTAAGTTGATAATTATTCTTGGAAATTCATCGTTGAACCATGAAGATCATTTTTAAATATTCAAACTGAGATTGATGCTCAAGTGCAACTATACTAATATTTAAATAGCAAAAACTCTATTGCATTAATGCAGCATATTCAATAGCGAAATCCTTCAACTTCAAATTTAAATTTAATAGATTTTTATTATCTCTGTTTAATGATATTATATATATTTATACTGAATAAATTAATAATATAATATGGTCTATCCTAAATAAGAGTTTTTAATGATAATATTTTAATTATTTCATAAAGATTTCATTAATTATACTAAAAAACCATGAGGAGCAAATATTCTACCAGTACAATCTGCTGATGTGCTCAGAATAAAAGGATAGAATGGATGCCATTTACATAAGACTACTCGATCCTCGTGATCAGTAATTTAAGTAATTAATTTCTGTTGTTCCCAATCATAAAGGGCAATAGTTGAATCAAATGATACACTACAGATATATCTACCTGTTGGATCAAACTCAACACATCTACAATCCATAGTATGATGTTTCAATGTTTTTACACACTTCTAATGTTGAATATTCCAAACTGAAACTACGCCATCAGAATGAGCAAGTACTGCCAATCCTTAAGATGAGAACTAAGGAGCCTTCTTGGATCCCTTCACTAAATTTTATAGATTATAATTGGTTGTTGATTCTGACAGGGAAACATAATTAATTTCTGTTTGCATGGTCATTACTCCTTAGGCCCTGCTAGTTCTCTAATCCCAGATTCTCAAAGTCCTATCCATACCACACGATACTTGATAGGATCCATCTCCTGCAGTCTAGAGACTATCAACATTATATTTAATATGGATACCAATATATTGTTTATGTGTGGCCTTCGAGATTTCGAATGCATTTTTAAGTTTCCACATCCCATATTTTGATAACAGCATCCTATCCAGCTGACATCAATCGATTCTCATCACTGAAGCATACTGATCTTACTAAACCCCTGTGACCAATCAAAACGAAATCTGTTTCATCTTCTACATTGTACAATTTAACAGTTTTATCATTGCTTCCAGTTCCTATCAATCTTCCTGATCTACTCCAATCTATACAATAGATAGATCCTTGATGATGGTTTTACTTTTCCATCTACATTTCAACTTGACTTTCCTGCAATACAGATTTCATTGAAAAGATCCTGAGACTCTTGGAATTGGTTCCGATTGCAAACATTTCACCATCTGATGAAAATGCAGCTGCTCTGATGGGATGAGTGTCTGACAATGTGGCAACTTAATCCATTTCATCAAATTTATAATTAAAGAGTTGTGACTGTATACTGCTATTGCTGTGAGGTGGAGTAGAGTTCAAAATACTTTCCTTCCTTATCATTGATTGATCATTTTCGTTGATGTCTGAGATGTGCAATTTCTCTATGATGATATTTTTGTCGAAGTCAACAGGCAATTATGAGGAACTAGACTATTGCATTTGGAATTGGGATTTCTTTTTGGAGTAAACTAATATTCTATAAGTATTACTAATACATTTGGAATGTTTGTTATTTTCTTCATCTTCTTCGACTTTTTCGTATAATTGTTGAAGTGTAATGCCATTGTATTTTTCTATGCGAAAAGTTTTACCTAAATTCTTAAGCACTGAGGCAATTCCTTCGAAGCAATCTAGTCTTCCCTAAAAGATTAGAGACACTCGATCTTTACCTTCTCAATGCTCCAATCGCCGAAGTCTGGATGATCGCGGATACAAGACAGCGTCAAAAAATAACAAAGGTTTTTATACACTTCTGACGATGCCAATTATTCGATTTGTCGCAATAATGTTATAAGTATCTCTACATCTGGTTTTGCATTTATCAATTCAAAATATTATTGTTTCTTCAATTCCAACAACACATACGAAAATTGATCATTCAATCTGGTTTTCAATGGCTGGAGATATTGTTCTGCCCCAATAAAATTGCCATCCAAAATTTGCTATCTCAGAAATGATAATTCTCTTGTGTAGTTGTCTATCGAAATCTAGTAATTAGGATGATACGAAAATCAGTTACTTGTGTCTCCAGTTCCAAATGCAGAAGACTCTTGTATAATTTTTGATCCCTTAGAAATACCAAGACCATCTACAATAATTGTTGAGTTTATGGCATTTTCGAGTTTTCAAAGATTAAATTAATTATAAGTTTTGGTTTATGGAAAATAATCAAATTATGTTCATGAGCCAAGACGATTAAGACTATTTTTTTAGTGATGAAGACGATTAAATATCACAAATAATCGAGCAAGATTCTACAGGCAGATTTTGTAAGGTATGTGATGATATGTATTTTTAGTACAACGAGGAAATTGGTAAGGGAGCATATAAGAGTGTATTTAGAGGCTACGATAATCAGAGTGGTTGTGAAGTAGCTTGGAATGTATTTTAATTGAACAGTGTTCCAGAAAGTAACTATCTCCAATTATTTTATTATTAGATGAAAGAAGAAGAGTAAGATAAGAGATTTCAATTCTAAGTAGTCTTAAACATAATAATATCATTAACTTCGTGCATTCATGGCATAATAAATCAAAAAAGGAAATTGTTTTCATAACTGAAATCATAAATGGAGGCTCGTTGAAAAAGTATCAAATTATCTATGTCGAGTTATTTAAGGAGAATCACTAGGCCAAAGTTGAAGGTGATTAAAAATTGGTGTAGACAGATACTCCTTGGTTTGGAATATTTACACAAACAAAATATCATCCATAGAGATTTGAAATGTGAAAACCTTCTGATTGACACAAATAATAATGAATTAAAGATTGGTGATTTGGGTCTCTCCATTTAGTAAGAAATATAAGGTAAATTTAGATTGTAGCAATCCTTTACAACTTCCGTTTTGGGCACTCCGGAATTTATGGCACCTGAAATTTACTAGGAGCATTATGACACTAAGGTGGATATCTATGCTTTTGGAATGTGTCTATTAGAGATGGTTACTGGAGCGAAACCATTTTGTGAGTGCAAGGGCGGAACTGGCTAAGTGATCAAGAAAGTAATTGAATAGCAGAAGCCTCAGTCAATTGATGCTATTCTGAACGATAAAATCAAAGCAATTATCTTAGAGTAAATTGATTTTTTTTGCAAACCAGATGCCTAAAACCTCCAGAAGAACGACCTTCTGCGACTCAATTGTTATCCACTCACTTCCATCTTCAAGTTACCGATAATGACAACTCCCCTGTTCCAATCAATGACCAATTCCTCATGCAATTGAGGGATGACAGTAAAAGTAATTGCATCTTAATCTCAGATTCATCCATCCTAAAATGCAATCTATCCAACAAAATCATGTTGACTACTGGCAGTAGCAAATTTGACACTAATTCTGAAGTCAGCATTCAAAAACAATCATAACTATTGGGATTGAGAAAGAAAAATCTAATGATTCAAACAGAAGATGAAACAGAGCAAATCTTTAATAAATGTTACAAAGATTACATTGTAAGTTACACATATCAATATATTCCTAGTGTTGTAGAAACGATGAATCTTTGCAAGATCTTGAGTAGAGACAAGAGAAAGAATTGTAATTGTTGAAATAATTGCATTTGCAACAAAAGCAAGAGTATTTGAAGAAGACTTCGAATAACGTAAACATCAAGACTTCAACTTAACCATTTTAAAGTTCTGGGTTTTTGTCACCTGGATCCTATTAAAATTTCTTTGATTTTCAACAAGAATCCGTTTGTCCAAAACAAATCATTGAAAGCCCTTGTCTAGAAAAAAATAGCAACAACAGACTGGTGAAATTAGGAATGGTAAATCTGTATTCCCTATCATTTTAGATAGCAGATAATAGCTCTGGGGTGTAACAACAATTAAGCTAGTCTTAACAAGTTGGTATTTAGAATCAAATTATTGTAGATAAATCATTAGAAGTCAATATTTGACAATCTAATAAAACAACCAAAAATATAAAAAAATAAATTAATTCAAATATCTTTCTTGTCTAAAATCACGAACTCTAATTTTTTATTCTACGTCTAGTAAAATTAACATATATTCAATCAAAGAACAAAATCATTTTGATTGATCTGACCCTAAAAGGAACGAACTAATCAACCATCAGTATGTTCTTAACTAAACTATAAAGGGAATTACCATCTATCACTTAAAACTATAAATATACAACAACTACCTTACTCAAAAAGTACAATTTATGAATGAAACCTACTTTAATAAAGTTACAATATCCCAAACAAGAATAAGATCTTAAAGGAAAGATTCTAAATTGATGACATCGATCTAACCAATAAGTTCAAATCTAGAGAACTAAGCCTCAGATAGCTAAGTATAAAATAAACAGGGGAATAAATCCGTTAGAACCAATTTATATTATTGCATCATATAAAGAAGTTGACATATTATAACCTAATGAATTTATAAGAGATACAATAAATATTTTAAATTGTAAAATTACTGATCATATAATCAAGAGGTAGAATCTCGTGAATATAAACTAGCACTTTATTAAAGAGAGTTCCAAACCTAAATAATTGAAAATTTACTAACTCAATCCTTTGGAAGAGCAAGAAGTAAAGAAAACTTCTACCAGATTCGTAAATACCACCTAGTTTTTATAAGAGGGGAGAACAGATAATTGAACCTGCAGAGGGATCGTATTCTTAGGATCATTGCAGAGACATGACTAAATTGAAAAGTGTCTTGCCATTCACTTAGGACATAATTGTGACTTAATCAGATACTTTTAAGTAATTCCAAAAGAATCTTAGAAGATAACTAACATATCCAAGATATCAATTTTGCATAAACTAATACGATGTAAAAGGAATGCAAACTAAAGACAAACCAATCCTTTGTAACCTGGTTATTAACTGTTAGGAAATGTGAAGTTTATAATTTAGAATTGAAATGAATAAATTGTTTGTTAATAATATTGATAAATATAATATATATATGATCATCTTTGTAATGGAGCCATCAAGTTTGCTTGAGATGGATAAGCTGACATGTTCATAGAAAAGGGATAGTTATTAATACTGGGGAAAGTTCCCAACACATTAGGATTAAGAATAGATCTTTACTGATAAACTCCACTCTAAATTTGAGGATATTCAGTTTATTGCATCATGACGTAAGATCGGTATAGTTTTGGATCATAAAAATAGGAACCTAGACTGTTTTGATTGGACAGATTGTTTTCTTAAAAGGTACTTTATTAACTAATATCTGATTTGTTTAGATAAAGATGGAGTTGTTCAGGGGAAACAAAAAATATTTAATTTTTCTCTTTATTAATTAAGCAAGGTTGAAGTGTGCTGATTTCAACTTCTGAGAGTTGACAGTCTTTAATTTCTAGGTTGATTTTATCCTAGTTTTTAGGGATAGGTTGTGATTATCTTAATTCCCTCTTTGGAGGTAAATTAGATTCGACTTTTACTTTTTTAACAATATCTTGGTGTTCTTCTTTGACCATGTCTTTCTGTTCATTTTCTCGGAGGTTTTCACTTTATTGGATTCTCCACTCTATTTTTTTGATGATTGTGTGTATGAGTTTGATTTCATCGTGATTCAACTCCTCTGCGGATGGAAAATTCGAAATCTTAGATTCTTCTGATTCACTTTCTTCTTCATCTTTTTTCCTTCTATAATTAATATAGCCTACCCTGTTTTTTGACTTCGTTCCTTCCTTAAGAGACAATTGAATCTATTTTTGACACTATTCTCACTTCTTGGTATTTTTAGTTTTTTTGAAATCAAGGCCCACTTCTTCCCATTTTAGATGGATAATTCTAACAAATTCAAATCTTCATTCAATTGCCAAGGATTTCTTGTAGATAATATTTACATGTTATTAATACCTATTGATGAAGGGATTGAGATGATTGTTCCATCGTTCTCTGCACTATTTACCATTTCTATGCACATTTGATTGGCTGATTTTGTTTAGAGTGGTGGCAATCTGACTCCATTTGTTTCCTTTGTTCTAATTTTGGTAGTCATATATTATGGATCTGAGAAGTTCATCTTCAGGGAGGGTCCATGGAGCTTGTTACAAGGGCAGTTTGAGCATTTGAAGCCACTTCTATTTGCATTTGAAGGCGTCTCTCCTTGGCATCATGCTGGCAATGGAATTCCAGTCAGCATCGCTCTTCAAATAGAGTTGAATTGATATACTATAGATTTGATGTCTCTTTTATTAAAGGCGGTCCATTTGCCAACCAACCATATGAGCACCTTTTTATCATCATCTGTCCAGTTCTTTTTCAGCTTGTTTTATTAAGATTGCAAATTCAACTTGTTATTTTGTTGAATAGTGAAGACTTCTTGATTGTCAGGGAAAGAATCCACTCCAAGGTTGTACAATTCTCTCATATAATTAAATCTAACATTGGTAATGTCTTTGGCTTTGGCGTAAAAGATGAGAAAGTTTTGATGGAAATCATCAACAAGGAGGTTATCAGATGATTGCATTTATTTTTTATATTTTTTAAGTTTCCTTATTAATTTAAAAAATATCTAGGTTTTCCCATAAATAATTTAATTAAATGAATTTAACTACGAGATTTGTGGACTCTTTCAGTCTCACAGATGATTTGCTTACTTAGATAATATCAGATAAGTAGACGATCAGTTTATCTTTGAAACAATTGAGTAAATTGCATCACCTTCAAAAGATGTTGGAAGAGTTTTAGTTTCTAAATATCGTATACAGTGATTAGAGTCGAGTGAGGTAATTCATACATATTATTTAAGGAAGATGATGTTAACGCGAACAAAGTCAAATCTGAATTTTGCAATAATAGTTGTGTCATCAAATAGATAAGAAAATTGAAGATTTCATGGTATGAATTCATCAAATTTCTTAGAACTTTTTCAAGAAACTAGACTCCATCCTTTTTTACACTATGAATATGCAACTCATGTCTGAAAACTGTTTAGAATTCTTGCAGCAAATAGCAGATTTAATTTTGGGCAGTCCTGCATTTACAGTTATTTATGAGATAAACAAGAAAGTGAATGGGATGTCAACTCACATAAAGGAATTTGAGAATGCTTATCAGAAATTATTAAAATTCAAGGAGAGCACCAACGTGAATGGAAGTGAACTCGATAACCTCTTCGGTACAAATGAATTATATGTGTACAAAAACAAGTATTCATACTTGATTTACGATGTGAAGGATGTACCATTTAAGGCATTCCCAGATTATAGATTGATATTGGATCAGTTTATTTCACTTGCTTACGATTTTCAAAAAGAAATATATGAGTGAGATTTATATCTATAACATCTAGCAAAGAAAACCTAGTGAGTATCATAAGAGGAATCAAGTCAAGGTTCATTAAGAACTCAACGAGGATTTGCTAAGAAATTATTCGATCATAAGTTACGGAAGTGCTGTCAAGTCAATGGTATGAGTGTTGTAATTATTATACAGCTGGATCGAAATGCCAGATCAAATATAATACATGAATGATTTGATCATAGATTAGCATGGTTATGTTGTGTTGCCAGTTAAATTGGACAAAAAAATCAAATACTACATTAAGATCGAATCTCCAAACATAGATATGATTACGTTCAGTGATTATGTAAGATTATCTAAAAGGAATTCTAGATTCAACAATTATGGTAGAGACTGACATACTAATTGAAGGATTTGAAGAATGAGGAGTTCCTGAAACAAATGCTTGAGGTCAATTCCCCAAATAAATTATACATCTAATTAGATGGAGATAGAAACATAAGATATTAGAGTTGCTGTATCCCTGATTCTTGGTATTTCATGTTGATCAAGGGAGGTTCATTGGAAGATCTCTAATTGGAGTAAGTGAACAAGCAGAGTCTCATCCAAAAAATGCAGGAATTGAAGTCTTCAGTCAAAGGAGCTGTCAGTGTCTGCCAGATTTGTTTCAGCGACAAAGCAGTAGATGTTGATCTCTTTGCCAAAAGAAACGAAGAGGATGAGATTACTGACTATTACATAGTGTTTAATGCACCTAAAAAGTATGTAACTTTAATTTTATAAAAGAAAATTTGAGGATGATCACAGGATATCTGCTTAAATGTCGAGTGAAAGCAAATTGCAAGAATTGAGCAAGGCAGCTTTAATTAATATCAAAATGGAGAAGCTATCTAAAGCATGCATAGTGATGAGGGAGTATCTTAAGGTTAATTTGTCTGATGAGGAAATCATTGATTTACTGAAAGAGAAAGACATACTGAAAGAAGTGTATAATTAATAATCAATTACTGATGACATCAGATCATCTTATGTGATGGAATATTACAAGGCTGAATCAATCAAAGATATAAAAAATCCAGTCCAAAGAAGTCAATAGTATATAATTGAGACTGAACTTACAAACATCAAAAGTATCTAAGTTATCTAAATTAGAATTCGATCTTTATACTCTAGATGCCAATGACATTTCTAATCTTAGTGACTATTCTTTTGACATCACTGTTGTTCAAGACAAACATGAATAATTAAGATATACATGGGCTCTATTTCATTTGTGCAATTTCATAGATCTTTATCAAATCAACAAAGAAGTATTTTACTAGTTCACTGTTATTGTCCAAGAAAAGTATAGTTATCGACAGAACCCATTTCATAACTATGATCATGGATTCACTGTTGCTCATGCTTGTTATTACATCATAAAGAGTAAAAGCATGAATCAATACTTTGATAAATTCATTTAATTCACTGCTTTACTATCTGCTTTATGTCATGATATTGATCATACGGGACGTAACAATCATTTCGAGAGTCAAAAGTTATCCAAATTAGCATTGAGATATAATGATGAATCTGTACTAGAAAATCATCATGCTTCAGTGATGTTTAAGATACTTTAAAAAGAAAAATACAATATTCTGAGTTCCCTTAGTTAGGATCAATGTTAGATATTTAGAAAATATGCCATTGCCAATATCTTGGGAACAGACATGAAGAAACACTTCGAGATAGTCAAACTATTGGAACTCAAGTTATCCAAACTTCCTGATGAGCCATTTATACAAAAGGAAGAAGACAAAAAGTTCCTATCCAGTGCTATTGTCCATACTTGTGATTTGACCATGTAATCTAAAACATTCAAAATGGCATAGAAGTGGTCAAATCGAATCGCTACTGAATTTTCAGATTAGGTTGCTGAAGAGAAACAACTATCGTTACCTATTACTCAGCATTTCTTACCATTAGGAACTCCAAATTTCAATTAATTATTAGCCAAATAAGAAATTTCATTCATCAAAGTATATTTCATTTATATACCAATTAGTTCATCGTTAAACCTGCCTATGATTTAACAGCATAGGTCTTATAGACAGGATTGGAAGTGCCATTAAAAAATTTAGAAGACAATCTTAAAGAATGGGAAAATTAGAAATGATAAAATTTATCAGTTGTTGTAGTAACGATAATATTATGTATCCTTTATAAATAATATTTATAATATTTAATGCAATGTATATTATTACAGCATATTAAACAACAACAAATTTTGATTTCAGAATTGAATTAATCATAAACAAAATATAAGTTCTTAGTCAGAAGGTTAAATTTTGAGCAAGTGGAACACCAAAATCATTCTATATTTTTGTAATTTCATTAACCTATATATTCTAAACAATAGACATAATAGTGGGGGCAAAATCTTCAAACTAAATATCAAATCTGTTTTAGCAGTATAATTATTGAAAAAATAATTATTACTGAGAATTTAATTAGTTTTTACTCTAATTGATATAAAATAGAATTTATCGATTATATGAAAGATTGTGTTAATTAAATGAATGAATAAACTATATGATATTTAACCAATTTAATAAAAAGAGGGTTATAATAGTGCGTTAACAAAAGATACAAAGATTACTCAGTCTAAGAATCAAATTGTCTCTACTCATAAAATTAGGATTAATAGATAAATTTGAGTAAAAGGTCCTTTCAATATGGAGATAACAATATTTTGCAAAATCTTAATCAAAAATATTGAATTTAGTGTGGATTATAGTGAATACATTTAAAAAGGAACCTAAATGAGCTTTTGAACCAATATAAAGAATATATAAAATCTAAGACGATAAAGTAACCAAATTAATGAAAACGATATAGCTGGATTCAGAACTAATGCATCCTTCATATTTCAACATGGGAGTCCTTTTGTGATGTTACCAAAGTTGCTGGTCAGATTATTAACCGAATCAATAGAAAAAAGAGTTTTGAAAACCAACAAATACGATAAAGATTTTTGAAAACCAAAGTCAATTTGTGCAGGAAAGAATTCAATGTATAAAAATATTCATTTCCAATTTAAAAGTGTTGATTCAAATCTGCTCGAAAATATGATAATCAAACTTAACAATAGAATGATTGAAATATTATTTTATATAAATGGATAAGAAATGGAAAATTATATTATCTACTTTAACCTGTTGCACAGTTTCGTTCCTAGTATTGGCCATTATTATTCCTTTCGTTTTACTAAGTGTAATTAAGAGTTAAGCCCAAGATGAAGCAATTATGTCATCAAGCAATTACGCACTATGGGTATATACAATAAAATACTTCATTTTCTTAGGGAGAGATACCGGGAGATACCCAAACTTATTTAACGAGGGATTTCACTTTCTTCTAATTTACGAATCCTTATGACGTAATGTTTAGAGGGAAAAAACCAATTTTGGTTGAGAAAGGTCCGTATACATATTAGGAGAAGTAAAATTTCACAGATTATACATTCAACGACGACAAAAGCATTGTGACATTCCGTGCTTGGATTCAGACTGTGGGGGAAAAATAGAATGATAAAATAACATTCGCTAATTTTGTTGCTTTAGGTGCATGGCATTAGCTTCAAAATACAGAACCAGCAATGATGGCCTTATAAGTGTTCAGTTCGTTTTATTTTGAATTGAAAAAATTCTTTTACCCAACCATGATTGCTTAAGCAGTTATATCTAGTTTTTTGAATGAGGATACAGCGAAGAAGACAGTGTTGCTTGGTTTATCAAATGAGAAATAAAATCTAATTTGGTTCGATTAGGAGTTTGGAATGGCCAATAGCACCGCATTCGTGAACTGGGTGTAAGTCGCTAAGAAATACACTGATGATTCATTTCTAAGAAACTACTTTTAATTATCTTAATCTCAGATGAATAGCATTAAGAGATAATTGGCCCCACTGATCCAAGGTGCAGAAGGAAGCATTAAATAGCTATTCTGCAAAAAATCTCCAACCGAAGAGTGCTTCGATGCTTATTTATGTGCGAAATAATGGGCTACTCAAAGCATCACAAATGATCCAGATGCTGGCACAACTCCAGTCCCTAGTGTTATCACTGGTAATACTACCAGTCACGGTTACCCTGAGCTCAGTTATTTCTATACAGGTATAATAGAGTACTAATATAGAATACTTTTTAAAAGTTATAGAACCAACAAATGAAAAGTATAAGAATCTAAAGTTTACTACTGAATGGGCCTTGGAATTACTTAGACATTATGAGTATTACTCAGTTGAAGATCCTAAATACTATACAGATTCACATTTATTATTACATATTGGGAACTTGAGATTCTTATATGAAGAAGGAAATCAATATGATAAAACTAAAAAGGAGGATCATTTAACCAAAATACAAAACAGATTCAAACTTGAATCTATCTATCATTCAAGAGTGTTTTATGAGTATATAAAATATATGGAAGAGGAATTTGGAGTCTAGAAGTCAATCAATGGCACTAAAGGCATAGCTGGATTGGGAACTATTGTATCATAGGCTCTTTATGGAGAAATGGCGAATTTGAATGATAATTTATTTGATTACGTGATGTCAGATTTGTTGATTAAGAGAGTCACGAAATGCGAATAGGTGTTGGAAAAACTGGATAAAATTAATGATGCTTAGAAAGAGAAATTTTGTAGTTTGGGTGAATACAAGAATTGGAATTCAAAGTCGATTAATCAATTGTTATATATATGCGAACATTAGGAAAGTGTTTATTGGGGATAACTGTAAACTTTAACAGGAATGACTAATATATAATTAATACAATTATGTGATGAAGAAGAGGAAGGATTTGGTTAAGAATTGAAGTTGGCAAACAATAAGATGAAGGCGAAGTATGATTGTAAATTGGAAAGATGCACGAAGTTCGAGATTGGAGTCAAACAATGGGCTTTTTCAATGATTTCAGAGAATCCGATAGACGAATTGTATAAAGCAAGTAAAACTATGGGGGACATATATCCAATATTTAAGAAATTTGAATATACTTGGTTTTAAGCAGAATTCAAGGACATTTTTACGGATAAGAAATTAGATTATGACTTAGCAAGATATTTATTGTCTTTTGAGTGTTTATACAATGGGTAAATGATTAGCAATGCTTTTATTCATTTTGTGAATGATGATAAGAAGTCATTTCAGAAAATTCTACCTTTTGATGATTACAACATATTGCATTATTTAAGATATGTTATGATTGAATTGGGATTGGAAGGATTTGCAGATACAAGGACAGTTGATGAAATTCTGTTTGGATATTGGCCGTAACTCACAGTTGCAATTAAGGAAATGAACCCTGCAATGGGTGGTGATCCATCAACTCCAATTACTGGATTAAATTTGAATTTGCCAAGCGAATTGAGTTAATTATAAAGTGTGTATACTGGGAAGAAGGATATTTCAAAAGTAAGGAAGTACCATTAGATTGAAGGACTAGATTACTTGAATGTTAAAGTCCCTTTCTTTGATGGAAATTAAACAACCTTTAGATAATTCAACCCATGGAATATTGAAGTGTCTTGCGAATTAGGTACAGATGCATTCTCATACGAACCTTAATTGCCAGCAAGTGGTCACATTGGAACTATTATTACCGATATTGTGAAGAATATTTATTTGGATTACAATGAAACAATTGATTTTCACGGTCTAAAAGCTTACAGATTCAGAAATAATAAACATACATTTGACAAAAATCCAGAATATCATAATTACAAATGGGATGGACTAGAAAATATGACCACAATTTAAAATGCACCGATCATGAATAGTCCCACTCATTTTTATAATGGAGACATTAAATTACAGGAGATGATCGAAGTTTACAAACATGATAATTTGACGGACAGATAATGGGCAAGTGATTGGGATGACTCATACGTGATTTATGAACCATTTACTGGAGTGGCTTTATCGGCTATGTTAAATCTGATGGTAAGTGTAGAGTACAAGCAGGATGTGTTGTTCCCTTGTGATAATTATGCTGTTTTGCCAGTTATGTCGTTAACAAGAGGAGCCAATTGGACAAGCGAATAAATTGATGAAACCTTTGGCGAACTTAAATCTGGTTTGAAGTTGAGATGGACTTTGGCAATCATATTTTATGTTGTTGCATTCCTATTTCTGGTCTCTTCAATAACAGTGTTTTACTACAAGTATTGGGTACCAAAGAAGATAAGAGTTCAATAAGACGACGGGTCCTATCAAAACTTAAGTTCTATTGGAGATCAGGAAGGCCAGATTAATCGGTCTGAACATCAAGAGGCACAAAGGAATCGCTGATTTAAAAATTATTATATTGAATATACACTTAATCAATTATCTTCATCGGAACTGGAACTGCTAGATGAGCTACTTGAACTACTAGATGATGAACTACCAGTGGATTCATCGGAACTCAATGGATTGGCTAGTCTCAGCACTCTTAATTGGTTCTTATCGATTTCATCTAATTTAAGTGCTCTTTCATACAAATCAGACCTCTATTCCTAGAACACCTGCAATAAACGCTTACTAAACTTGGGTCTCTCATCTCTCACCGATCTACATTACATTTCTAATTTATCATTACCTCCAGGTTTTATCAAAATTGTTACTTGACATAAAATTTTGAGTTATAGCTATAGTGTTATCTAGATTCAAGACAGCATGCCACCATCCACCAGGCACAAATATAGTATCCCCAGGACCTTATATACCCATAATAATTTTTAAATTATCTGCTCCTTCCTACTCTATCAACTTAGGCAATGCATGCATAAAGTAATCGATCGATTCGTCTAAATCCACAGGATCTATCAATCTTTTGGCTGCCAATCCTTTGGCTTTCACTACGCATTTAGGAATATCAGGAGGAAAAAGAACCCAAAGCTTATGGCCTTGCAATGATGTATTCCATGCACTTGTCATCAAAGGATCAATATGCACTGTTGTACCTGATCGCTATGGACTGTGTGCTATTAACATTAACATAAACTACCCTACTAAGAACCATCGATAGGGAGGACGATGCTTTTCTCCTACCAGTGCTAGAAGATCTTCTGAAAAATACTTGTGTACTTTGAATCGACCTATTATGTCAGCTCCACCATCTTTCATGTCCTCCAATGAACTAGATGTTACTTCCAGTAGACATACCTCTCAAACAAGTAAAGCGGAGAATCGTCTTTATTATAAACGAGGTAATCAAGGAAATTCTTGAATGGCATTCTCAACTTCTTGCCTTTATCATCCTCACCCACCTTGAACGAGGTTTCCTTATATAATTGATACAACTTCTCAAATGTCCAATATTTCTCAACATTCCAATCGTCAACTGTGTTCGCAATTATACACGGAATATCAGGAATCTCAAATTAATTCACAAATTACTCACATGTGAGTGATCTTCCATCAACCCTCTTGATTGTAAAATACCTACAATCACTTTACAATTTACTTTTCATATTATTTCCTTAAATCCTTCATGCTCTTTTCATAATGATTTCTTTTCGTCCACTCCTTCAACCTCAGATGACCTCGATCCTTCAGCTTAATCTCCTCAATCTACTCTTACACCTTCCAATTCATTTCCTTCTCATGAAACCTCTGAGATTATAATTTGAGCTTTTTCGCTACCTCCATACTTTATTTTTATTTATAATTTATCCAATCAATCCTTTTCTTAACTATACTTTTTTTGAATCATTCATTAAAATTTATAAACCAAAAATTAAATCAACTTTAAGCCACAGCTTCACAAAAACTAAACATCTTCCAAGCAGAAACTCGAATTATATTAATCCATTTAAACTGGATACTACTTTGTTTAAAACAACAATCTCATTTTATTATAAAGATAATTTATATATTTAACTAATAAAGATCATTTAACTCTATTAGGATTTAATCTTCAATAGTTTTTCTAATTTGTGTAGCTTTTCTTTTCAATTAAGATTATTAAAAATCTGATTAAAATAACTTATAACAATTTAGGTGGCATGGCTTTTTTTTAAAAATTATGAATCTCCAACTCTTTGTTTTGAATAACTTTTTAGATTTCAATTATAACTCAGATTCCTTAACCTCCATCTATGATAATATACTATTATATAATTAATTGTAATTTATCATATAATTCTGAAGTAATTTTATTTTGAATTCTCCAGTGGACTCCACATAACCATTTCATGAGTCTTTTTGATTTCCCTCTTAAGAACAGGCTACTCCCTTGTTCCTTTGGATATAAATGTTGTTGGTAGTCATTTTAACCAAATACTCCACTCTCTAAATCCTGCATTCATTAATTAACTTTATTAAAATAGTTATGACACTACTTATTTGATTATAATCTTAGCTTATTATTTTCAATGATTAGGAGAAACGTAAGGTGGGGGTTTCAACTTTTCAAGTAATGCTGGCTTTCTTTTGATTATAATATATTCATAAAACATCTCAAAGAATTAGAAAATCTCATTTTGGGTGTGAAATCATCGTGGTTCCAACAAAATCTTGTTTAATTAATAAAAAGGAATTCTTTATTATTATATTGAATTTTAAATAAAATACAATAGATTCTTGTTATTTACAATAAGTATTGCTTGAAAAGAACAAAATAAAAATAATCAGTCATAAAATCTTTTTGAATCATAAAATACAAATTAGAACATTTATTTATGAAGTGAAGATGAATAATAATAATCAGTTGAGTATAATTTAGTCATTTCAAATGTCTTCTGGTATTTCACCCAATCTGCACTTATGCTCGGGAGAACAAGTTTCTATTTCAATATAACTAAGTCATACTTGATAACATCTCCAGGTTAACTACCATGTGTTTCTTCTCCAGGCTCTTGAAGGCAATCATTCCTAAATTGGTTTGATCATCAGAATCCAATTTTTAAGTGTAATCGTCAAAGCCTGTCCCCTTCCTCGTAAACTTTTTTGATGCTGAACAACCCATTTATTATATTGCTTATATAAATATATATATGAAAATAAGATTTTTTGCTGCGATTAAATATCTTCATAAAAGGGGACATACGTCATTTTAATTGTGTACTATTAGCTTTAATTGTTTGGATAATTGATTATTATATTTTTATTCAAAGACTCAGCACTCCCTTCATTATGACATGCTCCTAAAATATAAATAAATTTATACATTATTTTGATCCTCGAATTCCAATATTTTGTTGGAAAATCAAAATATTCGCATCCTCTTGCTCAAATATTTCAAAATCACAAACATAAAAGTAAGCGCTAATTTAGTCTCAATCAAAGACGGAAATAGATGAGATATTTCAATACCTAATCCCTACACAGAGAATTATTTCAATTCTTACACTATCGAATTAATAATTTATCAATGATAATTTGGTTAAAGTCTCGATAAATATATCTTAGATGTGTATTGCCAATATATTCACATCGCAGTAGGCATACTACATTTTTAATAGTCATAATAATTTTTTTGGGAAATCAAACATTATTCTGAATTTGATAAAAAATTAAAGCAAAATTTGCGCAATTCTGTTAAAATAAGGATATCAGACTCTCTCAAATAGAAATTATAATAATCTAATTCGAATATTTCTAGACAGTAAAAAAATTTATATATCATACTGTATAATTCAATTCTAAAATCTTATGAGTGATAAATAAGCCATAAAATCATTATAAAATGAATCAAGAAATAATTTCATTCAGAATAGCAGAGAAAACAACAAATAGAAATTGTGATTTTGAGATTCAAATTTTATATAAAGATATTTTTTTCGCATATTTTATCAAAACTTAAAGTGATATATTTAATAGATCTATTATTATTATTAAAATTAAAGAAATAATTAGAATTTTATCAACCTATATTTCTAATAATTTTAGTTCTAAAATTCTATTGCGACTTCGTTCCAGGTGTTCTTGTAACTGAAGTAAAAGTAGTGGCATAGGTCTTGCCAAATTAATTATCATCTTCATTTTCTTCTGGTATTTCTATGCCCTAGCTATTTAATTCTCTCTTTTTCTCTCTATATTCCTTATTCATGCCATCTAATTTTGATTTCAGTTCCTATTTAATTTCTCTCAATTCTTTGCATTGTTTAATAAGATGCTTATTTTAGTCCTGAATAGTATCATGAGCTACAACTCTTTATCCAAGTTGATACTTAACAGAAGCCTCAACTTCAGAGAGACTCTATTGTAAATATTGTTTTTAGCTTGATAATGCTTTATAGATGGCATTCTGCTAGCTTTGATCAATTTGTTATTATAAAGGATCCTTTTACATATCCTTTAACGTTTCTTAAAACACAGGATTTTTGATAGTGATTGCTTTGCTATTCTCTTCTTACACCATATGATACAATTCTTCCAATTTTTCTGGCCAATCTCCAGTATCACTATTAATCAATGTTTATATTGAAGATTTAAAGTTGTCCATATTTCTTTTTGATAAAGATAAAACAGTTAAGGCAGATTTGAGTTAGTTTTTAAATATATTTAAATCTGTAATTAATTTTCTTTCTTCTTCAATCCTAGATTGCTTCAATCCAGATTCCTCTATCAATTCATTGTAGAGATTCTTAACGTGTTTCTAGATTAATTTTAATCAATGACTTACTTCCATATTTTTCAGATGATCCATAAGCGGCTCTCTTTCATCTTTTAATGTGTTCACTCTATAATCATAGACTTTTTAGAAGTTTTGTAAATGCACATTCTTCATCCTAAAGTCCTTTATTTGCTATTCCCTTTAATTGATGAGTTTCTCTTTCTCTCTTAAATCGGCCAACATCATCTTATGTTTTTCCTCATAGCCTTTCAACTCTTAACGTAAACTTTACAAAGACTCATCAGTTTCTAAATTTATAAGATGAACTCGCTACCTTTTTTTAAATTGTGCAAGATTTCTTTTCTATTTTAATACCTAACAATCTCCTTTTTAAATCTAGAGATGCTTGACCTCAATATTTCTGTTTGAGTATTAAATTCCTCTAACTTTGCCTTTAAAGACTGTTGGGACTCCTTATAAAACGTTTCATAGTCTTTCTCACTTTACTGCAAGACTTCTTTAAATTTCCTTTGATCTAATTTCATATTGGACATGGCTTGACTGAATCTATTAAATAAGTCTTAGTATTTTTAACAGTATTCATCATCCACTTAAGAGATTGATTATTAATATTCTTGATTCACTAAACGTCTTTCTTCATCTTGCTGTTTAATAATGTTTTATAATTTTTCATTCAATTTGTCTCTGATATCATAAATCGACAATAGTTTCTTAGAATTTTATTCATTCATCTCCTCAATAGTTTTCTTTGAAGTCGCAATTAAATTCTTTTTATCTTCCTTAATCTTGTTGTTTTTAGCATCAGACTGTTAAATTGTTTGAGATAGTTAATCTTAAACCTTTTGAACTTCTTTAACATGTTCATCCCGTATTTTCTTAAGTTTATAGTCATTATTATTCAATTGAACTTCCTTAGCATCATCGATGTCACTCTTAAAATTCTACAATCGATATTCCAATTCCTTCAACTATTCTTGCCTTATTTCTTAAGCAGTTGTAGAACACAAGCACAAACTATTAAGTGCAAAAGTGTTAGTAATCTTATTCTCAATATCTCCTCTAGTTATGAGATCTAATTGTGTAATCTAATATTATAGAAATGCTTGAGTACCTCTTCACCATTAATGAATTGTTTGATTTTACTAAAGAATATACTCCCATCGATTGATGAACTTATCAAATAACTATTATCAGGAGATACTTTAATGGCTGTAACAGCTAATTAATGGACAGGAATTTCGATAGATTCCATCATTTTAGGATTGAAATGATAAAATGGATAAGAGTAAACTCTAATAGATCCTTGAGTAGTTCCAAAGAAGATCGCATTGTATCTATGACTAATGCAGATGGCACTAAATTAAGTAGGAGATGTGTCGACTTCCAAGACCATGTTTTGACCCTTTTCATGATACACCTTTAATTTCTAATCTGAGACTCCAACAACAAGATCATATTCGAAGTCATAACACAAACTTTGATACTTGTTCTGCTTCTGAGCATGTTCTAAGATTCTTTCACCAGAGAGCAGATTCCAAACATATAAAATTCCAAATTGACATTGGGAAATCAGCAGATTGTCCTTTGATATATTTAATGAAATTTAATACTCTATCTATAAATAGTAGATCCTTGAGATTTGTTTGATGATTGGGCAACACATTTATCATCTTATATGTCAATGGATTATATAATTGGATTTGATTACCATTAGCAGCAGCCAAGATGTGACCTCCCTCACTATATGTAAGTGCATTACAAACCTTGGTAGTTTCATTGTGAACCAATTTCAGATCATCATCTAATATAAAATAGAATCGAAGACTAGTTAATATTATTTGATTTCATTACCCATCCTTGAATCCGATTGCACATTAATAACTCAATGGATGAATGGCTACTGATAATGGAGTTTCATGAAATTAATGTGAGAACATCTCCTTAAAATCGTTTGAATAATCCCAAAATTTGATATTCTTATCATCACATACAGATGCTATTATAGATCTCATAGGCGTTGTTGCAATATTGAAAATAGTACCCTTGTGAACACCTTTCTCGAATAATGGTTCAAATGGATCTTTTTGAACGGATTTCAAAGCTTCTACAATTGCTAAGTTAAATGTAAACAATTCTAATTTTCCTTAATAATTCTCCAAGATTTACTCACATGAAACAATATTACACAACGCCTACTAAGATCCTAAGGCTACTTGATATGCAGAACGATTAAAGTAAATTACTGTTAATGCTGCATACATTTCATCTGAGGCCAAATGAATTTGATGAATTCCATAGATATGTTCATCTTTTATGAAGTAGGTACCAACCAAATTTAAGACATATTACTCTTTTTCAGATCCATCTTATTCAATCTCATACACCTACAAAGCAGGTTTACCTATTAAACCAATTATGAATCCTTTAATGGTTTTTGCAATAGTAGATATTTTAACATTCGCTAGTTTTTCTTGTTCAGTTGGTTTATTTTTATCTTTATTAATCTATTCTATGATTTAATTAATGATGAAGTTTACATAATAAATGATTCGACTCTTTCTATTGAGTTTATAGTTCAAATTGGCCAACTCTCTTGTCTCCTTTGATCATTATGAGATTGTTTTTGCTAGTTGCTACGATGGTGTATTTCCTCTCAGTGTTATAACATACTCCTACTATACTCTCATCTTATTATAATTCTAAGATGGATATCAAATTATTCTATATTTCTAATCCACTGATGTCTGCTTAATACTTATATGATGTTAAAAACTATGGTCCAATCAAAAAAAATTCAAAATCACTTATGGGTTCCAACATGTTAATTTTTTATTTGATAAGTGTATAAGAAAGTGAAACTTCTTTGCTAATTGCAAATAAACTCATTCCATAACCATCCTCCTAAGTAGACAACGATATTAGATGCTAATAATCATACTATATGGTACCTTTCCATCATTGATGAACAGAATCTCATGAATGTTGCTATTAGGTAGTAAATGGGAATGCACACATTGATAGAATCGCTTCTTTTTTCGATTGTACACCTTGACTGTTGGGAGAATCTTGCTTGTAGACTTGAATGCTATGGCTATGAATAATTTCTGTCCATTTGAAACATGGAAACTCAATGCTTAGACCACTTCATCTTCGGCACTCTTCATGATGTAGGTTTATCGTTTTCGTATGATGTCATAAAGCACAATATGCTTACCACTTATAAACATGAGAGTGTCATCATTCACAAACATGCAGTTCTTTCTTATTGGATTTTGCAAGCATCCAAACGAAGCCTCCAATGTTATTGAGACTCCATTGATTATTTGATGCGATGATTTTGATAGCATCTATTGCTTGATTACTTTCTTTCCATTCAGAAACCATTAATCTTCCATATCACAAATCAGATTAGTTATATTAATAATTAATAATTCAATAGCCAACTCCAATTTCTGAACAAGATCGCATAAGATTATATGATGACAATAATTGTGATGAAATTTGTAAAAATACGATTTCATTTCCCTCTCTTCTTAGTTTGCATCGTTTATTATTCAATGTTTGTTACCAATTTCTCTACCATCACCAATTCCTGCTCCATGCTCTTCACTTAGTCAATCAAAAAATTGTTTCGAACCTCCAATTAAGCTATCTTCTATTGACTCTTAGCCATTAAATCATCTTCCACTTTCTTTTGATTTTCTTATAAAGATATCCTTAAATAATGCACTTCACTCACTTATTAATTTAAATCTAATATTGCCTCATGATAATATACAGTTTTGCCTATCAGAAAGTCCAACTTGTGCTTTAGAATCTAATTCTATTCATTCAATTCCTTTATTTGATTCTCATACTTTTATTTAATCTCCTACAATACTTCCTCATTTTGTCTGATCTTCTTAGAATAATACAAGAAATCCTGTTTCTGTTATTCCTGATTCTACTGCAGTGAAACTTACATCACTTTGCAAATGTCATTCGTGCATGGACTATTAGATGTACCTTCCTGTTTCTACCCAAGCATCGAAATCATTTACTCCACAATTAATTGCAACAATTAATCCTATTCAGCCTCCACATTACCCAACAAATGCTTTTAAGTCATAATCTTGTCACTCAAGAATTCATATGATTACTTTAATTTTTGTAACTCTTGAGTCTTTCTTTAAACTTTCTTTTCGAACATTTGTTTATCCTAATTCAGTTTTAGCAGCAATTCCTTCAATTCCTAATTCTATTTTAAGACCTCATCAAGTGATTAATTTTGCATTATTTTTATAAAATAATATTTATATATATATAATTAATTCACCCAATTAATTATTTCATATTACTTTTAAACTTTTTGTTATCAAAAGAATTAGTATTATTTCTGTTAATTCAGAGTAATTCCAATTAAAAATTAATAATATTTCATTTTTAAAACGAATCATGGAGAACAGAGAAATTGAAGATTCTTCCAAACTTAAACATCCCGGCAAATCGCATAAATCTACAGCTACACAGGCTTATTTCAATTTTATTAAATCAAATCTTGGAATTGGTATCCATTTTGTTTGATTTCTTAAGGTGTCATTGTTCTCCCAGTTGTCACTTATCAGGTTGGATTGCTTTGGTCTATTTTCTTATTCGTTCCAATCGCCTTCAGTTGCGTAAAGTAAATTAACCATCCAATATTATAGATCAAGCCAATTCATGATAGAAATAGCAGATGATTTGAACACAGATAATATTCTCTATGCAGACATCATTAAACTAACTTTGGGATCTCTGTGGGCTCACATTTTGGATATTGCCATCATATTGCAATTGATTGGACTTTGCATAGCCTATTTGATATTTCTGACTGAGTCCTTGGCTCAATCCTTACATCAAATCAGTATTGAAATGACCAAATTGTAATGCCTGCTGATCACATTAATTATAGTGATTCCCTTATCTTTTGTAAGAAAAATTCATTTTTTTCACTCAACCAGTAAATACGGCTTTTATGCTGCTTTGGCTTCCTTCTGCATTATACTCTACGACTGCCAAGGGAGACTCTCCTTAATTGACAATTTCCAATTCTCCAATTTAATCAACATCAAAAGTAATTATTATAATAATAAATTAATTAGACACCTTTAATTATGTGGGAGTGGCCATTCTGTGTTGTGAAGGAATATTTACAGTTTTGCCTATCAGAGACAGCATGAAGAATAAATTTGAATTCAAATCTGTTGCTTCAAAGAGTTTGATGACAGCATTCTGCATCTCAATCTTTTTGTCACTAATCACCTCGTCCACCTATCAATAAGAAACACAATCAATTGTGCTATTTAGTATTCAAGTACTTATTAATCATTAACAATAGAACCCAATCTTAGAAGTCGTTTCATTGATCTTATACTCAATTAGCTTGTTATTGACCTTTCCACTCCAACTATTCCCAGCTGTCCAAATTGTTGAAACCATGCTTCAAAAGAATATGTTCGAGTATATCAGCTTCCATGACATTGAATAAAACTCGAATGAAGGGTCTCCCACAGAAAAGATTGATAAATCCACTTGCGATAAGATTGAAAATCTTACATGCGAGAAAGATGACTTAGTTTTTGAAGATAGACTCCTCTAAAGCAGTATAAGAAGCATGTTGATGTTAACTATCTACTTTATCGCTTATTATGTGCCTCATCTATCGCACTTTTTGAATTTGATTGGAAGCATTTTTGGATCCTTATTACAAGTACTACTTATTTTCATTTTTTAGTTTTGCTTCCCTGTACTAGTTCATATTATTTATTTCAAGAACTCTAAATCAACTAAACCTGTCATTCAATATACAATAATTTTGATTGTTTCAATTTTAGCTATTGTCTTGGGCACAGCTGAATCGTTAAAGCATCTACTTTGATCAAACAATCAATAGTGTAATTATTATTTTGTTTTTATAATTAATATATTAATGGATTCTAATTTATATGTAAAATTATCTCCACAAGGTACTTAAAAGCATAAAGAGTTGGAGTCCAAATGTTTGATGAAGTTTATATATTGGGTAGCCGTAGCCAATATATCAGGTGCACTAGGAGGTTAACTTATGATGTATATACCTATGTCAAGCAAATAAAAATAGATGAGGTAATTGAGAGTAATACGCTTAATTTTAGATTTAGAAATGGAGTATTCATATCTACTGCTCTATTGTTGAGTTATCATGGTTATAAATTATCCAAAAGAGATTTGAGAATTGGCTAAAAGGAGATCATTCAAAATAAAGATTACGTATTGTCACCATCTTGAGATATATGTTATTAGACTATTAAAACATAATTATTATTTATGGAGATGGCTTATAACATTTGCATTAATTTTGAAGGATGCTATTATAAATATTCTTTAGAACTTCTTATTATTGTCAGACATTGAAATATATAGCTATCCGATTATTCTACTTCATCTATTTAGAGTCCCCTTATCCATTAGCAAGATTTCAATTAATTCAGAATGAAAATTGAAATTAATAAATACTTCAAAAATAGTTTATAATTAAATAGTAATCATCTTTTCTTCTTTTTGACTATTTTGCATTTATTACAGGAATAGGGTAATCTTGTGTTTTTATTTAGTCTATCAAATTATTGTAAAGTTATTCCTTCGCAATCTGTATGATACCAGACTTTACAAATATCACACTTAACAAATCCTTTTTCATTATTGTCAGGATTTCCACATATACAAAACGATCTTTTCCATTAATCATAAGGAGGGTTAAACTATTTAGTATAATGGTTAAATGAGGCCCTCATAAAATATGCCTCCTTATCACTTTTAACATGGTCTTCTATTTCTTCATGCTTAACTAAGAGGATTTTGCCTTAGATTTCTAAAATTAAAAAGGTTTATTTTGTACCACTCCAACAAATCCATTTTGTATCTTAACATGAGAAGAGTTCTCTGGATTCCAACCAATCAGCTATTTTTGTGCTTACATATTATGAAACAAATTATGAAGTCTAGAGAACCGAAATCTTTATTAATGGCAATTAGTTCTTGTTTTTTAGATTCAAACACACTATTTCTTTGATAATCCCAAATTAATTTTGATTCTTTTTGTTTAGATATTTGATTGGCTCTTCTTTGTTGAGTGTGATGTCGAGGGAGTGCAAGTAAATTGAGGAGTAGAATTAACAGGCTCCATTTTCAGTGAATAGTTGGACGAGTTGATCATACTTATTAATTATGCATTGCACTTACATTCTCATAGTTCAGGATATTGTAGATGTTGAGATCATTCATAATATTTAAAATTAGTATGGTTTTATTTAAATTGATATAGTTCCTAAAGGCCAATTTTTAGAAAGCTCTAAATTTGAATAATTAATATATTATTATAAGAGTGTGAGTTTATAGAAAGTATATAGCAGAGAGGCTGTTAAATATCTTAACTGGGGTGTTAGCTCATTTGGTAGAGCGCTTGATTCGCATTCAAGAGGCGGAGAGATCGAAGCCCTCACACTCCAAACTTTTTTTATATTTATTATATTTTTAAAATTATGATTGCGACAGAGTAATTCGATTGTCTTCCTGTTGAAGAGGTTTCTTCAATGTTGGGTTCAATCTAAATGAAAGTATTTATGCCTTTGTAACCTAAGGAATACCCAATTTTCGATGTTTAAAAAGGTGTCCTAACAAAGAAGAAGGTGAAATACCACAATTATGATGACGAAGAAATGGAAGTTAAGTTCGAATGCGAATAATCATAATATTGCACTGTGAATGACAAGGTTGTTAAGATTCCTCCTAAAGGTATCCAAGAATTCGTATTTTTAGGACTTGATTTTTTAAGAATTAGGATATTGGTTCCAAGCAATTGTTAGGAACACTAAATATCATTAACAGTCGATGCACACGATAACCAAACAGGATTGATAAAGTAGAAGATTATATTTAAATTAAATGTTGTGAATCCTTGAGGATAATAATAATAAATATATATATAATAATAATAATAACAAATGTCTATAAAAAGCAAAATAGTTACACAAGTTGAAGACGGATAGGCAGAGCATCTGGCTAAATTGCTATATCCTCCATATCAAACGTACTTTCATTAAGCCAAAGTTGCCCATTCAAAATAAACTCTATTGTCTTCATTATAGTAGGTTGGAATGAATGTTCAAGAATATTAAGATAAACCTGTTCAATAGATCATGTAGGAATGCGAATAAAAGCTAAAGAAAACCTATACGGTCAAAGTAGTAGGAATTAAAGATGGGGAATTAGCAGTTATCTCGAAAAGATTCGCCTTGCCAAAGAAGAAGTCGATGAAATAGATTTCGAATAAAGGTAATAATCACATTATTTTGTAGAGGATCCAATATTTCAATTGTCTTAATAACCATACTAAATTCATAGTCAGTTTCCCAATAAACAATTGAAAGCTGTCAAAAAAGTAAAAGATCCGCAAGACGAGGAGTTCAAAAAGAGATTATTAAATTGGTAAGCTGAATAATTTGAAAAAATGAAAGGAAAACCCTAAGCCGAAGACACTTCAGACGAAGATCAGAATCAAGAGTCCCAATCCTTACCCTAATCATCTAACATGAAAAACAAGAAAAGCCTACCCAGAATCAAACTATAAAAAATAAGACGATCTGAAAGTCCCAAAAATGAAAATCCAGAGAAAACAGGAGATACATAAGAAGTCTATGCAGTTTTTCATAATCAGAATTAAAATCAAAAAATGTCTTACAGCAGATTGTTAAATCATGTCAATGATAAATAGAAAAAGAACGACAAAACTAACCAAAGTCCTCCTCTCACCAATTAATTAGTAGTAGTCAACATTAATAAAAAACCACCAGAACCTCCTAAATTAGGTGGCATCATAATGGAATTGGATGAAGAACATGAAAATTATCAATCAGATAAGAAATAACATGATGAATAACAATAACATTAAACTTAACAAAGTTCCTCTTTATAAATAACACAATTTGTTTTGAATGACACAGATGCCATGCAAAAGAGATTGAAGAAAATTTAAGAAAAATTACACCATAGTGAACCAGAAGGATTATTTTGATTACAATTTAAAATATAAACTCTAATGTACAAAAATAATAACCAAGTATATATCATTTAAAATACTCTTCTCTTTCCCCCAACCTATCTCTTATCTTTTTTAAGTTCTACTCAATTCTTTACATATGTCTAACCTCCACAATTAATTTAGTAGCCTTTGTTTTAGATATTCTCAACGCCTTCTGCAACACATCATTAAATTCTCTATCAGATCCCCGGAACTTTTCCCCAAAAGCCTAAGCAACTTGTAAGGCGTCAACATTCTTGATTAAATTGTGGATACTTTCTTCCTCTTCCTGGTAAAACTCATTTTATTTGTTTCCTGTTGAGAACTATTCAGCTCTTAATTCATCATTATAAGTAGCAGTATAAGGAGCAATAATAATTGTTACTTCTCCTTTTAAATGAGACGGTCTAATCACTTTTGGATCTGTCAACATTTCATAGACTTCCCTACATTTTCCTCTGATTTTTTTTTCAAACTTCTTAGTTAATTCAAAACCAATCCAAAGTTCTTATGTTTCTCCAAAGATTTTCTCAATAGTCAATAATGTTTAATGAACTCTGGATGGTGATTCGAATAAAACTAAAGTGCGAGGAGATTTTAAAAAAAATCGTAAATTTTCATCTCTATCATGTTGTTCTTTTGAAAGGAACCCTAAAAACGTAAAATTATCAGTAGGAAATCCGCAAGTGCTTAAAGCAACTGAAATGGCACTGGCTCCAGGTATTACATCAATTTTCACATTTCTCTCAATGCATTTATTCACCAATTAGTAACCTGGATCTGAGATGGCAGGAGTTCCTGCATCGCAAACTAAAGTTATATTTAAACCCATTTTGAGCATTGCAATAATTCTGTCAATTCTTTTTTCTTCATTAAATTTATGACAACTAATTAGGACTCCTCTTCCTTTTCGTTTCTTAGCTACAGCTATTTTGCTTTTGAGATACACCATAAATGGAGCAGTCAATCCATAGACTTCGTATTCAGATGGATTCATTTCTTCTTCCTCATATTCTTGTTTACCCATAAAATGTAATGGGTCCTATTCAGATAAGTATTCTTTTTGTTTTTTGACTTCTTGAGTTACGCGTTCTTTCATTTCTTCAATTTTCTTTTATTTATAAAAGTTAAAATCTGCAGCAGTGATTTCTTATTGATTTAATTCTGGTAATTTACTAAAATTTGGATTATGTATAGTTACACTTATAGTTATTTGGTTGAATCAAATATAACATCTTGAATTGTGAAGTCATCATCATCTAAATCATAGTCTTTAGGATTTTCTGGAATTGGCAATTGTTCATTAGATAATTTCTTGTTCCTAATCATTTTTATGAGAAATCCAGTTATTCTAGTGTCTTCACAAGCAATTACATCTGCCTCGAAGAGTGCCTTGTCTTGTCTTGGAGTCCAATCCTATAAATTTCCAATGGGGGTTGGACAAATAGTCAGGACTCCTTTTGAAAGAGAAGGTTTTCCAATATCAATTATTTCATCCTAGGATGATATGTGAATTTACAATTTTAGAAGAGAATTATCTCACTAAACGGGTGGCAAATCTGATCATAATTAGTTTAAATTAATAAATATAGAATAATGGGAAATCATTAATAATCAGCCAAGCAAAGAAATAGCAATTTGAGCATGGTGAGTTATGGCAGGTCTGTTTCAACTGCACCAACCAACGAATCGGGTATGCTTAGATTTACTACGGACGGGAGTATGAGTTCTTCAATGTTTGGGGGAGTAGAGACCTATTTCAATCGATTACCAAATCCAGTAGTCGATGGAATATGCAAATTTCTCACAATTAATGATCTCACGAATCTATACTGCACCAGCAAATTTGTTTATGAAAGATTTTACACATCGCTTCCTTACTCCATTAAATGTGGGGATCTATTGTACAAGTTGTACGAGGATCGAAGAGGCATTGTCAAATTTGCAACTGAGACCAAACATGCTTCATGGCCTCAAGTCTTAGAAGTTTTCATGCATAATAAGTATAATTTTGTGTTTATGAGCTTGATTAGAAAGCAAATGAAGAATCTCCCCTAGAATCTGAGAGAATCACTTCAACAGGCTTATCAACAACATATCATCTATCCACCCTTGTTAATGGATGAAGTGACGAAAGAAGGCTTGAATTCTGAATTTTAGAAACAAATAATGCAAAAACTTCAGAGTTGTTAAGAATGCCAATCTATTACTGAAATATAAATACTGAATTAAACAAGAGGTTTTTTCAAAAAGTCACAAAATTCAAGATAATAAATGATCACAAAGATGTTAGAAATCAGAACCTTAAGAGAATTTTAAGTAGATCAGAAGTAATACCTTTGCATTTATTTTTAGATTACCATAATTATTCAACATTATAATTATAATCGCGTCGACTATCAAGTCCCTTTTGCAAATCGTTGCATTGACACTAGAATGTTCAGCAGCCACCAATGACTCAATTGGATAATTAGATTTTTATCTATATAATTTCTAGATGTACTTGATATGGATGCAATAAATAGACCAGCATGTAACTCCCTATCTGCATCTTTTTGATATCATTCTCAAAGAATAAGTTCCCTCCTACCACTTCCCCCCCTTAACTATCCAATGGATGATGATGAAAATGTGGAATCAATGCATATATTCAAAATGCAAACATCCCTTGAGATCCATATTCTTACAATAATTGTATGCAGTTAGAATGAATCCCACACTCAAATATGAGCAATATCTCTTAAAAGATTACGTCAAATCCTTGATTGATTTATCAACTACGTAATCTAATGTGAGGATGGCAGGTCATTCAAAGTTTCAATACATAAAAGACTTAGAAAGCTTATTCATCATATTAATAGAATAAACTGGCAATCTATATCAAGAACACAATATTAGTTTTTCCAAAGACATCAATGTTCTAGGTTACATTTTTTAAAAACATATCTTGGAAAACAAACTCATTCCTCATCTTCTAGAATAGAAATACGCTAAAATTCAAACCCACATTGAACAAATCAAACAAAGTGCAGAATTTTCAAGAAGAATCTAAAAATATGATGATGATAACTAATTCATTACTCAACAAACAGATTATTCATTTCAACTACTCAACATCAATAAAGTGTTTTACAAAATTAAATCAATTATCAACTGCGAACCTTTGCTATCATAGACAATTAGATTGACCATCAACTATTAAAAGAATACTTATGACAAACTATCCACCTACATTAAAGATTATCATGCAGACCTCTATGAAGAAATCTCTAAATTGGCTGATTTAGACGTTGTTTCAACTGAAAGTGTCTAAATTAGAGATGCTATGATTTTGTATAGAACCTAATCAGAGACATTTGAGGAACATCTTATCTCATATGATGAACTCATCGATGTTGAATCTCTTAAATAATTGATTAAATAAAAATCAGCTAGCAATTCTAAAAAGAATTCATTATTGTTGAAGAAAACTAAATCAGAACCACCCAAATTACATTAGCAACCAGATTTAAACAACTTTTTACCAATTACAATAGTGACTGGATTAAATCTAGCCTAAAGCCTCACAGAGCAATTCATTAGCTAATAATGATTCTATAATTAATTCAATTTTGTGTATTATTTTATCTTTGGATTGTAATAAAAATTATAACAAAAATTAAATAAAGTTCATAAAATTCCTTTTAAAAAGTTATCAATGCCCTCAAACATCTGCTATTACTACTTTAGATCAGTTTCGAATTCTTGGTCTCCATTCAACACCAAAATTGAAGTATTTTTATGGGTTTCCCTCAATAACCACTCCTCGTGTCTATTATGGATTTATGTCAGATATTCCTTGGAAATGGTATTCTTTAAATAATAAAAATGGCGGTAATACTTTTTCTTCATCCCTGGCTCGCTTTTGCATTCGTTAGTGACACACTTCTGGATCCACTTGTAAATAAATGATCATTTGCTTTTAAATTTTCTTTCCAAAAACCTCCTCGCATAACCAATCATAGAATTTCTCATACAATGCAAACTCCAACTTGTTTATTAAACCATTTTTATGTCCATTCACAGCAAATATTTCTTTATCTGCCTCAATGCTCCTCTCGCTTAAGATCAAATGTCTCTCTTCAGGATTGATTGGATCTGAGAGAACTTCCTTCCAATGTTTCAATCTGCTATAAAAGGCATACACCTGCATTGTGTAAGCCCATCTGGTAGAGTCCTCATAAAAAGAACCTAACAAATTCAAGGAGGGATCTCCATTAATACACTGCCATTCATTTACAGGCTCAGGTATAAATCGTAACTAAAAATATAAGTTGAACTTACATCTGGATATTTTTGTTACATCAATTTTAGTAAAGTGCTTTTTCCAGACCCAATGTTTCCTTCAATCGAAATTAGTGTGTATTAGTTTGATTTCATTAAAAATAATATTTGGAGGGCTTTTTATTTATATTGCTATATGAAATCACAATTCCAATATAATATATCAACTTAATTATAATTTATTTCTATTATAACTTATACGAGTATGTTATACAATTAATTAACAAAAATTTCTTAATCATGAATCTTACTCAAACCCCTCATTTTGATAAGCCTCTTGCTAATTTTTTTGCTCTGTAGGTTCCAAAGTTACAAATAAAGAATTAGGCTATTCATTCTTCTTCTAATCCTCACTATCATCTAATGGATTGACTATATTATCCTCATCCTTTGCTTCAATCGACTCCACAACTTTAAGCATGTTATTTTGATTCATACTTTCTAATAGATTGTTAGATTAATCAGTTTATTATTACTTCAGCAGTCTTTCATCGTTTTATTTCACTTATTCCTAGATCATCTTTATAAAATTGTTATCATCTTACTTTTCATTTAATATTTTGTTACTTTCCTTCTTGAAATCATTGCTTTCATCTAACTTATCTATAGATTCCTTATGTTCCTCTTCCTCTTAAATTTAAAAGAAAGTATTTCCTTAGAGTTGAATCTTCTCCTATTCTACTTTATTTTGTTCAGTTTCTGTTTGAGTTTAAAATAACCCAGATTCATTGGTAAAATTTTAGACGACTTCCTCCACAATTTCTACTGGCACTTAAGTATTTGTCTTGGCAGTTTTTGAATTCAATTCTGTTTTTTCAATTTGAGCATCAACATCAATAATTTTAATCTAGATAGGAATATTCTCCTTCCTTCCATTACCATTAATTTTGGCTTTGGAATTAGATTAAATCTTTGATTTCTGTCTCTCCATATTTTCCATTTTAACCGATGATATTTTCTTAAACTCAGGCTTAAGACTCTATTATTAATTTTTAATTGGAGGTGCTTCTCTAATGCCAACACTCCTGCACTTTAATTAAATTGGGGATTACGATGTACGATTAGAGGAATTTTCTAATTTATGCTATTTTGGTTTGCTAAGTACTAATTAAATCTCTTTTTAGTATTTTTTCTATGGTTGTTGCTGTTACTGAGCTCTGAGTGATGGCAATAGCCCTATTTAAACTTATTTATTCTACTATGAGGATTTAAGAGATTAATTGTTGTTTTCAGAACACTCATTTGGAGATGGTAATTATTGTTTGATCTATGCATCTTGGTTTGATTCGTAAGGCTCAAAACCATTGTTTTCATATTCCTCTTGAGTTTTTTAATTATGTCTTTCCAAAGTTTTTTGGGTTAAAATAGCAACGGTTGCTCCTGGGGTTTTACGATATCTGGTGGATTATTCCCTTCCTCTTTCGGTTTATGAGTTCATGGAGATATCAACTTTTTTAATTTATGGTAATTTAGAAAAGTTCTTCTATGTTTTTACATTTTCTACTTCCTTTCTTTGAGTCAAGGAGTTTGCTCTTAATTGCTTTGTTAGTAGTTGTGTGGCTTGGTTAATTTTTTTTAATTCTTTTTGTTGTTTGATAATAGCTCCCTCAATTTGTTCTTTGGGGAGGTAGGTAATTACTAACTGTTAAACATTCTAAACTGTTGTTATAAGAGAATCAAGAAATGTGACAAAATGTTCTTTGGAAAGGGATCTGGATATTTCGGATATTTGCGTATTATTGGGGGCTTTAACAAAAGATTTATGCGAAGGTGATGAAGCCTTGTGTAATCCAGATTTAATATTACCCTTCGATTGGTTCTACTCAATATACAAATCAAATAAATACAATAGTCTAATCAAAGGATTTGGATAAGGAATGAGGCAAATTACGCTAGCTCAATCTATCCTATTTGAATCTGCTCATCATTTGATGCATGTGAAAATTGTAAAAGAATTATCCAAGATGAACATCCTTCTCAGGCCTATAAGAAAGCACTTTCCCTTTGTTGGCGGCTGCAATACCGTCAAGCAAAAAAGGGGGCTTGATTTTTGATTTTTATAGTTGCATAAATATATATTATAAATGAATTATGCAAACCCATTTTCATTAACTTCTTAAACTAGTTTTTTAAGTCCCAAAGAACAACGCAGCAGACTAACTAGTTTCCTATCGTAAAACCACTCCATAAGATCGAATAAATCCGTGTCTCCCAAGATGCATTTTATTCCATAATAAAAAATGCTGAGGACTGAACAAATATCCCCTAAATCCCAATTCGTCCCCAAGAATGACAATAAGCAATATCAGAAACGGACTACTGGAAGAACCAAATATGTTTCTGAGCACACATCCACTCCCTATCTGTACATTCAAAAAAAAAAACATGAATTTCGCATTCCCTTATTACCAAAACTATCTCCTGAACCAAAAATTGAAAGCCCTAGGATTCCATTCATTAATATTATGACTGAACCAACTATTACAATTGAAGAATAAGGAGAATAAGAAAGAAGTAACTTCGAATAAAGATTCGAATAAAATTAAGATTAGCAATTACTTTTAAATAAATCTAATAATTTACTATAAGTCTCTTAATTATCAAATAATCAAGATGATCAATTATCAAACAGTAAACTCTCAATACGAAGCAGATTCAAAAAAGCGGTGTAAAATTCCTTTCATTCTCCAGCAAGGAAAGTATAATTTTATATATTTAGTCCTTATTTAATGTAATCATATCGCATGAATTTAATGTCCTGCAAGAAATAGAGAGACCATAAATTTAAAAAAGATTTGAACCTGGAAATCAGATTTTAGCATTAAAGCTACAAATGAAGACTATAAAAAACATGAAAAAAAAAGAGAACTACATTAAAGATGTTCATCTTAAAAAAGGATTCGGGTTGATTAACGTAGAACAATTTAATGTCTCAACTAAAGCATTCTAAAGGAAGATTAATCTAATTCATTAAACATCCTCAAGAAGTCTTATGCATTAAGAATAATTCTCCTTGTTGCCGAAATCGTAGAGAAAATCAATTACCAGTGTCTGTTCTTAAACATAAAACAATGTATTGATAGTTAGCTAAGATAAACATGCATAATTTATTAAATAAAGGAGCAAAGAGGTAGATAAAGTAAAAGAGTATGAAAAAACCAAATTTAATGTTACGATTAGTTATGAAAATGTAGAAAAGATGACTTTCCAATTCAATAGACCTCAACGTTTGAATTAATTCAAGGATACTACTGAAGATATTACTCCTCTTAAACCTCCTTAATCACCTAGATAAATAGTCCCTTTATCTTTGATTTCTTCAAAGAATATGCAATCGAGTCGAAAACTTGATTAGGTTTCATCTTCAAGAAACTTAGGAGCTAACCGATTTTCTAGGCTATCCATTCAATCAAGCGTGTTTTCAGAGGAGGCAACCAATAGTGCTGATCTCAAATTTGATTTTAGTAAAGTAAATACATTTGTAATTAATTAAGCCGAATCTTTATGTTAGAGTTTACTATTAAAATAAATTGTATAAAATGATGCAAAAAACAAATTATACAAAATAGAATTTATAGGAAGTAGAAGATAATTTTCTTCCGAAAGTAGCCCTCACCAGTAGTACAATTTTAACAAATATTTATACTGTTATGTCTACCTCTGAACAAGGTATTAGATAAAGAAAAGTCACAAATGAAAACCTAAATGACAAGATATAGTTTTCAGGAATCCAATTCCCAAAATACAGTCTAGAAAAAGAAACTACAATTTTCAAATATGATGAATATTTTAATGAGTCTGCAACTTTATCAAGTTAGGAATCTGATGATTCTGTCTCTTTGGATAATTTTTTAGAGAGTCCAGCTAACAACAGTACTATATTATATAAAAAAAAGCTTAGAACCAGTTATTAAAAAGAATAGAACTTTGAAGAGTGAAAAAGCTCTCAAAGATAAAAATTAAACTCAAGAGTAGGCATAAACATATTTTATAAAAGATGATCCCATTGATGAAAAATGTATTTAATTTTAAGTTATTTTATAGAATTATCAACAGGAGCTTTGATTTTGATTAAAAAAATAAGGATGGCCTTTTAGATGCCTATTAATCTTTAACCAATACTCAGTGTCCTAGAGCAATAAACAAAAAATCATCTTTTAACTTAACATGTAAAAGTGTGTGACCATTTTGAAATGGGAGTGTTGACAGATAAGCATTAGGCAGTATTTGAAAAAATGATAATTTATCAAAGAAGTTCAATACTCAATAAAGTAATCTGTTGCGCTATTGAATTTAAATTTCCCAATATTTTAGTTGGAAGATATAATTGCTAAACAAAAATGATTGATGTTGAACACTAAGAACCAATTTCAAACACAGCAATATTAGAAAAATAAGAAAGCAAATATGAGAAGATTGAAAACTAATAATTACTACAAACATAGATAAAGAATTCCATTAGAAGACATTCTAAAGAATTGAAAGAATCAATCAATAAAAGATAAACGATAAATTCAAAAAAGTAGATTTAGTAAGGATTAACTAAATAGGATTCACTCTAAGTTACTCAACCATAATAATGGAACAGAAGAGCTATGTAAACAGGGGAACTAACTAACCCTCTTACAATTACCATTTAGTAAACTAATTAGTAAAACTCAAACCTTTTTACATAAACTTCAACTGTTCTAATTACTAAACCTACTTTAGTATCTCAATAATCTGTATTTAGAGTAAGTAGTTCTAAGCATATCGACCTTAACAGTCCTTAATAAGATCTTAGTTCATCTTTTCATTCTTCTTAAAATGAGGAATCAAGACGTTCGAGCAAAATTGACTAGATTCAACATCAACAATCATCCCAAACTTAATACACATAACCTCCACAATAGTAAATTTCACAGTTAAAAATGTAAAGTTAATAGGAAGATAGTTTTGAAAGTATGTAAGAATAAGAAGATAAATATCATCTTTTACAGGAAGGAAAGGTATTGTTTTTATAAGGATTTAGAATGCTTTAAGTATGTACATGAATTCTTTAAGGATGAGAACACAGATTAAGGAATCTTAACGTAGACAAAAACTAGATACAAACTAACTAATTAAATTAGCTATTTTTAATAACAATTTTATTGAGGTATCCTATCTACGAGTATTTAGTTTATGGATAATATTCAATTGATTCCTGAAATGTAAATTGACGCTCCTTTACAGGATGGAAACACTTTTCTGATTTTAGCTGCTTAATGTGGTTGTAGAGAGATTGTCCATGAATTAGTCAGAAGAGGAGCAGACATCAACATTTAAAATGTATTGTATTACTAAGCAAGGATGATGGCAATACAGCAGTTCATCTAGCTCTGGCCCACGGACACTATAGAATTGCGGATATGTTAATGGAAGCCGGAGGAAGCACTCATATTTTTAACAAACATGGATAAAATGCCTGGAGTGTCCTGTGATACTATATATTATATTTATATATATAATAATAATTAATAAATGGATTAGGAGTAGAAGAAAAATAATCTAATGAATATCTATCAGTAAGCATTACTATAACTAAATAATAATTAGAGAGGCCAAGAAGATTGAGAATAAGTTGAAGGTCCAAAATTTGTATTCTCTCAAAAGCATTTTGAATGAACTATCAAAATAATAAAAGAAAACACCAAGTACATCTTTGCATACAACAGCAAGCAAGAGAAACTAAGAGTCAAAATTAAAAATATCTAATTTAGCGTCTTCTCCTAAAACAAGCTATCGTTCAACTTTGTAATTAACCAAAAGAAATTAATGGATCGATTTAATAAACAAACAATATTAATAATATATTCAGTCTGATTAAATTGCAATCACTGAATATCGGTATAATTACTATTCATCTTAGAACAATCTCATAAATGAATACAATTTTAATTTCTGACTGGAAATAACCCTACTATAATAATGAAACTCGGCTCAAATCAAACGAAGTTATAATTCAACATTAGAAAATCGACGACATGAGAAATTGGAAAGAAATATTAGCCAAACGATTATAAAAACGAGTATCTAGATGATGTTTAGTTAAAAACAATTTTGAATAAATCACTAGTCTAAAATTTCTGAAAAATATTAATGTTTTAATGCTTAGCTTGCTGTAATTCTCTCCTCCGGAATGTATTTTAACAATTTGCTATTAAATAACTCAAATCAATAATATTACCTAAGCAAATCAATAAATAAATCTTTATCATCCACATGTTCGAATTTTTCCTCCAAATCAATCGGTTCATATTTTGGGAACTCTTTGAATAATTTTACATCAAAAGGAACAACCTTTTAATAATATTTTAGATCTGATTTGGAAAAAGATCCTAAAATTCTAAGGATTTGAAATAATTAATCCCCTTCTGATTTCCCAATAAATAAAGGTTCAAGCAAGGCCAATTCAGCCATTATGCAGCCAATGGCCCATATATCAATCGATACATCATATTCAGTTACTCCCAAGAGTAATTCTGGAGCTCTATAAAATCTCGATACAATATAGGGTGTGTTGATAGTGGATGGATTAAGTTGCTTTGCACTGCCAAAATCACATAATTTGATTTTCCCATCCTTAACTAAAATATTTTCTCTTTTTAATTATTTTATACAAGTACGGTTTTAAATCTCGATGTGCTATATGCTTTCTGTGAATCTAATCAAGACCTTTAAGCATTTGATAGAGGTAGTTCTTGAGCTCTTTGGATTCCAAATAGGTTTTTCTCTTTCTGTGATCTCCTATGATATCTTCCAAATTTTGATCCATAAATTCTAGTATGATATTTTAAATCATTTTATTATCCTCGCTTCTACTGTAGAATACATCCTATATAACATCATATTATACTAGCATCTTCACTACATAACTACACTGCTTTAACTACATCAAGATCTCGCATTCCCTACTCTACAATTTACCAACTTTTTGCATTCTCTTTAAGGCTACTTTTTAGCGTCTTTGTTAATCAAAGGCTTCAAACACATAACCTTTATAAATGTTTTTGCAAATTACCAAATGCCCCTGAACCTATTATTCTTACTATCTCATAATTGGGTATGCTCTATAGTTTCTCCATTTTAGAAAATATTGATTTTAACTTAAAAGTTAAGTTATAATATTAAATCAATAATACGCATTATTATTTACTACTATGCTTATAATATTTAGATCGAATTTATAATAATTAATAACAATGAATACAAATCTCACATAGGATGATGATTCAATTGAATTTTAAAAAGCTGTCACTTCGCCTTACAAATGTCCTTAGCATCTATTAATTATTAATGATAGTTTGTTCCTATCATCCTTGAGAGAGTATGAAGAACCTGAAGAGACTTTTCTAATTGTTTCCGAAATTCAATAAGACATCCAGATTGTGATCAGTTCAAAATTTGTTAAAGTAAATATGTAAATAATGACTAGAGGATCAGATATACAATATCGAATCCGTACAACACAGATTTGATTCTAAGTTCCTTAAGAAGAGCTCAATAATTCAACGATGATAATTTATCATAAGTACTTACATATTGAATATTTAGGTTCACTAATACGTCATTCAAAACAAAACTACTATACAGATATACACTTCCTACGCTAATTAGTACAACTATCTGTAGGAACGTGTTTAAACAGAATCCAGAATATTATCAAATGAAATTAAGTTAAGATCATATCTTTACAGTATTTTAGAAGGACTCAAATACATTCATCAAAACAGTTGTGTTCACATGTGCATCATCCTCCAAAATATAGAGTGTCACAAAGAAGAGTACAGATAAGTAATTTTTCCTTAATTCTAGTTAAAAATAAGTAGATTTGAGACATTATAAGAAATCAAAACCAAAATAAATCCTGATCTTAGGAAATATCTGATGAAAACACTTCCTCACATACCTCCAGAATTAGGAGATCTTAATTATTTAGTTTAACCCTCTTTTGATATATTTTGTTTAGGAGTAGTTATATTTCAAATGTGTACTTGTCAATTACCTGAAGATAATTCAAGAACCAATCGATTAATCCTCAAAAAATTTGTTTCAAAGGAGTTGGCTAATATGATCTTATTAATGTTGGATGCTTAGGCAGACAATAGACCAACAGCTACTACCTTAATTGATAATTAATGGTTCAACATTTGATATTAAATGTTATTCACTAGTATCTAAATATAAATATAAATAAATATTAATTAATGTCCAGATAGGCACCATAGTCTGCATAAAAGAATGATAAAAAGGCACCTCCTCCTCCCCCTCCTTAGAAGGGCCCCAAACCTTTTAATGCTGAAGATTACGCTAAACCACCACATCTTACAAAAGAAGAAGTCTTAGAAGTCAAGTAAGCCTTTGACATTTTTGATAATGATGGATCTGGATCTATCGACCCATAAGAATTGAGAGAGGCTTTTGAAGCATCAGGAATTAAAACTTACCACAATAAATTTATTTATTAAGTATTGGGTGAATTAGATACTGACAATAGTGGAGGAATTGACTTTGAAGAGTTTTTACATCTTGCAACAGCCAAAGTTAGTGATAAAGATACTAGAGAGTAAATCTAAAAAGTCTTTAATCTTTATGATTGGAATAAGGAGGGTAATTTATTTATTTATCAAAGGCCGCGTTACATGGGATGAATTAAAAAGAGTGGCATAAGATTTGGGAGAGGAAATGACTGATGAAGAAATTTAACACATGTTTAAGAAAGCTGATTTGGATGATGATGGCTTTGTCACCTTTGATGATTTCTACAATCTAATGACTCAGAAGGAATATGGAAAGTAATGATATCATATTAATACATCAATCAAAATCAAAGACTTCCTTAATATTCAAAATAACCAAGCTCATGATTCTTTTTGAAATAAAAAATTCTCAATACTATTGATTGTAAGGTGATCCTTTCGACTTCTATCATCTCTATTTTCTCATCTTCATCAAATTATGTTTTTAATTCCTTAATAATCAATTATCCCTATTATATACTTTACATTTCAATTAAATAAAATTTTTTATTGCTATCATAAATGATAACTGACTTAATCTCTTGATTTTCAATCTCAAATGTTCCATAATTTATATAACTTTCTTGATTTTCTTGTTATTCAAAATTTTATAGATAAAAGTAATCTTCCTCTTTCAATTGAATATATTTATTAAACACATTATCAATCTTTATTATGGCTAAATTTGTCAGTATTATAAGTTAATTACCAAATAATTTAATCTAAACTAATTATTTAAAATACATTTAATATTGTTTACTATTTTTTGAGCTCAAACTATTTGATTTTATCAAAGTTATTATAAATAACAACCGTAGATTCATGAGCCATGATAAAGCACGTTTTCGTTGGGTCCAGTTCTAAATGAACTTTCTTATCGAAATTGAATTCTAAAGGAAATTAGTTAATGTTAAGAGGGTTTTTTATCTCATGATAAACCCCATCTCTTAGATTTAAAAAGAAAATTTTAGTATCAGACACCATCACAAGTAAGAAGCCGTCTTGACTTACAATACACTAAATATGATTTAAATAATTACTGATAAGAAGATGTAACTTTCTAAACTTAAAGCTGTATTTATTTCATGTTTATAATTTCTAAAAGAAGGAATTTCCCCTTTCATATAATCAATTTCATATTGATATATAATGTTATTTCTGTCTATCAGATAACTCTTTATTCTTTTTGGAAGCATTGTATTTGAATATATTTTCACAAATGAGGCAAACGTACTTGGTTATAATGATCTTTTGATTTGATCTCCTTAAATTTTAAATATTGACACCTCTGAATCATAATTTACTAAATATGTGTTGCTATTTTCAAGAGGAATTTTCTAAATATTTGAACTTAATAAAGATCTTATTATTTGTCTCTCGTATTAACTCATATACACCCTAAGTCTCGAGGTTAGGTTCAATTTAGGAGATTGATATCCAGAAGGAAGCAAACTTTTTTAGTTTTAACCTTCTTCTTACTCTTTGAGATCATTAGTTTAAGGACCGAACATTTCTTCGCAGTTAAATAGTTGAAAAAATAGTTATTATAAAATGTAAAAATTTATTTGTTCATGTCCTGGTAAAGTATTACTTGCTGGAGGCTATGCTATTTTGAATCCCAATAATCATGGAGTATCAATAGCAATCAATGCTAGATTTAGGACTGAGAAACTTAAATTATAGGAAAACAACTAAATAATTTTTAGGAGTGAATAATTTTCTCAAGAAATAAAATATTCATTAAATTAGATTGCTAAAAGTGAAAACATATATTTTGATGCTATTTACTAAATTATATTTCAGAACCAACTGGCTACAGATTCTTGGTTGATTGAAACTAAGCCAGATTCAGCCTTTTATTCATAAAATTAAAAGAATAAAATAACAAAGTTAGGTTTAGGAAGTTCCGCTGGCTTAATTGTTTCTAGTTTAGGTCAATTTATCAATGATAATGAAAAGTTGTACCAATTAGCTTTGCAAGCTAACCTGATAGCATAAGAAAATAAAGGTTCTGGATTTGATATTTCAACTGCAATATATGGAAGTTAATTGTTTAGCAAAAATGAAGTTATACCTTTAGATGGACTGGATAAAAATTACCAAATCTTATTAATTGATTTAAAATAAGGATAGAGCACTATCAAAGGGATAAATACAATATAAAAATGCTTATCTGAAAACTAAAAATACTATAAATATTTTTTAGAAACAAGTGAGAAATGTGTTATGGAATTATGTTATCTTCTCAAAGAAAAGAAATTAGTTAGAGATTAGTTCTTAAAATTGAACTAAGAATACCGTTCTTTACTTAGAGAATTAAGTTAATTAGCTAATTATGATATTGAACCTAAAATCTCAACCGAAATTATCGACTTTTCAATTGCTTAACCTTCCGTTTTATGGGGAATATGTCCTGGAGCAGGAGGTTATGATGCTATAGCACTCTTATGTAAGGATGTCACAGAAAAAGAAATAAAATCAATTAACGAATTTCTATTAACTAAAGGTTATGAAAATGCTGTTCATATGTTTTATATCGATCATGGTATTTAGAGAGATATCATTAATATTTGATAAAATGTTTATAATATATATAATTAAAGTGAATATATATCTATTAATGATAAATTTCATTTTCAATCTTCGTTTTAATCTGATTCTTCTTCTTTTATTTTGGGATTGGAATTGTTTTTCTTACTAAAACAATGGAAAAAACATAATTTGCAAAAGAATAGTAAATCTGCATCCAATATTGCAGGTCCCAAATAAATGTCATTTGAATTCTCGAAAATAAATTCCATCTATTCAAATCTCTAAAGGGCTAATTATAAAAAGCAGATATAAATTAGACCAAAACACGCTAAAACGGCTACGATTATTAGGTGTGATCTAGTTAACAAACATAAGACACCAGATATAAAAGCCACCATAACAAAAGTATTACAGAATTACTTTTTCACTTTCATTCCTTAATATTGCTTCTCAGCTTAAATTTCATGATTAAATATACCTACAGAACTTTTGATTAAATAGATCAAATATAATACTGAAATCCCTAGAGCTAGAGTGATTAATTCGCATTTATACTCTGAATACCATAGTGAAATAAAAACAAGAAGTAAAATTTTGGAACAAGAATGACAAATAAAAATCAAAAAGTTGTAGGGTAACTAGAAATATCAATTAATTTACTTTTGAGACTGCACTCGGACAAAATTCAGCAAGTAATAGTGTTATTATGTAAATAGTTCCAACAAATTATTCCAAAAAAGGAAGCCAAGTTAAAATCCATCCAAAACGATTTAATTACAAAATAAACATTGTTAAAAGACTTGTAATAAAATATTAGATGGCAAGGATTCTTAATGAGGATTCTGAAGCAGTTTCTAACACTGCTCCTTAAATAGCAAGGATTTATTACACTTAATACAATTACTCCTCAGCAGCCTTGTCGGCTTCAAATAATCTTTATTAGTTTATCAATTGTACGAATTCAATTTTTTCTCAATCTCATCCTTTTTCTTGTCATACTCCATAGCAACTGGAATAGTGGTTTCGTCTCTTCTCTCATTCATTACTTATTCGATAAGGATTATATAATTATTAATAAATATTTTTGCATTAAAATTTAAGGATATTCAATAAGCTATACTCTTGTAAATGTATGCAATTACCAGTCCTATAAAAAATAAAAGCCATCTCTACGAATTCCCCTCAGCTTTCTATTATATGAATTTTATTACTTTATGTTCAAGTTCCCCAATTTTATATAAATCCATCTTTTCTCTTGCTTCTTAACTGTGGCCAAGTCTTTTAAATGCCTCTGTTGCATTTTAATTCTTATATAATTGCAAAATCTCTTTTCCTCCTGGATGATTATCTGCGAACTAAGAAGTAAATTTGTTTCATACCTCAGTGCAATCATATAAATTATTTGAGATCACTATGTATAGTTTTTCCTGGTTCGATCTAATATGATCCCATGAAACCTTTTATCTTCGGTCTTAAAAGGAGCCAATAAAAAATTCCTTCATCATCTCCTTAGCCTTTTCACTATGCCGAATAACAACTTCAAACTGTCTAGTAACATCATAACCATTATATTTTTCTAAAATTTTAAACCCTCCTGGATGTCTAGTTTTGAAATCTGTCAAATCATATACTAATTTGTTTATTACAACAAGGACTTTTCCTTATTTTACTTATTTATCAATATAATTTTAATCCATTATTGTTATAAATAATTAGTATTGATCTATTTACCTCAATTAATTTGTAATATAGAGGCAATATAAAAAGAATCTCTTTCAATTTTTATTAATAACTCTACGCTAACGATTTTAATTTGAGCATTATATAACAATATAAGCTAGCATTTTGCAAAAAAACTACACCAAAAACAGAATTAAAAATCACACTTAATTTAACTTTATAACATAAATTAATTTTTATATTAATGGACAATTACATAAAATTAAAAGAAAAATTGTAAATCAAAGTCATATATAGTTTAGATTATTTAAAAAGCCAGTTAGTGATAATGCAGAAAACAGATATTGGAATAGCTTTAATTAAGTCTTAGAAAAATAACATAATTAATCAATAAAAGCAATTAGTGCCTCTAATAACATCAAATAAAGAATTGCAGTTGCCAGTGGAAATACGGTGGAAATTTTCAGCACAAATAAAAATTAAATCACATAAACCTTGAGTAGATTTAAAACTTAAGTGCTTTCACTTTAATTAAGATGCGATTCCCAATTATTGGCCACTTCTCATGAAGATGGATTAGTAAATATTATGAACCTTAAGACAAAAACATCTCTAAGATAGTTCAAAAATTTCAAGAAACCTGTGCATTCAGTCAGCTTTAACAACACAGATTAAATCTATGCAGCTGGAGATGATGGAGTAAATATTATCATAATTTAAGACTATAAAACTCTTTGATATACCAAATGATATAGTAATTAGAAGCATACCTAATGCTCATAATGATTTTATTAGAAGCATAGCTGGATATGAAGATCGATAATTATTATCTTCATCTTATGATAAATTTATTAAATTATATGATTTGAGAAGTAGTAGTAACGACCCAATTAGATCCTACTTAACAAATCATCCAATCGAATCAATTCTCATATTACCAAATAAGTTAAATTTTATCTCTGCTTAAGATTAATTTACTACTTTATGGGATTTCAGAAAAGAAAATTTAATTTAAGAATTGCATACAAATTAGAAAACTATAACTTCTTTAACCTTAACTTAGTATCATGATTAAACTAGAATTATTACAGGATCTTTAGATCATTAGATAAAATTTATAAGAACTGATATTTTTAATGTTACCCATTAATTGAAATGGAAAAGTCCTGTGATGGCTTTGGATGCTTCATTGGATGGATTTAATATTGCTATAGGAGGAAATGATGGATAATTACAAATAAATTAGTTAAAACCATCAAAAAATGATGAAGATATTGAAGAAGAAGAGGATTATATACCTGAATATCTTAAGTCTAATCCACATTTATAAAGGAGAATCAAAAATTATAAATTTTATAATCGAGGCATCTATTCTAAATTATCTGATTATGATTACAAAGTTCCAACAATTCAAAATCAAAAGTTTTCAGGCTATGATAAATTGTTAGTTTCTTTTAAATATAAGGAAGCAATTGTAAAGGTAAATTATGAAATTATTATAGGCTTTTAAAGAAAAAAAAACATCAATAATACTCAGTCTAGTGGAGGAATTGTCTGAAAGAGGAGCTTTAGAAGTTGCACTAAAAGATATTGATGATGAGGAGCTTTAGATGATTTTGCAGTTTATTTTATAAAAGATGTCAAATCCTAAATACTCTGGTTCAATGTTACATGTTTTAGATATATTAGTTGGTATTTTATTGAGTTCTATTTTAGACATATACAACATTGGCGATATTTATGATTAAGTAAGAGAGGAATTATAAATTTAAAGAGAAATGACAATTTTAAAAGGGATGATTTTGATTTGAATTAATATTGTAATTTAGATTGTTTTTATTTGATTTTATAGAGATTGTTTTATAGAGAAACACGAGTATATTTCTTAAATTTTCATATTATTAAAAAATCACGCTAAATTAGAATTACTTAACTAAGGACTTTGTTTACTAAGGAATGTGTTGAGATAGGTAAATCAAGAATTTAAGTTTAAATTATCATAATTCTAGATCTCCATAGTCGATAGAGAATATTTTGGGAGATACAGTTTTCGAACCATTATAACAGAATACGTCGAAATCAAATTATCTTTTAAATATTTCAATTTCCAATAAATTCTATCCTTCTATCAAACTATTATCAAATTTAAGTCACTAATAATAACCAAAATAAATATAGCTACTTTTATTTAAATTTTATTAGATTATAAACTAATAATTAAAGGGTTTGCAAAAGTTAATTTTGAAAGTTACACTATTAAATTTTAAACAAATAAGAAATTAATTAAATCAGGTCAAAAAGAATATATAAGGAGATCAAACATTCTGTTTTATGACTTATGATGTATACTTTTCTTATACTATAATTCACCTTCTAAAAATCAAAATATTTAATGTTAGAATCTTTTTCTCTTCACTAATTTATTCTAGTAAACTTAATTAAAATTCATTATATTAAGGTAATCAAAAGCTTATATTCTATCCTATTAAGGTAAAAAAGATGTTGGTATAATTAAAATGGATTGAGATATCACCTTAGAATTGAATCATAAGAAAGAAAGATAATGAATGTATAGCAATTTGGGGGGACTCATTAGTAACACCTGTTGAATTATGCGATGATGGAAATCTCATTTTTGGAAATGGATGCCATTTATGCTGCCATAGTTGTGAAAGTCAATGCTTAACTTGTACAATTTGAATTTGTCTTGTATGTGCTCTTGGTTATCAAAGCATTGATGGAAGATATTAAGAACAATACATTTAACCACTTTCTGCTGTTTAAAAAAAATGATATTAATTCAAATGCCCGTTATAATCATTTTATTAAGACTATTCGTACAATTATTATTTAAACCGAATAAATTTAGAAATGGCTTTGCAAAATGAATGGCTGATTTCTTCATTCTAATTATTTGTAGTTTAACATTATAATTCATAATTTATTAATTATAATGACTTCTTCTGTTATTCATCTTCATATAGGTGGAGCTGGAGTAATGATAGGGGATGCCCTATGGAAACTTTATGAAAAAGAAGAATCAGATACAAATGTCAAGAGCTACATTTATAATGAAAATGAGAATAATAACTACCCTTTAGCTCTATTTGTCGATTCAGATGAACAAATGATAAACAAAGTCAAAAAAAATTAATCAATAAAGTATAAATCTACCTCTTTTGTTTCAGGGAAGGAGGACGCATCAAACAATTTTTGCAGAGCTTTTAATGCTGTTGGGAAATAATTAATTGAACAAAGTTTAGATTAATTAAGAAAACAAATAGAAAGTATTGACAGACTTGATTAATTCATTATTACTTCTGCTTTAAGTGGTGGAACAGGATCAGGTTTCGCTGCTTTGCTTTTGGAGAGAATATCAAAAGAATATGGAAGAAAGACTTAAAAAAATGCATTCTTAGTTTATCCTTCTCAAGAAATGTCTAATAATATAGTAGATCTCTATAATGTTATATACTCCATTGATTTAACTTTAGAAGATTGTCACTCTGTTGTAATGTTGGATAATCAATCAATGTATGAATCCATAGATTCACAGTTTGGTTTGGATTTTGTTGATTATACTCTCTTAAATAATTTAATATCATAATTAATTAGCTCATATACAGGTTTAAGAAGATTCAGCTAAATTGATAATAAGAAATTGCTTTCTGGATTGTGTTCATATGATAGAATTCATTATATTACTCCTTCTTATGGACCTTTGGCAACTATCAATGACTAAATCAAATATGAATTAAATGAAAAATAACTTATATCATATATAACAAAACCAGAATAAAGGTTATTTCAAAACAAAATTAAACCTTACCACCTTAGCGCTGCTTTAGTGCATCGTTCTAAAGGAGAAAATTAATTTTTTGGTTAATCCGACTAAGCCTTTTAAAAGATGAAGATTAGATATTAGGAGAGTCCTTATGTGCTTCAATGTATATCATAAAATTACACAGTTATTCCAGAACTTGCTTAATTAAAGTAAACAGGTGTATTTCTTTCAAATGATCTTTCTATGCTTAATTATTTGGAAATAATTTTAAAGAAATTTTATAAAGTCTTTGATAAAAGAGCTTTTCTTCATTGGTTTACTGGAGAAGGTGGTGGTTTTGGGTGGGTTCAAGAATGTATGAGTAAATTCGAATATTTGATTGCTGACTATAAAGAGGTATAGATAAAGGACAACGATATTGATTGAAGGTTACACTTAATTAATGTATGTAATTATCATAAAATTCTATTACTAAATCTAATCAATTTTATGTCTAAAATTTTTGCATTTCAACAGAATAAGGGCTAAAAGCACTAAATAAAGTAGTAAGATATGAACAAAAATAATCAACATTTGAAAACTCTTAAATATTTGTTTGTGACACCTCTTAGGATATTTTTCTTGTACTTCAGGTTAGAATTCATCCAATGTCTGCAAATTTTGACTTCTTGTATCTTATGTTCGAACTAAAGTTTACCATACTATGGCATCAGCACTTATTTCTCTTTACTCAAGACTATTATATATGATCTTCTACTGCTAATTTATAAATTATGTGTCAAATAATAATCTTTGAGTTTTCTAATAATGCATTCATTCTGTGCAACTAGGTGCTCATCCTATATTCAAATACAATGATTGAATTTTGTTTAGCACCTATATTCTGAATTAATGTTGTTCATGAATATGATGCAATTGAAATTGCATCTTTTTATATTTCAAATCAAGTGTAATTTGTGCGGTTTGATATGACATTTACCACAGTTAATGCTCAAATTTTGTAAGCCATAGATATTGTAGCTCGTAGTTATGTCTTAACTGTAGTTAATATTATCCTAACAATCTGATTTATGTTCAGAATAACTTGGCGGTCACTGATTCAATTGGGGAATGTCAGCAAATTTAGTAATTTTTAAAATTTCATAATTATGATTTTAATTTATACTACTTCCATTTATAATAAATTATTCATCAAATCACAAAATAAGTTCTATAATGTTAACAACAACTTAATAAACATTTTAAAGGGTGCCTTATTTAATTTACTCTAAAATTTATTTTTTTTAAGTTTCATCATTCAAATATCCACACTTATTAAATTAAATTAACCTCAGACGCGTGACTAAATGTCTTTTCATCAACTATTCGATTGAAGCACTTATTAAGCTTTTAAAAGTGGAAGCACACAATTCATTTCTATGTGAATACTTTTGATAGCACTGCGAATGTTCCATTGCATATTAATTTATGTAACTTCTATGGCCAAAAAGTCTTAATACAGTAAAGGATCATGCTTCTTAAAATGCTCAAAAGAACATTACCACTTTAGTCGTAACTTTCCAGATAACCAAACATCGGCAAATATTTCATATTGTGAGAAATATTAGGAGCAAAACCATATTATTGAATGGTTAGGTTGTCTTAATCTTAAATCCTATTGACCTCAGCAGATAGTTCAGATCTCTTCCATAGCATTGTTTGAACCTTCATGTCAATTTAACTTTAAAAAATCTCACACCTCCTCCTTATTTCTTATATGTGAGTAGTCTAGCTATTTGTTCATCTGTCTACTTCATCGAAGCTGTCGGCTACAAACTAAACTTTTTCCATAATTCATCAATTATATGATTAGCTGTAGATTTGGCTAGGCATAATATTCTTTTTATGGATCCTCTATAGATTAATATCCATTTTTCTATCTCTTTGATTTCATAATTTTTCATAAGAGTTGCAACATAATCAAAAATGAGGCTTAATGTAAGAAAGCCTCAGCTAAGTCATATGTCTCAAAGGTAAAATATGACTTAAATTTTTAATTGATCACTCAAGAATTTAACTTTAGTTTGACATGTTTTCTATGCTCAGTTATATTTCCCCTCGAGATATAAAAACCTCTGAATACTTAAAATGTTTCACTTTAAGAATTCCCAGTTTAATGAGATCTTCATCATGTGGCTAGTTAATATTGATGTTAACAGTATTAAACTAATTGACTTTTAGTACTTGACCTATAGATTACATTGCAGACTATTCGCAAAAATGTATTAAATTAAACAAACAATATTGTTATGGAAGTATAAAAAAGACATAATAGCTATAAGATATGCTCAAGAAATATACTAATTTGCAAACTTCCAGAAGTTAGTAAAGTAGTTCAAGTCTTATTGCAAGAGTTAAACAATAACAGCAAGAATTACTGCTTTAGATTTTGCAATTTAGTGGGAAAAAATATCATGATACAGCAGAAGCTTTTTAGGTACAAGTTGAGTAACGTAGGCAATTCACTAGAACATTATCTAAATCAAATTCAGAATTACTTATTTTCAACAGAAAGTACAAGCATGACATTGGCAACCTAAGTTTTACAGTTTTGTTTATAATAAACATTAAGTAACTTTTATAAATCATAGTCAAATGCAAAAAAAATAATCCTAATTGAATAATCACAAGCAGCTCCTCTTTGACTTTGATGGAGATAATTTCTGCAAATAAGTTGTATTCCGAGCACATTTAGCTGAAATCAAAGCATATATTTAGGCAGGTGACATATGAGATGAAGAATTTATTTGGTTCAGTCTTGCAATAAAACATAGATATGTTGTACCCTTATTTATCTTGAGTTGGGCTCACTACAAATTTTCTATAATATTGCAACAACGACACAACAGTAGGTGAAACTTTAATGATTTCGAACTGCTACCTTAAAAGTTTCTCAAAATGCTTTCACTTGAACACTGTGTGAGTATGCAAGAACAAATTGTTCATTTTTTAATCTATCTTGTAGCATATCTACTACCACTCTGCTTTAGAGAATTGATATATTATCTGCTGTTTGACATATATTTAGTTTGGATATCATTCTTAAATACTGCTTTTATTTTCATGCACAATTGATAATTTCATTCTCTCATTTTTAGTTTTATTTTTAGAACTCAAACCCAACAATTTGTACACCCTAAATCTATTTTTGTTCGGATGGCGCTTGCTCTGCAAGAAGAATAATGGTTTGCTAGTGTATTTATTCCTGTTTCAAGTGTTACTATGATTATCATAATATTGTTAATTCACCTTGATTGTGCACTTTAAATTGCAATAGTTGCACCCGCACTATTTCTTCTTTCTTTCAAAATTTTGTTGATGGATAATCCAAACGAAAATCGTGCTTAAACTCCCAGGTGTAAGTGCGAGGTTTGTTTACTTTGAATATTTATACATGATTATGAACTAAAGAGTTCTCAACTTTAATATAGAAAATGATTGCTCTCTGATTTAAAATGCATGCTAGCATTATGTTTACATAATTCAAATTCATGTTGGAGTAATATAAGTTATTTCTTGAGCGCAACTATTTAGATTAACATTATAATTGCTTAAGTGCTTTAACAATTAAATGTAAAGCATATTTTTTCTTACTGCTATAATGCTGCTGCTTTTTAAAATACCCTATAACAATTACCTAACCTGTTATGAATGCGGTCAAGCATATCGCATATTCTACACAGACTTTAGTTCTACACCATGGCAACTTTATTCTATTAGATGCTTCCTTAATAATAATTTTCGTAGATTGCTAACAACCTTTTCATAAATATGGAAATGATTAAGTAGAATAAAAGTATATTTCTTATCCTACTGCTTGAAGTATTTTTATCAACTTTCCAATAAATCTGGTTATAATTAGCATAATGTACTTCGTATTCGTCTTAGCGCAACTCAAAATATCAGATAATGTTTAATACTGACAGTTCGCTTCCAATTATAATAAAAGTAAAACATATTGTGCAAGTTGTATAAATGTTGAATTAGCATTTGTCCAGAATACTACTTATACTGATACTAGTCAAGCAGTATTATACATCTGTAACTTACCTGAGTAATTTGTAACCAACATATAGGCTAGTGTTATTTTATTTTATCTTGGTAATACAGATTACAAACCCAGATATCAAGATTGAGGCTCTTGTTTATCAATTGCTTGTAAATAATGTGGAATAAGTTCTGATAATGCTTATAGTAATGATTGCATTAAATTATAGGCTAATGTTTAGTGAAAAGTGCTTTTGACGTGCTGAATTTTTCAGCTACCGCTTTATCAAACATCAGTTTGAATCCTTCCATTGCTAGTTGATATGCTCTACAAATCAAATAAATGCCATTTCTACGATTAAATTCCTTGACAACATCTGCTCCAAAAACTAAACCTGCCCCTCTAGCACTCTGACTCCATCCTTCAATTTCTACAACATTTAATATAACAAAAAACCATCAGGATCAGACCACATCAAGTCACACATAACACCTTCATGAGGCACTTCCTATTTTCTATTAATGATTCGAATTTCATCAATTGTTTTGATGTAGGGACTCAATCCACCATATATGCAGAAAATGTTGTCATTGACTACTGCTGCCAATGCCAAATAATCAAAAACTTCTGTGCAATACTTCCAAACATTCAAAGTACTGTATTTTCTCAAACATTCATCATAAAATCCATATACTTAAGTAATTTGTCTAGATTCATGATTTCCTCGAATTCTCTTTTAATAATTATATTTACAATGTAATCTAATCTGGATATCTCACTTTCAAAGCCAATAGTAATAAAAAAGTCTCCACGCTATTATATCCTCTATCCACAAAATCTCCCAAGAATAAGTAGTTAGTTTCTGGAACATCTCCTCCTACCTTAAATAATTCCATTAAATCTTAAAATTATCCATGAATGTCTCCACAAATCTATATAGTAATTTATTTTACAGTCTTCAACTCTTATTACATTATCCTCATTGTTTAGTATATCCTTTGCCTTGTTACATAATATTTTGACGTCCGTTTCCTTCAGGATCTCTCCATTTTTTAGTGTTTCTATCCATTAATCAATATCTGACATTTAATTAGAAGAAATATTTTATTTTTTTTGATTAATTATATTTTAAAGAATTTAAATAATAATTATTTTATATATAATTTTTTTGATAATCAAATTGGGCAATTGAGAGCCCTGGAGTTGATATTGGCGATTTTTGGTTGCTATTGTAACTCTTATTTTAAGTACTTGATCTATTTTTGCTTTATTAACCTTTCTAGTATTTCAACTTTTAATTGTAGAGAGATAAGAATATACTGAGAAAATGAGTTAAAATTTTCAAAAGTGACTTATTTCGTCTATATTTATCATTGAGAGAGAATTTTAGAGTGAGTTGAGAATAATACTAATAAAGAGATTAATGTAATTATTTCTTAAAGTATTACAATAGTAAAAAATAAATATTGATCTTTAGAAAATAGTGTTATTATTAATTATCTTTTTATTGTTCTTCCATTTTCTACAGAGAATATTATTCTGATATGAAATGAATAATTTAATAAAGAATTTGGAATACACTTAAATTTGTTGTTTTTAAATCAATTTAAGATTGTAATTATTTTACTTTAATTCAAAACATGTTATAATTTCTTGATGTTATTATTTTGATTAAGAGAATTTGTAATAAATTCCCTTATTATTTTATTATCATCTCAATTCTTAGTTTCACTCTAATTATAGTTCAAGATCATACTTAGAATTGATATTAAAAGAATTCCATTTATCATGGGTTATTATGACAGAACTTCTAAATCAACTTCTTGAAGTTCCAAATTAATCGATGATATATTAATCGTCTCAAAATACTATTGATCTTATAATTTCAACTATTCTACTTAAATACTCAATTATACATAAATAAGGATTCTAATCATTGATGTCAATTAATTAAATCAAAATTATTTAAAATTGTTTAAATAAAAATATTATTTTTGAAATTTTATTTATCATCCCTTTAGGTTATGGTATTCTCTACTCACTACTTCAGCCCAAGTCTTTTAAAGTTCAGCTACTTAAAACTTTTGCTTTAACTCGGATTTTATTAGGCTTCTATTCATTTCATTTACAATCATTTATAATGATGTGGCATTTGCTTCTTCAGTACAGCAATGGATGAATATTCTAGCTTTTTAATGGTCTGGAATTTCTGTAAATAATTTGACTTATTCCTTTGGATAGGCTGCTCCACCATCAGTGTAAAATAAAACTTCAGTTCTAAATATATTTAAAACATTAACTTTTAAAATGCATCATTTTAGTGCTGAACAATTAATTTGTATGCTTATTAAAATGCTGAACCAAAATCAGTGCTCCCACTATTAAATTGTATTTTTTTCTCCATTTCAACCAAATTGACAATTTCACAATTAATAGCAATTCTAGCAGTTGAATTAAAAATAATAACACTCACTCTAGCATTTAAATTTTTCTCTATTGTTGAGAGGCAATTTAAACAACAATTTTTCGCAGTGTTCCAAGGACTTCCACTCATTGACCCTGAATCATCAATCATAAAAATATAATGAATTTTTGGTGAATTAATTACTTCTTTGAATTACCTTTTTTACAAAAATTTGATGTCCTGCCTTTTTAACTTTATTTTTAACTACTCACATACCATTTTTCCAGTTCCTTAATTCCATACTTTCATCATTTTTTCTTTGATAGTTTATTACTCGATTTCATCCAATCCTTTAAATATCCAGTCATCATATATTTTTCTTATATCTTTCCATTTTTTTGTTTCTTCTGTTCCTAATGTAATAATTAGACATTCATCATCAATCTCATCACAAGTGAATAAAGAAGGGGTATCATCAATTAAAACTCCATTCATTCCTTTAAATTACAAAATAAAAAATACCTCTTAATTAATGACCATTCGAACATTTATGTTTATGGTCATTTGAATAAGATTAATCACATTTCCGTTTGCACATTGGACAAGTGTGACGGCAACCAATCATATTTAATTTGATAGTTTATAGCTCTTTATCACCATTAAATTTTCCTAAAGATAGAGTTTCTTTCTTCGCTTTTAAAATATGAATATCTAACTAATTTGACAATTCTAAAACGAAAGGCTGTAAAAGTTAAATTTATTATTCTGATTCTTAAAACTATGATTAATCAAAAATATTGAATTCTAACTTTTGATATGTCTTAATGTCAAAGATTTCTTCATACTCTTTCGAAACCTGAAATTTACTCTTATTTTATGATACACCTAGAAGGCATTAGATTATCAATTCAAAAAGTTTACTTTCATAAAATTCATCATTGTTGCTATCATTCTCATTTTGAACAAAATACTCTTTTGCTTTTACAGGAGCGTTTTAAAATTCAGTATGTTGTCTTAAAATTTGTACATTAGAATTAACATTCCCTAAAATTTTTAATAAAAATGTTCTTAAATTATTTTCATATTAATCTTTAATTTCAGCTTCTATTTGGTCAACCTTATTTTTAACATAATTTTCAATAAATTTAGTTTAATCTGTTATATATTCGACTATTTATTGATCAGTATATTTTTTTAAATTAATGTCTTCTTGATAATCCTCTAAAATAGTTTTATCTAACAGTTTTATTAATTATGTACTTGTCATTTAATTTTTATTCTTGATATCCGTACAAAAATTGGCTTAATTCTCCATATAAAACCGTTAAATATGACTTTGATATAAATTGCAAATAAAAGATTTTGCTTTTAATTTACTTTATTCAGTCTTATTTTATTTTATGTCAGCAATAAATTTTTACAGTTAATTTTATTTAAGATTCTTAAATTTTTGTGTACTTTCTTAAAGACCTTTTCCTTTTTTAAAGCATGTAAATCGCCAAATTATTAACATGGAATAATAATATATACATCTCTCTCCCATTCCAATTAATATTATGCCAAAATTAGCAAAAGATTTATTATAATTGATGATTTCCTACTCAATTTTAGACATAATTATTTTTATCAAACTTGTGTTTTGTTGTGAAATCTCTTCACTATCAGAATTGTCTTGTTTATTAGTTTTTTGATGAGACTTTGTCATTTCTGATTTAATTACATCATAAATTGAAAAATACATCATTTACCAACTATTTATTTTCTCAAATTTTGAAAATCCATTTTTGTAACAATTATCTTTCTACAATTATATTTAATTTTCTTCAAACATTTCTGTTGAAAACGATTTTATAAAATTAACTCTAAAGTTATCTTGACAGCTAGTTGCCTTCGTCTATATATATTTTAAGCTGGATTCTAATTATTAATATCTTTTTGAAAAAGGAGTTATTTTTAATTCTCTGAATATTATTATATGTTCAAAATTTTGGATATATTCTTAAACTTCCTTTTCTGTAGAAAAAGATACTTATTTGCTATCTAATGTCAAGCCTTTATTGAAATCTTTTATATTTTTTAAATATGTATCTTTTGTATAATCCAATGAGGGTTATTGTTAATTTTTGACCTATTTACATGACTTTAAAAATTTTTTAAACGCTTTTATTACATTGTCATTATAATTGGTACAACGAAAAAAATTTTTTATCTTTGATGGATCTTGAATTGTTTCAACTAACTTTTTCTTCAGTTCTTAATCATATTCAATATTAAAAAAATCCAATAACAGTATTAATTTTGAAATCTGAGAATTGAGCTTTTAATATTCACCTTAATGCGAAGTATTTTAATATGAACCTTAATTTACGGCATTCTAATCTTAATCTTAATCAAATTGATTAAAAATTGGTGCAGTTTTCCTGAGATTGTAACTGATATTTTGATTATTTTATTGTGCTGCATTCTAATATGAATCTTAACATTACCTGACCCTTATTAATTATTAAGAACTTTGGGTTTATTCCAATATTTTAATTAAATCTCCAATTAATCCTTCTTTTTCTTTGCCTGTGCATTTCTCTTTATTGCGTTTTTCATCTTTTTTTTTTTCCTTATATATGTAATCATTTAAATTTGCTTATTATACATAATATATTGTCATTTGAAATAGATAGAAGTTTTTTATATCCATTACATCATATTTAGTCTTAGGTTTATTCATTCGAACTTTTAAATTTTAATTAAAAATCTCTGAATATCTCATTGTTTCTTATGAATTAACAATTGGTCGAAATTAAACTTAATTGTGTAACTCGTTTTCAAATATTTCATAAATTTAAATTCTTTCATCTAAATCTTTTTGAAATGGAGAATGATTATTAATTTTCTCAAGAAACAAGGAAATATAATTTTTCTCATTATCTGTAGTTAATCTGTACTCATTAAATGAAGAGGAAATACATTGATATTATTTGGTAGAATACTCTTTTAATATTTCATTTTGTTGTTATTCCGATTCACTTGTTATTTCTCCCCATAATTTATTAAATTCAATAACAATTTAATCATCATTTTCTTTTAGTTTAGTAAGTTATGCTGGATCTTTGCTAATTTCAAGAATAAAATCATCAAGCAACTTGAATCCTTTTATATTTTAATACTCCCTTTCGATATTTTTTATCTCTTCAAATACCATAACTTCTGAATCTTTTAATGAGCTATTAATACGCTGGTTTAATTGCTTTATGTATTTAAGGTAAATTTTTTTCTAAATTTATTTATCATATTTAAATAATGTTAGTTACTATTATATATCTTATTCAATCTGGTGAAACCTTATTCTAAGGTCTTCATTTTTCTCATCATAAATTTAATAAAACAAAGCCAAATTTTTCACATTACTACTTCTCACTCTATCATGAATTTCAATTCTAATTTCATTTTTAAAACTAAAACTTTCTTAATTGTAAATTTGTTCAAATTTACTTTTCATTAATTAATCCTGCTTGTATTAAATTAATTCTGCAAATTCCAATAAATCAGGTAAATTACATATAGTTTACCAATTAGTATTTATATTTTATATGAATAAGCTTAGACTTTACATTTGAGGTGTGTCTGTTTGGTATTCAAACTTTTTAATAAAATCTCTAATCATTCTTATCCCATAAAGATAAGCTTCCTCTGAATAGGTTTCATTAATTATTAATTATCTCCAATCTTTAGTTAGACCTAAACTTAAATTTTTTCTCCATAGTTTCTCAATACACGCAAATCCTAATATTTAAATATTGTCCTTTGAAATGTTCAAAAACTCATTATAATCAATTGCTTAATTTTTTACATCTTATTCATTATGGCACTCTAAATTTAAATTATTGGCGATTCCCTGTATTTAGTTTAAAAATGGAGCATAGTTGTTGGCATCGTTATTTTAATTAAAACACCAACTTAATAGTTTTATAGAGGATAGATTGGATTTCATAGACACCAAAGTAAAAATACACATTTCAACTAAATTTTTAAATTGTTGATGTATATCACCTTTGACATTTATCAAAATTATATCGCTCATAGCTAAAACAAAAAGAGCAATTTTTTTATCAAATTCTGGATCTACCTAATTTGGATTTTGTAATCCTTCCGAATCAAGTATCAGTATATAATCAAATAAATAATTAAATTATTCCTTAAATTGAATTTTTAGCAAATTCAAATTAATGCCCTTTGTACATCTGCCAACACTTGTCCAAAAATGGCACCCAAATATCTTATTTAAAATAGTAGATTTTCCTGAACTTTAAGGTCCTAAAACACTTAATACTAAAACCTTTTCTTTTCCTACATTTGTGAATCTATTTTTAAGTTATTCCAAAAATTTTTCATTTATTTTAAGCGAATCCCCATCTAAAAGTTCAAAAGGTTCCCCTTTTTTAATCATTTCATAAGCTTTTTCTGCTGGATCAATCCATGTGTTATTCAAACTTCTTTGATTTATTGCAATCAGTTCCCTCCAAAACATTTCTATCCCAATATTCCTGTATGCAATATCTTCTAAATTTTTTTTAAGCTCCTGCTTAAGGTATTCCTGTTATTATTTATATGCTTTATTTTTACCATCGTAATTTATAACAGATTCAGCTTCTTAATTACTTTCATTTTTTTTTTAGCTTAATTTGATCTCTGTCTTTTTTTAGTTTCATCAATTAGTCATTAATTAACTAATTTTTTTCCTACAATTCGTATGTATTTCTTTCATTAAATTTTCTTATTTAATCTGTAAATTATAAATAAAGTATATAGTTTGAATTTTAGTCAAAAATTTTGCAAAAAATCATTAAAAGTTTTGATAATTAAGAGTTTTTTATAGAATCCTCTAAATTGATTAGTTATTATTTTATTTTTTCAATTTCTATGCTATTTTAATTATTATCAACCCCCTTTTAATTTATTTTGATATAGGATTCAGTTTTATTTAATGCATTTTCTTATTGCATAATTTTGCTTTATCTTTCTCTTAAATGTTTTAGTTGGTATTCTATTTATCTTATAGGGAACGCTTCCTAATCATAAAATCCAAAAGGCTTCAAAATCAATCGGCTTAGCTCATTTTCCAAGTCCATTATTATATCTCTATCGATGAAATATTAGTGAGATATTTGTTTTTCTTTTGTATCAAAATCTTTTATAATGCTTAAAAAATTGTCCTCCGTAACAAATAATGATTATTCATCATCATCAATCTCTAGAAAAAGAAAAGTTTAGGCGAGCTATAATTCTAACTCTTCTTAATATTTATCCAAACCTCTCTAAGCTAGATCAATTATTTTATGAAGTTTTATTCCTTCTTTTTAATTTGCTCTAAAATTGCTGTATATTCATTATTAATTGTATTCTCTTCTAATTCTCCTTTGTAATTTCTTATTATAAAACATACCTTATGATTTTATAAATCTAAATTATTCTTGATTAAATTTAACTAGTTATAATTTTCAATGAGTTCAGATTCAGAATCAAATTATATAATCCACATTCGAAACAATGGCAAAATTTTAACTAAAATCTCAATAGGTATTAAGCCATGAGCATCAGCTACGCTAAAGTTTCTTGACCCGTTAAATTATGTATCAAACATAATATCGATAGTATTATTATTTAATTAGCAGATATCCTAAGTCTCAAATTTTTCTTATTGATAAAATAATTAATTAATCAATTCTGTCTTTCCTATTTAAGCTTATTTCTCACTTAATGAAAAATTGATGATAGTGAAGGATTTTTTAAATACATAATAGAGCTTATCATTAAATTTGAATAAATCGATTTCCTCTTAAGCAGTTTACAAGTATGGATTTTGAAAAATTAAAGGAATAGGATACATATTTGAGTAGAGTTTCAGCAACATCACTTTTAATTCTTCATTAGAATTGTTATAAAACAATTAAAACAAGGCCTTCATATTTCTAATAATCTTTAAAGTTTCTTTATTTTGACTTCTGTGTGTAGTTATTATTGACAACAACTTTTTTGGGGATTCCCCCCTCTTAATAATGTTAAAAAAGAAAGGGATTAATGCTTTAAATTTTACTGTATCCTTTAGATTATCCATCCAATCCTGAACTATTCTCCCTTCTTATTGTGATGTTATAACAGTTAATGAGATATTAAAATCCTCAAGAGTAAAGCCACCATCTAAAGGACATTAATCAAATATATTTTTCTGAAGCAAGTAAACAGAATTTAATTGGATACACTCAAAGTAATTTACTTTTCCCACCTCTTCCTTATAAAACTAAGGATCCTCCTAAAATAATGAACGGCATTCCTCCTACAAATTTTCGTAAAGATCATTAGAGATAAAAAAATTTATTAGGTTTAACTTGAAATTAAATTTATCGATAATTTATCTTTTTTTAGCCTTCCAAATCTAATCGAAATCATAGCAAGGCTGATCAAAAATATGATTTAAGTTGGATAGTATAAATTTTGATATCTATTCATCCTTTTTAACCATAATTGTAAAAATAATTATTAATGTTCTTTTAAAAACACTAGGTGTAATATATTATTTTATATTTAATGAGAGTAAGTAATTCAATAGCCAAGGTCTTAGACAAAAAAATAGAGCTCTGAATGTTTGAATCTTAACATTATATTTTCCAGGGCACATTGGGACTAATTTTTACAGAATATTCATATAATTGTTTTAGGTTTTAGTCTGTGAAATTAAATATTAATTTACTGTTGCCACGAAAAGCATTTGAAATTTATTCCTTCCAAAAAGAATTTTCAAAGATAATAATTCTTCTTCATTTAAAAGCAACAACTCATTGATTAATTCTTTTGAAAATGAGTATGATTGCTCAAATGAGAATTCTTATTGCTTTCCTTCTAAGTTATAATTTTCTATAAAATAATCGTTTAAGCACATCAATGCCCTAAAAAGCTTGAAAGATTAATTTATCTTATAGAGTTTGATGATATTTCTTATCAATTATTTGAACTTTGGATTCAACAATTCTAAAAATAACACAATTTCTCCATATGATAGATTTTATTCTTAACTTATTAATTCATTTATGTATATTTCAATATCATCGCTCTTTTGAAGTATAAATTGCAACGCTAAATCTTTTTTTTTTTCATTATAAAATTCTCTTTAAGGATTCTAAAACAAAAGTTATATAACAAATTGCTATTCGGTTGTTAAGTTCGTATCAAAATCTTAATTAAGAATCTCTTATGAACAATTCTGTATCAAATCATCTTTCTTTTTCTAAGTAGTATCCTTATCTTAACTGATATCATTTTATTCTCCTCCTTAACTTGGTTTAATATTTTCATTTTATTAAGTGAACTGGATTCTTTAATTTTTCAATTTAAATATAGGCATAAATCTTAAAATTTTTAATTAGCAATTTTAATCATTTTATAAAACGATTTGAATATCTTTTTTAAATAATTAACAACTTAAATTATAATTATGTTGTTGGAACTTTTAATAAATGGATATTTTTTCTTTATCTAGATATTCTTCTTTTTAACATGAAAATTATATTGAATGATGGATTATAAAAAGATAAATTTAATCTTAGCTATTTTCTTTTACTTTAGAAATAAACTTTTATTCAATCTTACTTTTATTAAATTTTTGAGAGTTTT